TATCCCTACCTAATCTATCGTACAGTAGAAACTGGACATGAATGTTATAAAATAGAAATGCTGAAATATCTGATTGATGATTGTCAATTAGAGTTCAAGATTCCAGAAGGAAACACTGAATTACTGTTTGATCATTTGGAAATGCCCAACTCGGACTATTTAAGTGGTATTCAATATATTTCATCGAAACTGAATTTGAGATTGACTAGTTTGGAGCGATTTCTAATGTACTTTAGTGCAATTTCTTCGAGTGCAAAATATTCGATTCTGGTAAATACTTTGGATGAATTAATTGAATTGTTTAATATTAAAATGGAAGGTGATGAAATTGGAAGATACTTGTCAAGAATATATAACGATTGGGAGAAGATTGCAGTCAGAGAGGAATCAAACAAGGAAACAAAAAGGAAAGTATTAGAATATTTCCAACTCAAATTTCCACACATCACTATATTATCAAAATAGTAAGCATTCTAAAGTTCTCTCAAATTTTGAGATGAGGAATCACTACCTCGACCATCAAAAACATGTAGAGCATTATTTTGTGAGCTTGTTCAACATCATTAAGCTGTTGCTCAAAATAAAGAGATCCGTAGGTTCGAAACATATTGATAATACACTTGAGAATTGTTTCAGTAGCAGTTTGATAATTTTTTGAATGAAATTAGATCAGAATTTATTCGAAACTCTGTCCAAGTCCTTCACATTCAATAATAAAGGAATTACCTTCTTGTGGTGTTACGGTAAATTGCACTCCAGCAATGGTTTGACAAAAGTGAATGGCAGTTTGAGTGTGAAGTGTAAGTGGTCCTGTACGAATCTTACTCTTTCCTTTGGCCAATGTCATGAAAATAATGAGCTGATCTTGTACATATTCATCGACACATCCTCCTTCATTCCACTGTTTGGCCAAATGTTTGAGAATGGACTTGGTATGGGTAATGTGTTCATCCACTTTGAATTTCTGGCTTTTTTTCATATCTTTGGTATGGAAGGAGGCACCAAATGCATTCTCCTTCGAGTCATACATGATACAGGTACCAAAGACAGCTCTTGCCTTGGATGGATTGTTGTTACACTTTTTCTTTTCCACTTGGATTTCCAATTTCTTTGAGAATGGCTGTAAGAAACTTGAATTCTTGTTAATTTCCACTTTGAGAGCTTGTTCAACCTTTTCCAAAAAATCCAAACCATCATTATCAGTATAACTCATCTCCAATAATAGTTTCACAATCGAATCTCCTCTCTCCACCAATTCCACAGCATGCAGAAATTCACCCTTCTTGAAATATTTACTCTTTTCAATAAAGAGCTCAGCTTGACCATTTCCTCTCGGATAGAATCCTCGATATTTACATTGTAAATCAAATGATTTGGAATTATCAATTTTTAAAAAGTGTCTTCTCAAAAGTGGGAATAGTAAAGTGGAAATTTCATCAATTGGTGGTGAAAAATCCACATTTGTTCCTCCTCTATAACTCATTCTAATATCCTTTCCATTTGTGTCCATAAATAACAGTGGACACAATGAAGATTGCAACATTAAAGTAGTTGCTCCAGCAGTAAAACAATCAGCAGATACCTTAATTTCCTCATCTTCGTCATAATCAATATGAACTTCTTTCGAATCACTTTTACAATTCAAAACTAATCGTTTCTTCTCCAAATCCTTTGGAATGAATGTAAAACTTGTTGATCCAACTCTGCAATCAGTCAAAGTTGATGAAAATTCTCTACTTTTCGGCAACATGGACACCAAAACAACTCCAGTCAAATGTTGAGCTCTCAATCCAGGATTTTCTCTTCCTGCACGAATATTCTGCACCTTGATTGATTTATTCAAAATGTGAGAAACTAATTTTATAATTTAAATCATCGTCATCATCATTTCAGTTCAATTTAATGAAATATTTACGTACGAGCAGTTGAATATCTAATAATTTGTCCTCCGCCTTCCATAATTCTAATATTTATCAATTTTAAAATGATGATGATAATAATTGCAAGTATTTATATATTGTTTGTTGATTTAATTTCTAATGATAGGAATAAGTACATACCCTCCATCAATAATGATGGCTTGTTGATGGGATTGAGTGGTTGCTGCATTATCGTGAACTTGTGAAAGCATTTTTTTTTTGTAAATATTGCAATTTCAAAATTGAGTGAAAGTTCAATAAATTAAATTTATTTGCATAATTGTTAATTAATTGTTAATTAAAAGAGAATCTGAGAACAAATACTGGACAACAATACCAAATAAAACAGACCTTGTAGCTTAATGATGCAAAAGGAAACGCCCACCGTGGGGGTCGAACCCACGACCACAAGGTTAAGAGCCTTGCGCTCTACCGACTGAGCTAGACGGGCTACGCTCAAACAAGATTTTTTACATGGTTGCCTAAATTATACAGAATTAAGGACTGTACCAAAGTGAGCACCTACCAATGCTAAAATTTTCAATATAAATACATTATATTTTGCTTGTTTTAACTTTGGATTGTAAAATGATTGTAAAATTATAAGGTGTTTTATCAATACATGTTCACTTTGAAAAGAATAGTTATGTTTCCTAATTATTCATTCTTCCTTTTAAGAAATACTAGGAGTTACTTTAGAATATACTCAAGTATTGACCAATTCTACAGTGTTAAGCTGAAGTAACTCCGAGAACATAACCCCACACAAATTGTCTCCGGAGCAGATTGTTATTAAATGATCCCAAACGAACTTTGTTTTTTAAAATATTTCACAAAACAAAAATGAAATACATTCTATTCGTGGTTGGTACTCTCCTTGTTTGCATTATGTCAATGGTGATTCATGCCGAGAATCCACATGCAGGACAAGTCCAACACATTGTTGCATTCAGATATGAAGCTAATGTGACCCAATCTGATAAGGATCAAATCATGAAAACCTACTTCTCACTCAAGGAAAGATGTGTCAATCCAGAAACTCATCAACCTTATATTTTGTCATTTGATGGTGGTTATCCGAATAGTCCGGAGGGTTTTGATCAAAAGATGGAACAAATCTATATTGTCACATTCAAGAATGTTCAAGATCGTGATTATTTCGTTGGCAGACCATTCCATTTCCCATATGATCCACTCCATGATGCTTTCAAAAACTTTGTTGGACCATTCTTGAGAAAACCAATTGAAACTGGTCTCATTGTTATGGATTTCCAAGTTTTGAATAAACCTTAAAGTGGTTTGAATCAATCCATTTATTACATGTAGTTTCTCCAATGAATCATTTAGGTCGATATTTGTTGTTTATTCAATGTTTTGATTCAAGATAAAAGCCCTTTCCTATTTCCTTTATTCTTATTGATAGCTCTCATCTTGGAATTATTTTCTACAACATGAATGAAGGCAAAGTGTTATTGAACTTGAGAGTGAGAATGAGGTGAAATTTTAATAATTTAAAGCGAATTTATTAGAATTTATAATTACAATAATTTACACAAGTTACAATCCCTTGTAACTTTCTTCCAAGATGGCAATAATGTCCTTCTTGGTGGCTACTCGAGGATTGGTAAATCCGCAGACATCCTTCAATGCATGATCAGCCAAGACATCAAAATCTTCTCTCTTGACAATCTTTTCACCATTCAATCCACTTGGAATTCCAACTAATTCTCTCAATTTACAAACTGCCTTAACAGCTTCATAGGCAGCATCATAATCACTCATATTATCAACATTCTTGACACCCAAAGTCTTGGCAACACGAGCAAGTTTCTTAGCATGGGCTGGAATGTTAAATTTCATGACACTTGGGAGGAGGATTGCATTACAGAAACCATGAGGTAAATTATAGTAACCACCCAATTGATGGGCAATAGCATGGACATAACCTAAACTGGCATTGTTGAAAGCGAGACCAGCAAGGAATTGAGCATAACACATCTTTTCACGAGCATAAATATCACTTCCATTGGCAACTGCTTTTGACAAGTGTTCACCAATGAGTTCAATAGCCATCAATGCACAAGCATCAGTGATTGGATTAGCAGCTGTTGAAACATAAGCTTCAATGGCATGTGTTAATGCATCGAGACCAGTACAAGCTGTCAAGAATGGTGGTTGTTTCATCATCAAGACTGGATCGTTCAAACTCAATGTTGGAGTAATATTCTTATCAACAATGGCCATCTTGACACGTGTCACTTCATTTGTAATAATTGAGAATCTAGTAAGCTCAGCAGCAGTTCCAGCAGTTGTGTTAACTGCAACATATGGACAAATTGGCTTCTTACTCTTATCTAATCCTTCATAGTCTTCAATCTTTCCACCATTTCCCTTAACAAGACCAATACCTTTAGCACAATCGTGAACACTTCCACCACCAATACTGACAATTCCATCACATGATTCCTTTTGCATAATTTTCAAACCTTCATTGACATTTGAAACAGTTGGATTTGGTTGGACATTATCAAAGATGACGAATGAAATGCCTGCCTTTTCCAAAACTTTAGTCACCTATTCAAATATTGCATTAAATACATTACAATTTGATTGTAAATAAATTACTCAATCGATGATCTAATTGACAAAATACTTACTTGAGCAACAATTCCAATTTGAACCAATGGCTTATCAGTAACAACCAAAATCTTCTTACATCCCAAATTATTAACAAATCCACCCAATTGTTCAACACTATTCACACCAATTGCATTCTGTGAAGGTGCAAAGAAGATTGAATTTCCATCAGGAATTGAATAATGTCCTTGATCCATACTCTTCAAGGAGGTGGAGAAGAATTTATGATTGCTATTGAGTGGTAAGGCTACTTGTTGCCTCTTATTTACAAATACAACGGAGGAAGCTGAAGCAACATTCTTGGTTGCCTTGTGGAGGGTTGATAAATTTCTGCTGATTGTTTGGAGTGATTGTCTGTTGATCATTTTTTTTGTGTGTTATTGAAGGCTAGATGTGTTACTCTATCGCTGATTTATTTGGGTTATTTGGATGCTGTTATTGTAAAGTATTAGTCCAATGTTGTATTGTAAGCCAATTGAAGTGTTTTTTTGGGAGGCGATAATTTTCCTAAAGATGGAAGAATATGCGCGTGGGAACGAAGATTCATCTGAAAATGGATTAGTTTTTACAAGTTTTGAGTTGATCATGCATAATTTTCGTAGAATTTACTAGTAATGATTGTTTTTTATTTGGAAACAGTGAATGCGAGTTGACCAAATAAGAGCTTTTTTGAATTTGGTGAAACTCTTGTGTTTGTATGTGTGAAGAACAATGATTGGTTGGAGATGAGTTGTTTTTATTATGCATTGCTGTGATTGTAATAGAGATGTTTAACTCATCTCCAACCAATATTGAAAAAATGTCGAAATGATTACTGACAGATAAATAATCATTTCTTTTATACAACCTCATAGCATTCGTATTTCAACAAAATCCAGATTCCAAACCTGCTTGAACCACTCACTTAATTTTTAACAAGCCTAATATTGTAAAATCAAGTCCTAACCAATCACAAAATAATAACAACACCGAAAAACAAACAGAAAAAAAAAAAGAAAACTCAAAAAAAAAATACACGAGATGGATTTCTTTTTGCCAATTGCATCGGGTTCATCTTCATCAGCAGTGGATTTATTTACTCCCAATAATAGTGGTGCAAGTAGTAGTGTTGGTTCAGGTCGTGAATCGAGTAGTAATTCGAATGAGAATGCACAACCGAATGGAAAGCCTTCACCCGATTACAATGCAAAAGGCTTGAATTTGGCATTGAAATGTAATATAGAGCCTGAAAAGGTTTATGAATTAATATTTAAAACTATTTCTGCTGAATCTGCGAAACAACTTGTTGAAAAACTTGAACTTTTGATCGAGAATGAGTCAAGCAATTCAAAAGCTGTAACACGATCATCGGACAAGTCAAAGAGGAAAATCAACTCTGAATCATCATCAACAGATTTTGAAAAGCCTGCAAAGAAAAAGAAAGAACCTCCACCAATCAAAAATCTTGAATTATTTAATGAGTGGAAAGCCAAAATGGAGGAAGTGGCCAAATCGGAACTTCCCACACTAGAGGAATTGGAAAATTTAGACGAATTATCTGAAAATAAGAAACATATTCAAATTAATCACAAATTTCTTACACAAAAGAAGAATAATCATACGGAGCAAGTAAGAATAACCTATAGAAACTTTTTCGAAAAGTATCCAAAACTCTTTTATGCCTTCTCTTATTGGACTTTAAATGGAAAAGTAAAGGTGATAAAGGAAGTTTTTGCTCATCACCCAAATTTGTTACTGCAAATTACTGATATTCCTGAGAATTACAAGAATTTTTGGAAGGACGAAGTAAGCGAAGAAAATTAGTATATTATTTAGAGTTTTGATGATTTGGCTGGTGGTTGTTCTGTTCCATTCAAATCATTGTAGATTATGTGTAATACGTCAATTGCCAATTCTTTGGCTTCTTCCTTGGTTTCTGCTTCAGCATAAACTCTCACAACGTCCTCAGTACCACTTGGACGAATAAAAGCACGACCCTTATTGACCTTTAAAACACATTCATTGATCTTGTTTTGAATACCTTCTGGAGAAACAACTTGAGTTTCGTCTGCTGAAACCTTAATAATAGTTCTGTCCTTGACCTTTAACTTGTCTTGAACACTTGGAACATCAGTATAGAGATTCTTATCCCAATCTACATAACTCCAGCCGTAATAACCCAAAACAACTTCAACAACGAGTAAATCACTGAAAGCATCACCAACTGTTGGATTAATCAACTTGGTGAGGGCAAACAAGTCAGAGATGGCTTGAACAAATTCACTACTTTCACCTCCTTGTGTGGTGCTTCTATTGTACATTTCATTAATTGCCTTATTGGCCTTTTCTGAGAAAATAACAGTACCATGTCCATTAGCTTCAAAATAAATACCAACATCGAGTTCTTTAGCCTTATGATGGAGGTATTTGACACCAGTTGGAACACAGAAAATACGTTGTTCTCCAAGAATTTGCTTCAAATAGGTTGTGCTTGAACCATTAGCATATGCTGTTTGAACAACACCAACAATTAATTGATCCAAAAGTCCAGTCTTGGTCAACAATTCACCAATAAATTTAACCAAGAGAGTGGCAATCTTATCACCATCCAACAAGACCAATTCATTTTGTTCATCTCTAAAGAAATAAACAAGTCTGTCACCATCTCCATCAATACTGGCAACACTCTTGAAATTTTCACAATTGATTGGAACAGCCTTTTGCTTTTGAACATGTTCAGCACCACAATCATGATTAAGATATTTTTGTGATTCCTCAACTCCTACAGTTTCATAATCATTGACAAGAGTAAATTTAACATCCTTTAAACTTGATTGTAATTGTTTGATTTTCTTTCCTCCAACTCCAAATGCACAATCCATAGTAATTTCCTTTTCACCTCCTCTGTATAATAAATTGAAAGCATTGGAAATATCTTGATAATAAATACTTTCATTCTTAACAAGAGTTTCTTGAACTACTTGTTGTCTTTCTTGTGGTGATGAGAATTGAGTATTGACAAGGAATGATTTAGTTTCCTCATGATGATTAGTCAACATGACCATATAGTGAAGTTGTGGAGTAATCATGAGTCCATAATCCACGTGAACAATTCCTAAATTTTCAAAGAGAGAAACAGCTGTTTTCAAGCTTGAAACCAATCTATCACTACTAGTTCTAGTATCCTTTGCAACAGAAATGCACAAAGTCTTTCCGATTGGTTTAGTTAAATCCAATTTCAATTCCGAAACCAATTCATCAAATTTTTCGCTCATCAACTTGGCGTCATGAATACAATTAGCCAAACGAACAGCTTTTTCTTCCCAAGTAGATTCTAACATTTCACCTGTAGGATCTACCAATTTTACACCATTATCTTGTGCTCCATTGTGACTAGCAGTAATCATCACACCAACAGATTCCTTCTTATCCAATGCTCTCAAACAAGCCAACAATCCGACAGTGAAAACAACTCTATCAAGAATAGAATCTGCCTTCATTCTAAATCCGGCTGTTCCGTAAGCCAATTTTTGCTTGACTTCCGCTCTCTGATCGAGAGGAAATAAATTATCAAAGGATGTAATAATGGAGGAGCTGTTCATATTTTTTTTAAAATTTAAAAATTTAAATGAAAATTGAGAAAATTAAGAAAATATTGAAAAATTGGCTTAATAATTTAAATACTCAATTATTTTCATTCTTAATATTAGAATCTTTACTGTAGATAACATTAATAAATGATCAATAATGGTTCAATCCAGTCAATTTAATCTTTTTTTCCAAAAATAAACCTTTTAAACAAACATTTGTTTTTCAGTTTCGAAAATCGTTCAAATTCTCCTCAATATCCAAAATAAAACCTCACCAAGTATCAATCATCACTCTAATGTGCTATCCATCCAACAGTGCCTTCTCTATAATTATTTCACAGATTACGCCATGAATTATTATTAGCAATTGGATGCTCATTCCATTATCTCTAACCAGCATGGTCAGTACCAATATGCAGCAGCAGAAAATCAACGTTTACGAAGCTCTGCTAGGGCTAGATAATTTTGGCAACATGGACAAGAATAGCGAACCGCTGTTGGCATTATCGGTAGAATTAATAAATAATTGAAATGATTTTTTAATTGCTTTAAAAAAAAATATAAATACATCGTGAGCGCGATAACGATACAAATAATATTTTTCATCATCATCAGCTTTGTGTTCCTAATAGCCGAGAAAAATATTTGCTGCGAAAATGTCTCATCGATTGGAGGAAGAAGATTTTGAACTCCAGGAAACTGGTAATGATACAACAAGAGCATCAAGCCTTGAAAATTTGGAAGATCCAGTAAGAGCAACAAAAACTATTGGTGAAAAATTTCTCTCTAAATTCAAGTGTTTAAATCACATTGGTGCTATCATCATCTTGTTGATTATTTTGTTAATTTTGGGAGGTTTCTGTGCTTTTGCTGCTGTTTTGTTTATAACCGAACTGGGATGTGGAGAAGTGCAAGACCACTTGAATAAGTATAGTACTGTCGTATTGGAACAAACAACATCTTATACACAAATTTCCACAGAATACAGTGCTGTTATCACTCAATTAAAGAAAGCTGCTGATGTTATGGGAGAAATTTATAGAGATCAAATGTGGTCTGAAAATTCACACCTCAGAGCTGAAATTTTGCCAACTGCCTGTCATGGAAAGCCTTTGGCTTTGTTTGATTTGAATTTCGGACCTTGGGTTAGAGTCAGTAACGATGAATCCTTTGTCAAGGAACCTTTTGATTTCCTTGCCGAAAAGCCAAAGCACGAAGTTCCAGAAAAGAAGCTTGCTGGTGCTGCTTTCTATCCAGAAAACGTCACTGAAAGTGAAATCAAAGAATGGATCAATGAATTGGACTCTACTGCTCACGCTGAAGCAACCAGTTTTTACACTGTCATTAAGGAAAGCAGTGGTAAATTGACACCTGTTAAATACAGTACTCAATACGAAAAGAAGTTGGCCAAGGCTGTCAAGTACTTGCATGCTGCTGCCAATCTTTTGACTAATCCAAAGGATTCTTACTTGAAGAGCTTCCTTCAACTCAGAGCTGATGCTTTCACTTCAAACAATTATGAACTTTCCGATATTGCTTGGTTGAACATGACTGATAGCAATTCTGTTTTGGAAGTTACTATTGGCCCATATGAAACCTATGATGATGAATTGATGGGGTTGAAGGCTGCTTTTGAAGCTTACATTGGATATAAGGATTCTGATTCTACCAAATTCATCAATGTTGTTTTGGCTAACTTGCAAGCTATTGAAACTGGTTTGCCAATGGATACCACTAAATATCCAGTCAGAAGTGTTGGTGCTATCAATTCTATCAGAGTTATCAATCAAATTTATGCTGGTGGTCAAGCCAATGGTGCTATCAAGGCTGTTGCTTATACTTTGCCAAACACTGAAAGCATTATTGAACAATACGGATCTAAGAGAGTTTTATTGAAGAATGTTCAAAAGGCCAAGTTCAATAACATTCTCCTCCCAATTTCCAAGCTTGTCATCTCATCAGCTCAACAAAATTTTGTCATCTTTAATGCCTTCTTCACTCAAGTTCTTGCCCACGAAATGATGCACGGTTTGGGTCCACAAAAGGTCTTTGAAAATGGTGCTGAAACAAGCAAGACTTTGCGTGAAGCTTTGGGCAAGTACTACTCTCCAATTGAAGAACTCAAGGCAGATATTGGTGGATTGTGGATGTTGTCTTACATGATGGATAGCAATATCACTACTATTGATTTCGGATTAAGTAGTGTTGATGCTACTGCTCCAGCTAACGTTCTTGCTAAGAAGGCCCTCTACACAACATTCTTGGCTGGTATTTTCAGAAGTGTTAGATTTGGTGTCAGTGAATCTGCTCACGCTATGGCTAATGCTGTTGCATTCAACTATATGAGAGCTAAGGGTGCTATCACTGTTTCCCAAGAAAGCTCAAAGACTGTTTTTGCTGTTAATACTAACGAATTCGAAAGTGCCATGACCAAGTTGTTGGAAACTGTTTTGGAAATCCAAGCTGAAGGTGATTACGATGATGCCAAATCTTTGTTGGAAGAACACGGTATTGTTACTGATGAAATGAAGAAAATCTTTGAGGGAATGACTAGCGAAGAATCAACCATCCCAGTTGACATTATTATTGACCAAAAGTCACACACTGTCAGCGAAGATTCTGATGATTCTGGCGATTCTGAAGAAGAAGCAAGAAGCTTTAACTATAGAAGTTTCCTCTTCAATCGCTTCCAATTCTAAGTTCCTCTAAATTAATCAAACCAAATATAAATTAAAAAATTAAATTTCTAAAATCTCAAATATTCCAAATCCATTACAATTATCATTGAGTTGTGAAAAGTTTTGAAGTTAAAAAATGAAACAATTCAATTATCAATCATTGATGCATGGTTCTTCATTGAAACATAAAATTGTTGCCACATCAAAATTCAATAATATATTAATACAACAACAGCACAATATCGGAACAAGTTGCACAACTCTAAATAATTTTAAATCATTCACCATTTCAAAACAATTATCATCATCATCGGAAGTGAAGAGAATTTGTATTGTTGGAGGAGGTGCTGCTGGATTAAATTGCACTAAATTTGCTCAATCTAAAGCCCTTTCACTCCTCAAATCAAACAAGAATCAAAAGATTGAAATTCTACTATTGGAAAGAAAGCCTCAATGTGGAAGAAAAATCATCATGTCTGGAGGTTCTAGATGTAATTTAATACCACATGAAAGCAAATGGCTTTCTTTCAAAAAGGAAAATGATTTGGAATTGAAATACTTTTCAAGTAGACCAGATATCTTGTTTCAAATATTGAAAACTTGGCCAATTGAGCAACAAAAAGTATTCTTTGAAAAGGAATTGAAAATTCCACTAGAATTGGAAGTTGAATCTGGAAAATATTTCCCCCAATCAAACGATGCCAAGGATGTTTTGGATGCATTTCTCAAGAGCATTACTGATAAAAGTAATGAAAGAGTGAAAGTTTCAATTTTGAATAATTGTGATGTGAAAGGATTGGAAAAAACTGAAAGAGGATGGAATGTGAAATTTTCACATAATGATAGGGATAACCAATCGGTTTTATGTAAATCAGTGGTCATGTCAACTGGAGGATTGAGTGTGATTAATAGTGATGGAGTGGGTGTTCAGTTACTTTCTCAATTGGGTCATTCCATTGTGCCAATGTATCCTGCCTTGACACCATTGGTTTCAGATTCTAAAGTGAAATTAATTCATAAGGAATTGAGTGGATTGACCATTCCAAATGTAATTCTAACAGTTTGTTTGGAAAATGGATCTGAAAGGAAGGTAATCTATCAAATGGAAGAACCAAAAGGTTTCCTTTTCACTCATACAGGTTATTCCGGCCCAGCTTGTCTCAATCCTTCACATGCAACCATACCAGGTCTCTACAATTTTGAAACTCAACGTATGAAGGATATACTCGTTGAAAATCCACCCCAATCCTCTTCTCTCATTGAAAAATCACAAATTGAAAGGCTACTTTTCCACTCACCAGCAAAGCCACCATGTCAATTGAAACTCTATGTGAATTGGACTCCACTCATCTCAGCTCAGGAATGGGACAGAAAATTCCAACAAGCCAAACAAAAGAATTCCAAGCTCGTTCTCAAGAATTTCATTCACAAAAACTCGGAACCAAACTTTTTACCAATTCGTCTCGTCCAATTAATCACCGATTCTTTGGCAATGAGTGATTTGCTTGTTTCCAGACTAAGCAATGACCAAAGAAGGTCCATTATTTCACATTTAACTAGTTTCCCATTAGATATTGGTGGAAATAAGGGATTCAAGATGGCAGAAGTTACAGGAGGAGGTGTAGATCTTTCACAAATTAATATTCCATCTATGGAAAGTAAGATTCATCCAAATCTTTTCTTATGTGGTGAAGTTTTGGATGCTTTTGGTAGAATTGGAGGTTTTAACTTTGCACTTGCATGGATAACTAGTAGATTAGCAGGTACCTCATGTGTTGAGCAAGTATTGACACAATAACCATTTCGAGAATTCGCATCATTTGTCACATTACAAATTTCTTCAAGAAAAAAAAAATGTCACTCCCATTTAAAACACCTGACCTCATTGAACAGCTGTTTACTGCCATTGAAAATCATCAAGATGATGGCTATAAAACCATTCAAGAACTTTTAAAATCATCCAAAGATTTGATATTGAAAAATCCCGATGATGGCATGCCAGCAATCTTTGCAATTTGTAAAACAAGTAAATGTTCCAAGATATTGGAATTGATTATCGGACACGTTGATGTAAATGTAAAATATAATGCAATGACTGCATTGGAATTTGTGATTTTGAATAATTCCGAAGAGTATCTATCAATTTTATTGGAAAGTGACAAGGTTGATGTGAATTTGGGAGTAAGTTTCAATGTTTTATGATTAATTATATTTGGTAGAATCCTCTTCCCTTCACAAGATATTTAGAAAATGTAATGAGCAAGAAATTGCAAGTTTCGAAAAGAATAGTTTCAAAATTTATTGAAAGAAAGGCCAAAGTTGATTCAGAACTTTTTCAAAGAGCTCTCAATCAACTAAACAATCCCATCATTTCACCAATTCAACCATTAGAAAACGAATTCACAGAAGAAAATGACACCATGACAGATGATGGAAAATTTGACGATGAAAGAACTGTCTTTGATGATTCATTGCAAGAAGTGTCAAATTATGAAAGAATTATCTTGAAATCATTCTCTAATATTTTGGAAAGTGTAAAAGCTCCTCAATTTGTTAAAAAAATTGAAATTATTCAACATGTATTGAATAGAATAGCTGACTTGGAAACTATGGAAGAATATTCGAAACATAATTTATTACAATTTATGAGTAGAAAGCTCATTAATCAAACTCTGACTGAAAACCTCTCTGCTCGTTACTACTTTTCACATTCACTTGATTTTGATCACAAGATTAAAAATGGAAATTTATTTTACGATCCAGGAAGATCCAATAAGGAATTTAAAGATTTTTCAAAATATTCGAATGGCAATGATAGTAATAGAGAGGTAATTTATGTAGATCTTCAAATAGATGATTCATTGAATGATATTATTCGAAAGGCAAGGAAATTTCTTCAACAAGATCTTTCGAATTTCTATAGAGAACTTTCTCAATTTGTTAGTGATGAAATGGGAGGTGAACATATTTCTAGTGAGTGTAGGAAAGAGTTGGAGATTCTCACTCGAGCATCACCTTGTGTGCCTCTTGGTAAAATCAAGAAGGGCCTGTGTAGACATAGAGCTCTGTTATTTAAGGTAATATGTGATTGTCTTCATTCGGAGGATAATAGAATCAAATGTAGATTATTGAGAGGAGCCTATAATGGAGCACATGCTTGGAATGAGGTTGAGGATGAGAAACATGAGAAATATATCATTGATGCAATGCAAAGACCAGGAGAATTAATTAGAGATTCAGATAATTATTTTAAAGAACGATCAAAATTATTGAATGTTATTCGTGAGAGAGAGTTTGATCCGAAAACTGACTTTAATCTCTTTGAAATTGAAGGACCATTAGGAAAAGGCTCTCAAGGTCAAGTATTTTCCATCAGCTTTGAAGGAAAGAAATATGCTGTCAAGAATACTGACAAGTCGAATAATGAAGTTTTCATCATGTCTTATGTGAATCATCCAAATATCATTAAGCTGTTCAATTATACTTCTGAAAATAATCAAACCAGCATGTTTCTTGAAAAGATGGAAATTGATTTGGAGAATTATCTTGTCAATGACTTTAAACAACTTGGAGAAGAACAGAAAATTGCTGAAATGCTTGTCATTTTACTGAGTATTTCATATGCTATGGAATATTTACATAATAGAAATATTATTCATAAGGATTTAAAGGTAAGGACATATTTAATTGTTAAAACATTTATTGAGATTTGAACAAATCGATGAACATGAAAATAGCCAGCAAATATTCTTCTCAATTTTGGACAATGTGGAAATAGAAAGGTAATAACCGAGGTAAAATTGGCAGATTTTGGAGTTTCAGAAGTCGTTGCCAAAACTATTGGAATTCCTTCCAGAACTGGAACATTCAGATATATGCACAATTCTTTAAGATTTGGTACCATTTCACCAACAAATCAAAAAGCTTTAGATATTTACAGTTTTGCAGTTGTCTTTCATGATTTATTATTTGTAGAGCATAGAAGTCTTTGTTCTGAGCCTGATTTAAGCTTGAACATTGATGCAAAGAAGTATTCAAAAATTTATCAAAAAACGATGACAGCACTTGCAGATTTGTGTAAATTGTGTTTCAAGACACCAAACGGCAAGGTAGATTCCTTTGGTGTTATTTCACTGCGCTTAATCAAAATACTCAGAAGATTCCACGAAACACAAGAAATTAATCAATTTTTCCATTAACTTGTAAGCTTTCTTGTTAGCTTACCTTTCAATTGAATAATAAAAATAAACAATATCATCACATAAACAATAATTATTTTGTAATTTTTAAGAGAATTTAAATTTTTTTTTTAATAATTTACTTTTGAGCAGAAGTGATAGCTTCAATGATGTCACCACCGTGTTCCTTAATCTTCTTGATGGCAGCATTTCTGGACAAACCAGTTTGTTCAATGACCATTTGGACATCCTTTTCGGCAATATTTTCTGGGAGTTCTTCTGGGGTTTCATCGGATTCAGTGGCTTCAACTGGGACTTCATCCTTTGGCTTCAACAAGTCAGCAACAGCTTGTTGTCCTCTTTGTTGGGTGGCATCTTCCATGTTGAATTTACCGAAAACAACAAAGACAGCAGTACCGTTACCATTGTCAGAGATGAAAACTTCTGGATCATCAATAGTCAAGTTGAGTCTTTGAGCACTTCTGATGGAGACTTGCTTGACACCTGGATATTCCTTCAAACCAGCCTTGAGAATGGCCTTCTTGTTCTTCTTTTCAGCCTTTGATTGTCTGTGTCTGGCAGCAGCAGCGGCAGCAGATTCACCCTTGAGTTGTTCAACAGGGACATCTTCCAAGGTTGGGACTTCTTCTTCTTCGACGTTTTCAATCTTTGGTTCTTCGGCGGACATTGATGATATTTTTTTTCAAAAACTTTTTTCATCATTGCATGTATCAACCTGCGTTGGGTACTTTACAATGACAACAAAGCACAGCTGCCATGAATGGTCATCCACTTAAAATACAATGAAAAATTGAACAATCGACTAAAATACGAAAATTCTTGAAGAGGAATTTGTTAGTAGATGATTTTTATGCATAGATATTTTCAGCTTAACGGTATCAAACTTTCTTTCATCAACTTAATGTAAGCTAACGTGTATTAAAATAAGACCGTCGTATCATTAATGCTTAAGAAAAATACAAAATCATGATGTATTTGAATAAAGTCAATTTTAAATAACCAAATATTGTTTATTTACATTGTGTTGTTTGAAATGTCATTCAACGGAGTGCTAGAGTTAGGGGAAAATTGAGGAGGATTTAAATTAATGAGAGTAAATTGGAGAGAGGCAACCAATTGCTTCAATTCACGAAGCTCTTGTGATTGTCTCAAATATTCATAGAGTAACATTTTGACAATTTCATTATTGTTGCTCTGTGAAATTGCTTCAGTCAAGTCGAAAGGAAGAGTACCATTGTAGGATTGGAGAATGGAGATGAGTTGTTGGTTGTCTGGATTGTTTGGAACGAGAGCAAGTGCTGTAGAAGGTAAAACTTCTTCAATTTGGCTATTATTCGATTCTGGTGAAAGTACAACACCTGTATTGAATGCTTCTGAGAGATTATCACCTCCTCTCTTGTCCAATGAAATGTCCTCATCGTTGAAGAACATTTGGACATCTTGCTCAGTGGTTGGTGAACTTTCCATATCTAAGAAAGTGGAGTGTGCGGTGTCTGGAGCAAAGATGGCTGCCAATTCACTATTCAATGGTTTTTCTGGTTGAGAAATTTCCATAATGTCCATTCTTTCAACCTTCTGTTCAGTGCTTGAGGATTGGTTCTTACTCTTTCTCTTACTTTCCTTTTCCTTCTTAATTCTAGCGGTAGATTTTGGTGTAAATTCATCCTTAATCTTCTTTTCAGAGGTTTCTGAATTTGTTGACATGTTGGAGGTATCATCACTCTTTTGAACAGTTTCCAAAGGAGGAGCTGGTTGTAAGCCACTCAAAAGAGGAATAAACGAGTCAAGAGATGGGAAGAATACTGGAGCATTTTCGTATTCATTCAAGGTTCTCTTCTTGGTTCTCTTTCTTTCAGCATCCCGACAACTGTCAGCCTTTCCCAATTGAATGCATCTCTTACATGGTCTTCCTGAATCACAGGCAGCGTGAGCCGTCCTACAATTTATACAGGCTCTCTTTGTGTAGGATCCTCTCTTCTTATTCTTTCCAGATCTTTTTCCCTTACCACCACCTTCGGAATCGGAATCGTCTTCATCTGTCTCAGATTCGTCTGAGTATGCCTCTAAAGCATTAGAGTTAGAAGATGGAATTGTAGAGGATGAAGGACTCGTCGAATTCTCTGAAGGTGACGAATGTATACTATTCAAATCTGATGAAGCCAAAACTATCGTGTTGTTATCTTTTTCCATTGGCTCTTCTTTCACTTTAATTTCAGTTGTTGAGGAGGAGGATGTGGACTTTTTCGAGGACTTTTTTGTGGAAGCGTTGCTCTTGGATCTTGATTTACGAGTGGTGGCAGGTGTTGTTGTAGAATTGTTATTATTAGATGATGAGGACGTTGTAACAAGTTCGTTGGTAGAGGAAGTATTAATGATGGAAGCATCAATTGTTCCATCATCTGGCTTGGGTATTGTCAAGTCTGCAACAACAACAGCTGTTGTTGGTGTCAGCGATGTGCTACTATTGTCAGATGTTATTTGATTAGAAATTGCATCAGCACCATCTTCAGTCTTGATTGGAATTGTCTTTTTGGATCTACTTTTGCCTGACTTGGTGTTTACTCCAGCAACCAGACGTAATACTAAATGGAATGTGGAATCTTTATCAATGGTCGGGTAGTCACTCAATTTCTTATGATCTTCTAATTGTAGTTGTCTATGAATGAGTCTTTGCTTGAGAGCAGGAATGCATGTTTTCTGATAAATCTTTTCCTTGACTGAAAGGATGGTGTCCTTTTTCAAGTCAACCAGAAGTGTCATTGTTTTACCAGAGAGTGTCTTGATAAAAACTTGTGTGTTAGGTGAAGGATGAGTGTACTTTGGACAAGAGGATGGTGAGACTAGAGTAGAGGTAAGGTGTTGTAAGTGGTGGTGGTGATGATGGTGGTTGTTATAACAAGAATGGTTCATTCTCTCCACACATAATATCGAGTCTTCGGAAGGGGAACAATTATTCATCATTTTGTTTTTGAATGTGTGATTGATCAATTAAAAGTATATTTCTATTCTCTGGTATTGTTCAAATTGGAAAAATAACAAAACTTTAAGCTTGCCAGTTTAAAAGGATTTCTCAACTTGAAGGAATAAATACTAAAAGGTAAGAGTGGATGATGAAGGAAAAGAATCCGATAACGCAGTCACTATGATTTGATGATTAAAATGAATCAAGTATGATAAATCTTGTTGATGATGTAAATGTTGTTGATAAATTATTGTTGTATTATATTGTTGTTGTCAAGCTAGCCTTTTAAGCTGTCCTTGTTATTGTTGATGCAGATTCTTGTTTTCTTGCTTGACAGGGAAAAAGATTCGTTCTTGTTGCGCACTTTTTTTATTATCGTCTTCAACACAAGCAGGTTCAAGCTGAAAGAAGTTTGTGCTGTGTGTGGTGGTAGCAATTCTTACATCAACTGAACCTTGCTGTTAAAATAATGTCAATCAGGAGTGGTTCTTGTTTGATGTATGGAGATAGTGCTCTAATGATTTCGGTTATTGTAAGCCTGTGAATTTGTTTCATGGTTGTATGGGAGGCTTGATTTGTGAAAACAGTTGATGGTTGTATCATTTTTGAGGTTTGGACCGATATTCGTTGAATTTCACTGGATATGGTGTATCTAATTCCATAATTTGTTATTAAAATGGTGAGTATGAAGAGAATAATATTTAGATTTAAGCTTTAGTAATTTTCTTTATCTGTTCTAGTGAATTAGAATTGAGAAGAGTATTGATTCAATAATTTCATTCTTCAAATGAACCAATTGAGTTTTGATTTTATCATTTCAATTATTAGATAGCACCTTCTCTGCTAACATGCATTATTTTGATTCCCCATATAATAGCCCAAATCCAACCAATAATAATGAATGAAAGAAGAAACTGTAAAATTCCAACTATGAGAGTTGGTTGCATCTTTTCTTTTTCTTCAGTGATTAGAGAAGCTAACATGGTACCAAATCCTGGGAAGAAGATGTTGATAATGAGGACAATAATTGAGTTGGTAGATCCAACACGTGGAGTTGAGTTTGCAATCAGACCAGTCATTTTGTTTTGAATGGATTTTTCTTTTAGATTACTTCCAAAATGAATAAATTCCAAAATTGAGGATTGGATTTTTTGAGATTATCATCAATTTTGAATCATATCTTAATGTTAATCCATTACTTATTTTCCATATTCATGATCGAAAATTAAATGTTGATATTTGTTCGGAAGTAATAGTAATTCCTCCATCATCTTGTCCAATAAAAATTCCGAAATTCTACTATCTAAAAGTCTTAATATCTTCCAACATCATCAAATGAACAACAATATGATCTTCAATAAGGTGAGCTAAGTGTGCTCTCAATTTTTTCCTCTTTTGCTTCCAATTGGTTGCTTTTACTCCAATTTTTCAAAAAATATTAAAAAATTTAATTTTGTAAACGCCATAAAAAAATTCCAAAAAATGAACACCAAACCAGTCTACAAAGTCCTTCCTTCAGACGACGAAGAAGAAGAAGTCGTTGATCCTAGAATCGAACTCAGTGCTACTTGTAAGACCATGAGATGTCAACAAGAAGTTACTGATTATGAAAACTGTTGTAAGAGAATTGAAGGTGATGAAACCGGTGAAAAGAACTGCTCATCTTGGTCTTTTGATATGAGAACTTGTATTGATTCATGTGTATGTAATCTTTGTAGTTTTTGTTCAGGATTTCTAATTATTATATAATAATAACAATAACAAAATATACGATGATGAAATATATATTTTTATTATTATTATTCATTGGAACATTAATCGGATGATGACTTGAACATTTTTGCGGATACATTATATAACTATAGGTTGCTGAAACCTTGTTCTCCAAGCTCAAGTAAACTTAGTATTATATTCTATTTTATACCGAATGATATTTCCTGTGGAACAATCATAATTTTCGACTCTTTTCTCTTATTCAGCACTTTTTGGTTAAACCTGTGTGATATAAACACCAAATGAATGGCAAATACACCTAGTGGGCTAGCTGTTCATTTCTTTTGGGAATCTCTTATAAAAACAATGGGTTTTATTTCACACTACTTTTTGTACATCGTTCTCTTTGATAATAACATTACATTTTGACAATAATCTTTCCAATGAATGATGAAGATGAATTAGCAGCCAATGAGGCATCTAACTTTTTGTGGGCATCCCTTATTGAAGAGAGAGGTAAACAGTGAGCGATAGGAATTTCAATCTTCTCTTCAAAAACATCCTTGACAATTCCACTCATAATATCTTCGTTGATGTGAGAAAAGAAAGCATTAACAGGTTAACTTACGTAAATATCGTCCAATAAGGTTGGAGCTCAAAACATAATTCTGCTCAAAACAATTACTCATGGTAATTGATTTCTCAAACATGAATTTCAAGTGGGAAGATGTCAATTGATCTGAATAATCACACAGAATCAATGAGCCATGAGCTGATAAAATATTCAAGCTCATGTCAATGTATTGAGTTGTGGCACTTCTCTCGTTTGGAATTAGTGAATCTGAAGAATTTGTGTGAAGTACTGATTCACCTAAAACAACAACCTGAACTCCTTGACCTTCTGTTTCTTTCATGATGGCTTGTTGTAATTTATCTGTAGTATCGTACAACCTTCTATCAAGAATGGTAATTGGATTGGCAGATGAACCATTCTTCATGAGGGACATGATTGAGGAAACAAATTGTGAATCCATCACTATTCGATCATTGTTTTCAAAAATAATAATTTGTAAACAATTAAAATATGAAAACTAAATACTAATTCAAAAACATACTATTATCATAGGGTGGAGAAGTTCCTAATTGGTGTTGTTGTGTTTGTTGACTTGTTTCATATCTATCATTATCCTCAATAGAATCCTCCTCACTATTTAACATATTTGATGAGAGAGATGAGGCGATTCTTGACGAAATCATTCTCAAAAAGTTAATCTCCTCATCGGTGTGAACTGTTGTAATTACTCGACATTTTGTTAACAAGACTGCCAATTGCAACAAATAGGTCTGTTCCCATCTTGCTCCTGCACTAATAAATATGATATCACCTTGTCTAATGGATGGTGTTTTGAAAAAGAGAGTATCATATGCTCTAATTCCACTCATTATTGAACTGGATGCCTTAATATAGGACATTCCATTTGGAATTTTTACAAATAAATGAGCATCAGCAATACATTCGGTTGAGCACCCACCATTCAATGATTCTACATTAATATTATTCATTACATTAGTTTCATCCTCTTCTATCTCATTGGAAATATTAAAATTAGCAATTTTTGACAATTGTTGGATTGGAATGAAACCAATAACCGAATCTCCAATAGATAATGCTCTAGAATTTACACCCTTTCCAATTTCAACTACAACTCCACTCACTTCATATCCAGGAATTAAATTAATTTCGAGAGATTTTTCAATTTTCCACTGTGGAATATTTCCCTTCTTTACTTGATAATCTAATTTTGATAATCCACAACATTTGACTTGAATTTTAATTTGTAAAGGAGAGAGTGATTGATTAATACACGAATCTCCTGTTCTTGTTAAAAATTGTATGTAATTATAATCGTTTTGACTTGTGATTGATCGGATGGAATCCCGAGCATCGTGATGATTTGATGATGTTGTTGGAACATCATTTAATGATGGATTTAATTTTGTGTGAATGACAGCAAAACTCTGTTGATTCATTTTTTTAAAGATTTTATTGTAATGAATCTTACTCTATGGATTGGAATAGTGAATGGGCTGAATTCAAAAACTTGTTCTGATTAACGTCAATCTTCTTTTTGAGAACTTCTCTCTTGACTTGTGGTAAAAGGAAGGATTTGACAAGATCCTTGATTGCTCCTTCTTCAGGTGTTATTACTGTACGTTCTTTGAGTATTTCATCTGACAATCTTTCCTGCAGTATTTCTTCTCTGGCCTGTCTTTCAGCTAAACTTTCAGAACAAGCATTGAAAATATCGAGAAGGTAAGTGGAAACTGTATCGGTGTGAATTTGAATTGTTTCTGATTGAATCTTTTCCTTTCTTTTTCTGGCCTCCTCTTCATGCTTTCTTCTAATGATTTCTTCTTGTTCTCTTTGGTGTCTTTCCTTTTCTGCAAATTCAACCAATTGTTTGACTCTTTTGAGTTCATCTTGTCTGATGAGCTCTTTAGATAAAAAGTCAAGTGCATTACTGATGAGTTTACCTTGGATATTGTCCATGACAATTTCTCTTGCTTGGTCGAGATTTTGTCTTCTTTGTTGTTCTTTAAAGTGGTGAGATTTCTCTTGTTCTCTTTCCTTTCGTTTAATTTCTTCAACAGCTTGTAATTCCTTAATAAGCTCGATACTTCTTTCTTTACCCTCGTAAAATTCTTCTTGAGCTGCTCTTCCTCTCAATAATTTTTGAATGAATGAAGCAGCATTCTCCAAATCATCAAAAACGACATCAGTTTCAGAGCCTTCATCTTCCAAAGTCGGTGTTGGAGGTCTTGTAATTCTAGGAGTAGATTTGTACATTTCTTTCACTTCCTTGACACGATCATGGATGTCGTTTACATTCTTTAACTTTTCAAGCTCCTTGATGGCTAATTGTAAATGTTCCTTTACAACCTTTTGCTTTCTATTTTCTGGATTGATTGTTGTCTTGAGAGGATCAACGACAACAGCACCTGATTTATCACGAATGGGGAGAGCCTTATCGAGGTTTCTATTCTCTGAGGTCAGGTATTTGTTAACTTGATTCATTTGAACTTCTTCCACTCCCAATGGATCTGTCAAAAGAGCAGGTCTAATTTCATATGCAATGGTTGTGAGAGCCGAGACTTGACCATCTCTCAACATTGGAGCATAGGTCCTAGAGGCAGGGAAGGAATATTCGAATAGAATATCTCTTCTTTCAAGTGTGTTTTCAGGATTATCAAACTTCTTGATCGTTCTTCTGATGTTTTTAAGCTTTTTCTTTTCAATCTTGGCAAGTTTTTCTTTTGTTTCTTCTTGTATCTTTTTCAATCTTGATTCCAACCTAGAACTACTCTTCATTTCTCTGACTTGTTCTCGAACCTCAAATTTTGCTCTGACATGCTCAATTTGCCTTTCCTGCATTTTGGCAACTTCCTCCTCTCTTTCCTTCCATTCTATCATTTCAAGGTCTTTTAACATATTGACTCGATTCTTAAATTCTTGTTCATCAATATTTGGTCCAACTCTTTTCAGTTGTTCTTCTACTTCTCTTCTTCTCCTCGTTCTATCTACAATTTTAATGTGATCCTCAGTAATAAATCCTCCATTCCTACCATCCTCAAAAACTAAATCATGCATTTTCATATAGTCGGGGTAATCTTCAGGGTCCATTTCTACTTGTTCTCCTGGTCTCATAACAGCTCGTTCCTTTTGATTACTGTATGGATTGTTCAAATCCACTTCATTAGTTTTTGCTGATTTTTGTCTGACTGGTGGGAAGTATGGCATGGTTTGAGTGTCATTTTCTCTATACATTGACTGTGTTCCAGCTTCTCTAGTTCTTGGTTGAGATATTATTTCCTCCTCTTGGAATTCAATCTCTTCTTGAGATTCATCTCTTTCCGTTTTTAATGGTTTATCAGTCACATAGACTGTATGTTTTTCATTCATTGGCATGCTTAAAAATTCATTCTCACTCACAGGTCCAACAACTGGTCTATGGAAAAATTTATATCGGTCAGGTCCAGATAGAGTTGTTTCAATGTGAGGCTCATTCCTACCACTTTTTACAAATGTTTTAGGAGGAAAATAATTTGGATTATAATTATGAGATGTACCAAATCTAAAGCTTGAACCATGCTCCGTGAACATTCCATCATAATTTACTACTCTCTCCAATTTGAATGGATTTGATGATTGTTGTTTTACTGCATCTCGGTATAATTCTCTTTGATCGGTTGGGGTAAAGTGAGACATCTTTTTTGTCTGGGTAACTGTAGCCCCTCCAAAATCGTTATTTCTTAGCATTATGCTTCCAATATATTGTTAGTGTTGATGATGTTTTAAAATTGGTTGATGTTTTTCTAGTACAATAAGAGCATTAATTTTTTTTGAAAATCTGTAAACGTTTCTAGCGCCAAAAATAATGCGTTAAAATTTACTGGTCTTTATAAATCGAGAAACAAAAAATAAGTTACAGCGAGCGGGGCTTGAACCCGCGACCTTAAGCGTGTTAGGCTTACGATCTAACCAACTGATCTATCGCTGCTTACATTTCCATCTTTTTCTTTATCATATAAGTAGAGAATTTAAAAACACTAGGACTACATCCATTCCTTATTGAAGAAATAAGGAATTGGAATCTGTCCAAGGCCATTCCAAAAGAATTCCATCAAGTGGATCTGATACCACCACTCGGTTTGAAATTGGAACGTTTAGAATTACGAAAATTTTTGATTAAAGTTTTATTTACACTCGACTATGGTTTTTAAGGATTGGTTTCCTATCTCTTTTCAATTTTATCATCAATGATAAGACCCCAATTACCAGCATGACAAATCCAAGTTAATTTCTTTCCTTCTAAAGCCATCTTGGCATACTTAGTCTTCTTTTCCTTATTTTGTTCAATATAGACAACTCCATCAACTCTTACAAATCTACATGAACTTTCATTCATTTGAATTGCAAATTCAATACCATTAATTTTAACTTCTGTACAAGTACTATGAATTGCAGTGTGAATCTTTAAAATATCATCATCTGTAACAATATATGAACCTAATGATGTAACATCATCACTCTTTTCACCATCATCAATCATCTTATCACTTGAAGACATTGTTGGTTTAACAATTGTAACTTCACCTGAAACTGCTCCATCAATATGTGCTTGCATTGTTGTATCATTCATCATAATATTATCAGCAGCTTCTCTATAAATTAAACCACAAAACATTTCAATTGTTTTTTCAAATGTATCTAATAAATATTCAGATCCACCTGTTTCTTCCGAAATTGTTTTGTAAAAATCTTTTGTTGACCATGAAGATGAACCACATCTAACACTATGAATTTTAACATGATGATTATCAAATAAATTACTTGTTTCTTGTTTCCAATCAATATTAAACCATTCATTTGATTTGTGAGGATCAGCATCACCAATTACAACAAGTGATCTATTTGTAAATGTATTTTCAACATTAACCCAAGATAAAGATTGAGCTTCTAATAAAACAGCTTCATAACATTCATCTCCATCATAACCACTTGTTGAATTAATTGATTGAACAAATGAAATAATTTGTTCAATATCTGTTGTAAAATCTAATTTGTATAAACAATATGAACCGTTATCTTTAGAATCTTCATAATCACCATGTGCAATAATTGCAATTTCTAAACCTCTAACATCATTCATTAATTGTTGACAAATAGTTTGTAATTTAAATTTCAAATTATTTAAATATGAAGACATTGAACCAGTTGTATCAAATGAAAAACAAATTTGAACTGTGGGTACTCTATCACTACCAGTTGTATCTAATTTGTGATTATTACCTGGTACATAATAACATCCACTTAAAATATCTGAAATATTAAGTGATTTGTATCTAATTGATGAATCTAATTTTGACATTGACCATTTAGAAGCATCATCTGATCCTTTTAAAATCTTATTACCAGGTGTTTTTTCAATTAATTTGTTTCTTGCTTCAGATGTTGATGTAAAAACTTTAAATTTTGGATTATTATAATCTGTATATGGTGTAATTGCGGATGAAGATCTTTTAGAAATTGTTGTTGAAGATGAAGTATAATATGATGAAGATGGCTTTTTTCTAATAGATTTTTTAACAGCTTCCTTCTTTTTCTTTGTTGCTTCCATGGCTTCTTTCTTTCTCTTTTCAGCTTGTTCCTTCTTTGAAATTTCAGCCTTCTTCTTTAATAATAATTTTTGTTTCTTCTTTTCTTCCTTTTCATAATTCTTTCGTAAATCTAATTCACCAACAATATAATCTTCCAAGTGAATTGGTAATCTTCTTTCTCTTGTTGGTCTGCTGCTTGACATTTCTGTTAATAATAATTATTATTGTTGTTTTTTGTTGTTGGAAAATTGGACCAAGAACGCAGAGAGTTATTTAAAGCAGAATACGCTTTTCCACCAGCAGGTGGATTATCAGTGAATTTCTGGCATTTTATTTGCTAGTGAAAAGTGGATTAAACTTGGCGGGAGAGGACTACAAACCCCTTACCAAAATTCAGGGGGGCGGAAAGTTGGTATCAGCCGAGCGAAAATGTTGAGAATTGTCAAAGTGGTTCCAAGTCGATATATGTTTTTTCAATAAATATACAACTCTATACATCCAATAATCTGTTACAGTTCTATAAACAGGTGAAGTTTCACAATATCGATTTTAATTCACATATTCACGTCTTGTTGTCTAGAATTTATTCACATAGATACTCTCAGGGTCGAGGATGATGTTTCCCAAAACTTTAGCAATTTGAAGACATTTCAGTACCAATATATATATTTCTCATCTTGGAATTTTTCATTTCTGTGAAGTATTTATCGTAAACAGCATATTTTCAGAATTAAATTTTAAGCTAAAAACACATGCACTATTTAGGAAGTATTAAAAAAAATAAATACGATGAAATAAAAAAATAGCTTCTCTCAGTTACTTTTAAATTTCATAAAGTTCAATAATTGAACACATGACACCTTTAAAAGATTCCTTCGTTGTGGCTGGAGGATTTTTTGAACTCTCTGTGTACGCTTGGTTTTGGTATGAAATTGAATGAGTGTGATGGCTAACTTTCGTTCTTAAGATAGAAGCAAAAAATAAAAAATAGCTTCTGTCAAATCGCGATAATTCATGTAGTAATGATATATTCCAAATATCAAAGGTTGGAATTGTTTCTTCGATGTGGCAGATAATAATGTTTAATCTCAATCACAATTATTATGCATTTTTATTTACAAAAAACTTCCAAAAAATGGCAAAACCCTTTTGCTGTACTGTTTGTGGAGTTACGAAAAAGTTGATTCTTAAGCATTTCTGGCTAATAATCAGAAAGTTACTTTACAAGGTCTGAAACATGGCTTTGGTTTTGGTTGTTCAGAAAATTAAACTGGTTGTTTTTTTGTTTATTTTTTCCTTTCTCATCATTTTTCTTCACTTTCCGCCCCCCTGCCAAAATTCAATTTCATTGTAAGAAATATTAAGTGATGATAATTGTTTCATTTCACTGATATATTTGACTCCTTCATCACCAATTTCATTATAAGAAATATCAAGTGATGTTAATTGTTTCATTTCACTGATATATTTGACTCCTTCAACACTAATTCGATTGTCAGGAATATTAAGTGATGTTAATTGTTTCATTTCACTGATGTATTTGACTCCTTCATCACCAATTTCATTGTTATAAACATTAAGTGATGATAATTGTTTCATTTCACTGATATATTTGACTCCTTCATCACCAATTTCATTGTAATAAATATCAACTGATGTTAATTGTTGCATTTCACTTATATATTTGGCTCCTTCGCAACCAATTTCATTGTTATAAACATTCAGTGATGATAATTGTTTCATTTCACTGATGAATTTGGCTTTTTCTCTCGAGTCAAGCAAATTTAACATTAACCATACTATTCATAAATTGACTTTTCATGAATAATTTAATTCTTTTCTTTGTAAATTTTGTTTTAAATTGAATAACAAGTTTTGAACGTTCCTTGATCACATTAAAGAATTGTTTTGAAATTAAAGAACAATTATTTAAAATAAACCACGAATCATCAAGCATGGAAATTATTTCAAAACAAATATCATCTGAAAATATCTGTTTCGCAACTTTTGATTTCTCTTCCACAATAGTATTGTTAGTGAATTTCCTCCGAATAATTAATTAATTGATGATTTTCCAAATCTTGTCTTTTTCGTTTGCTCATTTTTTTCGAATGATCTTTCAGCGTCTTTACACAGATTGTCGACATGAACTAATTGTAAATTTCTTAAACTTGATCATAAATGAAATTGGCATAGACTGAAAGATAAAAAGACTACAGCACCACAGGTTCCCAAGTTGTCTCCAACCTCAGTACTGATGTGGCTCGACGATGCTTAACTTCTCAAATCGGACGGGATGAGGTGCATTCATCGTGATATGGCCGTAGCCATTCATTGAGGTAAAATCTTAATCATAACTAATATACCTATTAGTGGAAAATAGATAAACGTGTTGGGTTTATTTTCATTGTAGATGCTTATAAGCAGCTCTCCACTGAAGCATAGTTTCTAGAAAATACAATGGTTCGAGTGACGGCTAGAACTATTCAAAAAAAAATGAAAAGAAAGTCAATCACCGATTTCTTCAATGCCTCACCCAAGAAAATCAAGCAAGAATCAAGAGAACTGTTAACATCGAGTGCGGAAAATCCAATTCTCATCAATGATGAGGAAGAAATAATTTTGAATGAAAATAATGAACAGAAATTTGAATTGAAGAAGAAGAATCTTCATCATCATCGGAATCAGGAGTTTACCTTTATTCTGAATGAGAAGGATACTGGAGTACAGGTCAGATATATGGAAAGATTTCTCTCCCAACGGGAATCGAAGGAATTATTTGATTGTCTGATGGAGAAGTGTGAGTGGACTAGTCCCAAATATAACATGTATGGAAAGGATGTTGTTTCAAAGAGAAAGGTTGCATTCTTTGGTAAACCCATTACTAGGAATGAGACTGATTCTGTTGTTGATACAAATGATGGAAGTGTTTCTCGAGTTTATAATGATATGGTAAAACTCCAAAGAGATTGGCCAGAGCCATTACTCAACTTGAAAAAGAGATTGGAAGAATTGATTGGAGAAAAATATGAAGCTGCATTGATTAATCGTTATGATGATGGGGATGATCTGATTGGATGGCATGCTGATAGAGAAGCAAGTGGCTTTTCAATTGCTTCTGTTTCATTGGGAGCGAGTAGAGATTTTCAATTAAGACCCATGCCAAAACAAAACACCAACTCATCGAATACAACTCAATCACCAATTCAAAAGAAGGGTGAAATTATTACAAAATCATTGGAGAATGGATGTTTATTGATTATGAATGGAGCCACTCAGAAACACTATCAACATTGTGTACCAAAGAGAAAGGGAGTGTTATCGGCCAGACTTAATATTACCTTTAGAGATATTAATGTTTATGGACAGAATTAATTTTTCTATAAAATAGAACACGGTGTTCAAAATGTTTGTGTTGATTGAAGTTGGTGAATTTGCACTTCCAGTAATAAATGGAAATCAAAGTTTTTCATTTAGTTAATAATTAATATTCAAAAAAAAATGGGCAAACAATCAACCAGTAACAACACAACAAAGAAAAAGCAAACCATCAAACAGAAGAAAAAGAATGAAGTCATTGAAATCACCGAACAAGATCTAGAAAAACAAGCAAAGAAACAACACGATCAATCCGTCAAGAAACAACAAGAATTGAATAAGAAGAGAAATTCCAAAGGAGATGTTCGTTGCGATAAATTACCAGGTCGTTTCTCAAAGGGAAATAAAAAGTGGCCAATCGTGACAGGTTACAAGAATGTAAATTGTTGTTCTGGAGCTAGTGGAATATTCAAGGAATTGTCACCAATGAAATTAGGCCCATATGAATATGAACATGGAAGTGAGAAGTGTACAATTACAAATTTGGAGAATTTATGGCAATTTTCAAAGGTATTTCCAGGAGAAGAGGAACAAGTTAGAAATGATAATGGTCAATTGACCAAAGTTCCAAATTCTGAGTTTTTTGAAAGAAGAACAAAAGGATGGAAGGATGAGAAAGCTCATAGACATGTAAAGAGGGAGAAACCATTGTATTCATGGTGGAAGGGAGAGAAATTTAATTATATGCAAGCTAGAAGGAAAATTTATTGTCCACTTTATGCTGAGAAAGTTGTCGAAACTGAAGCTTATAAGAAACTGGAAGAAATGGTCAATAGTGGAATGAATATTCAAATTCTTGGATTTGATGGATACAATTATGATGGTAAAACATTGAAAGAATGTTTTGAAGATACATCCAAACCATTTGGACATGAATTGGTTCTGTGTTGTCTATTGAAAAATCAAAGAGTTTGGGAATAATCATAAATGATTTGTTTTTTTATTCTAATGTTTAGAATTATCTAAATGATTTGTTTTTAAAAGAGTAATACAAGCATAAAACTGAGTACAATTACAATCAATTGGTGAGCAAAACAAATAGTACTTCCATCAGAGACTGCCTTATTAATGTAACTTGAAGAAGGTTTTGGTTTTGGCTTTGACGATTCTGCAACTATTGGAATTGCAATTCTATTCACTCTAATATTAGCTGTTTGAGCAGAAGATTCCAATACAGATTGAACTGAATATTTGAAAGTGCCACTTTTCAAATCATTTGAAAAACTAAATGTCATGGTTTTTCTATCGAAACTGGTATCAACCTTTCCACCAACACCAGAAAATCCAACTAATAGAGAAAACAATGAAGAATCCAATGAAAGTTTGGAGAGAATTTGAGATTCTGTCACTGTTACAACATTTCCATTAGTTGTAAAATTAAATTCCAAATCCTGAATTGTTGGAATGGCAAAGGAAGCAACATTACTTGGTACCTTAGTTGAAAGCTTCGAGTCGCTATCATCATTAACAACTGAATCAGCAGATCCTAATTGAATTATTGTATTGGATCCAGTTGGAACATATTGTGAATATCTATTATTTGTAAATTGAACTCGACCTGCCTTAATGATATAGACAACTTGTGTTCTGCCTTGCATATTTGTAATGGCATTGACGAGAGTATTTCCATCAATGATTAAGGTATCTTGATAATTGATGGTAACAATAGAGTTGATACTCGAATTTTCTACACGATTGTTGAGGAAGAAAATTTGAGAGGAATTACTTGTTGTGAAGAATGCACCAGCTCTTTGGTTAATGAATGTGTTTCCAGCAATGGCAACGTTCTTGACATCAGTTCCACCAATTACAATTCCATCCAAACATGAGTCCATAACTACATTGTCCACAAATTGAATATTATTTGCCTTAAATGGAAAATTAGAATTATTAATACCCATAGATGGAATCGTATTAGGCCCATAACATTTCCCATCAGCTGATCCTGCTCTTATTACTTTGTTTCTTCTAACAATCGTATTGGAAGGAGATAGAGTATTGTAATAATATTCAGCTGCCAACCAAATTGCTGCAGCAGTTCCAGCTTCAACTGTATTATCCTCAATAATGATTTGATCACCTCCAATGTTTGTAATACCTCTTCCCCATCTATTGCCCTTGACATAGTTTTTGAAAATAACCAAGTTTCGGTTAATTTCATTTCCATTATAAGAAACAGAAGCAATACCGTCATCTCCACTATTCTCAATCATATTATTGAAAATTTGGACTGATTTGGTAGTGTGAGTATTGTGAATACTGTCAGCATATGTATAATTCAAATTGTTATTCGAAACGGTTCCATTTTCACAACCATAAATGAAAATTCCACCAACTCCATGAACAAGTGTTGTATTGTAAGTGTAACCTTTTCCATCCATTGGTTCAGCCCAAATGTTATCTACAAGAAAATTAGTTGCAAAATAGCACCAAACAGTTGTGGCCCATGGAACACTTCTTCTGTTCTGATCTATACTGGTCAACCGAAGATTTTTAACACCTGAATTGTTTCCAATCAATTTGATTGGTGATGCTTCAGTGTTAGATCCATGCAACCATGACAAGTATCCATCACCATATAACAAAATACCATCAAGAATAATTAAATTATTGTGAAGATATGGTTTGGAAGATGGAGGCACATAAACTCGTGTTAAATTCTTGGCCTTTGCATCAGAAATTGCCTTGCTAATGAATGCAGTGTTATCTGTGATACCATCCGCGATGGCGCCATAGTCAGAAATTGATACATAATCTAAACCATTGGTCAGTTGACTGAACACAATTAGTAAAATAACAACAAGACCGAACAGTTTCATTTTTTTTGTTATTTAGCACAACAAATTAGTGTCCAGTTCACCCATTTTGTGTTGGTCAACTAATGACAAGCCAATCAATGTGTACCACATGCTGTGTCAAGTTGTGTGTAGTTCTTGTTGACAAGTTATGTCAATGTGTGTTAGCGATAGAAACGAATCGTTTGTAATCATTCCAGTATAAACATTGAAAAAATGTAATAAAATCTTGAACCTTGTTATTTATGGCATCTCTCCATAACATTTCACTTCCTTTAATACACACTGCTTTGTACATTACCATATTTCAATGTATTAAGGATTTTCACTTTTTCTTGAAGAAATCAAGAATAACCTTTTGTTTCTTTTCAGATATTGGGATTGGAACCACAATCTTGTTGCTATATGACCAGATTGGTAATAAAGAGCGAAGTGTTAACTTGATTTCGTCTTCCTCTTGGCTGCTTATTACAAGCTCTTTAAATTTCAAAATTTTCAAAGTATATTCCAAATCAGGTAGTGAAAAGGTTTTTGATAAAAGATGAAGTATTCTATCCTGTGATACTCCTTTAAGGTTTTCAATCTTTTCAATTTTGTAAATAGTTTGAATTATTTTAGTCTCTATTTGATTTTCCACAAATCTTGTATTTCTATATTCCTTATATAAAATGAAATCATCATATTTCTCCAAACAATTCAATTGATTCAAGCAAGATTGACAAAGTGTGTTAATTTTCGGATCGTAATTTTCTTTTGTAACTTGATTTTCCAAAAATGGTATCAAATGTCCATTACAACTATCCTTTTTTCGTTGTTCCCTTAACACAGATGAAGCAAATGGGCAATAAAAGTAAATAGAACAGTTTTGACAATGAACAATGGAAAACTTGCAAACTAAATGACTATAGGAATATTTGGCTTTCACAAGATTTTGATTTTCTGGAAGAATTTGAAATAGATCTGATGGATTTTTCGCAAATTCATATTCGTCCAGTTTCAAACGTTTCAGCATTTCTTTCTCAGCCTCAACTTCGCTTTCCATTTCTCTGACGGCAAAGAGAAGTCCATTTGTCAAGCATTGTTCCACGAATTTAAATGAAATATTCTTCAAAACGACAGGATAGAGCAAATTAGATTCGTCCAAGTCTACTGTAGCAATTTCTGAAGTTGTTTTGTTTCTACCAATAAACAAATCAACCATTGGATTATTGTATCGAGTGTTAATTCCCTCACTTTGCATTTGTTTGGCATACTTTTCAATGAGTATCTTTCGAATTCTTTCTACAATAAAATCACAATGCATTACATGAGAAAGAGGATGAAAGGAATCAGCAACAATTGTTAAGAAACCTCTATTTCCATATTTTAAAGCTCTTTCATGGTGGACTTCACTTTTTCCTCCTGATTCTCTGTGGATAAAATTAATCTTGTACTTGAGGGATCGTAAACATTCTAAAACTGTTAATACTCTCTCTCCATCATAGACCAGTTTACAACAATCCAAATCAAAAAATAAGAGCAATTCCTCAATGGTATCATATTTCAATAATACTATCTGAATGTTTTCATTCCCTTCTTGACAAATATTAATTGTAGCTTTGGAACTCATAATATTGTAATTCAAATGTTTAGTTTTTCCTTCCAATTTCAATAAAACTTGTTTGATTGCTTGAGTGATAATTTCGTCTGATTCTCCATTATTAATGATGAATAAATCAAAATCACTGAAACCACAACCAGTCAAGGTGTGAAGAAGGGATCCTCCTGATATAACAAAACGTTCCTTTGTCTTGGTTGTTTTGTTATGTTCAAATGCACAATCATAAAATAAGATTCTTGCTAATTCATAATCTCTCAAAATTTCATTCTTGAATCTGTCTTGAAAATCTGAAAATGTCATTTCATAAGGATTCTTAAAGAATCTGACAATTTTTTCATAACGTTTTGGAAGATCTTTTTTTTCTGAAATACTGTCCATATAAAAATGATAATCTTGATACTTTGTGAAGTATGGATACCAGGAGTAACCTGACAAGGAACCATTCACTTCCTCAAGATCTGAATACGTATGAGGAAGGATGACAGTTTCCACCTTCAATAAACCATCAATGTATGATTTATACCTATCATCACCTTCCAATGCAAATTGCTCAAAATTTAGTAATGAACATCTTCTCTTTACAAAATTGTCAAAAGTTAGATAGTATGTGTCTGGTTGAGTGAGTAATCCATACGGTAATATTGGTGTGCTATCTTTTTGTAAATCGATATACTCTTCAAAGCTCATTTCCTGAAATTTGAGAGAATCTGTAAGTGCCTGATTGTTGATTAGGTCAATCATTGGATCATCCTTCTTAAATGTTCTAAACTTCAAATGATCGTGAAAATAACTAGTTGGCCACTTGCTTGAACTCTTCATTCTAAAATATTGATCATAGGTCATCATTACTTTCTTATTCGAATCTTGAACTAAACTCTCATTCCAACTTGATGAATTGGAGAATAAATCCACCAACCTATTCAAATTCCCAGCACTCCTCTTCTTATTGAGAATATCAAGACGTAGCCGTTCAATACTTTCTCCATAAACCTCATCAAACAATTCATAAACTAAACTGCATGTTTGAATAAAATTAAACAATGCATACTTGTCCATATAAAACATGCAATCGAGTAGAATTTCACACGGAATTTGCTTGATAAGATTTTGACTAGGAATTTGTAAATAGGACAATTCATCACGATCACGATCGTCATCATTCTTCACATAATTATCGGTCCATGACCGAATGTTTCTCTCCTTCTTTCTTTCATAAGCATCTCTATAATCTCTATATGGGAATCTGCCTCTAGTATTCTCCAAATCATCTGCTTGATCGAGTGTGAAAATTGTAAATTCGTCCTCACATGCTCCGTAACCTGCAACCAAGAGTGCACCAATTGGAGGACGATATTTTGGAGTTTCCTTCTCTTTCTTTGTCGGTGGTGAATCATCTTCATGCTGAGAAGTGTCTTCATCGTCCGACGATGAGTTGGTAAATTCGTCCCTTGTTCTTTTCATTTTTTTTAAATATTGAAAAGGAAAGTAGTTGGTACTGATAATTGGTGTTGAAGCTTGTCAAGATTTAATTGTAAACAACTTCCTTGTATTTGTGGAAATATTTGTGTTGAACCATTGCAACTTAATTACAACAATTGAAATATCACATTTTTGTTAAATCACCATTTTAACTTTATTTGAAATGAATTGTGCCATTGTTTCTAAACTTTCAATGTAATAAGATTTTAATTTATTGACTCTCAAGTTTTTATTTACTTGGTTTTTCTTCTTCCAACCATTCTGGTGGACCAAACTTTTTCAAATAAGGATGCTTAACAAGAAGGTGTTTAAAGAGCTTCCTTGTTCTTGCCTTTGTTGGCAAACAAACAAAACCATTGATTTCCTGATGGTTATCCATCCACGTTATCATAAAATCTTCATCAAAAATCAAATCATCGGGCAAGTCCATTGGTGAAAAGATGTTTTGAAAGGCAAGATCTCTATTTGTAACCAACAGTTCTGGAGGAGCTCCATATAAATCCAATTCCATTCGTGCAAGTCGAATCCATAAATTAAAATCTTGTTTTGCAACTTTCCCTAAATATTGTTCTGAAGCTGATGTAATTCTATAGGTTTCATAAGCAAACTCTGGATCATTGAAATATTCTCTGGGAATTTGATATTTCAAGGCGTCAAATAAATTCAAATTGTGTAGGTATTTGAATTGGATAGTTGGTGCTTTTTGAATCCTTTCTAATAATTCTAGAAATTCTTGTTTTGACATGATGAGATTCAATTTTTTCAGTACTGTCGGTTTTGCACTAGAAATTAAATCTAAATCTGTTTTCAATTCATTTCCAATAAACATTAAAGAAATTTCCCCAAGCTTCATCATAAACTCTTTGTTGTTTCTGATGGATTCATCAACAATAGATAGAACCATTGGTGAGGATTCATTTACAATTTTTTCAATCGCTGATAAATCATTCAATGTATCTTCTGGTTTAAGTTCAAGATTATAGACCTCATTCAAAATATCGATCATTGCTGATTTATCATTCAGGATAGTATCTGAAATGAATGGAATTGAAATATGTGATTCTGGGTGCTGAGTAAAGAAAGTTTTAACTTGCTCAACAGTTTCAAACTCCCAATCAACATATTCTTGGACCTCAGAGTTTAAGAGAATACTATCAGAAAGTGACCTTAATATTTCAGTATCTCTGAGAATATCCTTTGGCAAGGCTCCTATATTGAAACAAGTATTATATTGTAATATTAATTTCTTCATAAATTTCTTGTCATTTCTCAATTTTGTTGGAATGTAATAGCAAAAGTCGGCTATTTTAAAGTATTTCAATAAAAATTCCTTGTCATTTCTCAAATCAAATGGAATGTGAGCTGGTAAATGTGAAAAGAACCCATTAGGATCCTCATAATTATTTGATAAAAGTGCTCCAATTACTTCTTCCTTTCCCTTCCATTCATTACTCAATAAAGAATAGGATTGAGGACTTGCAGAGATAAATCTCAGAAATTCATTCATATTGCCTTCAGAGGTCAATTTCTTGATATCTTCCGAGTATTTGTAAAACTGAGCACTGATATGATCACCTTTCAATTCAGATAATGGATACAGAATATCATACGAAATGTTTTCTAACCATTCCCTAATATAACCTATCTGCTTCCAATATAATCTAGCAGCATTCGAGGAATGGTAGAATTTACCATTCCTTTTGTCCATTACACAGAGATCTCTGGACGAGAAATGGACACAAATAAAGTTTTCTATCTCATCACCAAAATGATCCATCAATTCAAATTTACATTTCTGTAAACATGGAGAATTAATGATATAATCCCAATCTCCAGTATTTGCAATTGATAGCAATGATTGTTGCCATTCAAATCTTCCATTTGAGCACTTGGTCAACCAAATCTTCAAATGATATTGCATCTTCATGTCAAATTGTTGTTCCAAAGCTATCAACTCTTCGTCACTGAGTGGTTTTACATAATAACCACCACAATATCCACTCTCGTACTTCTTCCATAATTGCAACATTTCATTCTCCTCTTCAATTAAATAGACATGATTAAATGTTGTGTTAACAAGTCTTTTTCTTGCTCTTTCTTCTATATCTAAATTTCGGAAAATGTGAGTAACAATTTCTGGTAACTCCAAAATGTTAAAGAAATGACTGTGAAGATCATTGGTTTTTTTCAAGCTTATCATGGTTCATTGGTGTGAATTGAATTTTTTTGCTGTTGCAAATTGGAGAAACAACATAGGGTAAATTATATGGATAGTAATTGGATGTAATATAGTCTGGTAACATTCATTGAATTTTGCCGATTTGAGGATTTTAATCCATGTACACTACTGTTAAACTGTAAACAGTCCTTATCTACAGCTCGAAGATGGAGGATAAATTACCTTGTTGTTTGCAGAAAGAATGACCTGATTTCTTAATATTCGGTTGACTTTTGGCGATAAATAGTTTCTAATAAATCAAACTCCTAGTAGAAACAAAAAGGAATGAATGTTGTTTTTAAATCCAATAGCTTCCTTAAATGTTATTAAACAAATGTTTGGAAGGTATGCACTGAAGTTACTACAGGTGACATTGTCCTGAATGGGAATTGAGTAGAAAACAATCTTGACAAGTCGATTGATGATAGAAAATTGAAGAGACAAAGAAAAATACAGCATCTCTATTCTGCAATATTGTGCACCAACAACTTCATAGAACATATCTATGATGACAATATGTTTCGGTGATGATTCATTCATCAGTAGCAACTCTCTATCTTCAATGGAGGAAACCAACTCTCCGAATTCAAATAATATCAAAGCATCATCTGCTGCCATTGTACATACAACAACTTCTTACAATAACAATTCAACAACAGGCAACAACCTAGAACAAATTCTCATCATTTCCCTCTCATCAGGTTTGGGCGGTTTTTTCTTGGTGTTGCTTTTAATTGGCGCCGTTTTTGTGTTCATCAAAATTTACTGTAAAAGAAAAAGTAATAACAAGAAGAAGATTCATAGTCATCGTGATGGTATTGCTATTCGTGTTGGAGATGATGAAGATGGAATTTCCTCTGTGATGGATGGCCAATCAAATGATGGAAGTATAGCTGGGAGTTTTTCAAGGAATGAAGATGATTCCGGTCGACTATTGAAAAACAGAGTTTCATCACAACAAGTAATGAGTATTGATAATGATGATCAATATAGAATTGATACGACGAGATTTATGGAGGGTGGAGGACATGATAATTATCAATTTCCTACACCTCAACATCAACAACAACAGGAAAATAATGGAAAATATCACAGAAAATTCAATTCGTCACCCTCTTCATCTCCTCTGATTAATAGGGAGGATATTGGTGGATTGGTAAATTATCAGACCGTTCCTAGCACTAGTTTACTTCTCTCAATGATTCAACAAGACTCAAAGAAGCCAACAATAATGGGATGTGATGACTATTTGGGTGAGCAAAATGTTGCCAACTCTGAATTATTGATACATATTCGAAATCACCATATTCCGAAATGTGTTTCTTCTATTAGAAATACAAATGTGGAAAGTGCAAATTGTGTGAATTGGTCATGCCATGAAAGTGGTGATATTTCAAAGGAATTAATATTGAAGGATAGTGTGTCGGTAGAAAATTCAAATTTTGAACTAGAGCATTTGAAATCCATTACTCTCACTGGTTTGTTCAAATTATCAGAAACAAATGATAATATCAGAAGAGTATTATTCGATTTGCATCTATACATTTTTCCAAATACTCATTTATTTGTTAATTCATTACTTTCCCTTGAAGATTGTGAACTTAGAAAGTCCTTTATTGAATACTTTTTAAGATATTATTCTAGAGATTTGGATTCCTTTGATGAATATTGCACACTATCCGAATTGGTTGGAGTTAAGATTAATCAGGAAAATTTCAAAAACTCGTGCATACATTATGCTAATGAGTTTAGGTCGTGGTCGTATCCTAATACCTTCACATCATGGAGTGAATTTTTAAAATCTTTTGAAGGTTCCTTTGAGGCATCTTCAACACCTAATCATCCTTCAAACAAGAAAATAGAACTCGACAAGTCAATAATCAAACCTATTGCTTCATACCTTGATGAGTTTAGTCTCATTAAATCTCCCCTGGTGTTGAGTATTGCCAACCCAGAAATTATTGCACAACACTTAACAGCTATGGATGCCCTGCTGTTGAGAAATGTTAATATTCACAAGGAGCTCACTTTGGAAAGATATGCTAATGTTAATTGCCAAACTACACCACTCTACAAAACAGATTTACAATATTCTACCTCACAATGCCCATCACTATCACTCTACATTGACTACTTTAACAAGCTCGGAATTTTTGTAAAATTTTGTATCTTTTACAAGAATTTAAGCTTGCAGGAAAGAGCATCATGTATTGAGAAATTTTTGGATATTTGTCAACACTTGGAAAAGCTGGGAAACTACAACTCTTTAATGGCAATCTATGGATCTTTAACTTCTCAGTGTGTCAGTAGATTGAAAAATGTCTGGAGTAAGGTTGAGCAAAAATATCAAGATTATCTTACCACTTTGGATAGTTTATTCATGATTCGTAAAAAGTTTGAAAATCTAAGAGTGGCTCAATTCACAAGATATACTCCAATCATACCATACTTTGGACTATTCATGACAGAAATGACACAAATTGAATCTATTCACAGTACGACAATCCAAAATACTGAGCACAGAGACAAATCATTCTTCAACATGGTAAAACTTGGACAAATCTATAGAATTCACCAACAAATTGAAACTTGCCAATCGTATGCAAATCAATACCTTTCTCTACCAATTGATACAGTCCTGTTTAATAGGTTGCAAGAAGAAATTATTGGATTTGATTTACTCAAGTTGGAATTATTATTTGAAAAGAAGGAGAAATCCCCTTCTAGATCTATAAGCATGGACAGTGGCTGCACAAGTACCTCCTCAGGAACTGATACCTCTCTGACACCACGTCTTTCAGTTCATAACGATGAAGCTACTTTGGTCATTCCTTCTGAAAGTGTAACCTCTCCGCCAACAACTCCAAGAGGAAAAAAGAAGAACATTTCTGAATTGGCAGATAAGGAATTTGCAACACTTAGTGTATTAATTTGTCCAAAACGATCAAATTCACAAACAGGAGGAACACCTAATAGACTAACAGCTGACTCTTTTATTGGAGGATTGTGGGAAAAGCTCTCACCAAAACGTTTGAGTTTCTCGAATTTCACCTTACCAGTACCACAAATAACCGATGGTGGTCCAACTTCACCCAGAAGAAGCAGTGTTACCACTGTCTCTCCTCGTCTCCTCTCTGTAGAAGATGCTCATCATCATCTTAAAAAATTTTCAGACAGTGACTCCAAATTATTACAATCAAAACAAATATCCAATCTGAATGTTATAACCTCTCCTAGGTTATTGGAAACAAAATAAATCAAATATTACTAGGATCAATAGTCATCCAAAATCTATAGCCTATCTCATTTGGATTGAATGAAACAAATGCTGGATCGCCCTCATAGCTCATACACATATAGTCATCCTTAGTATTCCAAGAGGCATCAAATTCTGGCCACTCAGCAACATAAAAACCTGGTTTTGCAACCCAAATAGGTTTTCCAAATGGGTATTGTTTACGTTTCCCTTGTCTTGTAGAAATTCTAGAGAATGAATCTGCAATTGTCACCCGATTCCTCTCATCAATTCCAGTAATTACAACTGCATGCCCAATATCAGAAGGTAATGTTAATAGATTCATTTTCACTCCCACAATAACAGGTAATCCTTTTTTGAGTTGACTTCTTATCAATTCAAAGCCATTTGTTTTCTCTCCAAAATAACCCCATTCCACAATTCCAAATAATTTACCAATTTCAACACAAGCCCTCGGATGAGTTCCATTTCCTATTGTTGAGAATTGTTCATTCGAAATTGACAAATCCAAAACACTCTCCAAAGTCACTCTCCGTTCGGGATTGTTGGTAAGAGATGCATTAATAGCAAATGTTATTGAGCAAACTGCACAAGCACCAGCAATATCAACATCAACACTTTGATTATATGGTGCAATATCAACAGAGAGTTGAACATTTTCATAAAGAGTTTCTGTATTCTCCACCTCCACAATAATACCTTCTGTGTGCTCCTGCACTTGTTCTTGTGACATTTTTTTTATAAATTGTAAACCAAGTTCACATCTAAAAATATTCGCAAGTTCAGAACAGAAAATTAATTGGACAAAGAAACCATTAGATTAGCAATGACTACACATCATAATATTACAATTATAATTTGAAAGTTAATAAGGAAATTATGACCATTATTTGATCCTTCTGAAACCACAGTTCTATTCGAAACAGTTGAGGTTTGACCAAGTTGTGAGGAAGACACTGTTGGGGTTGTTGGCGTTGTTGGGGTTGAGTCTTGAACCTCTGTAACCAGTGTAATATTAACAGTATTGATACTATAAGATTTGTCAGATTCTATATATAATGTTACTACAGAAATACCCTTCTCAATAACCGAACTGGTATTGAGTGGAAGTGAAAAGTTAAATACTTTCGAATTGCATAATACAGAGCCCATTTTATCATTATTCCAATAAATTCCAATACTTCCTCCCTGTTTTGCATATTGAGTTTCAACACTAACTGAATAGATTCCTCGTTTACCAGCAACAAAGGGATAGTAAAGAGTTTGATTAATTCCTACAGATGAATAAGGAATAAAAGTGGTTGTGTAGGTAGTACCTGCTAATTGATGTTTAATGGCAGGAATACTAAGTTGTGTTGTTTGTGAAGCACTTCCTTCCAAGTATCTAAAAACACTTGTATTGTATGGAACATTTGGATTATTAATCATGTGAATGACACCATCCTTCTTAGGATGAATGGAATCATTCATAGTCTCTGCCCATGCCCAAGCTCCAGTACTGCTACTGTATGTCCCATACCCTGTTGTATAGTATAAAAATGCATCAAATCCGTAACTAAACCAAGTAGTTAGGAAGTCAATTGTGATTTGTTTCATTCTTGGATCTAAATGAGCTGCTCTCTTTGAGTCAACATTGTACGATCCATATGTATCTGGCCCTCCTTCATAGGCAAAATGTTTCAATCCCCAGAATTTAGATAAACAAACGTAAGTGGCATAACCGTAGGATTGTGGACTTATTCTTGCTTGATAGGCCAATTCATCGAGCACATCACTGGTATTCATGACTCCTGAATAGTTATTATCAAGAATATAGTATGGAGCTGAAGCAATGGCATATAAGTACTTGGATGGAGGACCAAAAAACTTGTTGATTAGAGTAATACCTTGCATAACAATGTATGAATTTGCTCCTTGACCTGCTAAAACAACTCTGAATTGGTTATTTCGTTTGCTTTCCCCAAACTCTGCAGCAAATATTTCTGAAATTCTGTAAGCCATATAACCAGTTCTTCTAAAAGCCCATGTGTAAACATTATTGACATTGTCATAGTTCAGGAAGGTTTGGTTTAACACATTCACCATGTTGGTAGCTGCAGCCCAATTATACTTTGCTTGAGAAAAAGCTGAATTCCATAATTCATTCGAATATTCTATATAAACCACTGTTGTTGAACTGAGCTTTTGATAGAACAATTTTGCCATCTGATTTATATAATCCCCATCCACCATAGCTGGAATATTGACCCAAATTGACTTGTTCGTTCTATTTGCCAACTCAATTATTATTTCATATGGAACTCCTGAAGAACTTTAGGTTGTATCAGTAACTAATGATCTATTGCCCCAAACAGTATCTGGATTTGCGTTGGTTCCCAACCAATCCATCATTCTCAAAATTTTCAAATCCTTGATCGTCTCTAAAAAGGCAGGATGAAATATTTGTGTATCTGCATCCTCAATAGTAAAACCTGGACGAATCAAACGTAGATTTCTAAACGTTGAGTTGGTTGCTTGTTTGAAATTTAGCATTAATATAGTTGCACTACTTCCCACAACCACGTAACCAGTTGTCTTTCCAAATGCCTGAGTTACGTTTATAATTGAACAATAAGGGGAAGAGATCAATCCTAATGTCAATTCTCCATCACCTTGAAAATAATAAGTACCACTCAAAGATCCTGATGGGTTCTCTGTGAAAAGGACAGTTCCTGCAGATGTACCAATTGGCCATCCATCTGTTGTGTATTGATCGTCTGAAAGAGCAACCCATGGAGTTTTTGCTAAACCATACTATTGATTTTGTGATTAATAATTGCATGCATAATGATAACTTACTTTTCTTGTAGATCTAAACGCATCAATAAAAACTAAATTGTAACCAGAGGCAGCTGTACGAAATGGAAATTAACATGGTAAAATAGATGTGTTTATGACACTTACAAGGTATGTTTCCTCCAACTATTGCAATGTTTGTTGGAATTTGTGCGTGTATATGTGATGCACACATGTGAAGAAACCAGAGTAAGCTTGGCACTAACAGTAAACTATTCCAATACCTCATTTTTTTAAGATATCTCCATTTGATTATTGAAACAGTTTGTTAAAACTTACTACACACACCGCTGAACACAATAAGAACATGGTTAAGTAATTTTCCTAACTGGAAGATCTCAATAAAGTAAGTTCTAGACATGTTACAACAAAATGTGGAACTCCGAAAGGAAGACATTTGATCCAAGGAAGCTGGGATAGTAAGGTAATACAATAGATCAGTTTCTTCCTTTGATTGAAAACATGGGAGGTCAGGATCCATTGTCAAGAATGAATCTTCTTGGAGAGTTTAGAATCAGATGGAATGGATGGAAGATTTTGATTTAGAGAGTTGTTCTTCAAGATTCTTCGTATCATCAACAGATGAAATGAATCCTGAATTATCAAAAGCAATCAATCTTGCCAAACCAGTAATAAACATATTAAATATTATGTGAATGTGAATCGATGTGGATGTTGAAGTAATTGATTTTGAACTTTTGAAAGATCATATCTAGGATTTGAAACAGAGAATCCTCTCCTTGCTTACCTGTACAATCCAACAGCGTATTAATGAAATTTTGAAATCAAGAAAAAGGAGATGGAAAACAAACACAATGACGAGAGCGAAGGGGAAGAAGAACCACTAACCCAAGAACAATTGGACCGTTTTAAAAATAAGTATTAACCAACGGAATTAAAATCACTCAGTCAACATTGAGAATATGAACAATATTAAATGTGTGGATTTGATAAGGAAAGGATGACTAAAGTTGAAAATCAACAAGTGTTGTGTAATGTGCATTGTATTCGTTTGTTCTTGTCAATTAAAAATCAAAAATTGAAACCCAAGTTCATTTAGCATCTAACAATATTCTCAAGTTCAAACAGAAAACCAAGTAACTTTACAATCAGGATAAAGAAACTGTATTTTGTTGTCCACTGCCCTCCAATGAAGCGCTTTATTATCCACAATACGCTCAACCTTCGAAGGGAGAACCTTATTAAGGTCATTTTCAATGGTTCCAAAATATATTTTGTAGATTTGTTTTTGCCGTTTCATTTTCAAACAGCCTATTGCGCATTAAAGTTGCTTGGCTGTTGGGAGATATTTTTAAAGCTGCCAATCAATTAAATTTTGAAAAACAACTCAAGAAAAAAATGAGCCTCACCAAAGCTATTCAACCACCTGAACCGCCACCCTACGTCCAAACCGGTTTTTTTTCATCTCCTCAACAGCAACAACCAATGGGAAAGACAAAGGTTTATGCACCAGAGCAAGTACAACGTATCATCATGACTTTTATTGAACAACAACAACAAAATCAACAAGACGAACCAAAAGTTGTTACCGTAAATCCTATGGAAATACTTTATGGTTTCATGTCATTCTTTAGTAGTTGGAAACAAAACGTTCCAGCAAGCTACAATACATCATCAGCAGAGATGAGTGGGGCTGAAGATTCAACTCGCTTTTCAAAGGCTGACAAGGTTGATTTGTTGAGTGATGAAGACGTTGTTAATTGTTTTGTAATTATAATGCACTGTATAGTAAGAGATAGGTACACTGAGCCTGCTCTGTTCACTAACTACATTAGACAATCGATTGACTCGATTGTTCAAATGGGTAGACTTCAAGCAAGATCACGTAATTTTTAGAGTTTGCAGGAGTATCAACACTTTAATGAGCGTAACTATTCTGTATAGCACTTTGATACTTGTACATTCCACTCTGTACATATAAATGTATATTATAATTTATTGTTACGAGTATATGTATGACTCAAAGAGATGGTCCTCATTCAATTCCTCAGATTCTAGAATTACTTTAGATGCACTGATGGTTGTAGGTATTCTGAGAAAGGTTCGGTGCAATTTGTTTGTATTGGTATGATTGTCATGATTATTATGGCTCTGTGATGATGAAGTTGATGCATTACTCGATGAATCATCATCATGAAGATAACAGCTATTTGTGGTGGTAGTAGACGGACCATGATTCTCTTCATGTTCTTCTTGGCAAGTCAAGTTGATAAAGTCATCATAGGAAATATGGTTAATACTTGGTGAGGCGCTTCCTCCAACAATGCTGTTACTTTTGTAGAGTCGTTCTTGATTGTGATGATCATTACCTGCTTCTGTTATAGTGGTAGTAGTAGTAGTATATAATGATGTGGTGGTTTTATAGGTAGCTGATGAATGTATTAGTGGCTCTTGGGAAGATTTACTTGTTGTTCCTTCTCCAACTGAATATCGGTATTTTCTAATCCTTTCATATTGTAGGATATTTGGCCGAGCTGTTATGATAATGGCTGTTGAGAGAATTAGTACTAGATGTAGAGGAATGAGTTTGGAATGATTCATCTTGTTTCAGATTATTGTTGTTATTCTAGTTGTGTTTTATGAATACTATTGTTGTGTTCAGTGATGTCTTTTCACTTTTTTCAATTTATAATAGTATGCAAATAATACTCCTTAGTTCTCTCAATAACCGATTATCACTTCATCCAGCGTTTTTGCTTGGGTTTTGTTTAGGATGCTTTGTCACCATGAATTTTTTTGACGTCAGCAAGCGTTGTTGATGCCAAGTGCACACATCCAAAAATAAAGTTCTCAAACAAAAAATTAACGATCGATTTTGTTGTACGTGTTTATGGTGTGGAAACACATCAGCAAAGTTTGTACTCGGTGCTCCTCATTGAATCCAATCATTATTGTTAAAGCAGCATCATATTTCTCCTATTCAAATATTGGCAATCTAAGTTTCCAAAAGTTCCAATTAATAAGGAACTCAATATTACTTGCCAGTAATTTCAACAAATCCTTCAAATTTCTTTCCATCAACAATACCAGCATTTTCAACAAGAGATCTGCACAGATTAATCTTTCTTCTAATGACCATATCATTCGGTGCCTTGTCTCCCAAAGTATAGAATATTGAAAGAGCTTCCTTATATTGCTTTTCAACGAGATAGTCATATCCCTTCTCATACATTTTCAAATCTCTGCTATCCAATCCATTGGTATGTTTGGGATTTTCACTCAAGAATATCTGATAGGCAAGAACTGGATGTTCCTTTCCAATGAGTTTCAACTTGTCGAGTCTTCTATTTACAATTCTCTTCAAGGATGGATCCTTGATGGCTAATCTTTCCTCGCTCAGCAATGCAACTTCTATTGTACTTGATCCACATATGATCTTACTCATGTAGACCTACGACATTATTATTAGTAATGCAAAATATAATTATATATTTACGAACCTTGTTGGCGCCCTCAAATCTGGAAGCAACGTTAGGACAATCTCCCAAAACACTAAAACTGAATCGATCCACACTTCCAATATTTCCAGCCTTTACTCTTCCTGAATGTATTCCAATACGAACTGGTACATTTTTCATTTCCATTTCCAATTGAATTTCAATGGCTGATTGGAGGGCATGATATTCGTGGTCTTTGGTTCTTGTCGGAACATTCCACAGTGCCATGACAGCATCACCAATGAATTTGTCAATGACACCATTGTGCTTGTTAATAGATTGAGAACAACTTTCGAATACACTGGATGCCAAATCGACCAGAGCTTTCGGCTCCATCTTTTCTGACATGGTGGTAAACCCAGCAATATCCAAAAAGAAAATGGTTGCATCAGCATCCTCAATACCTAGAGATGCCTCCCTCCCAGTTATTAGAATTTTCCTAATAATTTGAACTGGGACAAACTTTCTAATGGATTTCAATGTGACAATCATGCTCTTAAAATTGTTTTGGAGCTCACGTAATTCATAGACTGCAGTTAGAATTGATGTTGCTTTGACAATGGTTGGTGCATCCAAATCCAAATTTTGAATATCTGTAAAGCAACGAGCCAACATGGATAAAGTTCTGAACAGTGAAAATGTTGTAATGACAGAGAATATTATTGCTGCAACCAGAACAAGAGCAGAAATCCACACAGTATTATACGATTGAATCAGAATGTCTCCCAATATTTCCTCATCTGGAATTGCAATCAAGACATGCCATGTAATACCTGGAAATTTGAGCTCCTTTCTCTGGACAGAAAACCCTTCCAAACTAAACTTACTCGAGGGAGTATTTCCAAATCGATCAGATATTGAAGAGCTATTCTGATCAGGTAATAAATATGAACACAAAGTTTGAACCAATAGATTTCCTCCCAAATAACATGGTTTCTCCATGTTGGCTGTGAGATTGGCAAATGAGTGAGCTACAATCACACCACTATCTTCTAGAACTAGAATGTATCCTCCAATAGATGGATTCGCACTTCTAACTTTGGCATTTAAGGTGTCGACGTAAAAGACAACATTTGAGGTTCCTAACATGTTTCCATCTAATCCATAATAGGGAATGGCAACACTTGTGACATACATGCTGGATACGAGAACGTGTCTACTAATTGGAAAAAACATGCCAGTTTTCCTCAGAGATTTATCCACTTTTGCTGCGTTGGTTACAATGCTATAGGTTGGAATAATGATACTGGCATTAAAGTTTGGTACTTCATATGTTGTCGAGTTGGCCAATGTTTCCAATTCAAAATCATAATTATAAGCCATCAGCCTCAAATCATCCTGTTTCGAAATGAAATAATCACAGGCATTAAGGTTACATTCCCATCCCACAACATGTCCACTCTCAAAGACAAAATTCACAGAATTAATCAAACCTTGCCTCGTTATCAGTGATGAAAACAAGAGATTCTTCACTGAATATTCATACAAAGATCGATCCTCCAGAAAATTCCTCATATGATTCGTTTGTTTATCATAGAAATATCGATAGGAGAGAGCCAATTCCTGTGCCTGTGTAAACATTCCCTCAATCATTACTACAATTCTCTCGGTTGAACTGTCTTTTAATTTATCACTGAGTATCTTTGTTGAGGAATTGGAAGCAGTGAATCCAATAATCCACACAATGAAGGCAATAATAATGATCGATGATGAAATCAGTGTAATGATGATATTCCTCAAGCTGAGGACTTTCTTTGGAGAGCACATCCAACATCTCGATTTCTTGTCTGATGAATTGGGAGTTGATTCCGGTTCTTCAATTGTATCAATGGAAAATGGTGTTACCATATTTCCCTTAGATGATGTTCTTGATGTTGTCCTCGACATTGTAACTGCCTAATAGCCTACTACTAGCACTGTATGATATATTTCAATATATTAATAATTGTCGTTAATGATGATGAATTTCGTGAAGTGGAATAAGCACTAAGCAACGTTGATAGTTAACAATGCGAAAAAACTAAGTGTGCAACACCTGTTGATGATGATATTGTTGGTTTTTTAGGTTTATTATTGGGGCGGGAATTTCAGCTTCACAATAAATTGGACATTGCTTGGTTTTGTTTGGCCATCAATGATATTAAACAGTAAGGGCAGGTTCTCAATTTGGACAGCTGGGGATTTGCTTTTTTGAGGAGGTAAGTCTTTCTAGATTGGAAAATATTCCGCAAATCAGAGATAACAACCTGAGTTCTATTGTTTGACTTTATTGAATTAAGATTTATGAATTATACTAATATTCCATCAAGTGTTTCAATTTAATGAATGTTTGCTTAATATTTGATGATAATAAATATGGAAGAGATTGAAAAATTATCATCATTATCATATGGATATTTGAGTTTGAATCAAATCATCACGAAAATTAATAATTCACGTTCATTATTTGAATCTCATTCTTCAATCAGTATGAAATTGTTATTTTTAGAAATTAAATCATCATCACAAAATAATTTAAATTAGAAAATTAAAAAAATGGCATCAGTTGAAGCACTCTCATGTCCGATCTGTACAAATCTTGTAGAAAATAATAGAGAGTGTAATGCTTGTGGAACACTGTATTGTTATGAGTGTATAAAAGAGTGGTCGGAGAGAAATCCATCTTGTCCTCAGTGTAGAAAATCTATTATTATAAAAGATCAAAATGATTCCTCTAGTTTTGCGTTTAATAGATTTGTAGAGAGGACTGTAAATGATTTGGAAGTTGATTGTCCTAATCAATGTTCTCAAAAGAAGGTTAAAAGAGGAAATTTAAAGGATCATCTTGAGAGACTTTGTGAGAATATTTCAAAACCTTGTGATATGGCAAAATATGGATGTTTGTATTGTGGAAAAATAACTGATCTACAAAAGCACTATGAGGAATGTTCTTATTATAAGGTTAGACATATTTTGGAGAAGTATGAGCTTCAGGTACTTGAATTGACATCAAAGTTATCAACTCTGGAACAGAGAAATGCCATGTTGGGATTGGATAATGAAGAATTGAAAGATAAGGTCAGAAAATTGAATGCTCAACTTCAAAAACAACCAACACCTTCACATACTACTCCATCAAATAATTCCACTCAAAATACTAGTAGTGGAACAGGTTATCAACAACAGCAACAACAACAAAATAGATTTTCCAGTCCAACTGGAGGATCTTCTCATCAACAGAATAATTATCAGAATAATAATGCCAACTATCAGAATTATAGCAATAATCGTAGTAATGTAAATTCAAATCCGGGAAACAATCCATTTAGTAGTAATTATCAATCCTATAATAATAATTCAAACTATTCCCATCAACAAAATCAAAATAATCGAAACAATAATGGAAACGCCCATCAGCACGACAGACGAGGTTCAAAGAAAAGTGAATGTAAACAACAATAATTTATTGAACTCTTTGTAAATAATCATTGGATTAAATTTTTATCCATCTTTCTGATTTCTTTGATGTAAAATTTTGACAGTACCTCCTTCTTGATCTATTTGATTATTTCAAATAACCACACTAGCCAATTGTTTCATTTTTTAATTGTTTATTACAAGTTCATTTGGGAAAGCATGGACACAATCTCCTCTCCATAGGATGTGAATTCTCACATTTAAATCTCGATCTTCGATGACCCAACACACAACGATTCTCTGAATCAACATTTGGTGCCAATGACTTGAGTAAAACTGATTCATTTTCGCATTTACAATCGGGAATGTGTTTTCTCATTTCATCACAACGATTAAGGTAGGGAAAATATTGACCTTCACATGTGGAATTTTCCTTTGAACAACATGTGTTGCAATCTTCACCCTTTTGACAGAGGGTTGGCTTTAGTTTGTGTAGGTCTGAAATGGAGTGTTCAGCGGAGGCTGGAATTCCATCTCCGAATTTGGTGTCATCAATGAATTTGTTAGAATCTCTATTCGATTCTTCAGGGGGACAAGGATGAAACAGAGAATGAGGACATGCAGATAAACTAAAGTGGTATAACAATCCTGCATGAACTTGCAATTCATAACAATGTGGAAATTGAAGACTATTCGATTCTGTGGACCTTTCGTTTCCAACTGAAGTCGAAATACCAATATGTTTCATTAACTGATATCTATAAGTAATAAACTCTCTCCCACCAAAATACTCTTCTCCATACCTAGTTTTCTTATGAAGAAATTCTTCCAGTAATGAGTCAATTGGATAGGAACGATAAGCATTCATTTCTATATGTTTCATGATTCCTGACAGATCATTCTTGTCGACAATAATTCCATTCAGGCCGAATGAAAATCTAATAGCAGACCATTTCTTATCTTTCGTCTTGGAAAGAATATTCATAATGTGCCCAAATGAATTTGGACAAAATTCAAAGTCATCTTCCATAAGAAATACTAACCCATTCGTTCGCATGCTGTTAAATGTCTTTAGCATATCATAGAAATCATTAGATTGCTTTCTCATCTTTGGCTTTCCATAGAATGTACTTTCGCCATAAATATTCGATTCTTCTAGCCTTTCCAATATACTGACATCTCGATTACCACTTGCTTCTATGGTCTCCCTAATCTCCTTCTCACCCATAGCTCCCCCAGTATTAAATACAAAGGTACAAACATTCAGATAAACCACTTTCAAGTCCTCAGCCATGCTTTTCAGTGTTTTCTCGAGGTAGGCAAATCTTGATGAGCCAGGAATTTCTCTTGGAGAAGATAGAATCAACATGTTGATATCGCATGTCTTTGAATTCAGTTTCTCAACAACACTAACAACTTGTAAGACATTTGGCATGAGGGAAACTTCACATTTTGGACAAATTGAAGAGGTGGTTGTTGATTTTAGTTTTGTAATAGTGAAGGTAAAGTAAATGGTGCTGATAATGAAGGAAGTAAGCAAGCAAACAATCAAAAGTTTGACGTTACTCATTTGTTTTTTGAAATTTTGTATTTACAAGTGATTAGTGAATGATGTCCTTGGACATTTGAACATGATTGCCGATAAATAAAATGGGTTTGTTACTTAATGAGCTCCTTAATAGGAAACTTTAGTTGTTTAAAAAAGACGTGTACCGTTGATGTCTGACACTTTGAATTAATACCAATTTACTGTCAACGTTGTAAAACCCTTTTCAAACCAACAACATAATTCATGGCAAGTAATGTAAATAGGCCTGAAAATTTCATGAAACAAACTCTAAATGGAAAATTGAAACATTTCTTGTAGTTAATGTTGGAACGCTATGTATCCTGTTGTATTCAATAAATTGTAACCCAACCCAGTGTAACATAAACTTTGTTTTGAAGAATCTGTATTGGAAGAATCATTGTTGCTTTCAAGGGTTAGTACAACCAAAATATGAATATTCCAATATCAACAACAGTAAGGGCACATTTAACCTATAGCTCTTTAATTTGTCTAACCAATTTGAATTACAATTCTAAAACTGCAATACAGTTGTATTAAAAACTGCTCCGTAACCTCCTTTCTAATTAACAGCAACACCAATCAAAAGAGAAAAAAATGGCACAACTATTCACACAATTATTCACAGAGGAAAATCTTCCACTCCTCTCTCATCACGTAATTTCCTTCCTCTCCCTTCGAGATGTTCACCTCCTAAGCCAATCGAGTCAATTTTTTTTCAAAATGATCAACTCTACGGGAAGTGATCATTCGGAATTGATTTGGCGCCAAATTTGTGAGCGCCAATTTAATATTTACGGAAAGAAAAAAAAACAATTAAATTCCCTTCTGCTTCCATCGTGGTGCAGAAATGAAGATGATGATAGTGAGGCTAACAATGAATGTAATAATGTTGTGGTTTCGGAAATGGTAAATGGAGATGAAGGAAATAATTTGAAAATTAATGATTGGAAAATGTATTGTAAAAAATTGGTGCAAGTATTTAATGTGGAGGGAACGAAACATGAGATGCAAGAGGGTGGAGTATTGAATTTTAATATGAGAGAAACATTGTGGTCCAATAGAGAATTGTATAATCTTGATAATTATAGTAATTTTCAAGTTTCGTTAGATTTCTTTTTGGAAACTGGTGATTCAGAAATTAGAATTGCATTTTCAGAAAATAAGGATGAAGATGATAGTTTAGTTTTTAGAATTTCAGGTGAATCTGACATGACTGGCACTCTACTTCAGCAAACAAAAGAAAATGAATCGTATTATTACAGAGACTATTCTCCAATTACTTTTGGAATGTGGAATCATATTGAATTTAATTTTATATCAGAGAATAGTTTGGATATTCTTATTAATGGAGTATCATTGAATGGAATTATGGCACCAGTTACGATTTCTAAAAGGGGATTTATTGGAATTGTTAAAAGTGATTATCGATTTGATAAATTATTTATTAGAAACTTTAAAGGATCATTTAGAGAAAGACCCATCATTGATTGAACAATAATTTCCAATATTTTACAACAGATACTATCAAAATATCTTTAAATATCTTCCAATATTAGAAATTGGACTAAAGTACTGTTAAGGTAGAATTCTTAATAAAAACCAAGTAACTTTTCTTTGGAACTGTTTCGACGGGATATTTTGATTTCAATTATTTGAACACATTGCAACTTGGAGGTCTGGGATTATATTTTTAAGGTTTTGCTTTTGAAAAATTATAACCACCCGTCAAATGTCAAGTCCTTGGTTTTCTACCACAAAAAAAACGCACCTACAACAAATTACGGAAGGCACATCATCAAAAAGCCTTCTAAATTTTTTATAATATTATTCTCATCTAGTAGACCAAAATAATTTCGTATTTACGAAACTAGACGAAACTAATCAAGATGAAGAGATTTTTAACGCTCTTTCTTGTTTTAATAATTTTTGCACTTTTCATCACCCTGTGCATGGGTAGTGAATCTGGATCATCCAATGAATATCTGGATCGTTTTAAACAATACTATAAGGGAATTATTAAACAGGCAAATGTTTTGAGTAAAGGAGAAGAAACTAATGAGGAAAATTATTTGGAACTTTCTGATGGTCTTCCATTGGATAAATCTAATTTAATTCCACACCAATATATTGTAAAATTCAAGGAAAATATCAAATTGACTGAAAAGGTACAAATTACTTTTGAAAAGTCAACTGGTTGTGAATTATTACAATACATTCCAGAACATTCGTATTTAGTTTATATTAATAATGATCAAGTGAAGAAGGTTCAAGCTTATCCACAAGTTTCTCATTTGATTCCACTCACTCCAAAGATGAAGGTTGATCCAAATTTGATTCGTGATATGGAATCTGGAGTATTCGAAAGCTGTAGTGTAAATACTCCTGGAAGAAAGGTTGGTGGAGCTATTGTTCACATGAGTGTTAGTTTAGTTCCTGAACTTTCTTCACAATCTGCCAGAGATGTTGCTGGACAAATTAGAAGTGCCTGTGAAAATCTCACCAATGTAAAATATTTGAGAGTTGTTTCCAATAGAAAGGTCATGATTAGTTTACAAATCTGTTCTAGACATGATCTAGTTCTGGTTGTTGATATTTTGGCTCATCATCCAGCCATTCACTGGATTGAAAGATTCGACATGGAACGTGATGGTTTCCTTCCAGAAAATTACAATGCTCGTTTAATTGTTCAACAGGGATCATCAAGGGCAAGTATTGGTGATGGTCCATTCTATCAAGTTGGAATTACTGGTAAGAATCAAACAGTTGCCATTACTGATTCTGGTTTGGATGTTGATCATTGTTTCTTCCATGATCCAGCTGCTTCTGTTCCAGTCATTCAAAGTAGTGATTCATTAATTAGAACTGTTTTAAATGCTCCTCAAGCTGTTGAAAGTAATCATCGTAAGATTAAGGCCTATGTTGCTTTTATGGATAGAAAAGATGGTGGACATGGACATGGATCTCACACTTCAGGAACTCTTGCTGGTAAATGTCTCTATCCAGATAGTCCAATTTGTAAACACAATGGTATTGCACAAGATTCTAAATTGGTTTTCTTTGATGTTGGTTGTGATTTGGATGGTGGATGTCAATGTGATTCATTCGATGCTTGTCCATGTTACATGTATCCAGAAGGAAAATGTCCAGGAAAGAACAAATTGGTTACACCAATTGACTTGTATAGTGGTTTATTCGAACCTCAATATAAATTGGGTGCTCGTATTTCATCCAATTCATTGGGTGGTAAGATTGGTAATGGATACACTCAATCAACACAAGAAATTGACAAATTCCAATATGAACATGATGATTTCCTTGTAGTTTGGTCTGCTGGTAATTCTGGTGCCAAAGGTTACATGACATTGACTGGTCCATCAAAGCAAGCCAAGAATTCTATCATTGTTGGTGCCTCTGTCAGTGGAATTGAATCATGGAAAGAAGCTCTCAAATATAGAAATTACACACAACGTGCCAATATTTTACGTAAGAAATTGACCAAAAAGTACAATTGTAAATGTGGCGTCTGTAATATTAAGAAGTGTTCAGCCATTGACAAGTTGAAATCCGAAGAAGGATGTAATGCATACATGGGAGACAATTGTAAATTCAAACACAAATTGAAGATTATGAAGAAGAAACTCAATTTCAATGTTTCATTTGCATGCAGTCAAAAGTGTGCCTTGAAGAGTTTGGAAGATGAAAAGTTGAAACCATTCTTCAATGAACAAAACTTGGCAGATTTCAGTTCATTGGGACCAACACTCGATGGTCGTATCAAGCCAGATATTGTAGCTCCAGGTTATTTCTTGCTTTCTGCCAGATCTCATTTCGGTTCTCAAGAAGGTAAATGTTCTCTCTCCAATAAGAATGATATGAAATTACAATTGAAAGAAATGGGAGGTACATCAATGTCAACACCTGTCGTTGCTTCAGCTGCCACTCTTGTAAGACAGTATTTCACTGATGGTTTTTATCCATATGGTAAACCATCAGTTAATGCTGAATATACTCAACCATCTGCTGCACTTATTAAGGCAATTTTGATTCAAAGTGCTAGAGGAATGAAGGGACTTGCTAGAAAGACTGACTCTTTCACTCATTTCAATAAGAAGCACAGAACTATCTTTGAAGGACACGGCCTCATTAATTTGTCAAACACCTTAAAGTTGGCCAATAACCCACAAACTCCACAAGATTTGTTCGTTATTGATAGACAAGAAATTACCACTGATATCATTCACTCATATACTTTCAATGTTGGTGATAATGCCACAGAATTGGCAATTACTTTGGCCTGGACTGATTATCCTGCTTCTCCAATGGCCTCTCTTGCCCTTGTCAATGATTTGGACTTGAAATTGGAATATGAAACAAATGGTGAAGTTCAATCCATCTATGGTAACCACTTGTACAATAATAATCAACCTGACAGATTGAACAATGTTGAAAAGATTTTGATTCCACTCCCACCAGTTAATACTGATTTGATTGTAACTGTTAAAGGACATAATGTTCCACACGGTCCACAAAAATACAGTTTGGTTATTAATGGAAAGAAGATTACTAAGGCCTCAAGAATTAGAAGATCCCTCGATGTAACTGATGTTTCTCCATCCAATATTGTAAACTTTTTCAATTGGGAATTTGCCTTAATCATTACCTCTTTGGCTACTGCTTTACTCGTTTCTGTAGCTGTCAATATTGGTCTCTGTGTTTATTCTTGTATTAAGAGAAAGGCTACCTATGCCAATCTTTAAATAAATTAGTTTATTATTGAAATTTTTTTGATTCATACGACAGAAAGAGTTCAAAAACATTCTTTTCCTCTTGAGGACTAACAGTTCTTGATTCCTCCTCATTCTCATCCTCACTCGATATAATTTCAACGACTGCAGCAACAGAGGTCGATTGTTTGGTTTTCTTTGGAACTGGCTCCAATTCATCGTCAGACGACAAATCATACATGAATGCATCTGCAGAAGGTATTGTTGATCGGGCAGGTTCAGAAGAAGAGCTTGAATTTTGAGAAGAGCTAAGGTATGGAGTGCCTTGAGAACTTTCTTTCTGTGAACTACTTGGTGTCTTTTTGAATCTATCTAAGAAGGAGCTTTTTCTCTTTAATGAACTTTCTGATGCAGAAGTTGTCAAGGTTAGAGGAGGGCTAGCTTTCTTGGTGGATGATGAAGATAATATTGATGCAGAAAGTGGCCTTTTGATGCTGGAATTTGATGATGATGCCGTCTGTTCAATTAAAGGTTCAGCCGATCTGGAAGGTGTTTTCAATAAAACAGGAGAAGGAGGATCCAATTCAAAATCATCCAAATCAATGTCTTCCTCCTCTTCCACTTTCTTCATTGCCTGTTGTTTCTTCTCATTTCTAATCAGGGCAGTAGTAAGATCGTCTGAAAATATGGTTGTAGAAAATCCATTCGATACCTCTTGTGAGTTTGACACCTCCTGGGATAAACTGGTGAACAAAGCACTAAACAATGATTTTTTGCTTGCACTGCCAGTAGCTTCTTTTGAGTTTTCTTCCTGAGAAGGAATTATTACTGTCAAACTTCCTGGTTTAACAGGCGTCGAAGAAGAACTTTGAGAACTTGATGCTTCTTTGGGTGTGAAAAACTTGCTTGTAATCTTTTTAGCTGTTGTTGGAGTAGATGAAGATGTTGGAGTTTCTTGTGATTTTGAAGGAGTTTCTTGAGATGGTGTTTTGAATGGAACTTTAAAAGGTGGTGGAATGAATTTTTGTTTTGGAGTTGTCGCTACTGGTGCTGTTACAGTTTTAGAAAATGTCTACAGCCATACTACTTACTGAAATAGGTTTGAATTGTGTTTGTTTTTAGTGGTGTTAAATTCTAATATACAGGTAAGATATGAAAAACTATTAAAACTTACAGAGCTTTTCGAGGCGTATGACGGAGCAGAAACGAATGGTTTGTGAGACATGGGATCTATCATACCTGTGCATATCTGAACTACTATATCTGTTGGTTTTGTTGGTCCACAAAAGTAAATATCCTCTTCCGTAAGACAGGAAGGCGGATCTGTTAAACATCTCATTTCCTGTGAAAGGATGTCAAATACTCGTTGATGTTTAAATGTCAACTCGGCTCTAACAAATGCTTCTCTATACTCTTCTTCAGAAACGGAAATATCTTGACTTGAGCTGGGTTGAGGTAAGGAAAGCGAAGGAGAGGATGATATCTCTTGACTACTTGGCTGAGTATTCTCTTGCCTCTTGAACTTTCCCAATTTTCTCAATGCCTCCATAATTTTAGGAACTGTCCTGTTTTCCTTAATGATCTTGTAGGCTGTTTTCGGTCCAATTCCAGAAAGCGAGCTCAAATAATCACATCCTGAAAGAATACACATCCTCATCATCATATCGTGAGTAAATTTTGAAAAATCCGTACTTCCATTCGCTGTTGGTGTATGATTGATATCGGCAAGATTGAGTAATGTTCCATGGCCGTATTTATCCATTTTGAAAAATATTTTTGGAGCTCCATAAGGTATCAGATCACTATCCTCTGTGATCACACATGAGACATACCCAGTTCTAGCCAAATGAGCCAATTGTGCATCAGCCTCATACGGAGCTACTACTATTTCCACACCCTCTTTTTTACATTGTGATATTAACTGATATGCCATTGAAGGTTTGATATCAACAGCCTTTCTAAAACATTCGTTAGCTTGCTCGTATCTGTGATTTTGTAAGTGAATTTGTGCTTGTTCTAGAGCTTCTTTTCTTCTAGATCTTCTATCACTTTCAGTGTCTGCTTTTGAAGGAAGTCTAGCTCCATCAAAAACAAGTACAGGTATCACCTTGTTATGTTTTAACATATTCACCATATGCATACAATAACCCAAATATTTATCTGTTGGTTTGTTTTGACACAATTCTGCACTACAACTGTAGGCTCCTCTGTGCAACCAAACATAGGCATCAATGGCAACTTTTTGTCCTTTTAATTCGGAAACGTGGCCCTTTTTGCAATGGTTTTTAAAAAGTGGCAACAGTCCTTGAATTCCCATATTGTAATTTAATTATTATCAAATATTTACTATCACTCTCGTATTATAATATTATTATTTCTATTCAAAAAGATTCCGAAATAATTATTTTCATAAATCAACAAGAACAACAAATCTTTTCAGCCACGTATCTAAATCTTCCTCAGAAATAGATGCTTGTACAATTGGCCAACCTCAACTTGAAATGTTGTAGAGAATTGGTTTTTGTGATGATGAAAAATAACAACAGGCTTTGATGATTATTTTTTGAATGGAAATTCCACTGGCGCGAAGAAAATCAAGCAAAACAAAAATACTTCAATTTCTCTTTCAAGGCTTCATGCCATCATCACGGAAAAAGATTAAATCTACAGGTTTTGAGAGGTTTTATTAAATGATTATATTAGGGGAGAATGATATGGTACAATATATCTAGGAGATTGAAAAGGCAAAAGAATGAATATCGGGTAAAGCCAATAAGAACAATAGAATTGTTTGAAATAGAAAAGAGGAGGAAAAGGAAATTATTTTAGAACTGGAGAGCATAGAGGTGATGAAAATTCAGCTCCACCACTTCCTGCACTACTTGGTAGAGCAGTGGTCAATCGAGAATGAGGGGATATTGCCAGGACTGAGGAAAATCCTCTGGCTCTTGTTCTCACTGTTGAGGTTTCACTAGCTTGTGGTGAAGAAACAGGTGAACGGATTACTATGGTCCTAGCAAATGCCGATTGAGGTTTGTCCAATTCTCTTTGACATGCCAAAGCTTTTTCTCTCATATCTTCTTTCTGCTTGTAACTTTCCATGTAGAATCGTTTCATTTCATTGGAACATCTTGCACAATAGATATTTTCTCCAAACAGGAATAGGTTAGGTTTGGATAATTCGCCACAAGATCTACAACATGAATTTCCACCACTAGTTCTATTGAAATAATCAGCAATATTACTTTGCAAAGGATGAGTTACTGTTTGAGAAAGCATTGTGACAGTAAATTCTCCAAATTGATGGGATGTTCCTGGAGCAATTCCACTAGCACTTGTACCACCTCTTTTTCTCATTTTTATTCTTGTTTGTCAATAGACATTGATGACAGGTATAGACATTATGTAATGGTCAATTACATTTGGCGCGAAAATAATGCTCAAAAATGGTATTAGAAAATTGTGCATTTTCAAAAGTGAAAATTAAAAAAAATGGAGAAACAACATGTCCTCGTCCTAGATTATCTGCCCAATAATTCACAACTAGATTCCGATTTTTACTCCAATAATTCTATTTTTCAAAAATTTAAAGAATTTAGGCATGATAGTATTAAACAAAATATTGGAAAATTAGATTATCTAGATAAATTGAAGAAATTAGAGAAAAAAAAATGGTCTGATAGATCAATGAGAAGATTTGTAAGAAAAAATCCTATCCCTCCACAATATTTGGAAGATTACACGTTTGTGAAGAGATTAGCAAAGTTGAGATGGTACTTTTTTGAAATATTTGCCTCTGATACAATGAAAAATGATAGGGAATTGATGAAGGAGCTAATAAGAGAGAAGCAAGTATTCTTTAGATATGCTTCTGAATTATTGAGATCTGATAGAGAGTTAATAGAAATTGCATTGGATATAGGTGATTGTGGAAATGATATTCACAAAGTGTGGAAAAAGCTTTCTCATTCAGACTGTATTCATGATGGTTTAGTTCAATTATTCAGGTATCCAAAAAGAGTTCTCAAATATTGTACTGATGAAAAATTGAGGGAAGATAAGGAATTGATTTTTACAGCTACCCAATTTAAAAGTAATAGAGAATTAGTCAAGCAGGCTGTCAGTTATCATGGGGCCATTTTGGCCTATTTAGACAACAAGTTCAAGCTTGACCAAGAAATAGCATTAATTGCTCTGAATACAAGTCCCAATCGGTTATGGGATGTTTCACCACTAGTTCGTAACACCTTAGATTTTAGCATAAATGTTGCTGACACTCAAGGAAGTAGGTGGATTTTCGAAACTTATTATAAGAGCCAAGGTGAGGAATTTTGGTCAATTGCAATTCAAAAACGAATGTTGCCTTCAACTCTCCTTCCAACAAATATTTACAATGACAACAATTTAATGCGCATTGTATTGGAACGAGATCCTTCTCTATTGGAATTGTGTTCTGATGAGATTAGAGATGACTTTGAGTTGGTAAAGATTGCAGTCTCTCATGATATTAAGAATATCAGGTATGCATCAAATAGAATCAGATCGAGTGATGAGACAACCTCAATGTTAATAACCCTCTACCCACGCATAATTTTATACTTGGAAGACAATATCAAACAAAATCCAAAATATTATTCACTGACTGGTGATTTGGAAAATATGACTGTTTTTAAGAATGCTCCATATTGTATTAGGAATAATGCTAATCTTTCAGAAAATTTTATCAAATTGGATATTGGTATGTTCCAGTATGTATCTGAAGAATTGAAGAATAGTAGAGATTTTGTTTGGAAAATATTTTCTTACAATGAATCAATATTACAATACGGCTCTGAAGAATTACGAAATGATTTTGATTTCATGAGCTTGTGTATTGAAAAGAATCCACTTCTGTTTTCACATTTATCTTCAAACCTGAGAGGAAATATTGAAATTATTCGTTTGGCCATTGAAACAGCAATCACTAATAAGGTTTCTGCAAAGCAATTACGGTCTAATATTATAGTTCACATCCTTGCAAAAGATAACGAAACCTCCCTGATTGACCTATACAGAATGTGTTCCAATAATTATGAGAATGAGAAGTTTCTGCTACTCTACTTTGCAAGTCCAGTTTTACTCTTCAATGAAGACTTTGTTCTGAAGGAGGCAAGTAAATTAACCAACGATGCATGGGACTTTCTAAAACTATTCAAAAGAGCAGTTTCTGAATATGAATACATTGTTGCGGCTGCAATAATTCTGTTAGATCCCACTCTCTATGAACATGCTTACAGTTTTGTCTGCCATTCATTCCCAAAGGATTTAGCTCCTTCTATTCTTTATTATTTAGGGGAAGACCATGCACCTATTGTTAGCGACCTTTTTATTTCAAAAGCAATTCCTGTGCCATTATTTGGTATTCTTTCAGAATATTTGAGGTATTATTGTGCTTCTACATTGATTGCACATAAGGTTCCCATCTTAGAGTTTGTACCGAATCTGATGGTCACAACAGATAATCTCTGCTCCCTGTTACCAAAATATTTGTCATGTGAAGACAAGATCTTAGTACATATTTTGAAATATTCCAACAATATAGATTTCTTTAAGAAGATATTTGAAATTTATTACAGTAGTCAGTTTACAAAGCTTATTAAATATGCATCAGAAGGATTAAGGAATGATTCGAATTTAATGGCACAAGCAATACGTTGCGATCCAACCAATCTCCAGTATGCATCTGCTACTTTGAAAAGCAATAGAGATCTTGTTGCTTTGGCAGTGAGACTACAGCCAGAGAGTTTTGCATATGCTGCAGAGGAGCTCAAGAACGACTTTGAGTATATCAAATCAATTTCTCATTCTTATAATGAAGTTTTACTATACAATTTAGCAACAAGGAATGTGAGAATGAACTATTTACAAAAGGTAAGAAGCAAAAAGTAGTAGTGAAGAAGCTTCTCGCATATTATTACAGAGGTATCTCGCTCAAAATATGCATCACTTAAATGATTGTTTCAAAAACAGTAGCAGCAACACAAAAAAAGAGAATTTATCTCTAATAACACAGTGATTTTAATGTGGTTACTCCTTTCATAAACCATGAATCAACAACGTTAGAAAAAACAAACCTTAATCAATGCTAGGATTTCACAAAGAATCTGATTCTCACACACTGAGACCAATAATACTTATTACTCTTGCACTATTGATGACCACTATACTCATTCCCCTATTATTTGTATATTTATGTTCCAAAACCCCAACACTATCACTATTGTACACTACTGTAAATAATGAAAATCATAATGATGATATCCCAAGTTTAATAGTCGGAGGAGGAGGAAGTTCTCTCGCAAAGCAAGTAATGAATTCTTTGCTTTCGTTATTCAATAGTATTCAAGATAGTCCCATTTACTCAATATTATATGACAGTGTGGGTAAGTTTGTTTGAACTATTGATTGTTAACTCTGTTAGGATCTGGTGAAGGGCTTAACAAACTAAAACAAGGAGATTATGATTTTGCAGTTTCTGAAACCTCTTTAACAAAAACCGAACTAGAAGATCAAAACTTGGAAATGGTTCCTCTCTTTATTTCTGGGGTAGCTTTGTTGTACAATATTCCCAACTTTAAGTCACAACTTATATTGAGTAGAAGTGCTGTTGCTGGTATATTCTCTGGTGAAATTCAGTATTGGAATGACAACAGAATACAGCAGACCAATAGTGAAACATTACCAAATCATCCTATTCAGCCTATAGTAAGATCTACATCTTCAGGTTCTACAAGTATATTTACTTCTTCTCTGTCACATTTCAGTCCTACCTTATGGAAATATGGTAAAGTTACAATGTTTCCGAATATAACAAGTACCAATTTTGTTTCAGTTTTAACAAGTCTTGCTGTAACTGAAAGTGTTATTAAATTGGAGTATTCTATTGGATATGGCAGCCCTGCTGATGCAGCTTTCATGTCAATTCCAGTTGCGAAAATACTTAATAAGGCAGGAAATCCTGTAGCTCCAAGCATTAGCTCATTCAAAGCTGCTGCTCAGAATTTTCTAACTGTTGACAATTATTTTGTGGAAATTGTTGATGGAGACGCAGAAAGCTATCCTTGTGCAGGTGTGAGCTATTTTCTTTTTAGAAAAACCCTTTCAAGTTGCGATAAGAAGAAATTCATATTCAACTTTCTATCATGGATTTATACAATTTCAACTCCATCAACATCTGACCTGATATTTGAGACTAATTATTTTGCCCCCATTCCAAACTCATATAAGGAGCACTTGGTTAACAGCATTGTTAACCAGATATCCTGTGGGACACTCACTCTGAGTTCTTTACCACATTTGGAACAGTTTGGATATGCAATGATTGCTGTGGGTTCTGTTGCATTGTCTTTGTGTTTTACGTTGGCATTGGTTGGTGGTGTGAGATGTTATTACGTGAGAAAACACAGGGAATTGCACAAGATTATGAGTTATATTGAAGAAGGACCTTCTGGTAAACCCATTTTGATAATGTTTTCAGACATTCAAAACTCAACCAAAATATGGGAGCATGTCCCAAAAGAGGATATGGATCATTGTATAAAGAGGCATCATGAAATTGTGAGGTCGCTTCTTACAGCATTTAATGGATATGAAGTTAAAACAGAAGGTGATTCCTTTATGGTTGCTTTTGGATCAGTTGTAGATGCTGTCAAATGTGTAAATTTGATACATACACGTATGATGAAAGAAGATTGGCCTCCATCACTATTATCATTCCCAACAAATGTAGAAACAGTGGACGACGATGGTCAAATAATATTCAATGGTTTTAGAGTTAGAATGGGATTACATTTCTTGAGTGAAGGTGAATACTCTGCACAACTTGATCCAACTACAAAAAGAACAGATTACTTTGGACCTGGAGTGAATTTAGCTGCGAGAATAGCAGATATTGCATTGGGAGGATCCACGTTTATTAGTAAGGAACTATATGACATGTTGGAAAATAATTCAAATATCGAGGAAGAATGTGGAAAACTCTTTCTTAATTCCTATGGATATCATTCACTTCAGGGTATCAAGGAAAAAAGAGAATTATTCATGATGCTTCCAAATAGTTTAAAAACTAGAGAAGGAAGATTTATTCCAAACTCAAAGATGCAATCTAATGGCAGTACCAATGCCATACTCCATTCCAATGAGAAAAAATATTAACCCTTTGACAAAGCTCTGAAAGGTTCTTCAACTCTAATATGATTTGGGATAGTGGTTTCGGAAAAAAGTATGATCGGATTGGAATTTCTTTTAGCTCTATAAATTAGCTTAATTACTTTCCTACATACAACGTTTCGATTCAACATGTTCAATAGGAGGTATACACGGTCTGATTCATAAATTGGATATTCAAGGCTCATTACCTAATTTTCAAGTCCGGTCTTGAAAAGAAAAACATATGTATATTTCACACATAAAGAAAGTATTTCAATTAATAAGGAATGATTTCATACCATGAATGGCTACGGCCATATCACGATGAATGCACCTCATCCCGTCCGATTTGAGAAGTTAAGCATCGTCGAGCCACATCAGTACTGAGGTTGGAGACAACTTGGGAACCTGTGGTGCTGTAGTCTTTTTCCTTTTACCAATTCGTGTGAAAATTTCAACTATGGAAATTCAATGTTATTCAATAGATATATCTGTCTGATATTTTCAACGATAAAACCTCAAGTTTGTTGGTTTGCTTGTAAAGATGACAAAGTTTTTAAAAGTAACACAAAAAAATGAAACAAAACAACAAACTCGAAGTTTTATCGTTCAATGAGTTGGTCCAGCGAAGGCTCAATCATGATGGTGGTGATGAGGAAAAGATACGTTCGGAAATACAAAATCAAGTACACGACATTTTTACGAACGGAATGATGGATGGTGTTCCGAAAGATTTGTTCAATGATTATGGAAAGATTGTTGGTCTATTGTTTGGTGTGGATCAAGGAAATGGAAGTACTTCATTGGTGGCCTTGTTTCAGGAATATTATGGATACAAGTTGCAATTTTTCATTTGGTCTACGTTTTATATTTCGTGGTTTTTGATTGGAAAATTGTTGGGTGTTGAAGTTGTGGAAGTGACAAGATTGAAACTGATGGTTTATGTTGGATTTTTGGTGTTATTGAGTGGAATGTTGTATGCTGTTTTTAAATTTGTGCTATTGCCAATTATTGCTAAGGATATGGGAAAGTACATTATGAAGAATAGAAAATCAAACGAGTTGGGAGATATCAATAATTATTATGCAAATAATAAGAGCAAACCAGAGAATAATTTCTTTTTGGCTATGGATGGTGATGAAATTGTTGGTCATGTTGCTCTCGATAAGTGGATTTATCCAGGTGATAAGGTTGAAGATGCTGAATTCATTGAAGAATATGAAAAGTATCAAATCAATCCATTGAAAATGATTGAAATTAGAAGAATGAGTGTAAAGAGCTCATATCGTGGTGGAGGTGTGGCTACTGTTCTATTGAGATATGTCTTCAAGTATGCTCAAGAATTACAAATGAATAGAATCATTCTCAAGACTAGCTCACTTCAATATGGTGCTAGAAGACTGTACCAGAAACTTGGATTTGAAATTTTGGGTGTCACCCAATATATTCCACCAATTGCGATTTTCAAATTCATGCTCGACATTTCAAAGAAATAATAAACTATTTATTCTTCTCATCATCATTTTGGGGTTTTAAGGATGGAACAATTTTCAACAATTGGAAAATTGATTTTACAGTATTGAATGAAAATTGTAGAGTTTGGATGAGTCCATATGCTACACTCGTTGCCCCAGCATGAACACCTACTTTAATGGCAGCTTTCCTCGATAACAACATTAAACCAATCGTTGCCAGAATTTTCGAAATGATAATGACTATTCCATTGAAAGGAAGAAACATGAAAATAAACTTTAAAAATCTGTGGAATATTCTACTTTTTCGTACCAAATAACTCATTGCAAAAAGGATGAGTAGGTCTACAGTGACTCCCTCTCTGCTCTTCAACTTCATTATATCATCTAGTTGCATCCTCTGAACTAGTTGATTTTGTTGGAGCTCTTCCACCGTTTTGTAATATTTTTGCATGAAAGAGGAGAGAGAAGATTTGTGTTGTTCAACTTCCTGATTTAAACCCTCTACAGTATCATTGAGATATTCCACTTTTCCATTTAAATTAGCCACAACCTTTTTACTCTTATGGAGTTCTAGTTGAAGTTTTTGTGAATTCACAGCATTGGCAAAGTTAGCTACCAAGTTGATCGAATTAAGTTTAAAATTCAAAACATTCATTTTGTGTTGTTTCATATGGAATTGATTCAGTAATAGCATTGCATTCCTCAAATCCCCTTTTTCCTCTAGATAATGATGAAATAATTCCTGATGTCTCTTCTCAACTTTAGTTACAGCTGGAGTTTCCAAATTTCCATTTGTATCATTCCTCAAACTTGATAATTGTTTAGATGTTGATTCTCGAATTGGTATTATAATATTATCTACATTAAATTGCTCGTATTGTTCCAAATCCATTGTGGATGTATCCATTAAGGATTCAAGACTTCTCCTCGAGGAAGATTTCTTCTCCAACTTGGATGCATTAGGTGTTGAGAAATTTTCAACATTTGACCGTTTAGGAAAAGGAGACGATCGTTTAGGAGTTGATGGAAATGTTTCTTGTATAAATGATTGTTCTGTTTGTCGATTCAAAGATGATGTACTTGATTGAATTAGTGATGGTGCTGATGAACTGTTAGATTTTAAAATTGGTTTTTCTTCATCATCATCGAATAAATTATCATAAATCTCCTCTTCCTTTCTTTTTGATGTCATCAAATTATTATTATGATTATTATCAATATTATTACAATCCAAATCAAAATTTTGTACAGGTGTTGGTGAAGGATATTTGGTAAATAATGATGGAGAATATTCTGGATCTTTCCGATAATCATTCTTGATCGGACTAGGAGCCATATCAATACTAGTCTCTGGTGATGAAAAGTATTCAATTTCCTCATCCAAAGATTTGTTTGAATTATTTACATTATTATTTGGTGTTTGATAGGAGAATCCACCATCTTTTTGTATTCGGGATGGAGTTGTTGGTTCCTTTTGTTGTTGCTGTTGCTTACTAAAGGATCGAGGCGTCAGAGAGGACGAAGAAGGTGTTGAATTCTTCTTGGGAAAGAGTGAAGATGAAGATTGGGACATTTTTTTTAACGTTTACTTTTTTCAATTTCCCGCCTTAGTGAAAAATTAATTTATTGAATTACACTTGATATTGTAATTGATCATTCTGAGTCAAAGTATTAATCAATGGATGAAGAGGATAGCCTGCAAGAATAGAGTTTTCAGCTTGTTTGGAGTGAAGAATGGAAAGTTTTGAATCAGTGATAGAGGTCAATTCTACGAAATGATTGGCCTTGTTGATATCTTCCTCTTCACTAGTTCCAAAAACAATTAATCTTCCATCTAAATTCTTGCATTGGTTGGAAATTGCTTTTAGTTGAGATGGGTCGATATTGGAGGAATGAGAAAATGAGAGCATGATTCTTAATTCAATAACAGTTGGCTTATCATTATCCATATTGATTGGAAGAATAATCATATAGGATGCTTTGAGATCTTTTTGTAGTTGACCAAGTAATGGACGAACAACTTCAATACAGTCTCTTTCTACTTGTAAATCCAACTCTAGGAAAAACCTAGTTGAATCAACATTCTCCACAAAGTTTTCAGGTAGCACAAATAGACCAGGATTAATATCCTTTCCAACAGTTTCATCATCCATTCGAATTGCCTTTAAATAGGATTCGAGAGTTTTCTCCCAAATTTCTTGAGAAGGAGTACCAACACAATAAGTCTTTGGCTTTAATGATCTGGCTGGCTTTAGAATTTCAGCAGAGAAAGTCATCCACTCACGAGAAGCTCCATGTTCATAAAAACTTCTATTGTCCAAGTAAATTTCAGTGCACTCCAACACAACAGGATCAAAATCCAATTCTTCTCTATGTGCTTCAATAGATTCATCTTGTGCCCATGAGAGTGGTTTTGTATCAATACCACCATGTCTCAATTTTAATTCTACACTTGTCTGTGGCACTCCCATCGATAAACTTTTAAAGGATGGTTGATAGTGTGGGTGTTGTCCAATAGAGAGAACCTCTTGTTTCATCTGTTCGGCTAATCTCTGATCTTTGGAAACTCTGAACAAGTAGGTTATTGTTGTTGGTGTATCCCTTGATGTAGCCGATGCGCATGGAGTAAAGCCATGTTGTATCATCTCAGAAGCAGCGTGGGGAACGTACAATCCAATATACTTGCAAAGCAAAAGATTGATGAGGATTGTATTCTGTACATCCTTTCGGTGCTTCTAGAATTTCTTGAAACTTGGTTTTTCTTGGCTTTTTGTGATCATCAGAAGAGTTATTTTCATTATTACTATTAACTTGATTTATCATTCTCAAGTATTCTTGTTGGTGATAAATTATTGCTTTTTGTTCTTGAAAAATTTGGCTACATGTTGAAACGATAAACCGTTTAGGGTTGATATTTTTTTTTGGTAATGTGGCGCTCCATTCATTTGTTCACACTTCATTGATGACAGTTTATTAAATCACACTATCTATTATTATAATATTTGATAGACTAATAAGAAGCGTCGATGGTTTAGTGGTAGAATACGGCGTTGCCATCGCCGTGACCCGGGTTCAATTCATTTTGATAGTATGAATTATTGTGAAATGAATAGTTGTTTCTCAATTTCAATTTGGGAATTTCATTTCCCGTTCTCCAACTCTATGTAGGATTTTGCTTTTATTCTTGTTAATTCTGTTACAATGTATTTCACATTAGGTAATTCCATAACCCGTTACCTAACTTCCAACTTTTATTTCCAACTTTCCAATATTTCCAACATTCAATGAAAAATTGAAGAACAACATTTGTTAATAATTCAACATGATGTTTCACATCATGAATTAAAAATAATGAACAGAATTCAACATGATGTTTCACATCATGAATAATAATAAAATAAAACATTCATAATTTCATCATAAAATTAAAAGTTAAATGAGTTCCAAAAAAGGAAATTTCAATTCCCGGTCGACGCATCAAATCATAATTTTTAGACACTATTTTCTTTTTAAAAATGTTCCAGTTTTTATAGTAGATAGCAGACGTATATTTCTCTGTATGGTCCAATTTTCATTCATTAATTCATTGTATTTATGAAGATGTTAGCCTCCGATTGATCATCATTTTTTTATTGAACTTTTAAGCTTTCCAAAAATAAAAACAATTTTTTTTGTCCCGTTAATTGAAATGGACCCTTCAATAAACACCAAATTTTTTTTCCAAGCCCTCTTCTATTAATAAATATATTGTGGAATGACCTCTATTATTTAACTAATCAGCCTACAATCCACTCAATTCTAAAGAAAAAAAAACAAATGACACAAAAATCACAAAATGTTTTCCTTCACTGCTCAACACTTCTTGAGTTTCATCATTTCTTAGGTTTAGCAATCGATCCAAATAATCAGAACCAACTGTATCTTGCTCAACATTTTATCAATTATTCTTCTTATTTCTGCAGGGATCTCGACAATTTCATTCAACAATATCAAACTTCTCCTATTGAGATGTTATTTGAAGAAAATGAGGAGAAATTGTTGATATCAGAGGAAGGAGAAAAAGTTTTGAAAGATTTTAATGCTGATACTTTTCAAGTTTTAATTTCATTCTTGCAAAATTCACCAGAAGAAAGAGGAAAAATGTATAAGAATTGTATGATGGGCCTTAAAAAGGGAGATTATTCTACTTTCAAATTGGTTTTTGGATATTATTTTGCAAGTAACCCTTAATTTTTGCATCTTGCCACAAAGCTAAATGTCAAAAAATAATTTTTTAACAAAAACAAAAATTCTTGCTTGGTAGTTCTAATTAAGGCAAGATATCTAGATATTTGTCTTTTATTGTCCACAATTACCAAAACTGAACGTGGATCAAACCGCTTAAATTACAATTCACACAGTGTGAAAGAGAAATTTACACCACACCAATAAACATCATCGAATTCATTACACACACATATTGTTAAAAAACAAGACTGTTGTTGCATTGGACATGGTTAAGGCCGTAACATTTCAACGATCGTCCACAATGTTGAATGAAGTCACAGAATGTGTGCTTTCTATAGGATAGCTTTTCAATTAAATTTGTTCACTGAAGTAAGTAACATAACTTTAAGAAGGTTTCAATAATTTATCAAGTTCTTCCTCACTTCTAGTAGCTTGTTGCATGTTGCATTCAGCCTCCTCACAAATCCATAATAGTATTTTTGTAAAGTGTGTAAACTACAGTGAATGCTCGCAGTTACTCCTATCATGCTTATTACCAAAGATGAATAGTACACTATTTAATGACTCGCTTGTAATCGAAACTTGATTTTCCAATATTCAATGTTGTGTAAAAAGCTTTCGAATACCTTTGAATTGAATATTGCTATGAAATTAATATGAAGATTTCTAATAAATATCAAATGTAAGAAAACAACTCCGTATGGACTGAAATTAAAAAATTGTTGAATTTGCTGAATTAGAGTTTCGTTTCTGCTTTCGAATAGCTTGTGATGGCTAAAGCCGAGTCAAATCGGTTGCCTGTCAAGATGTGAAAGACGTCGATTACGAACGGTCAAACATTTCAAAAAAATTGACAAGATTTAATCGCCTAACAAGGTACGTTCGTCTATTTCACCCACTTTCGAATAGTATTCTCGTCATCAATTATTTTGTGGAACCTGAAAATCCTTGTCTTGCAACCAATGTTGTGACCACGATCCTCGATATGTATTCATATGAATTTCCTCATCTCCACCTATTATATAATTTTATACGAAACCATCAAACTATACTAAACTCAATAATAGATGATTAATGGATCACCTAATCATTTAATCAACGGAGGCCATCGTCCAAGACAATCCGTCATTAAATCCCACACTGCTCATGGTAGCACCATGACCATCACCCGTTCAGAGAAACGTTGTTTTATTCGATACGTGAATACTGTCATGTCACAAGCAATTCAAAAATTCACCGAAGAAAAGAACAAGATGATTGAAAATGGTTCTTGGAATTTCATAACGAGCACTTTACAACAACAAGCAGAGGAAAGAAATGGTGAGAATGGTGAAATTTTATCTCCTAGAAGTGGTGGTGCTGGTGGTGGTGGTAGAAGACAACGAAATGTTTTGGCAAATTTGGGAGATTTGGCTGTGATTGAATATTGGAAACCATTGGAAGTGGTTGGTGCGGAAGAATTGGAACAAAATGTTGAGATTTTTGATCGTTTGCAAGATGGTTTGGTGTTTTTGTAAGTTTTTTTGATGAATAGACAAGTTAATTGACTTGGATTTCAATGAATTGAAATGAATTGAATGAAATGATGATTAGGCACTTGATTGAAAAGATTCAAAGTGGTTTGATTGACTGGAATAAGGTTAATAAGAGAAGTATTATTGCACCTTTGGACGAAATTTCAAAATTCCAAAAGATTGAAAATCAAGCAATAGTTATTGATCTATCTGGATCTGTTGGTTGTCAAATTGTTGGAATTGGTCCAAGTGAATTGGCAGAAAAATCACCACAACCATTATTGGCTTTATTATGGCAACTTATTAGACAAGATGTCACCAAACGTTTGAATGTTATGCATTCTCTCAGATTAATTGCTCTCAAGGAAGAGCACGAAAGTGTAGTTGACTTTATGAAATTACCAGCTCAACAATTATTAACACGTTTTGTGAATTACAATTTGAAACAAACCAAATCAAAGAAGGTTGTTGTAAACTTTTCAGAGGATTGGAAAGATGGTGAAGCATTCTGTTATCTCATTAAGAACATTGTTGATATTAATAATAGATTCAATGGAAAGAGAGTTTCATCTAATGGTGAAGACGACGACGAAGATGAAGCAAAGGAAAATGATTCACAAAAACAATTCACCGATGAACAAATTGAAGAAATTTTGGCCATTGAAGATAAGGAAGAAAGATCAAAGAGAATTATTGCTACCGTTAATGAGCTTGGTTTGAATCCAAATATGGTTCATATTGAAGCTGAAGATATTCACACTGGTGTCAATACATTGATCATGACCATGGTCAGTAGTTTGTTCAATGCTACCAATTTGAATGGTTTGCAAAGTGATTTGACTGAAGATGCAGAAAAGATGACTCAATTGAGAAGAGAAATTCTTGACAACTTTTTGATCATGATGAAGGATGATATGCCAGAAATTAACAAGCCAGAAATGAAGGTCTTTTTGGAATTGGTTAAAAAACTATCAGATGTCAATATTAAGGAAATTGAAGAAAAGATTGTCGAACAAAAAGTTCACAAATACAAGGTTGAAGCCAGAAAGCTCAAGAAACAAGCTTACGTTCAATACAATCTCTCTGAGCAATACAAGAGGAGAATTGAGGAATTGGAAAAGATCATTGCTGACCAAAAAGTCACCATTCAAGAAAAGGAAAAGATCATTGCTGATAAAAACGAAATCATTTCCGAGAAAGACAAGAAGAATCAAGAACAAGCTGATCGTATCAAGGAATTGGAAGAAGAACTCAGACGTGTTAATGATTCTAGAAAGGATGATTTGAAGGTTTTAGGTGCTGAAGATTTCCTCAACAGTGAAAATATCACAGCTGAAGAAATTAGAAAGAAGACAAGTCAAAAGATTGAAGAATTGGTTAAGCGTGTCAAAGTTCTCAAGGAAACTCTTATTCAAACAAGAAAGGATCTTAACTATGGTATGACTTTGAGCTCTGCAGATGCCGAAACTAAACTTGCTGAATTTAGATTTGGTCAATTAACAGCTGAAAGATTAACAACCGAATTCAAACCAACATTTGTTGGTATGGTCGAAAAGAGAGGTAGATTGAAGAAGAATTGGAAGAAGAGATACTTTATTCTTCTCAACAATTACATCTTTTATTTCACTAAAGAGAAGGGAGGAGCCTTGAAAGGATTCCTTCGTATTGAAGAATGTGAAATTGATCGTGAAGAGGAAGAAAACAAGAAAGGTTTTGTTTTCCATATCAAAACTATGGGCAGAGTTCTGAGTTGTAGAACTGAAAGTTATGAAGTTAGAGAAGAATGGATCAAGTGGATCTATGAAAATTCCAGAATTATCTTACAAAATGAATAAATATCTTGGTAGACACATTTGTCAAATATATGCATTCTTGATGGAAGTGATGTTCCATTTTCAATTCTTGAAACAGAGTTGTATCAATTTGAAAGATTATGTCTAATATCTGTCATACATTCGGTAACTTTCAAAGCACTTGGTCTATTGTTAGGATCAACATCTACCATTCGTAAAACCAACTGTTGAAACTCTAAAAATTGCCATATCAAATCTTTAGCTTCTTGTTTCCAGTTTGCTGTCACTTGCACTTTTTGTGAATTCATTAATAAATGAATAATTGAAGTACCTAACGAATAAATATCAATCTTTTCATGATAGTTTCTTTCTTCATTCACTTCTGGAGCCTTATAATAACTAGTTCCAAGATTGGCAGTTACAATCTTACCAGTTTTGTTGTCAATGTAATGATCATCCTTCTTGGAATAGGAAAAACTCAAACCAAAATCGATTAAAACATATTGTTCTCTGCAGTGGTGATTAAAATTTCGTGTCATAATATTAGCAGGTTTAACATCTCTGTGTATTATTTGATTTTCATGCAAAAAGTGTAAAGCTTTAGAAATATCGATCACTAAATCAATGAGGGTCTCTTCGGTGAGATTTGGCAAACATTCTAATTCTTCAAATTCAACTATATTCGAATAGACATTGAGAATTCTTGGAAGATACGGAGAGAAATTGTCCAACTCAACCAATTTGACAATAATGCTCATTTCATCTTTGGTAACTTTCTTTAAAAATGTTGAACTCAATACTTTGTATGTAAATCGTTGCTCTTCCTTGCTCTCGTGACAATTGATAACCTTTTTACAAACCTTCATTGTTGAACTATGCAATTTAGTTTCTCTTGAGCTAGAACTATTGGAAACTATCTCTTCAATTTGAGACAAGTTAGTATAAGGTGTTCTCTGGATAGGTCCATAATTTTCATTGGCATATAATGGCCTGTTTGGTGCATACTCATTGGCAAATCTGAGTATTGCGAGCCACATTGCAATGAGATTGGCTATATCCACGGAATATGGGCGATGAGAAATGAAGTATTGTGGAAGGATTTCTTGATTTTCCTCAATCAAATCAACTTCCAACAAGAATAAATGTGCCCTGCTTTTGAGGAAATTCAATCCTAATACTTTGTTGTATTTCAATCTGTCCTCCTTCTTTGCTTTTTCTTTAAATAATTGTTCTCTTTCGAATAACAATGTAACTTACTATCTAAGGAAAAACAACAAACCTTAAAGTGCTTTTCATGGATAATATCAATTTGAAAGCATCGGTAAAATCATTTTCCCAGTGCTCAGGTTTATCAAAACTTTTATCTTCTCTCAACAAATAAGGAATTGTTGAAAAATCAGTTGAAATAGTGCCATCACTTTGAACATGAAAGATTGGCAAGTCACTATCATCCAAGTGTATATCTATTCGTTGATCACTAAAACTAAATTCCAATAACAATCAAAAATCAACTCCAACTTACCCATTTTGGACATGGCCCTTAATGCAACAAATGACATCCAATAAAGAAGAAATGGCACTGGAAACGACTATTTCACCCAGATCTTTTCTTTGCATTGAATCTAATCTTTGCAAACTTGATACTAATGAAAATATGTGGTGAGCCCGAACTCTTTGTTTCGTACTCTCGGAAAGGAGCTTTGCTGCCTTTTCGAATGACTCTGATAAATCTTTGATGCTATCGGTATCTATAAATTGGTAGTAGCAATCCACAAGAATATCTAAGGTGGATTCACATATGGGAAGTGGATGAGTTTCTTTTGGTGTAATGTTTAGAGCAAATAAGAACTTTAGGGTTTCCTCTTTTTCAATCCACGGATATTGTGTTTTCTTCACATTGATATTTAATTGTTTGGTGATGTATTCGACCACCAATTGGATCTTATCCGAGTCGTCTTGAAGTATTTCGCACGCTTTTAAAATTTCTTGCAATTTGTTTCTCTTTTGTGGCTTATTCATTTTTTTTGAAATGTACTTTAATATTTGCTCATTTTAGTATTTATCAAGTAAGGTTTCCAATAAGGTTGAATTATGGATTAAAGGAGTTACTTTTCGAAACAATTAATCTCTTCAATAAATACTATTCTATATTTATTGAATTACTAGTTGGGAAATACAAGCTATAATACCATGGTTGAAATGGAAAAATCAGTCATTTGACTCTGGTATTGCTTACCTTGACCCAGTTGGGAAGTTTGAGTATTGTAGAATTGACATACGCCCATCAATTTGGAATGCATGAAATCAGAGAAGAATGATCAAGTGGATCTATGATGATCTTACAAAATGAATTAATATCTTAGTCGACATTTGTATCCACATAAAAATATTGCATAATTGATTTGTAGAATGTATCTTCAATCTGCCCTCTCTTTGGAATGATTGTTTCCCAAAAGTCATCTTTATCGAAATGACCTTCCCTGACTTGGGTCAACAATTCTTGATCGTATTTTCTAATGTATAAATTGCACAAGTACTTCTTTCTATCAATACTAAACATTGGTGGAGGAGGCTTTTCAGGAGTTTCAATAGAAATTGGTCTTGTTGGTACAATGTTACCAGAGCTAGTTCTTAGCAAACTGCCTTTCTTCTTTTTGGTGAAGGTTGCAACTTTCTTACCAAACGACTTGATGATTTCATCATCTGTTGGGAATTGATTGTTATCATGCAAAATCATTAGCATGTTAAGTTCAGTTCCAAAAACAGGGTGATTAATAAACATTGAGCTCAATAGATCTTTCAAAGTTGGGGTTAATGCAAGATACTGATCCATGTCATTGTCATCAATGATGAGCTTATCCTCTCTCTCACAAATTTGAAAGAGTGACCTTATGGTTGATGTCTCGGAGAGTTGTTTTCGTTTTTCCTTGACAGTGGCCTTTTTCTCATCAATCCAAAAGTTCAATAAATCTGGATCTGTTGGAACTTCCTCCAGTTCATGGCCTCCAATAGAATTTACAATTTTTAAAAACTCTCTCTTTGCTCTATCTACACATTCAAACACTTCTGTACAGGTGTCAAGACCTGGAACAGGCCCCAGAGCATACTCTCCTTGCACCAATTCGTAAATACATTTTTCCTTATCCTTATTTGAATAGAAATACATTCCCTTCGAAAAATCTCCAATTAATAAATTGAATCCATCCAAGTGACGAATCTTGATTGCAACTTTTTGAAGATACTCAATAGGATTCAAATTTGAATGTAAGTAATCCTTCACAATTAGCAGCTTGACATCATTTTTCATTTTGGTTAAATGGTCCACTTTTAATTCCTTTCTCCTCTCATATTTTTTAGGTCTATCAGTTGTTACAGAATCTGTTGTTGAGAGAGCTCCAGGAGAGGCAGCAGATTCCGACCTCAAATCAACGGAATCATCAACTCCAAGAGTCTCCTCAACTGTTTCAAACGATGCCAAACTAATTCTCTTACATTTATCAAGAAATGTCCTATTAAAATCAGCACTCTTATGAACATCGATCATGATTGCAATTTTCCCCTTTGCTGTCAATCCAAACCAACAAGGTTCCTCACTATGTAAATATAATTGTTCCTTAATCTCACTCACAAACAATCCATTACTAAAATCCAAATGATTAGGAGTGATTTTCTGAGGATCTACAGCTAGAAAATAAGGTTCCGTACAGGGCTCATCCGTATAGTTATTCCTATATCATGAAATAGATTCAGAGTAAGTAGTTTTAATAAATTTTGGTCTTTTGTATTTTGACCTATAAGTGTCCACTTACTTATTAACCATCATGATGAGAGTAAAGAATGGATTTTTGGGTTGATAGGATAAGAGTATTCGCGTCATTTTTTTTGTAGATTCTCGATTGGTTATTGAGGTTGTATGATAATAAATTGCATTTGAATTTATTGTATGAAAGTGATTATGAAAAAGAGGTATAAATTTATTTAGAGATGATGACGATTGAGATAACCTATATAACTTTGGCTTTCTTGAAGAATAATCTCAAAGCAATAATTTGGTAGGCAGCTGTTGTTTGAAAAACATATTATTCGAATTCAATCTTTGATTACAAGTCAAATATGAATACTTACTAGCACCAACAATGGCAATGAATTTACCAAGTCCAAAGAAGAAGGTTCTTTCCAGTGTACTTTCAGAGGTGTATCTGAATCTTTCCTCTCTTTCCTTAAAGTAGGCTTGTTGATCAGTGATTGAGTCAAGTCTCTTTCCAATTTCCTGCAAAACAGCTGATAACACTTCTACGATATCTTTCTTTTCTTGACCTTGAGCAACTCGGAATTCATCCTCTACTTTGATATCAACATTTGTTTCCTGTGAAGGATGATCCCAATAAAAGCAAATAGCTATAAGTCATTAAATTGAGGTGATGAGGATTTTGAATAATGCATTTACTTACAATGGAAATCTCTTGGAAATGTTGAGGTTATGAATTTGATATGTTGTGTTCCGATTGGTTTAAACATATTGACAGAGGCCACTTGGAGTCCATATGAATCCTTCACAATTCCTCTTACTGCATACAGATCGGAAGGCTTTGCAAAATCACCCTGTGGCACTGTTAAGGCAATGCTCACATGAGTATTCTCTGAGAAGTATTCAGTGAAACACATTGGTACTGTATTTGGATGTAATTTAATGATGAATCCCGATACATTGTCTATTAAAATACAACTCAGGCACACCAAAACTACAAGTAAGGTGATGATACTCTGTAAGGAGGATGTATTTTTGGTGGTTTTCATTTTGCCTCTTTTTTTAGTGGTTATAAATTTCAACGTTATAATAAGGTTATTGTTGGTTTGAATTAATTTATAAAAACATTACACGATCTTGGTGCACTGTTCACACCCTAGATATCAATGCTGTTCTTATAAGAATTTAAACATAGGCTTGGTTAATAATTCAAAACTTTGAACTGATGATTTTAATTTCATAATAAAAATGAGCGCGGAAGGGAACTTACCGTTACAACCAAACACAACAACAATAACATCATCATCGAATGAAGTAGTAAACGATTTTTCTTCTGGTACATCTTTTTCTAAATTGAAGGAAGAAAACAATACTCAAGAATTAGAATACAGGAAGAATTTGAGTGATGATGGTAGCGTAAATTGGAGTGATTTACCTTTCACTATTTATTCATCGGAATCAGTCAATAGATGTAAACCTTCTCTTCTGATGGAATCATCGGAGAGGATTCAACAAGGTGGAGAAATTAATGATAATTATATTGGTGTCATTCCAGAACAACACTATCGATACACGAATAATAATGGTCTCTTTTTCGTTCATCCAATTAAAAATCAACACACTCCCACTTCACAAATATTGGATAATTTCTACTTGTTACATTCAAGAGCTAAATTACAACAGAGTTTTATCATTGTTGGCGGAAGACATCAGGTTAAGGAGAGGAAATCAAGTAAATTCTTTATGGATGAAGTATTTTGGTTATCTATTTGGGATTCGAAACTTGTTCCTTGCCCTAAATTTACTAGATTTAATTTGGAGAGTATTGATGTTGAGTTTGTGGAACGAGTGGATGCTAGAGATAATGAGTACATGTTTTTTGTGGTGAATGAAGGTGATAGGGAGAAGAATTGTGTGAAATTGAGTGGTAAATTTGAGACTATCCTTTCTCAATGTTTCTCATTCCCAATTCACTCATTATATACTAATTTTCCACCAGTTTATGAAAGCTTAAGGGAACGTAATTCATTAATGGGAGATCAATTCAATTGCCTAATTGAAAAAGAGGATTGGTTCAAGGATAATTTACATTCTCACATAATTTTACAGAGATATTTCAAACCAATAGAAATCACAGAAACCCAAACAGAGGCAGAGAAGAATCTGGCTCAACTTCTCCAAGATGACAGTAAATCATGGCTAGACCCAACCCTCGAACGTCTTCCTAAATATAATGCTCTCAGAGAATCTCAAGATAGAAAATACTCAACAACTTGTGTTCAGAAAGGAGTAGAATTCTCCAAGCAAAAGAATTATACCAAAGCTCTCGATCTCTACAAGGAAGCTCTCGATTATGATGATAAGAACATTGATGCATTCATTGGAATTGGCAGTGCTCTCTACAATCAGAAATCCTACCAATTGGCCAGTGATAATTTCCAAAAAGCTCACCAACTAGATCCCAATCATCCCATTCCAATTCAATATTTGGAAAAGACCAAAGTCAAGATTGAACAAGCTCTCAAGGAACGTATCGAGAATGAAAATAAGAGAAAGTTTGCTGGAGCAGATCACCAACCACAACCAACCAAAAGTATCCACGCTGAAGTCGAACAAACCTTGAGCAAACTTCTTCACACAACCAAAAAGCAGCGAAGGTAATATTTAGAAATAATCAAAAAAAATGTTCCTCGACGACGTGACTCCTGTGCCCTCTCTTTCATCAAATAATATATTTGATGGCAATAGTTGTAGTGAATCGGAGGATATTAACTCATCATCGGATTCTGCCCTGAATGAAAGATGGAATGCGGAGATTATATTAGAAATTTTGAAACAGCATTATCCTCATCTTCTGCAACCTGATGCTGTTTGTTCGCAATATATTCTTGAAGAGAATTCCTTATGGGATTGTAGTGTTGATTCGGAAGAATTGACAGGAGGAGTTGAAAATGATAGTGTTAAAATAACAATTTCGTTTAGTGGTAAATTGAAGAATGGAACTGTTTTCAGCACTCCAAAAGTATGCTATATTTTCAGAATTTACAATGATCGTGACAAATCTAAAGAATTCATTGGATTTGAATTGTCTACACTGTTTTTCCTTTGTCAAAATAGATTTCCAGTTCCGTTTGTTATTTTACCAACATGTGTGCTGGTTGAATTTGTTCAATCTTCTTATTCCAAATTTCCTGATATGAATAGAGTGATTGTTGATTTTGTTGATGGAAGATTTTGTGCCATGTTTAGTTGTGTGAGTGGCTACCATGTTGATAAGGGAAAGAAGACAATTGACCAAGTCAATCAATTAGCTGTGTTTTTGGGTAGCTTACACAAGATGACCAGGGAAAATGGCTTTTCAATTCTTGATAGAAAGGTCACTCCACAAGACATGATAGAAATGAAAATCAGTGAGAAAAAGTTGACCTTTTCATACTTGGCAGAAGCACTTGAAAGTGTGAGTAATACTATTCAAGCTATGAAATCTAGAGTTGTCATATTTGACAAGACCAATTGTACATTCAAGGAAGAACACATTGAAAAAGCCAATAGATACAACGCTAAAGTAATTACCTTGTTGGATGAATTGATTAAAATTGTAGAAGAGGCAAACAGTCTGATATCAACAATAAGCAAGGAAGAACAGCAAAGACTCGAAGATTCTCTTCCTCAAGCAATCTTACATGCCGACATTCATGAGAATAATGTTCTATTTTCTAAATATGAAAACAAGGAATTCATTGCTGGAGTGGTGGATTGGGATGATAGTTTTTGGGGACCACAAATTTTGGATTTCATCAAGGGATTCTTCTTTTGGTGTATTGCAAAGATTGTTACGCCTGAGGATGAATACAAACCATTTGAAGTATTTGATGATACTCTCACTCAAGCATATAGGACAAGTTATGAAAATGCAAGAGGAGAACCAATCACACAAGATGAAAAGAAGGCCATGATTCCCTTCTCTAAATTAATAATGTGTGCCCAGATTGACTTTTTCGTTCATGCAGGAGATGCTGAGGAATTATTCATTTATCCAGATGAGGACTTTTCTAATGGAATTGAGAATAGAGATTTGGAGCCATTTTTTGCTTTAACATGGTTTACGAGAGTTGGCAGAGAAATTGAGGCCAAAATATCTCAACTCCTCTATTAGAAACATAACCGCATGCACTGTTCACACACATTGTTAAAACATTAATATGGCGCACATAATACTGAGTAAAGTTTTCCCTTCCCCACCATTCATTAATTGATTGCAATATTCCTTTTCCCCATCACCTCATACTCAAACATGAATTTGAAAAACACCACTCAAAATGATTGAATTGAACCAATTACAATGAAAATCATATTTAATTCAATCAATTTGAGAATCTTTTGTAACATACTCGCCCATTTTCAAAGAATCATGGTTTAAATAGCCACTTGTTACTACATGATTCTCCATATCAACTCACCATTTGAACAACCGCTTCGTATAATTTCCTTTTTTGTAATGGTTGAACACTTTATTGGCGGACGCAACGTACACTTTCACAGTTGATATAAATACAGAGATGATGGACGCAATAGATGAAATTCAAAACAAAAACAATAACAATAATTGTCCACTCATACTACTTACTGATATTAACTATTTAATATTAACTATTTGAAAATGATGATGAATAGAAATTGTGTTGCTCGTGGCAGTTCAACTTCTCTCAACATTTTGAAAAGCTTGAATGTCAAGAATCAAATGAACTGTTTCAATATGACTAGATCCTACTCTACTGCTGCAGCTTTTGGTCAATTTGAAACTCAACAACAATCCATCAAGAAGTCTACCATTCAAGAAGAATCCAACAAACCAATGTTTACTAAGGATATGGTCTATAAACACTATGAAACTAATCATACTCCATTGGCACAAGCTAAATTCCGTCCATATGGAGACAATGCACACACCAACACTCAAGAATTGGAAAAGTATCAAGTTTTACGTTCCTATTCACCAGTTGACTTGACTGATAAGTTGGCTCTAGGTATTATGAAGTTTTTAAGAGTTTTCGTTCATGGATTCTTTGGAAATCGTTATCTTCACCATGCTGTTGTATTAGAAACAGTTGCTGCTGTTCCGGGTATAGTTGCAGGAGGTTGGAGACATTTCAACTCATTGAGATTAATGAGAAGAGATCATGGACATATTGGAGAACTGATGGAAGAAGCTGAAAATGAAAGAATGCACTTGTTGACATGGATGGAAATGACAAAGCCAACCTTTTTGGAAAGAATGTTGGTTGTTGGTGCTCAAGTTGGTTTTACTTCCTTCTATACGATGGCTTACTTGTTGAATCCAAGATTTTGCCATCGTCTTGTTGGTTATTTGGAGGAAGAAGCTGTTGCTGCCTATTCTGAATTCTTAGAAGCTATTGATAAGGGTGATATTCCAAATTGTAAAGCTCCAGAGATTGCAATCAAGTATTGGAATCTTAAACCAGAATCAACTATGAGAGACGTAGTGGTAGTAGTACGTGCCGATGAATGTATGCACAGAGATTACAATCACGACATGTCTGATAAGCATAGGTCTGGCTTGATTGAATTGCGTTAAGATTAATTGAAAAATGTGAAAAATTGTAAATAGTGAATTGAATTTGGGTGTTTGAAGACGTCAAATTCGCTGAATATATCTAAATAAATTGAAATTCTAAAATAATTAAAACAATCTTACTAGCAAGCCAACCGTTGTTTCAAAACTCGATGATAATTACGGAAATGATTTTTTGAGCGTACAATTTGGTTTACCCAAGAGCTTCGTTGCAACTAAAAGTGAATTTTTTTACTTAACTTTATTGCACTATTGTATCACCGTTGGTGCTGAGTAATAATTCTTCGTTTTCATTCTTTTTCTTAGTTCTCTTAAACTTCTTCAAGAATGATTTAGCAGTTAGTTTCAAATTATCAACATTTGAATAATAAGTAAAATACATCCAAAGAGTGCTCCACAATGAATCATCACTCTTCTGATAAAGAGCTATCAAGGTTAAAATTCTAAAGGCAACACCAAAAACTGGGATCATTCCAATACAGAAATCAATATTACTCAAATCATAATCAAATACTTCCAAAGAGGACCTGATATCGAATATATCCTTATAGTACTTGATTTCCATTAAATATAATGCTTCTTGTGCATATCTGACATAGGAGACGCAACTGATCCAAAAGAGTGGCGGAATAATTTCTTTCATTTGTGGAATAGTTGGCTTACTACCTCCAACAAGTTGTGAAACGAGAATCAAGACAGCTGTGGCCAATTGAATCAAATCCAACTTGACACAAACACTTATCAATGTTCCTAATCCAAATGTTGTAAAGTGCATCATCAAAAGTACCAAATAATATTCCCAGAAAGTAGCTCGTGGTGAATAGAGTGAGAAGAAAATGGAAAGGAACACAACTGGACCCAGAACAATATTTGGAATTTGTTCTAACATTTTCGACAAGAAATAGGACATGACAGATAATCCAGCAGCTTGTTCCTTCTTGAAAATTACTTGTTCTTGTCTTGTACCAAATGTTCCAAGTGAAGACATACCTGCACACAATCCCAAGGCAAGAGGGATTGTACTGGCAACATTGATAATTGGATTATTCAATGGATATTCACAAATCTTTCTAATAGCAGCAGGACATGTATCTATAATATCTTCAGGAAGTGGTCCAACATAGGCATCCTTTAAGAAAATCATACCAAGTGCCAATCCTGCAATATAAACTAACAGACAATCAACAAAGAATCCCATAATGTCTCTGATTCTCAATATGAATGATCTTCTAATACACATATACAAATGAATGAGTGGATTTTGTCCTCTGGATTTCTCCTCTTTTCTAAGAGATTCATATGAAATATTGGCTTCAATTGGAGTGGCCTGAATCTGCTTGGAATTTTCTTCCCACAAATCAAACATTTCTTGGCAGGTCATAGATTTAACATATTTTCCAGTTCTCTTAGATTGATTTTGATAAGTGAAACTTGGATCGTAAATAGCATCCAGGAAGAAATCACTTGGATTAACAAATGGAGGAGGTTCCAATTGAAGTTTCTCAGAGAAATAGTTCAGAGCATCCTTAGAAGGTCCCATGTAAACAATTCTACCTCCATTACCAAGCAAGACAACATCATCAAACATTTCAAATATCTCAAATCTAGGTTGATGCAACACTGCCACTACTGTTATACCACTAGAGGCAATATCCTTCATTGCTTTCGATACTTCAAAACTACTGTAGGCATCCAAGGAGCTAGTAGGTTCATCAACTATGAGAAGTGTTAACATTATATATAAAATTGAAACTTACGGAATAAAACATATGGACAAGCAACCAATTCCATAGCAATACTGACTCTCTTTCTTTGACCACCTGAAATACCTCTCTTTGTTTCATCGCCAATAATTGAGTGTCTTACGTGATTCAAATCCAAAATTTGAATAACACCATCTACAATGGAATCAATTGTTTTTTGACTCACTTTTGCATTCAGTCTAGTTCTGGCAGAGAAATAAATACATTCTTCAACAGTCAACTCTCTATGCATACAATCTTCTTGTTGAACAAATGCACAAACGTTTTTGAATTTCTTCATGGAACTCTTGACACCATTAATCTTGATATCACCAACCACATTGGCATAAGGTGCCTTACCACTAATAGCTGATAACAAGGTGGTCTTACCACTACCACTAGGGCCCATAATACAGGTCAATCTACCAGCTCTGAATTTACCATTTAAATTATGTAAAATTCTCTTATTGTTGGTTTTCAAATCGAGGGACAAATTTTCGAATGCAATTTCAACTCTAACCTCCTTATATAAACCTTCCATAACTTCTGAAACAGTCAACTTAGGGATATATTGAGAGAATGAAACTAAAGGATCCAACTGAGCAGTGCTAAGTACTTTTTGAGCTCTTTCTTCCTTCTTCTTATTTCTTCTCTTTTCTTGGAATTTATTCCAACATGCTTTGGTCCATACGTAAATTTTGTAAGTCAAGAAAACAGCTGCAGCAATTAAAATATCAATTAAAACACCCAATGCATAATCCTCATAGGCCTTGGTTCCTTCTGGACAGATTGAGAAGGTTGGACAACCAGTTGGGTACACACTACCCACAACACAATAATAACCCTTTGGACAAATCAATTTCTCTGAAGGTGATGGACAGTAATAGCCAGCTGGGCAAGGAGATGGGACGTAGGATCCAACATCGCAATATTGAGTCAATTTACAAGGTGTTTGGATACTAGGTCTTGGACAATAGTATCCCCTATTGCAGGGCATTCTTGTTGTTGTTCCAGAAGGGCAGTACAATGCCATAGTTTCATTTGGAATACACAGAGATGGTTCCATTATCGCTGGCTCAGGACAATAAGTGTTTTCAGGGCATTGTAATACTGAACTATTTTCGTTCGAGCCAACAAAACGACCCAAATTACAATAATCACCAACATTACATTTTCTAATCTTGTTTCCTTCTAGATATAACCCAGGTGAAATAGGAAGTGGTGGGAAATAAGGAGTAACACAAATTGTTCCGTTAAGGCATGGTTGAGCAACACTGTTTCCTGGTGAGAAACATGTATCTGATCCCTTTGGTGTATCCCAAGAATTGACATCTCTTCTCCTTCCATTTTGATTTGAAAATTTACAAGCAATTGGTTTGTTCATCTTATTGTAAGGACATTTAAACCCTTGAGGACATTTTTGTCTGATGCCTTGGTAACAGAAATAGGTACTTTCACATTCCTTCACAGCGTTAGGTCTTGATGTGTAATATCCATCAGGAACTTTGACTATTTCTACCTCTTTAAGTGATGGGCATGACATTCCACTAAAGCAGCTAGATGTATATTGTCCAAATTGATTGAGTGTGACGGGAGTTGGTGTATTGGCTTTACATTGTTCAGCAAATGGTTTCAAGAATGGGTCATCAGGATTAATTTCTAATTGCTTACAAATGCTATAGAATCGATTAATAGATTGAAGCTCCCAACGTTCTCTTGAAATTGTTACGAACATGTGTTGTGCATTTCTGGTAATATCCATAAAATCACTCTCTCCCAATAAACTAATCTTGTTGTAAGTATCAAGATATAATCCATTAAGAGAACACATCTCTTGTTGGAGGCCATAAACTAGAACTTCTTTACCTGTCTTGGAAATGAATACTTGATTAACCCAAAAATCACTCAACAAGTTTGGAAGAAACGTTTGACCAAAAGTGGAAAAGACCTCTAGAGCACAATTGGATTGATTGAGGTTTTGTTGACACAAGCTAGCAAGAGCAGGTGTTTGCATAATATCATAGCAGAGTGCGTTAATATCAAGCTTTTCAGCCAAGTCAATATCAAAGAATTGAGCATAATCCATCGGTACATTATGGAATCTCGTTCTTTTTTTGCAAAAACATTAGAAAGAAAAAATTAATCCACTACCTACCTTATTTCTTGAATTTCCTCTCCAGAACCAATTTCTGTAATTACTGTCTCTGTTTCATAACATGGTACACAGCTACTAGTTCTAGTATCGTAGAATGTTCCATTCAAAATATTGCACTGAACAGTTCTACCTACTGGATTAGAGTAAGATCTGTCAGGGTTTTCAAAGAATGCATAATTTGCAAACTCTAACAGGTTTCTTGCTCTTAAAATGGTCTGACCATTTCTATTAAGAGTAACCAGCAAATTGGCTCCTTGAGCCTTATTTGCAACAACTTTAACACAAGAAGATTGGCTAAAATCAACTCTTCTAATTTGTTCATAAGCAATAGTGGCGCCCGTAATCACTTCAGTGCTATTAGCCACAAAGAAGGTAGAATCATCGACAGTAGTCAAATCCATTTCAATATTCTTGGTTGTCATTTCAATAATTTTCACATGCTTGGTTGTGTAAAATTGTAATAGTGTTCTAACACTTTGGTAACTTTGCGTTGTAAGACTATTCTTGAATCCTCCTACTTGAGAGGAAACCTTAAAGTCAAGATTTGAATCCCATTTCTCCTTAATCTTGTATTGGAACTCTTTTGTAAAGGAACAACCAAAGAGTCTGTAAAAGTGAATGTAGAAGCTCTGCTCTACACTATTGTAAACAACAACTGATGCATAAATTTTTCTCTCATGCACGATTAACCTTACATCAGGTGCATATTCGCTGTCTGGTTCAACCTCTAAAATATTTCCACATGATCTAACGTTGTCTATCTTATTGGATGTACCATAAAATAACGAAACAGAATTACCAAAAGAAACACTGGACACATATAAATCAGTTCCATTTGTCAAAGTTTCCAATGTTCTAATATTGGTCATATCATCAGTCTTTCCCACTGAGTACGTCTCATCACTGTTAAAGTTCATAAGAATAATCTGACCAGATACTAAACCCAATACCACATATCGTTGTGGATTCTTGTCATCTGAGGCAGTAAACTCTATGGTGTTAATTTTTGAAATATATCTACATTTATCTCTTGGTGAGATGTATTTGTTTGGATCTTCACTTTGAGGTCTATCAATCAGTGTTCCATTGATATAGCTGAATATGTATGGCTGAGATGTGGAACAAATTGCTCCATCCTCTACATTTAACCACTTCGGAAACTTGTTGTCACTAAACAAGTGAGGCACAGCAGCAAAAGGATTATGTTCACTGCACCATGAAGGACGGAATGATCCTTCTGTAACAGATGAACACAAATCTCTTTGATTAAATGTTGGTGATCCAAATCTACACATGGTTGCATGTGTTGGTTCTTGTAGGATGAGAAGTGTGATCAGCATGTTGTAAAGGATAATTAGAGCGAAACTCAGCACCCAGTTTTTCTCTCTTCTTGCACAGCTCTGCAACATATTTATTGGAATTGGAAGTGCTTTTTTTTTTCTGCAGAGTTTGATGCTATTGGTGCCTCTCGCTCAAGCCCAACAGTTTTGGAATTAAAATGGAACATTGGTAGAAGGGCTAATCTAAAATGATTCCATTTGGTTTCTTGACATAAGGGCCAATTACAATTGTGGTAAGCTAACAAATTGCAGTGCTACCTCCAATCGACCTTCCTTCTCACACTGCTCTGAATATTCTTTAAGTGCGTGAACTGCACTATCATTCACTAATGCAATACGTATTGGAGGGCTGCATCTCCAATAGTCAAAACAAGTAGCATACTTGCTAAAATCAATTCCACTAAAAAAAGGAGTCATTGCAGCATTAAAGGATTGCAGATTAACAAAGTCCTTATTGATATCCAATTCGGCCACATAGTCATCTCCATTTACTTGAGTGACAAGAAAAATCTGACGTCCCGGAGTGGTCACCACTGTATTAGAGGCAGATGGATCTTTTTCCTCTTTATCTGCAAGCTCCCTCAATTTTTTTACAATCTTGTCATACATGTCTCCTATGGTTGACCAATAAAGGTTTGGTATTGATTTACGGGCATCATTCTTAAAAAATTCCAATTCTGCATCAATAATATATTTAATAGAGGGATTCTTCTTATTCTTCATTGTATCAATTACTGCTTTAACTTCTCTATTCCTAAGTCCACTAAACATGTTATCACTATTTAATATTGGTTCTATGAAGGGTTTGAGAGCAGTTACTTCTTTACAATTTTTCTTTTGATGATAATAGCCTATTAACAGCATGATGATGACAATCCGATAAAGATTAATCGGAACAATATCCACAATTATTGATCCACAAATTAATTATTATAAAATTTAACGTTATCAATCCGTGATGATCAAAACTACATACAATATGGACATTTTGCTGATTTTTTATCTCTTCTCTTCACATCAGCCGAGTCATCATTCGGATCAGACATTTTCCCACAAGTGTAAAATTTAGCGATCAACTCGTTTGTTATTTTTCTTCGTATTTTTTTTAAAATTTAATATTAAAATTTTTATTTTTTATTCAAAAATCAAGAATGTGATGGAAATGAAAGAAAATTGTTAAACTATCGAACTTTAAAACTGTCTAAAATTGTAGTCTTTGGTGACGTAGTCTTGGAATCTTGGAAGGGCTTTAATGACTTCCTTGGATTTCAAAATATGTGTCAAGTGACTCACATCAACATTCTTGAATTGGAAAAAACAGACAATATCCAACAAGATAAAATCAGCCCAAGTGAGCTTTCCCTTAATGAGATGACCATCTCCATTCTCTTCCAAAATCTTTTCCAAGGCACCAAGGATAGTCTTAACAGGTCCTTCAAGGAAGGTCTTTAATTCTTGTTCCCTACTTTCTTCTGAAGCAACGAAGAAAACTCTAATAAACTTTATCAAGAGTTCATCCAAAGCTGCAACGTATTCTTCAGATTTGGTTGCTTCTTCAATGTTAGATGGATACAAATCACCTTGTTGAGCAAGATATCTGGCAATTGCAATGGTTTGATAAAGTGTCCACTTGTCATTAATTTTCAAGTATGGAAGTTGACCATATCTTGCATTTTCCTTTTGGGCTGGCCATTGGTCACGTGGAATGCTGGTAAACTTGTAATCGACATTAACTACGTGAGCAATGAGTTTGAGAATTTCAGCTCTTCCAGGTCCTTCAAAGTAAAAGATTTCGAGAGTCATGTTTGATTGTTGTTAATTCAAATTGGTTGTTTGTTTTTGATATGAAATAATGCAATGTAATTCGAGTTGAATTTATACCAAAAATTAGTCCTTTCTACTCAGGATGTATTATCTGAATAGTTTACAATAAGTCGGCTGTGCGTTACCGATTATTGTAAACAAATGTCCACTATTAATTGGCGCACAATTGTTTGTTGAGGAAATTGTTAGATTACCGAGTACCGAAGTGTACAATTTGATTTCGTTTATCTTATTCGATTTATTATTTTATTCGAACAAGCTATTTTTCTTGTGGAGTGAGAATGACCTTATTACTCTGCCAAAAGCTTTCAATACTTCCTTCCAACATGAATTCTTCAGTGATTTCTGGTTGAATAATACTTGCTCTCTTATGGAAAACAACCATGGCAGGATTGAGGCAGAATAATTTAGTACGATAACCTCTAACTTGAACGAGCTCCTTTCCTTTGAGTTCTCTTCCCAATCGTTTGATAGCTCTTCTAAGGGCAATATCTTGTAAGTGAGTTGCCTTTCCTTGTTCTTGAATGCTGTAATCATATCCACTTAGAATATTACTTGGTTCTGTATCATAGACATCAATGTAATTCTCACAAATATTATCCAAAATTTCTGGGTGTTCTTGTAAGAAAGTATAATAAGAATCCTCATAGAAAGCAAAAGCAGATGATCTATCAATGTAATTTCCTTCAAAATCATATGCAACAATATAACCACGAGGATATTGAGTCTTGAGCTGTTCAACTTTCTTGGCTTTTTGTGAACCACCTCCCATGTAGAATCCACGTTGTCCATACATGTATTCACTCTTATCCAAATACTTGGTTTCGTATTCAATCCATTGTCTCTTGTTGTGAATTTCCTTAATTTCCTCAAGACTATATGGGTTAGGTGTAGATTCGACAAGTTTTGGTCGATGAGATAAGAGTTTGAGTTTCTTTCTTTGATCTTTTGGAATACGTGGAATAATGAAACAATACATGTCACAATCACCATCTAGACACAGATTCTTTGGCAAGTAGGTCAAAATGAGATTCTTTCCATTAAAATGGTCGAGAACATATTTGTTCAAGTTGACAATATCAAGAGTTGAATTTTGCTTGACTGTCTTATCACTTTCATTGTAACCCAAATAGTGTTGCAACTCTGAACAACCAATACACAAAGTATTAGAATTAGAGAGAATGACCTTATTACACTCCATAACCTTTGAAGAGATATCCAATTGTCTGACAAAGGTAAAAACAATACTTTCTGTAATTTCAAAATTATTTTCATCTTGCATGAATAATTTCTTTTCGTTTGCCTTTAAATTCTTAACTTGCTCAGCCAATTCAGCTTTCAATTTCTTCTTCTTTTCCACAATTGAATAACCAACTTCAGTATTTTCATCATTGACAGGGAAAGCTTTCAATTCGAGTGAATTTGGTAATTCAAAGCTCTTGAAAAAGTCACTAATTCCAATAACTTCGACAACATCACTCATATTCCCTCTTCCATCAACAATTCCTCTACAAATATTGGTGATGAGCTCGCTCTTCTTTTCCGAAATGAAAATCTTCAACTTGGTTGTCAACTTTCCTCTGCTAAATAATTCTACCTTGTCTTCCACAAGTGAAATTAATCCTTGAATATTTTCACTCAATACATCAGTCAAACACAAATAATTAATCACATGATTTTGTTTATCATTGACAACAAACTTGGAATCACGATCAATAACATCAATCGGAAGACCAATATTAAAACAAACTCCAAGATTCGACAAGAAAACAAAAGTTGCCTTTCTCTCTACGGAAAATCCATTCACTACTTTAACGGAGGAATGAACAGAGAGATTCTTGATATCGTATTCATCATGAAGAGCTGATTTAAAGACCATTTTTTTAAAGTTTGATTTTGTAATTTTGCTTTAAAATTTGAAATTGAATTAGGATTTGAAATTGAAGCAAATGTATTTGAAGAATAAACTCTAGAATTTACTTTCTTAAATTTCTATCTGACTGATAATATTCAATAACTTTAGGATTGGCTGCAATAGTTTCCTTAAGAGCAGCCAATTTAGTTGGCAATTCCTTGTCCTTGCCAACTCCTGACAATAAATCGAATAAGAATAAATCAGCCCAACTCAAGGCAGTACCCACAAGGAAACCACTTGGTTTGACTTCCTTTTCCAATGCAGCCAATGTTTGAACGAATGGTCCTTCATAGTACTTTCTCAATTCTTCTTCCTTATTTGGAGAGAAGATTGCTTTGAAATAGGCATCATTTAAATCCTATTGTATAGTTCAATAAATGTGAATAGAATTTAACATACCTTGATAGTGTTGACATATTCATCAGAGAAGGAAGCATCAACGTTCAATGTTGGGTACAAGTTACCTTCACGAGCGAAAAATCTAGCAATTGCAATACTTTGGCATAGCTCAAAGCTTTCATCTTCAGAGTTTTTCAATACTGGCAATTGGCCATACTTGGTTGTTGGCTTTACTTTAGGCCAATCTTGGAAGGAAACTGGTGTAAAGGTGTATTGGGTACCTCCAACTTCAGCAATAAGCTTGATTGCTTCCTACAATATATTGATGATGTAATAAAAGGTACAATTAGTATGTTAATAATTTCATATAACAATCATTATCCAAATATAGTGGAATTTAATAATAAATTGTGATGATCAAGGAATGTACATTCATGTTGATGATCACATACAAAAAGCCGAAATTAAAAAGTTGATCATGTTGAATATTCCATTCCAAGCACATTACGAATTATTTCATTAATCTCTCCAATAAAAACTCTCTTTTACTTACAGCACGACCAGCAATTCCGAAATAAGTTAATTCAAAGACCATTCTCTCTTGTGTTTTTTTTGATATTGTAAATGATGACAATCAAGAAGCCTAAATTCCTTAGCATGATGATGAGTGGAGAAAGTGCTCGCTTACTGAGTGGACTTCAATTTTAATGAAGATGTCCATACCCCAACGCAACCTTTTAGAGTGTTTGTTCATCATTATGTAATAATATGAATAAAGTGAGGATGGAATTTCTTAATTTTTTTAAAATCTTTACCGTTACATTTAAAAATTACAATTTTAATTATTGTCCGAAATTTTCAAAAATTCAACTCGTCATCAACAAATTCCAATGAAATTGTATCTTCGTTCTGGAGAGGATACAAGTACCTACGGATTTAAATTTCCAACTATTAGGGCAAAATAATTTAATTCCGATCACATTCAAATTCCGATCACTGGTGCAGCAATAAATTGTTGATTTATTTGAAAAGTCATTGGGAAGTCATGGCTCTTTCTCTCCACAATCAATACATAAGATGTTGGTAATCTCTTTTCCATTGATTGTTTCTGTTGATGGCATTGTACATGTTTTGGAATGGCATAATTTTTTACAAGTCGAACATGTCACCATACCATCATGATCGTCTTTAAATTTACATCCAGAGTAGCAGCATATATTTTGTGATGATGATGCACTTGGAGAGGAGGTTGGATTTCTATCCATAGAATATGCACACTTTGCATGGCAAGTACAATACATAGTACACATTTTTCCCGCCAATTTGCATTTACATGTATGATTAGATCCACAAGCATGATGACATGAACAAACCACACCATGTTGCTTCTGTTTCTTCAACAGGGTGTTTTGGGCACGAGTTTCGATTTTAGCTTTCTTCTTTGCTTCTCTAAGGGTCTTTCCTTCCTCTTTCTTTCTTTTCTGTTTTTCTTTTTCTGCTTTTTTTTCTAGTGCTGTTACCATATAGTCGTTGCGTGTTAGTACAAAGTTAGTTTTCACTCTGGTTTTTTCTTTGGTTTGTTTTGGTGGTTCATGTAATAAATTTCCAAATTTGGAAGGTGGTTTTTCATCTTGATTACTATTTTTGGAATGTTGAATTTTGGCAAGTGCTGACTTCTTATCAAGTGGTACAATACAAGCTTCTTTGAATCCACTAACAATATTATGATGGGATGCAGAATTTTCATATGCTTCATGTAATATCTTTGTAAAGTCTTTTTTGGATGGTGAGGAGGTTAAATTATTTTTCATGAACTCAGTATTAAAATGTTTGAAACTTTGTTTCATGGATGAGAAAACACCTACATCAAGTGGTTGATATAAGTGACTCAAGTGTGGTGGAATGGACATAACAATAATATTATTTTGCTTGGCATATTCCAACACATCAGAATCACAGTGAGTGGAATGATTATCGTACAATAATAATACTGGTCTACTTGAAGGTATGTGTTCAATAAAGTTCTTCTTCATCCAACTCAAAAAGCAATTTGTTGTAATAAATCCATTCTCAGTAGCAAATACCGTTGCTTTACTATCCAAATCACTGAACATATCATCTGATACGGATTTTCCTTTATAAATAAATAGAGGAGGAACATATGATCCTGCAGCATTTCCACAAACAAGTATTGAACATGTTTCTCTAGATGAAGAAGTTACCATAGATGGATGACTTCCTTTTTTTGGCAAGAGTGTATCCTGTAGTTTCATTCCTTTGGATTCCTGTTTCATCACAATTATAGATATGGTCAGGCATTAAGTTATTCTTTTTAATTTCCTTCTCTAATTGATCAAAGAATAATTCTACGACTTGGGAATTTTCACTTTCAGTTCTAACTTGTTCAAGCCTTTCTGCTTCTCTAACAGCAATATCATGATTCCTACTTCTGAAGTCTTGATACCATCCATCAGAGAGATCTTTTGGTTTATTGTACTTGTACTCATACATCTTGTTGGCTTTGTTAATCACATCATATTCATTGACAGGTAAATTATTATCATTCCTTTCAAATATCCACTCCTTTAATTCATCCTCTTCCTCTTTAGTAAAGTAGGTCTTTCTACCAGCATGTGAATTAATTGATGATCTTCCATTTACTAGATCATTAAAAGTTGTATATGGAATGTCGAATTTTTTGGCTACGCTTCTGATGGATGCACCATTTGTGGTATTATAATATTCTAATGCTTTCTCTCTCTTCTCCTCCTCTTCCTGTTGCTGTTGTTCATGTTCCTGCTTTTTTGTTAATTTCTTCTTAACCATGATGATGAAGGTGATCGGAATTATATTTTTTTCATATTAAACATGGTTGTAAACTTTGGTAATTTTATTGCAAAACAATTTATTCACCAAAACAAACAAACGATACGGGTAGAGAAGACCCACACTACTACATATACATTATAAAAACTTTGAAAGTTTACTATTAAAATTGTTCAAGATGATCGAAAATCGAGGGTGATCGGAATTGAAATATTTTGCCCTATATGTTGATAATTTAATTTTGTAATTAATTTACTGTTCAGATTTCTTATTAAAAAATGTTTAAATTGGCAAAGCATTCCGTTCGCTCCATTAAAGAAGTGCAACACAAATCTTCCTTGTTGCTTGCAACATCCCTGAAGAACAGTGTCCAAATTACTTCTAGAACAATAGGATCATCATATTACAACTATTCAACACAATCCAATCAACTTTTAAATTCACATGTCTACAAAACCAATAATTGTGATAAGGAACGACATATTCTGGATAGAAGAAATTTGTCTCCGAATGAACAAATCATGTTGACTCCCTCTCTGAAAAAGTATGGCAATGGTTTGGTGTTTAGAGTTGCGCATATTAAAATTGAAAAGGCTTTTAATTTTGATGGAGTATTGAGAAGGGCTGTTGATAGAGTTCAAAAGGGACAGCCTCTATTGAGAAGTAGAATTATTAGAAATCCAAAGGGTTCAAAACTGGCTTTTTCTTTTGAATTGATGGATGATCAATATCTTCCTCTCATTCCAATTGTTAATTTAGAGGGAGAAATGAAAGAGTTTGAGAAGAATGAAAATCCAATGCAGGAATATATTGAACAGGTACTCACACAAAAGAGTTACGATTTGGAGAAGGATTTTCAATTGGAATTGTATTATTATATGAATGGAAATGATTTGTATTTGATTGTGAGATATAATCATAGTATAGGAGACGGAATTTCAATTTCCAATTTTATAGGACAAGTATTGAGAGAATGTGAAAATGTGAGTATGGAAAGAGAAACAGAACAAGTGGAAATTAAGAAACTACTTGCATCTACTGATGAAATAATAATGGATTCAAGATTAAACTCATTCTCAGCCAAGTGGAAATCTTTGAAATATGCCTTTCCATTTATCAAGGAGATGATATTCAACAAACCTAACCAATATTTAATCCAATTCGATAGGAGACACGAGCACAAGACAGTTAGCATGGTGAAGTTAGAATTTGAAGGGGACACTCTAAAGCACTTTAGAAATTTTACCAAACAACATGGCGTCTCAATTAATTCATGCCTTATTCCATTACTTTCACTCGCCTATTTGAAAGCTGCTAGAGAGCATGACAAAAATCCATTGCATCCAAATAGTTGTGTTAGAGTGGGTTATCCAACTGGATTAAGCAAAATTCCTCACCTTTCTCAAGTTCTGGATGGAAACACTCTTTCCTTACATGTGGGTGTTTTCATTGAGGATTTAAAATTCGATTCCTGTTATGATGTGAAGAAAACCATCGTCAGTCATGCAAAACAAATTCTCTCTAATCACGCAGCCAATTTTGAAAACCAATTTATTTTGACAAATGTTCTTCAATCTCCTCTCACTAGAGAAACAGCCATGGCCAAAACATTAGAAAATAATGATGTTTTCCTTGCTGGACTACCTGTTAACTTTATAGTGACGAATAATGGTCAACTTGATTCTGTGAAAAGAAGTTATCAACTTTCTTCTACCCCATTGACTATTCACTCCATGTACACAATTGCAAACACATCAGCATTGGCTGGATGCTTAGCATGTGGCGCTCTCACACTCCCTCCTAATGAGAAACACTCTGCCAAGCTCATTATTTCTCTTTCTTGCATGGAACCAATCATATCAAGAGATGCTCTTCATTCCATTCAACGAAATCTCCAAGAATTATTTGAAACACTATTCACATTTTCTGACTAGCTCCGAGGAGTAAAAAACTCCACTTCACCTCAGATATTGCACGCCAATTACAAAAAAATGGCTACACCATCAACCACTAATAAGAGTATGTTGATTTTCCGTTGTGAGTTAACACGCTAATCAATGTGAAAATATTTAGGTTTTAAACAATTTTGGGATGATAATAAAGTCTCACAAGTACTTTCGGATTTTCAACCACTGATGGTGCTTCCTGATAAGACCTCCACAAGTAAATTATCTTTTAGATTGGCCATTCCTGAACAATATAGTGCAATTAGAGAGATGGTAAATCTTGCCTACCGTAAGGAAGGACACGCCTTCAAGTTGGGAGAAGAGAGAAAGAGAACTTCTGATTCGGAGGTGCAACAATTAATTCAAAGTACTCATCACGATTCAGAAAAGTGTGCTGGAATTGTTTGTTTTTATAGAGATGAAACAGAATTAATTGGAAGTATCTTTTTGGAATTTACAACACATGATTTGGATGGATCTGGAACTTTATATTTTGGAATGTTGGCTAAATCTGAAAACATTGAAAGAGGAACAATGTTTAAATGGGGACAAGATGGTGAGGAACGTGGTTTTGCTCCAATGATTATTGAAACTTTGATGAAAATTGGTAAAGTTGGAGGATGTAAAACAGTTTCCTGTGTTGTTTTTCATGTCTCTACTGCATTGGTTAAACACTACATGACTAATTGTCAACTTGTTGAATATGGTAGAGATGAGGTACCATTTAAACATGAATTGTGCAAGGAAGTCGAGTTCATTAAACTTCATCGGTTTATTGAGGAATAAATAATTCAATTGACAATTATTGGGCAGTGTTTAGTTGTGAAACGGTTGCATTTAACTGAATATCCCTAGCTGATAGCAAATGACACAAAAAAGAACATACCAATGCACAGGTCGAAAAAGGCAAATGGATTTTCACCACCCTCCTTTTGGCAGGAATTTATAAAATAATTGACCTTTCATGTAAGGGACCATGGTCTAGTGGTATGATTCTCGCTTTGGGTGCGAGAGGCCGTGGGTTCGATTCCCACTGGTCCCCTTCCATTTTAGTTTTAAAGAAAATCATTAAGGGAACACATGTTTTGCGCTGGTCCCATTTCCTTTAATCATGAATTCTGATGTTGTAACAATATTTTTTAAACACCTGAGATACGAGGTCTATAAAGTTTCGGTTCACTGCACTTTGGCCAGTTAGCAATGACCTTCAGGAAACGTATCTTGTTAAGGTAAAATAAAAGAATTTGAATTTCGTATGCATGGAAATTATTCTTGACGCGGCAGAACTGTAGGTGCTTTTGAATTTTTTAATGTGTACCCCTTTATTTCTCTCCAAGTTCTTTAGAAATCTATTTGATAATAGTTCCACACTGTGCAAGCAATTAAAACAAGAATTGGATCGACTTTGAATCGATTGTGGGTTGATTGTCGTGACCAGTGAACTTTGAATCGATTTTGTTGCGAGTAAATTGACTTTTTTTACGACTTAGACAATTTTCTTTCAAATTTGTACAAATTAATTTTGCTCGAACTATGAGCAAGCATTTTGTGCATGGTTCTTTGAGTGATGAATATTCTCTTAGAACAAATTACCGACCGTATCTTTGAGTTTCTCAAAGCCAGTTCAATACTGGCAAATTTCAACTTTAGTCTACAGACCTAGTGGCTAAAAGATGTAAAAATTCCAATTGCTCTCGTTTTCTCTCCATCTCTTCCAATGCTTTTTGAGTTTCCATTTTGGATTTTTCTAATTTCCTAATAATTCAATTAATACAATTTGAAACAAGCTGCTACTTACTTTTCAATCAACCTAGCCTTATCTTTCTTCTTTTTCTTTTGTGGTTGTTTCACTTCAGCCACAATCTCAGAAGGCATTTCCGTGTCAATCTTGAATGGAAGTCTCACTTCTGTATTGGGATCATTGAGATATTTCATATGACAAACTCTGGTAGGACCACCAGAATAGTGAAACTCTAAATCTCTCAACTTTTTATCCATACGTTGATTCCATCTGTGAAATGTATTGGTTTGATTAGTAGTTGGTGATCCATCAGGCGAGTGTTTATCTTTTAATGGAGCTACCCAACTACTAGTAACAGTTGGAGGTGAACAAACAAGTTTTTGATTATCCCACTCCTTATCAGCCTTCTTATTTCTTGCAGTGAGTGGCATTGTCTGTTTGGCGTTGAAATTGTCTGCAGAAAGTGATTGTCTCATTGTGGTTGTGTTGCAATTTGCCTTTTGAACATCTAGCAATTGAAATTTGAGTTTTTCCTTAATCATTGTTTGAGGATTAGCAGAGTGCATTTGAAGAGGTTTCTTCTGGAATAACCCTCCATTATCAAAGCAAGAGGATTGTTTAGAGGTTGGAGAGTTTACCTCAATAGGTGGCAGAGTATTGGGCTGTTGTTGTCTACCACTCATCAGCAGATGAAAATGCTGATGAGATGGAGAGAGTGGAATATAGGAAGGTTTCTGAGGGAGTGGCTGAAGAGAGGAAGCTCTCTGTCTCGTTGTTGCTTGCTGTTGATGGTGACTTGATGGTGTGGAGGGAGAACTAATATCCAAATGTTGTTGAATCAAGTGATGAACAAACTCTGCATCCGAACTAACACAACTTCCTCTGGGAGAGAGTGTTGAAGATTCCAACAGTGAATTGAAATTATAAACTTCAAGTCCCTTAGGTGAAGATGAAGCACTTGGAGATGATAACATTCAAAAGAATTATATATAATTAAATGATCAAACGATGATATTGGAATTTTGCTATTAAGAATTGGTTGAGACTACGCACTTGTAGAGTGGACAAAATCTTGAGGAGGCAAAGATTTCAACCGTTATAAGGTGTGTTTTAAGATGTTATTGGTGTTGTTGTTGTTTTGTTTTTTAAAGGTCCTTAAAACAATAAAATGCCACCACAACAGTACAAGAAGATTTCGCAACAACTTTTGTTCAAGGTTAATTCGGGACAAGTCCGCTGCAGGGATGAATATAAATGATTGCTGTAGTCGATGCAAATTTCTGGTGTTGAACTGCAGTGCTTTGACTGAACACGAATGTTTTGTTTAGATGTTGTGCTTGTAGAATAGTGTTGGTTTTTTTCAATTGAAATTACAAGTGGTGATGAGGTATAGTGGAGAGATTGCAATCTGATGAATATGACGAATGTCTTTAAATTGCTAGAGCTATGGTGAAGAGTTTTCTTTGTAATGATTCTCTTTCAAAATCATCTCTTGATAAATTTGGAAAGAAACATCATTCATTTAAGAATCATGCTAATCAAGCATAACTATCTCCAATAACATGAAATTAAATAATTGCATGGATAGTAAAGGCAGAGTTACATTAATGGTGATTCGAAGAAATTTATTCAACAAAGAAGGCCTTCTTTAAAGTGAGAATGTACTCATTCAATAAGAATTTGTCAGTTGTGGTATCACCCATTTCTTCCAAACAGTACAAAATGTCAACCTTGTCTTCTTCCTTGAATTCGACATAGTTTCTGCAAACAGCTCCATTTACCATTGGTTGGCATGATAAACGATAACAATAAACAGTATCTTCTATCATGTCAGCGAATGGATTAGCATTGAATCGATCAGACTCCCATTTCATCTTTTCTTCTTCTGTTGGCTTTCTTTCATTCCATCCTAAATCACCATGTACTGGTTCAACAAAAATGTCAATAAAGTATGGTTCTACTTTAACTGGACGGAAAGTTACTTTGAGAGCTTGACCAGCAAATTTTTCAGTAATTCTATCCAAAACTTCACCTAATAAATCGAGTAAAAGACTGAAGAATCTTTCTGCCATATGTGGACTACCGAATACATGTTTGTCAATTTCGCCCAACTTGATGTATTCAAAACCAAAAAGTTCGACAGTATTGTGATAGGCCAAGAACATGCCGTCCATGCCACCAATTCTACCCTGCATACTATACTTTATGAATACAGACCTAACCATATCATAAAATTCTCTTTCGTATGAGTTATAGTTACCCTTAATCATCTTCAGTTTGATGTTTGTGAATTTTTGATATTTTTCCATGTTGATTCTGATTGGATTTGTTGCTCTTGTCTTAATATCAAAAACACCATATTGAGGATGGTAACAATCCAACTGTGATCTCAAAAGGAAACTTCCGTGGCGAAGGTATCTGTATACTTCTTCATCTTCTACTGTTTGTTCTTCTCCACAATATTGTTTAACAAATCTCTTTTCAAAATCTTCTGGTTCCATAACAAAAAGCTTTTCCATTACTTTACCAAGGTCCATCAAAATTTGATTTGATCGAGGCTCAAAAAGGAATTTGTATGAATCTATTGAGTAGAAAGTATGTCCGAGTTTGGAAAGCTTTGGACGAAGAATAAAAACGACTGGCTTACGAACAGCAGGAGTGAATGAGCTTGTAAGATATTTGAAATTTTCCAAATTTCTTGCTCTTGTTGGTTTGTAGTTAGAGAGTGCAAGATAGAGGGAAACCAGAGGTGAGGTTATGGAACTTGTTGATGATTGATATCTGCAAGGATTTTGATCCATTAATTTGTGGAGGGTAGTATCTTGGGATGGTGGAATGAAAGGTGTCAAATTATTAAAGTTGATTTCTTCTGGTTTGTGGAGTTGTCTCATGTATGGATGGAAGAAATGAGTTTTAGTTTTACCATCATACATTCTGTGTACACCAGGTGAAGTTAAAACTCTATTGAGCCCATTTTTCAAAGTTGGTACTTGATTAATATCTGAATCTCCGACATACATCTTTTCAGATGGATGAGTTTCAGCCAATTGCAAGTATTCTGAATCTCCAAAATCAACTAGGTATTTGTGAAGAGCTGGAAGTGATTCATCATTATTCTTACTTCTATATTTTATACCCACAGATGGAATGTATTTGGCATTTGTCAGTACTTCAGCACTTTGTTTTTCACTGAATTCTTCCTTTTCACGAGAGGCTTTCTTCTTCAATTCTAGTGGTTTCTTATGAAGTGTATCATATTTCTTTCCAACAAAATCTTGTTCTTCTTCTGCTTCATCAGTTTCCTCGATAAGACTAAAATCACGTGGTTGGAAAATATCGTCATCCTCTTCCTTGATTGCAGAATCAGTAGCTCTGAGAAGTGAAGAAAGACCATCTTTCTCCTTATCAATTTCTACAGCATTTTGTGTTTTGACCTTTTCTAAAACTCGTTTCAATAAAATGTCTACATTAATTTCCAATTCTTTTGTGAAAGGTGTGAATTCAGATGAATGTTCATTCCCTTCATAGAAAGGAGAGACATCACTTGCAGATGTTTGGTGTGTTTCATCTTCACCTTTAAGGTTCATATCAATATCGTCATAATTGAGAGCAACAAAACTTTTCTTTTCCTCTTTGATAGGCTCTTCAACATTAGAAACAACATCGGGTAAAGGAGTTTCTGACTGTTGTTTCTTTGGTTTCCTTTCCATATTATGCTTTTTGTGATGTTGAAATTGAGCTTTATCATCTCTCTTATTAAATCCTCCTTTTCTTTGACTCTTATCAAAATGTTGTTGGTTATTATTGAATTTAAAGTTTCTTGATGGTTCTTCGTGATGGTCTTTTAGGAAAGATGTGGTAGAAGTGGTATTGTTTGAATGTTTTTCCTTATAATTTTGTTGTGATTTCTGGTGGTGTGGTTTGTTGTGATGATTGTTGGAATTTTGTTGGAAATTAGACTTGAATGGTTTTTTAGATGTTGGTTGTCTTGTTTCACCACTATTAGTAGAAAATCCATGTTGAGATGAATGTTGTTGTTGTTTATCTTCCGTATTGTTGGATGATGAAACTCTACCAAACTTTTGTTTAAAGCCTCTTGTTGTCCCACTGTTGTTATTGTTGACTATTGATGGCAGAAGAATATTATTCGTTACTGTTGTATTAGCACCACTGCCAAACAATAGGGCACTCGTCGGCGATGAAGAAGATGCAACCAAACCAGATGTGGCATGATAGGTAATCTTCTTCTTGAATAAATTCAACATTTTTTTATTCAAATTAAAAGCAGAGTTTCAATCATTATGGCAGAGAAGAGAGTGAAATTCAGATATTAATTAATAGAGGAGACTCTGGATCAAACAATCAATTAGGATTGACCATTATTAAACCATCAGATGATTATTTCTTAATGTTTCCGATGATAATATTTTCATTGAATTTTTAATGAACGTATTCATGATGAAAAGTGCATTCAGTAATTTGAAGAAGAAATTGAAAAAATGACGCAATCATCATCAGGCAATTTATTGCACAATTCAGATGAAAATAACCAGTACAAGGAGTATAGTCTTCGTTCGGAGGTGTCAATTTTTGATAAGAAAATTTATATGGGTCCAATACATTGTATTTGTTTTTCTCGTTCGAATAGTTCAATTTTATATGCAGGAATAGGACCTAATCTTCATATTTTCAACGCATATTCGGGAAGGGAATTGTATAGAGTAAAACTTTTTGAAAAGGGAGGAAGTATAAAGGGAATTAAATTTTTGGAAATTGAACAACAAGAGACAAGTGGAAATAATTTGTGTGAAAATTTGATTGTGTTTGGACAAAAACGATTGAAAATAGTTCAATTGAAAATTGAAGAAAATAATGGTAAAGAAGAGGTGTCTTGCTATGTAGCAAATTATGGTGAAATGTGTGATTGGATTTTGGACGTGATTGATACTACTCTATCACTGGATAATTCTTCTAGATGTTTGGCACTCGGTTATGCCCACAATTTTGTAGAAGTTATATCATTTGATTTGAAAAATCTCAACCCTTTTGGAGAAATGAAACATTTGACAACTATTGAAGAGAATTTTTCATTAACAATTTTAACATCTTTCAGATCTTACCCTAATTGTTTGCTCTACTCCATGTCATTATTCATGTCACAATCTGAAAATCCAATTTCAACTGTAAATGATATTATTGATAGAGTTGACGTTGCTTCTGGTACCGTTTTCAATCAAGTAATTGTTTGGAATGCCAAATTTAACACAAAGGATACAGTAATTACTCTTAAAGGTCACGATGGTGTTTTGTTCCATGTTGAATGGGCTAAAGATGGCAAAATGTTATGCTCAACATCGGATGATAGAACTCTGATACTGTGGAAATTTGATGAAAAACCATTCAGTAATACAGGCCAAGTTGGAGAAAAATTCTCCTACAAGAGTATAACATTTTTTGGGCATACAGCAAGAGTTTGGCATTGTAAATTCACTCAAAATTTTATTGTCTCTGCAAGTGAAGATGCCACAATTAGAATTTGGGATTATGAAGGAAATTGTGTCAGTACACTACAAGGCCACATTGGAAGAAATGTCTGGAGAGTTGATGTCGATAGAGATGAGCAAATAATAGCCAGTGGTGGAGGAGACAGCTCTGTAAAATTATGGTCTCTCAAACGTATTAAGGACTTTGCTGTTGTTCATGAAACTCTCACTTTACCAAACATGAATACAGCAGTTTTGAAAAAGCAAGCCGATATGGTTCGTTGTATGCATGCAAATAATCACCTTGTTTATGTAGGAACAAAACGAGGTATAGTTTTTGAGATTAATATGTTATTAGGACAACATAGAGAAGTTTTCAATATTAGCTCAACCCTGAGTCAAAACACATTGCTTACAGTAATCAAATGTTCTCCATGTGGAAATTTTTTGGCAATAGGTAGCTCTGATGGTAATTGCTTGATTATTGATTTAAAGACTAATGAATTAAGGGTCAAGTTTTCTCCTTTCGGTACAAGAATTCTCTCCATCTTTTGGGTAACCAACTTAGACTCTACATTCAGTCTCTATTTTACGTCACCTATGGGTATTGTAAAGTGTATGAGAATGGTACCAATTGAACATATTCTTACAATCGAGGAAGGTGCACAATATACTATGAAAGGTAAAGTCCAAACAATGTGTGCTGTAAGAGATGAGAAAATTATCTTAACAGGAGATGATAATGGATTTGTTCACATTTTGAGAGTGAATGATACTATCCAAGAATATTCCCCTGAATTTTTGGTAAAATCACACACAGACCAAGTTTGTGACATTAAGTTTATTAATAGGAATAATATTTACTCTGTTGGAAGGGACGGAACTATTTGCTTTTATGATATGGTTGAGGATGAAAATGGCTTGCTTTCACTTGTAAAGCACGGTCAAGAAAAGATGAAGAGTATCATACCAATAATGGATAAAGTGTACGTGATCGAGAAGGTTGAAACAACAGGAGATTACAAATTACTTGTTGGATGTGCTGATTTTGTTGATACTATTCCAGCCTCATCATTCAACAAGAAGGAAACAGAAATTATTTTACTAGGTTTCTATGGAGCCCACTTTATTGTATATAACTACTCCAAGAGGTTTAGAGTTGCTTCTTGCCAATGTGGAGCCTCCAGGGGAATTTACAACTTGGATTATTCAGATATTTATGGAACTAATCAATTATGTTTTTCTGCTTCATTCTTCAGAGACTCTCAAATTCAGCATTTCAGAGAAAAGCAAGAATCTTCCCTCACACTCTTCAAGAATCAAACTCCATTCACTCAATTCCATGGTAGAGAAGTTTTGAATGCTATTCATTGGAAATCGAATGATGGAAGTCTCAGAATACTCACTTCCAGCGAAGATACAAAAATTAGATTACTTTCCTATCCTAAAGAAGATGAATCACTTTCATTGTCTTTGAATACCATGTCCATTCTTAATGGTCACGAAAGTAGTGTCAAGGAACTTGTTTTGGCCAATATTTCTGGAAATAGTAAGTTGTAAAATATTAAGATTATTTGGCTAACTTTTATCAAAAGACAATTCCAATATTCTTATTTCAGGTGGTGGAAAGGAACAATTAATTATTTGGAGACTTGAAGAACACGTCGATAGTGAAGGGTACTCTACAATAACTTCTGGTACGCTATTAAATATTGGACTGACAAAGCAATATCTCCCACTCTTCCATCCTCAAATTTATAATGATCACATTCTCAGAAAGGAAACTACAGAAATTGACACTTCGAAAAGCTACTTGGTAAAGAATAAGACTAGAATGGATGTTATTAACTTTAGAATTTTAGCTTTGGAAACATTTTCTACAGACGATAAGGAATTGATAATTTTCACAGGAAGTAGTGATGGCTTAATTAAGATTTTCAAAACAGAAAATCAATTGACTCAACTCAAACCTCTTGGATGTAGCTCACCTCACACTGGTCCAGTCATGTCATTGTCTTCTATTGTCATCGGCAATACTAGATTATTATTTTCTGGATCAACAAATGGAAAGATTTACTGCTTTAGAATTCCAGAATTTTCCAGCAGCGATTTGACTGTCATTCAACCATTCTTTGAATGTGAAGTTCACCAATCTGGTGTAAATTGCATAAGCATTGCATTAAGTGAAAATCCAAACACCATTCATATTGCCACAGGAGGAGACGACCAATCGGTCAATTTGGCAGTATTGAAATATGAAAATGATTCTTTAGAAATTCTTAGAAACATGCATATTGAATCAGTACACAGCTCTGCTGTGAGTGGTATCTATACGAATGGAAAGAATTCAATCATTTCCATTAGTATCGATCAAAGATTGAATATGTACAAAATTTCCTCAACAGAAGATGCTTTTGAGATTGTTGCCAGTTGCATGAGTGAGGTTTGTGATATTTCCAATATGCACGTAGTGGAAGAAGAGAACTTTTACAGAATTATTGTTGTGGGTATCGGAATGCAAATAATTAATTTAAGAAAGCTTGTTGAATAAATCATAAAACTATTATTTAAATTATATATTATCATCATTCTAAAATCCTTATTAAATTAATTGATAACCAAATAGTTTTATTAATGATGAAAAAGAAGGAAATAAAGGAGATGGGAAATAAAAATCGGAAGAAAACTAGTGATTCATTGAATCTATTAATTATTATTGAATTGAATATATTGCGTTTCATTATACACCATCATCATCCGAGTTGAGAAGGCAAGAAATAGATGTGGTCACTCCGCTAGTACCAATTCTAATAACACGAAGAGAAGATGATGATGAAGATGAAGCCTTTCTTACACTTGTAAGTGATGTAACATTGGATTCCAAATTCAAAATACTACACATAATTAATCCACCACACATTGATATCCTCCGTACAAATAACTCCAAAACATACCTATTAGTAGCACTCATAGAAATCATAGCTGATGAAAATTGTGATTTTTGCATCACGGCACCTCCTCTCTTCACCGATGAAGTGAACAAATTGCTCTTAACAAGTCCAGAACAGAATCTCTTGGAAAACATTTTTTAAAAAATTGCAAATATTATTTCATTCTTAATTCAAAGGAAATTACTTCTTGATGTAATGCAACAAATAGGATGTGTTCATCAGCAAATATTTGAAGTGAAAACCAACATGTTTTCTCTTTAATGTTGGTCAATGTGGATTTTTCCACAAAACATTAGAAAATGAATAGTTTGGCGCCATTCCAAACAAATTTAAAAAAATTAACGTTAAAGCCTTTAATATTAACGATAGGCAACCATAGCAAGATCATTTGCCGAAGGCTTTATTTTTACCATTGTGATCATATTATCATCATCACTATTGTGTACACAATAACTAAATCCAATGGCAACAAAATCGGAAAAACAAATTATTCAAGAGTTGCTCACCAACTTGGAGAATCGTTCAGGAGAAAATGCAGATTTATTTCAAGAATTATTAACTCTATTGAAGAAGAATTCGAAAATAATACTTCAATTTGTTTCGGATAATTTGGATAGGTTTTTAGACATTCTGGAGAGTGAAATTGAAGTTGGAGAAACGTATGTTTTGATTTAATTGTATGATGTATACTAATTTATCATGATAGTAACCCAACAGTATTTACTTGCTACGGATTTTTGGCTCATCACGAAACCATTTCTAAACAGTACTCCTCGGTTCATGTAGAAAGATTTTTCAGAATTGTGGTAAAACAAACAAATTTATCGAAAAAGTCCTTGTCACTAGCAGTGTGGTGTTTGGGTGTTCAGAGATTCTCGTCACAAGTTGGATATAATGTGATTGAGCCTCATTCAAATGATATTTTCAACTCAATTCATGTTGGTATAAAGAATCCATACCAAAATTACATCACAACTGCAGAAGCTTTGAATACTCTGTTAGTACTTTTGAATCAATTGCAAGAGATTTCAGCAAAATTTGTATCGATATGGTTTGTTGATGTAATCGAATGTCTTGTGTCACCTCACAAAACGTAAGTAAGATATCTATCGTTTTATCTCATTTTTGTAGTGTTTGTGTAGCAGCTGAGAGGATTACAGAGTTAACTGTCTTTAAAAACATGCTACCTTTCAGTAATAATACTAAATTCAAAATATCAGAAAGAGATTTAGCGGAAATATCTAAAAGTTTATTAGCTTCAATTGAGGATTATCAAAAAATGCTTAAACAAAATCTAACTGTTCCAGTCTATGAAACTACTCAAATACAGCTAAAGGCCATCACAAATAATAATGGAGCTACGTTGAATTGGAACCAGATTCTGCCTGAAATAACAAATAGACAACAAATTATAGGATTCAAAGCCTGGGGATATATTCTTTACTTTTTACAGAAAAATATTTCAAAAGAAAATGTACTTTCAAACCTTAATGAAATTATCAAACCTAAGTTAGCACTAAGATCTGAGGATTCTCAAGCAAGTTCTTCCCAATCCTCTAAAACTATGGAAATTGTAAATAATATGCTTGTATGTGAGTGTATCGAGTATAGTTGGACCATGCTCATACAGTTAATGAGCTCACATAGCAAAATACATGCTAAAGGAAGGCTTGCATTATTGCTAAAGCCTTTACTGGCACCACTAAAAACAGCAGCTCAAGGCTATTCGAATCCTTCAGATAGAAAATTAAGAGAAATATGCTATCAAAAGATAATTCTTCATTTATTGCCTGAGGCAGATAAGGAAATTTCTTTATTCTTTGAACATTTATTGAAACCTCTATTTACTGCTGTAGCTAGCAAGGAAACAGCAGACTATGCTTTACAAGAACAGCTCGTTCTCTTTTTGGGACAATGGTTATATAATGACCAACGAGACAATTTCAAAGCTAGAAAAAAGAGGGTCGAGGCACTTTCACAAGACGATCTAGATGAGGATGTGGTTTACAGACATTTCTTAACTGGTTCTACATTTGTTAATGACATTTCATTCCTTGTTCGCAAGGACTTTGCTTATCTATTTTCTGCGAGTTGTTTGAAGCAAGATGGCCTATTCATTTGCCAGCCAAATACTAAAGCAAGTGATGCCCTTCAAAGATTGGAATTTTTTGCTAGTAATATCAAAGTATTTTTCAATACCTTTTTCTACAAATTAGTGGCTGGGTTAGTGCAGAGTTTTAATGTAGATACAACGGATCAAACCATAGAAAACTCTAAACGTTTTAGCAAAACTCTCAATTTCTATTTTAGATCCCTTTGTCAGGTTATTGTTTCATATTTAAGGAATGTCCCACGAGATATGAAAGAAAGTGATGCAGAAAAATATTCATCCCTTTTGGTGCAACTTATTACAGGTCTTTTAACATTTTGTGTGGAAAACGTTTTACACTATTCTACCTCGGATTCATCTCCAATGTTGGAAGAATGGATTCAAGAAATGTCTTCTGCATTTATCAAAAGCTTTGTTGAATGCTTCCCAGTCAATCTTCTAATTTCTGGTACATGCAATTCAATCAAGGTTTTCATTGATGTGAAGGCAATAACAAGTGGTATCAAGGATTCACTGAAGCCACCTGAACTGAAAAAATCTCCTTTCTTTGCTCTAATTTACTGCCTCTATAGACTTGCATTCTCGGCTTTCAATAATTCACCAACAAAACAATATGGAGATAAGATTTGTGAAATGATTAATAATAGTGTTACAATGTTATGTAATAGAGTATTGGTTGATTTACTGACTATTCCAAATCTGTATAACGATTCAATTGTGAGTAACTTTAGTATTTTTTGTTATATTTTTGAAAGGTTCATTTGATGATTGTTTTACTGGAGGATTTAATAACAACACATCAAGAAGTATGTGTTGTATCTAAAACTATTTCCTCAGATACAATAGGATTAACTAAATTATTAGAGTGTCAAATGATTTTATGGAAAAAATATTGTAGCTCTATAAGGGATGAAATTAGAGCTGTGGATACATGCTTTTCTTTGATGATTAGCAAAACTGGTGATGCTAATCTTCCGAATACATCAACAGAAACTCTACAAAAGAGAAAGAAGCAAGCTCAAGAGCTTAAAGCCTATCTTTGTAAGCAAAACCCAGAAAATCAAAAACAGACGGATTCAGGGCTTACCAGCAAGGTACTTACTCCAGAATTTTTACCATTACTGGAGAAGCTGATATTTTATCCTTTTGATCTTTTTGGATGCAAGCTTACCCTTAATGGAAATATTATGTCGGATGATATCAAACCTGAGTTTAGTATAGAAGCTCACCAGAAAGTAATCAACACAATACTTTCGAATGACAGTGAGATACTTCATATTCTTAAAGAAATGCTTGTATTGTTTGGAAATGTAACATCCAATACCAACATGCCACCTTTCCATTATATTAGCAAACATTTGAAGAATAACCTTTCTCACCACCATTTACAAAAAATATCAGAAGATTTATTGGAGAAATTGAACTGTCAATATCTTTGTATATTAAGTGAGATTGAAAAAGAGGATATCAACGGTATAACATCAACGTCATATGTGCTAATGAGAAGTTGGATTCTATTTGGTACCAAAATACTTTCATTACTTTGCACTGTTTGTCATGAATCCCAGAGGTTCAAGGTTTCTATACTTTCTATACCATCAGGAAAATCTACCATACACAATCTTCAATTACTTCTCAAAACCTTTGTTTGGATGATATTTGATTATAGAAGACAATTTTCAAAGCTTTCTGATCCGTTCTTTGATTTAATAACTCAACTAATGTCTGAACTGAAGAACATTTTAACTCTCTCCAGAAGTGCACAACATGCAATTCAATTTGCTCAAGAATATGCCGAAGAGATTCTCTTTGATAAGGACTTTACTACTTTATTTGAGCTTCAAGGGTCATTCCTATCAAGGAAAAATCAAAGTGTTGTCTATTCAACAGAGGAGATGTTACAATTTGCCACTCTTTGCGAAAATATTTGGGAAGGTGTTTTCAATCAAGTTAGTAAGTGGTGTCTCCAGGATGGTGTAGTTTTTGATCAAAACATGTTAAATCAAATGGAGAAAGTATTGGTGATTGGATTGGACTCTAAGAGAAATTCTAAAGTGAAACGTATCACCACCCAATTCTGGATTTCATACTTTTCACAGTCGAAGACCTCTCTCAATTACTCTCCAAGCTTGAAACAAGCTTTCTCCAATTTACTTCAGAAGGGAGAGATTTCTAAAGCTGACTTACCAAACTTTCCTTTCGAAGAATCAGATTTACCAAAACCTGCAATGCAAGCACCAACCATTGTAGCCACGACAGAAAATAAGGACAATAAGAGAAAGAGGGCTGAAGAGGTAAAACAAGAAGAAGAACAAATTGCCCTTAAGGAAGAAGTAGAAGAAAGGACAGAATCTAATAAGAAGAAACTAAAGTTGACTAAATCACAGAAGGAAAAGATGCGTGAAAGAAAGGAAACAAGACTTGTAGTTCCAGAAATGAATCCTAGTCTCTTGTCATCATCACTTCTATCCATTGATGATAGTGATGAAGAGGTTGAGGTAAAGGTCAAGAAGGAAACTGTAAATAATTTGCTTAATATTAGCGATATTGTTTCTGCTCCAGTTGTCGTTAATAATAATCTTGCACCAAATAACCTGCTGAATGACAGTTCCATGATAGATATCAAAGATATTCCAATTACTCCTAAAAAAGAGAATGGTGAAAGAGTGATTAACCTTATCACTCCTGATTTTAATAGAGCTTTGGAATTATCTCCAATAATGAAAGAGGAAGAGAAGGAAAATAGTTCATCTGTAGAAGATTTATTCAGCAAGTTGGAATCTGGATGTACCCCAAAACAATCCAATTCATCCTCGTCGTGCTCTATAACTTTTACAGCTCCTGAAAATCAGGTCAAGATTGAAAAACCTGATGTCCAATTAACATCAGTGGGAGAGTCAACACCAGAAAAAACCAGTATAGAAGATGATGAAACTCAGATAACTCAAACCAGTGCACAAAAACATAGCTCCCCAAATATGAATAATGTAGCCATTACGCCAATACTAAAGAAGAGCCCCATTAGACCTCATCAACCAATTGAACCAACAAGTGAAAGAATGGAAAAGAAGAAGCAAGTAAGATTTGTTTCAGATCATAATCTTACCTTTACAGAGCATTTGACCACATTGGAAACTCTTATTTCAACAAGGAATTTGGATGATTTATTCTCCTCAAAGGAAGAAAAGGCAAGAGCAGCTCAAAAACTTCATGCGTTGCTTGGAAAATTTTTATTAAAGGAGGAATAAGTATTAACAATGGTATTGCTATTTACTTTTTAGCTCACACCCATGTTGTCTACTCTTAATTCGAAATTTGTATGTAAAGATTCGTCTGCTTGTTTGAAGGAAAGAATAAAGGATTTTAACTCTTTCACACTGATGTGCTCGTCTCCATTGAACCTTCCATCAAGGCGTTTAGTATTAACTACAATGAATTGACTAAAAATTTAATGGAAGTTTAAAGATTCAAGTTTACAACACTGGTGCACTGTATTGAAATGGAAACTGGAACAAAATCCAAGTTTGGTCATCAAAAAGACCATGTTATTTATTCATCAAATAATATTCAACAAAAAAAACAACCAACTAAAAATTTCAATTTGATCAAAATGGACCAAGAAAAAGTAATGGCCATCGTAGGCTTGACCAAGAAGGATATTCTCAATTTAACCAAGAGCAAGAGTCTTTCTGCTAAATTCATCACACTTGTCAATGAAGTACAAATTCCATTGGAAATCACATCACCACAATTCAACTATCAATGTGGTCCATTATTGGTCAAGCTAATTCAATCCACCTTGCCAGAAACTAGTGCCAATAGAAAGACCGTTGCAACCTATATTGCCAAGGGAAAGCTCAAAAATTCCCAACAAGTTGAAAAGGCTATCAAGTATGCTTCTACCAAGACCAAGTTTGATGTTAAGGAATTTGAAAAGGAATGCGGAATCTAATTCACCTGATACCATTCAAAACAATGCAAACAATTTATTTCCTTCGACTTGATACTTCAAAACCCTCTCTCGTTGGTTACTAAAATGATGAGAGGAAGAGACAATGAAAGCTTGAAATTTTGAACTATTTCGCAATTCAGATAAAGATTTGTTATTGATTTAAGTTATGTTGTAGATTGATTGGTCAACTCCTCTTGAACTAAAACAATAGAAATTCGTATTTTAGAAACAAAATTTAATGTATTTCAATTAATAAGGAATGATTTTTGAGAGTATGGATGGCTACTATTCATCTCATTGTTTCACTTCTAAAGTTTTCCAACAATCTATAATATTTTACCAGCAAAGAGTTGTGAGAATCTGATTTATGTTTCACATTTTAATAAAATGAATGGCTACGGCCATATCACGATGAATGCACCTCATCCCGTCCGATTTGAGAAGTTAAGCATCGTCGAGCCACATCAGTACTGAGGTTGGAGACAACTTGGGAACCTGTGGTGCTGTAGTCTTTTTCCATTTTCATATGAACCACAATCTTTATTATAGAGGCTTAAGAATCAGCAGTTAGGACTTTAAGTAATGTCTGGTCAATTATTCAATATTGCAACTAACCATATGGTGACAGGATGGATTTCCAGTAAATTTCAGTATTTCTCTAGTCTGTGATTTTGTGAACTTCTAAATCTTCCACTAGAGTACCTAGAGTACTTTGACTAAAAAAGTATGGTGATCCTATTGGCAATTTGCATTCCTCCAGAATGAAGTTTTCAGCTTGGTGTGAACCAGATGCAGTTTGGATATTGGCATCAGAGCACACCCAAAAGCAATACCCAAATGCAAACAAGTGGGTATCATTATATCTATGCAACACATAATTAAGTAAGGTTGGTTGTAATCTGAAAGTGTAAAACTTGTCATTCTGAAATCTGAAAGTAAATAATTGTTCATCTCTAACATGTACAGTTGGTCCATCTCGTCTTAAATTTTGCGTTGTAAATCCTCCAAATAAATCTCCAGCCTTGGACTTTACAATAATCACAACTTTAAATTGGTCGTCACATTTTTTGTGAAAGCTTTCTGAAGAAAACCCATCTCTACTTGCTCTGTAGAGTAATTGTGGAGTTTTGAATGTATTCAATTCTTTACCTTTGAATAATTGAAGAAATTGTTGATCATTAATTAATTTACTATTGTTTTTGGGAATGGATCGGTAAAAGTTGGTTAATATTGATGATCCGAAGTGATGATCCAATTTAATAATAATTGATTCTCCTTCGTGTTCTTCTATCAATTCATCCATCATCACTCGATTGGCTAAACTCATTTTTTTAATTAAATTTAATGATGAATGAAATTAGTTAAAGGAATTTCAACAATTCATTTAAACTTGGAGTCAATTCATGGAATTTGGTCAAAATCATTTGTGTTAGATTTTCCTTCAACCTGATGATTTATTCATAGTCCATGTATTTGAAAGTGTGCATTAATTTCGCCAGCTCTGTGTTCTCAATAGATGGGCTAATAACTGTGCCAGACATTGAGCTGGCATACTTATTATCAATTGGGTGCAATTTATAGCTGTCAATAGATTCTAGTAAAGGATTCATCTCGTGTAACATCTTTTGGATTACAGGAGTGTTAACTGGGTCCATGACAAACATATCATCTACAACAGTCAATTTCTTCAAGTGCTCAAGCAAAATGAATTTGCTGTCTTCAATTTTACCTGTTTTTCTGATCTTTCCAAAGTTATAATACATATCTTGACCTAATTTCAAAACACATATATGTAATTCTACATCATCTTGTTTGTGTTTGAAAATGTGACGAAGAGTTGTTGTAGTAGTAAAGAACTCCTGGCTAATCCCTTGATCAAGGGATGGCTCATGGTTTTTAATTTGGAGGATGTGTTGAATTAGTTCATAATTAGAGCCGAATTCCTCTTTTCCCACTTTACCTTTGTAAATGAAAGAAGAATTGGTAGAATCGTTGGAAATTGAAACCCTTGTTTTGGGCCAATCTCCGTGTGCAATAGTGCATATTGGTTCCATCTGGAAGTAATTATCAACAATAATCTCACTCTTGACATAGTCATACATTTCTGGGATAGCATTCACGCCATTTACTCTAAAATGTATGGTTGCTGCTCTGTCACAGCCAAAACTATCGTTCTCAATAAGTAGTTGAGGTTCCTTCTCTTGAGTCATTTTTTTTAAGGTGGTCGTTTTTTACTTCTCTCATCTCTCTAAGGTGTTAGTTATGTTAAGAGAGAGTCATGTTTATTTAAAACAATCCAGAATGATAATCCTGAAAAGCTTGCATAATTTCCTCTTTTGTATTCATAACGAATGGTCCATGTCTTGCAATTGGCTCCTTAATTGGTTTTCCTGATAAAATTAAGAATTGAACTTGATCTGAGGTTGAATCAATTTCTAATAGAGAATCTTCACTTGTTTCTTCAAATAAAATTGCAGATTTTTCAACAAATTGTTGATTTTCAATTGTTGCATCACCTGCAAATAAATAAACTAAACCTTGAAATCCTTTTGGAATTGTTTCTGTGAGTTTTTCATTCTTCTTGCTGATTTTGACATGACTAACTAAAACTGGAGTTTTTAAAAGTACAGAACTAGTTAAATCATGTGAAATACTTTTACCAGCTAAAAGTGTCAAGTGAACATGTTCAGAAATTTGCTTTTTTGGATTTTCACTTGATTTTAAAACTTGGCTGTATGGTTCAATTAATTTATCTTTAGCACTTAAATTAACCCATATTTGGAATGCATGTAAAGGACCATTTCCAATAGGAGTTTCTTCATGTCTTATACCTCGACCAGCTTTTACATTGTTTTAAATTGTAAAGTTATATTAAACCTACCAGTCATCCATAAAGCATCACCTGAAGAAAGAAACCCACTTTTACCTAAACTATCTTTATGTTTGGAATTGCCATTCAAAATATAAGAAATAGCTTCAAATCCCTTATGTGGATGTTCTGGAAATCCATTTTTAGGATTTGGTATTTTAGCTTCATCGAGTAATAGAAATGGATCATGATAGGAAACAGATTGTCCTCCAATGGTTCTACAAACTTTAATTCCTGCACCTTCAGAAACTTCTCTTCCCACAATAGTTTTAAGGACTTTCAATCGATTGAGATTATTCATCATCAATTTTTTTTCACAATCAAGGGACAAATCTGTTTATGTTTTTTGAAATTGTGGCGTTTTAATTCTTGCATTTCTTCCTCTCTTCATTTAATCCGAATGACATTTGTTCCTCATTTCATCCGACTTTATTATCTCATACATTTCATATTCTTTAAGAGATAATTCTTTATGTGTGGGATTGAAATAATTTAAATTGGAGGGATGCTTGTTGACCTACCTAGTAGATTTATTGAAATTCTTTATCTTCTACCACAATTTTGGTATATTTCTTTTTCTTTTGAGTGCTTGATTGATTCTTTGGAGGGTCTACAATAATTGATTCTTTTTTGGATGGTGTGAATGTGAGTGATGAATTTAAAAAGTCAATTTCCCAACTGTATAGTTTAAAGCTTTCCAATTTGAACTTTTTGATTTGGAGAGTTGTGTGGAGATGGAATTTTTGGAATTTGGTTTTGGTTTCAAAATCAAGGGATTTAACCATTTGTGGAAGAGATTTAGACCTATTGCACAATCTTTGGAAACAATCATCATCAACCAATTTCAGAATATATTCTAAACGATCCTTATTTTCCTTTACTTCTGGATCAAGTTGGAATTGATTTAGTGATTTCAAAAATCCATTTTCACTCTTTTCTGAAAGATAGGTCTTTCTTGCTTTATCCAAAATTGGTTCGAATAGATATTGAGTAATATCCATTTCCTTCTTGAGGGCAGGATTTGTAAACTTTTCAGAAATAGATAGAATTGAATTCTCATAAATAGATTTGACTTGCTCCCAATTCAACTTGGTTTTAGTTTCCTTATCGAATAAAGAGTATGTAAATAGTTCACCTCTTGGTATTAGTGAGGCATGTACACCATGAACATTTGCACACTCTATCAGATACTTTCTAGCTCTCTTTATGGACTTGATGTTGGACTTTGCTGGGATAAAGTTGGTAACTTTTGAGCTTTTTGCGCTTTCATGTTCATTGCCAGTAGGAGGATACTTTGTAAGGCTCAAAAAACAATTTGTGAAATAGGGTGTAGCCATGTCATAAAATCTTTTTGGATTATATTCATTCAATAATTTATAATCACAAAATAGAAACTCAGCTGCAACCACTCCAATACTATTCAATCGCTTTAAATAATGTTTAAGTGGGGTTTTCATATCTTTCAGTCCAATAATTGTGAAACACATTGAAAAATTGTTCAAGAACTTTCTCGAAACCAACGATTGAGTTCCTTCCAATTCATAATTCTCTGAATATTTCCTATCAAACAGCATTTTAGGATCATAAACTGTTTCTTGATCGAAAAATTTATCTCCAACATTATTCCAATACAATAACCATCTATAATCATCCAAATAATATAACTGTTTGATCATTTTCTCTAACATTTCGGGATCTTCCAAATAATTCTTAAATTCCAATTTCTCAAAATCTTGTTTTTCTACAAATTTCAAATCATCAAGATCAATTAACACACTTTGTTCATTCACCAAGTTGTTGCTTTCAAAGTTTTCATAGTAATGAGGTCTAACTTTCTTGATTATTCTCTGAACAATGGTATATTTCTGTTGATATTCGACCCATTTCAAAGTAAACTTGTTTAATCTTTTATATTTTGATTGATAGAAATAGGGCATGTACGAAATGATATGACAGAAAGAATAGGTATCCAGCATGTTGTGAGCTACATAACTCCATTCCTCTTCCTTCAGATCTAATAGAGGATCTTTTTTCATTTTTTTCAAATTTAAAATGTAAATCTAATTTTAGCGTTATAACGAAACCAACTCGATTGACTCACTAAATTCTCATCTTATGAATTTGATCAAAATTGATAAACTCATTTATTTAAGGGCAACAATGAAATTGTCTGGATTTTCCAAATATTCCTTCCACACGTTAGAGAATCTGGCCATGGTAGCACCATCAACAACACGGTGATCAGCAGCCCAACTCATGTACATAATGTGTTTTGGAACAACATTATTGTGTGAATCAAAAGTGGCAGTCTTCTTAATCATACCAATAGCACCAATGCAAACTTCAGGAATTGAAAGAATTGGATCAGCATAAGTACCACCAATAGTACCAATGTTTGACAATGTGAAAGTACCACCTCTCAAATCATTAGAACCAAGCTTTCCTTGCTTGCCCAATTCTTGAAGACGATTCAATTCAGCAGCAATCTCGAGTATAGACTTATTTTGGACAGACTTGATGTTTGGAACCAACAAACCATTTGGTGTATCCATAGCAACACCAATATTATGTTCACCCTTGTAAATAATTTCACTTTCGTCTTCAGAGAGAGAAGAGTTCAAAACTGGATATTCCTTGAGAGCTAAAGAAACAGCCTTAATAATAAATGGCATATAGCTCAATTTGACACCTTGTCTTTCGGCTGTCTTCTTCAAATGATTTCTAAGAGTCATCAAATTATCTACATAAACTTCATCCTTGTATCCAAAGTGTGGAACTTTAGTAGCAGCATTCATAGTCTTAATCATGGTACGCATAAGTCCTCTGACAGGTTCTCTACGATCACCAACAACTGGTGTAGATGGAGCTGCAGTAGTAGTTTGTTCTGGAACAGCAGCAACCTTTTCCGATTGTTTTTCAGTATGTTTAGTTGGATTTTCCAAATAAGACAAGACATCTTCCTTCAAAACTCTACCATTTCTTCCAGTAGCTTGTACCTTTGTTAAATCAATATTATTTTCACGAGCAATTCTTCTCACAGCTGGTGTTGTTAAAGTCTTTCCGAATGATGCTTCAGCAAGATCTGATGAAGAACAACTAGTAGATGAAGAAGTTGTTGTTGTTGTTTTAGTTTCTGTTGTGCTTGTTGATGATGGAGTACTAGCTGTTGGAGAGGCAGTAGAATCAGCAACTTCAATTTCAATCAATGGAGCACCAACATTGGCAATGTCACCAACCTTGTAACACAACTTCTTAACAATACCATCAAAACGACTACTAATTTCAACATTTGCCTTGTCGCTCATCACTTCAGCAACATTTTGGAATTGTTCAATGTGGTCTCCTTCTTTAATAAACCATTTAACAACTTCAACCTTTGTAATACCTTCACCAATATCTGCCAACAAGAAAGGAACAACCTTCTTGTTAGAATTTGTGGTATGATAATTTTTAATTGATGAAGTAACAACACCCGATTGATGCACCAAAGTCGATCCAAAATTAACCTTCTTATTACATGAAGATGAATTAATAGTACCAGAAGCCACCATCATTGAAACACCTCCTCTACGTGCCGATGTTGTTGCTGCCTTCTTGGCAGTGGCTGAAATCAATGTACGGGCAAGATTTTTATGAAATTGCATTTTTTTCAGTTTTATTTGTTTGGTCGTGATGATGAAAACAATTTAAAAGGCCAATAAGAAAGTGTGGAAATGATGAAAATTCACAAAAATCACTCCACATTGCAGAAAGGAGTGCGTTTGGATGATTTGGTTTAGTGGAAACAACTAACCTGGTGGTTGATGTTGTTAATTGGCAAGGGGTCAAGTCATGAGTTGTTGTAAAGTGTGTTTCACTTTGGAGAATGGCGGAGCGTTGAGAATCTGTGGAGTAATAACAGTAATGGGATACTTGAGAATGAATAATTGAATTTATAATGTTAGAATTATTGAGATTTTTCCTTCAATTGTTCAAGAATAATTTCATTCAAATGTTCAAAACTATTCCAAAGTTTGATTTGACAGGATACTTCTGTTGGACGTGATTCAATAACCTTTTCTAATGTGAAATCCTTTCTTGGAAGTGCAAGGTCAATCGACCTCAATTGTTTACATGCACAAAAATCATTCTTTCCATCGCCACAATAGATGAATTGGATATTTGGAGTGTGGTGTGGATGAGGTGAGAGATGATAATTCATAATTTCCTTAACAATTTCTCCCTTACACATATTTTCAGGGCATGTTTCACAAGTATGTGGTTTGTTGAATGCAACAGAATATTCTGTAATATCAATGGTATTCTTTTGTTGGTCAACTAATGTAGTATTTGTATGAATATTTGAAATGCATTCTCTAATCTGATGTTTCTCCAAAATTGTTGAGATAAAAAACATATTCGAATCAGAAATAATATTAATTTCATGCCCACATTTGTTAATTTCCTTCAAAAACTCAACTGTCTTTTCACTAATTGGACACTTTTCCATCCATTCAGTGACTTGTTGTACTGTACATGTTGACAATAGCTTTTCAAACACTTTTCTAATTTAATTTCAAGTAAAAACAATTAAATTTAAATTTACCTCATCACATTTGTCCAAGACAATCCCGAATGTCTCCAATTTTTCAAATCAGTCATCATTTCTGGTTTCAAATCTTGAAATACAAAAGTGTCAGTGTTTTCATCCACAAGCGTATGATCAAAATCAAACATGAATACAAAAACAGGGTTTTCCGATGAAGAATTGTCGAGAATCTGTGTTGTGGATGGTTCACTCATTTTTTTGTGTTTTAAAATTAGCAACTAGATATTGTAATCTGTTTTCTACTTTCATTGAGAGAAAAAATGAGTGAACCATCCACAACATAGTATCGTTGTCTACTTTATTTTGTAAAGGATTATGATCTCATTATCTTTTATAATTGTCTGGAGAAAAATTGAAGAAACTCAAAAATTTCACAATTTTCATATTTACAATTTATTTACACAATGAGTTAATTCCAATTTGAGGAGAGAGCATCATATGAAGTATCCACATTATCTAATTCACCTAAATATTCAAGAACAAGTTTTAAAAATTCGTCTGTTTTGGAAAAAACTCTCAATTCTGACTTGGAGTCATAATCTGTCTTTTGTAAATTCACAATACACATCTTTCCTCCCTTCTCAAGACATTTCAATGGCAAATTACATGCAGGAGAAACTTTCATTGAAGTTCCCAAAACAATTGCAAGATCAGCTGCTTTAGAATGAGCTACAGATTGAAGCAAATCCTTCTCTGGAAGATTTTCACCGAAATGAATAATTGTATCTTTCAAATCTCCTCCACATGAACACTTTCTACCAGTAATATGAGTTCTATAATCTTTAACAGTCTTGTATGTGTCAAAACCTCTCAAATATTCCTTTCCACACTTGAAGCATGATTCCTTATATGAGTTACCATGCAATTCTGCAAGTTTATCAGCTCCCATTCCAGATCTACGATGTAAACCATCCAAATTTGTTGAAACAACAAACTTTACATATCCTTTCTTTACCAAATGTGTAATTGCATAATGTCCAAATGCTGGCAATGCTTGCTCAATATCAAAATATTGAATTTCCTTTTCTCTATTCAATTCTCTCAATGTCCAAACACCTTTAGGTCCACGATAATCAGGTATCTTTGCACTTGTTGAAATTCCTGCACCTGTATACATTACAATATGTTTAGATTGTTTCATCATTGTAGCTAATTGTTTGGCTTTTTCTTGAATAACATTGTCCTTTTCAAAAGTATTCGTTCAAATCTGATGGAAGTCCTTTACTTGACATTTTCACTTATTGTTTTTTTGAATTGTTTTAATTTTCTCTCAGGTGTGTCCATTCATTTTTAAGAGGTTTACAAGGTTCACCACAAACGTTTCTTTTTTTTTGAGGTAATTAGAAATGTTCCAAGTACAGTTCTTGTAACGACTAGTATGAAAACTCTTGCACGTATTACATACCATTCAATACAAATGGGCAGATGTTTGAATGAGACACATTCAGATATGAAAGAAGAGATTCCAACGAAATTATTATAGGCATCCAATAAATTGTGTAATTTATTCAGTGGAAGGGAAATATATTTTACAAAGAGCTTCTTTCCAATCATCTGCTGCTTCTTTCTTTTGGATAACTTGTTTGCTGGCATACTTTTCCAAATATACCTCTTGTTTCTTGAGAGTTTCATCCATTCTGGAACTCAATGCTTTCATTCTCAGCTCTATCTCTTCACAAAAATCAGGATTCAATTGAATAGATGTAAGTGAATAAGTAGAATCTTCAGTTTCTTTTTCTTCCTCTTTAATGATTACTTTGTTTGGAATATATCTGTTATTGCTAGTCAACTTTCTCTTTTTAGAACCATTCACTTGTTCTTTATCGGAATGTTGAAGATAATTATTAAGGAGAACTAGATGATCCAAATCAGAGAGGGATTCCTCATTCAGATTTTTCATACAGCTGTAGGTTCTTCTCTTAGAGTATAGAGTGCTCATGTTGATTAATTCTATTTGTTTGTTATTGAAAGATATTAAAAACATCATTCACTAACAGCTTAAATAATTTACTTGTTAATGATGGACACATCATTTGTTTTGATGTTGTTTTTTTCCTTACATCAATTAAAACTTATTAGATAACCTAAAACATTTGCTGACGGACGGGATCGAACCGAATTATTAAAATACTCAAATTGAAGTGTAAGCCAGTAATATAATACACAATATCATCTTAAAAATCATTTGAAGATAACATAAAATTTCTGCTGACGGACGGGATCGAACCGGCGACCAATGGCTTATTAGACCAACGCTCTACCGACTGAGCTACGCCAGCTTACGTTCAATGTGAAATACTTTAAGAATTGTGTAAAATAATGGTTTGTGTTCTAAATAAAGGCGTGTCAACATTGTTCCAATCCACAAATATTATCATGTCATTGAATTTGTCCAAAATCATTAGATATCTTTTTCAACATCCATTATTGTAAAGAGCAATCCAGATGAATCAAAAACCTTCAATTCTTTCTCCCAAATCAAACTCTTCCATTTCTTTCGAACCAGTTTTTAACAGCTTTCCTAGAGACAACTTGGTAACTTTGTAAATTTCATTCTCTTCTTGATTAAAATTGGAAAGTAAAAAAATTTCATCATGATCATCATCAACAAGCAACTAATATAAATTTCTTTGGTCGTTCCACTTTCAACAGAATTCAAAGAATTGAACATTAGGATCTTGTCTTTGCTCTCAATAACCTTTGAAGTGAATTCGAAAGTTGGAGAAATCCACGAGGTGGAAAGTTACACTCAGTTCAGACATTTTTTTAATTAAATATTCGAATCCTTTACAAAGTTATTAAAGTTCTAATATTACGAAATACATCTTCAAAAGAATTTATTGTAAAGTAATATAAATCAAATATTAAAATCAAAAAAAATGAAAAGATTTGGTGCCTTGCTATTCACGAGTACATGTTCTCTCGGGGCTGGTTATTACTTTGGTTATCGTCATCAGGAGGTTAAAAGGCCTTCACCAACAATATCAACAAGATCGGATCCAATTATAACAACAGCAACAAATTTAAAGCCTCCTTCTTCACCTTTGCAACAAGAAATTTCATCTCCACAAGTTAATGCTGGTGTTGATCAGAGAGTAGAATCTTTGGAAAAACAGGAAATTTCATCAACAGATCAAAAGGAAGAAAATAATACAACAAGTACAATCGAAACAAATGAAAAGAAAAAGGTCACAACACTTGAGGAAATTTATCAATATTTGGAGAGTAAGAGTGATGATTCTATTCATTGGCCAAAATATAATATTCACTTGTTGAGTGATGATACAGAGGAGAATAGAGAGGATACTATCAAATTATTTAAAACTTTTGATGGATTTGGAATTCCGACTCATGCTGGAGCTCTTCACTTATTTTCACATTTTATTTCAGTTTCTGATAGTAGAATGAGGATACCACTGTATGTTGCCTGGTCGATTCCACATTTACATGATGGCATGAAGGTAACAGCTGACAGAAAATTCTCAAGATTTACTAAAGGTTCATTCTATGATAATTTCACAGATTTTAATCCAAGTATGTGCACTTGATTTATTTAATATACTAATATTTTGTGAAAATAGATAATCAGGATTATTTGGGAAGTGGATATTCAAGAGGACATTTGGTAAATTGTGGAGATTTCAATTTTTTCGATCAAACCTCAATGAATAATACTCACCTTCTCATTCATAACATTGTTCCACAGGATTTCAAGAATAATGCTGGATATTGGTTGAGAATGGAAAGATTTACAAGATCATTGGCCTATGATTTTGATTCGGTTCACGTTATTGCAGGTCCAGCAATGATTCCTGAAATGTTCGAGAGAAAGGAGGTGAATGGAAGGTTACAGACTCCAAAAGGTATCATGAAACATCTTGTTGTTGGCAAGCATCAAGTGGCAGTTCCAACACACTTGTTCAGAATTATTATTGCTGAAAAACATGTAGATAATCAACCTGAATATTATGCTCAAGCATTCCTTGTACCAAATACAGAACTTGAAAAAACAGATCTATTGACCAAATATTCCATTTCACTTCAAGAATTGGAAAGTGTTACTGGTTTAAAGTTTTTAGACAAATTGGCAAAGTCAGGCAATATGTTCCCACTTTGTAAACTTGAGTCTCGAATTAATGAGGAGACAATTGGTATTTCGAATGATATTGCCGCTGACAAACCATTGGAGCCAACCACTGAAATTCCTACAGAGCCAACACTAAATCTTAATACCAACACTGTAAAGTATGGATGCGATTGTATTAGTGTGTTTCCTCCATGGCAAGATTTGGATATACAAGAAATGTTGTGGAAGAAGAATATTACACAGAACGAGATTGAAGAAAAGTGGAATTATCTTGTGGAAACAACAAAATGGGCACCTTCAAAAGACATTACCGATAGAAAGAGGGCTAAATTGGAAGAGCTCAAAAGAAATGTCGACACCACTACCAATAACTAAACTAAATGTTTATTTTATTGATCAAACAAGTATTTATGTTTTTTTCAAAAGTCAGTTGGCGCCAAATTTTTCAGTTTCAAAAATCAATTTAAAAAAAAATGAACGAATCAATGCTCGATTATTCCTTGCTGTTGGCAACACCTCGCAAGACTCAGCCAGTGCAAGCCTACACACCCAAGTAAGTAGTACACATTACGATCCGTTAGTATTCACTCTATTTTCTTCTTCCTTCGATTGTAATTATCTTCATCGTCATTGTCATCACAATTAATTTACCATTGATAATATTATTATAATAGGAGCGTAGTAAAACCAAAACTTATCCAGAAAATGGATAGTGTTCAAATGTTTGCTCGTTTGAGGCCTGAAAATCTTCCATCCGATCAACCGAGCCCTCTGGAAATGATTGATAAACAATCACTCCGATTAGAGAAGGGTACAGTTAATAGACTATTTCCATTCAATGAGGTTTTTGATGAGACTACCACTCAGGAACAAATTTATCAAGCCACAGCTGCAGCATGTGTTACCAACATTTTCAACTGTGTTAAATCATTGGTCTTTGCTTTTGGTGCCACTGGTACAGGTAAGTGTGTAAAGTATTAACTTTAAAAACGAAACTTTTCAAAGGTAAAACCTATACAATGATTGGTAATTTTGATGAAAATAAGGGAAGTGAAGAACATGGTGTTATTTTGAGATTGTTGAATGATATTTTAGCTGAATTGGAAATTAGAAGAAAGGAAGATCCAGACTTGTGTATTTATGTCAATTTTATTGAGAATGCAAGTTCTGGACATCATAATTCTAGTATAGTTGTAGACTTGTTGGAAGATTATGACCATTGTAAAAAAGGTCCTAGAGATTCTATGCTTTCCACATATTCTACTTGTAGTGTTAGGTCAACAACGAGCACCAAATCTAACAATCACAAAGGAAAAGTTACCATCACTGCAACAGCTGTCGAAGGAATGCTAGATGTAGAAATAACTAATGTCAAGGATGCATTCAATTTAATTTCATATGGAACGAGTAAGCGTAAAATTAGAAGCACAAAACTCAACTCTGACTCTTCTCGTTCTCATGCCATCTTTTATATTAATCTTGGAAGAAAGGTTGTAAATAATGGTGCTATGTCTCTCGAGTTATTAAATAGAATTACAGTGGCAGATCTTGCTGGTTCAGAAAAGATTAAGGATGTTACCAATCCCAACGTTGCTGCTGCAAAGGAGCAAACTGCTGAAACTATATTCATTAACACTAGTTTGTTTCAATTAACTCATACAATTGCAGAGATTAGTGGTAAAACAACTCAGGTCAGAAATAGTCAAATCGGACGTAGTGATCTTAATAAGTTAGTACTGAGAGATCTTGCACAGGGTGGATGTAAAGTATTTGCCATCTTTACTGTCTCAAGACTTCTCGCCAGAGTCTTTGAATCCTACCAGACAATGATTGTTTCTGCTAACTTGATGGGTGTTAAAACAATAGATCTGGAAGATGGTAGAACAGTAAGCAAACCTGTAGCACCATCTGAAAACCCAGAAGAATTCAATATTGTTCAAAATTGTATTAATGCACTGAAAGCTGAGAAAATTGCAAGACAAGAAGATGAATTCAAAATTAGAGAACAAGTTTTAAGAGAAGCCGAATTTTCACTTCAAATGCGTGACAATGCTGCAAGGGAAGAATCCATGACAATTAAACTGCAACTCCAAAACAAAATTGATGTTGCCAGAAAGGAAACTCAACTCTATTTCCAAAAATATGAACAAGCCATCACACACAAGGAATACTATAAGAATAAGCTTGCTACATTCCAATCTAAACTTGAAGATCAAAATTTAATTATTGGTAAACTCCAAATTGAAAGAGATGAATATAAGGAAAAGTATGAAGCACTCAAATCTGAAACTGAAAACGGTTCACTAATTTCTGAAAAATTGAAACTTGAACTAGAAGCAGCAAACGAACAATTACAATCTGCTCGTAAAGAAAGAGATACTATTGAAAAGACTTTCTATTCTAGAACTCAGCAATACGAGTCAGATAAGAGAGGAACCATTGATAGATACGAACAAGAAAAGAGAAATATTTACGAACTTGCTAAAAAAGAAATTGAAACTCTTCGTGCCAAATTACAAGAAAGTGAATCCAAAACAGAAAAACAAAGAGAATATATCCGAGTACTCAAAGAAAAGACAGCCCAACTCATTCAAGCACAACAGGAGGAAAAGAAGGAATCATCATCGATATTATCCAAGTTTTCTGCCATGTTTTCATCTAAGCACTCTAAACAATCTAAGGAAGACGCCTTGCAGCTCAATGTTGCAGAATCTAGTGATTTGAAGAGAAAACACGACCTTAAGGAAGACGAGAGGTCCAAAGTTGAATCTCCAAATAAGAAGACCAAAGTTGAAGAGGAAGAAGTCACTATTGAAACTGAAGAATCTGATGTCGTGCCAACAAAGAAACGTACCAAGAGAAGATTCCTCAAGAAATAATGTAAATATCATCCTAAAAAAAGCTTGTAATAATGATCTTAAAGTAAAGAATGTTTAAACTCACAACACTCATTCACTAAAATCGTGTAATCTCCAAAATTAATTGTAAACCAAGGAATATGCTAAATATGAATATTAGTGTTTAATATTCATAAATTATTCTGTTTGACATATTTCAATCCATAAATTATTCTATTTTACATTCGCTGACCATTTCCAGGAGAGAATAAGGACCAGATACATTATTCCTCTTCTCATCTCTCAGAATATAAATTGGAAAATCAAAGTCAAATACCATTGCCAATGAATGAGAACCAAAACAGAATTCTCTAATCAAACGTTTCCTTTTTGATGCTTGTTTTGAGAGAAGTACATTATTAAGCTTGGAGATTACTCTACTTTCCATGTTTGTTTCACACTCCTCAATTTTCACGACAATCAAACCCTCTGTACAATCGCCAATGATCATACCATCGTGGTTAGACTTTAGGAAACGATATTTCTTCCTCTCGTCATTGATGAGGTCAATAACATTGAAACGAATGTTTGTGAGTCCAAATTTTTCATGTGAATATTCTCCATCAAATTGTAAACTTTAAATATTCATCAGCATATTATTCCTCTAGTTCAATAACTTACTATTTACAAAAGAATATTAAATTTTCAGGTAGTTCAAGGCCTCTATATGAATAATTAGTCCTCACATATGACTTGTCTTTCAGTTTCAGCTTTCTATCTGTGTAAACATGCTCTGATGATAATAGAGAAGATCTCTTTGCACTATTCCTTTGAGGTGTACTCTGTTCAAGAGATTCACTCTTTGCAATTTCACTATTAACATATTCATTCAATATTAAATTAGGCAGTAATACAGAGACTTTCATTTCTGTTCTCAAACGATTCAAAACTGATTCAATTTTCTGTCTCTTTTCTCCTCTTCTTGAGCTTCTTCTTGGACCGCTGCTTGTGCTTCCATTACTAATGGAATCAGATGCCAGATCATTAGCACTCGAAGTACTCAATGTCGGTGAGCTACTGAATGGAGATGACGGTGGTGGCATCAATTGTTGTTCAAATAACCAAGCAAAATCAACCTCACTCGAAGTATCACTCAGAGATGGTGATGAATTAATGTGCATTTCCATTGGATCTTCCAATATCATTCCAGCTCTTCTCTTTTGAGGTGTTTGAGTAGTAGTATCAGATGTTGAATCGTCTTCATTTTCTTCCTGATATTGTGTTTCCTGAGAGAGTGGAGTCATCTGATCTGATTCATTAGAAATTCCTTCCTCTTCCCTCTCCTGTAGACTATTTCTAATTTGTTGAGGTGATGGAGGAGAAGGTGGTGTCAGTTCAATAATAATTGGAGTTTCCAAAATAGGAGGTGATGGAGGAGACAATCCTCCAAATTCATAAATTGGATCCAGTTCTACAATTTTTTCACACTCCTCATCAACTTTTTCCTCTCTTTCATTTACCATCATCAATTGATTACATTTACATTCCAATAAGAAACATTTCTCTGTTAATATTTTAATCTTTTCCTCGTATTCCCTTTCAATATTTTGAAAGAGTTGAATGATGAATAAATCCTTTTCATTCAATTCTTTCATTTCTTCATTAATTTTCATCAATTCTTCCTCTTGTTTCTCGTTAATTTCTTGAATTTCTTCCAATTTCTTCACTGTTTGCAATTGTTCTTGTTTAATTTTTGCATTCTTGATGAAGGCGATAATATTTTGTGTTTTTTGATTGTTATTATTCATTAATTTCGTTTCCACAATTGATGGTGGTTTACAATCATTCAATTCTTCTACTTCTTGTTCCTCCTCCTCCTCTTCATTTTCATATTCAACTGGTGGTGGTGAGGGTGGTGATGGTGGTGCAAATCCAATCTTTGAAACCATTTCAACATACGATAGATCAATCTCTGGTAAATCATCTCCCTTTAATCGTGGAATGAAGGCCTGTTTGGAAATAATGTTATTGGCTATAATGGCACTGGTTCTCTTGGGCCGCTCTTCGTCTCTGAGTTTAATCTTCTTTGCAGCTGCTGATGGGCGGTAATCTCTGTCAACATAGTGGTGTGTTGTTTTTCTTTTCATTTTGAGTTTGATTGATGAAAGTGGGTGGCCATAATTGGGTTCGGTAATCTTGATGATTGGTTTTGGATGTGGTTTGCATATTTATTATTTTACAATGAGTGTGTTATAATGTTGTTAAAACTTTACAGGTCTATAATCGAGTTGAGTGGTGGAAGAGATTGGAGGTTTCTCATTTCCAAATTCTATTGAACTCTTTCTCATAAAGTCACGAATGTCATCACGTTTCTTCTTTTCCATCTTGGATCTTTCTACAGAGTGACTAATGGAATTGGTTGTTTGATGAATGGTATTCTTGTATGTAGTATTGTACTTGTTTTCAATTTCTTCCTGAGGATCATATCCCATCACTACCTTACTCTCATTCTTCTTTACTGTAAATGTATATCGGAGATCATTCATATTCTTCTCTCCATAATTTGAATTAAACTCGGTATCTTTGGCAAGCTCCTTGTCCTTATTATTGCAATAGTGACAAGTTCTCATATCTTCAATAATTCTATCAGCATCAGCTTCATTTTCTTGTCTGATATCATGAATAGATTGTTCTGAAGGAATTGTCTTTGTGGAAAGAACAGAGGATTGCTCTCTTATTGGTCTACTTCTAGGAACGGATTGCTTTCCTAGTTCCAAATTCTTTTCCATTTGTTCGGATGGAGTGACAAAATCATCTTGAACATTAGTTTTGAGACAATTCTTCCAATCCTCTGGAATATGTTTCACAATTGATGATTTTCCAATAATATATCCTTGCTCACTTGTAATGATATTCTTCTTATTTTCATTGAGCACAGCATCCGATGGTTTTGTAAATGAGGCTTGAGCAAGTGTTTTCAAGTGTGGTTTATGAGGTTCGTGACCAACATCAAAATGAACACCTCTCAAATCATGCAAATAAGCTTCACTATTAAGTTTTTCCAGATCTACAACTTCCTTTCTTTCTAATGCAGTCCTCATCAATTCCTTTCCAGTTTTATCAAAATCATCTCCCTTTGTTGTATCAAAATTTGCTGGTGTTCTTTCTGGTTCTCCAACACAGACTGAACTAGCATAGAGAGCAACCTTTAAATGTTCTTGATTTGATGGAAGTGTTGCCTCTCTTGCCTCAGTTTTAATAATATTTTCAGGTCTGAGTCGGTGAGGCACATACTTTGTACTCAATGTAGACATTTTTTAGATCCTTTTTAATAATAAAATTTTGCATCAACATGTAACTGTAGATAATTTGTTTTCAGACAACCAACAACCAAAAATAGCGGGAAAGTAAGGAACTCAATGTTTGTTGATGCTCTTTACATTTCTTCAAGTTATTGAGGAAGGAACAAAAGGTTTTCATTCAAACCATTTATCAAATCATCAGGTCTTTCAAAAAAGAGTCCATTTATTCTTGTTCTTGGCAATCAATGGACAACAATTTTACATTGAAATTTTCTAGTTGGATGATATCAACAGCATTCAATAATTTAATATTATTATTTACAAGTAGAATCCTATTGAATCCTTCCGAAAACAATTAAATGATCAATAATGAAATAGATGTAATAATTAATTATTTGATCCTGATGATTGTTTTTTAATCATGGAAGTAATGACATCCTGTTTGACATTTGTTAAGTAGAGGTACATATTGTCACAATTGTTCTCAAAATTTTCAAAATTCTTTTTTAATTCCTCCAAGCTAGACTCACTAACATTCTGATCTCTTATTACATTTGATATATTTTTCAATAGAGTAGAATATCCAATTTCCACATCTTCCAAACACTTTGTATAAGTTTGTTCCGAAGAGGATGAAGGATTTGTTTGTGGTGCTCCTTGTGTTTGTTGTCTTTGCATTTTTTTATTCTGTGATTAAAATTTTAATTAGCATCAAAGATCATGCTCATCACAATAAGAGAAAATAAATATCAATTTTCTTCTCCAATTTTCCAATGATAACGATATTGAATGGATTCAGACTAAAATCGACACTTTTTATTCCAAGCCAAGATGCTGCCATCTTCTTACAATCATTTTGGCTCAATCAATTTGCACAATAAAAAGGCTTTTTTGAATCACAAAAAATGACTGCCGAAGAACCAACCACAACACAAGAGGAAACAACACAAGTTGTTGAACAACAAGAACAAACACCAGTGCAAGAGGAGGAAACCACAACTACACCAGTCGAAGAAACTACTACTACTGAAGAACCAACCACAACTCAAGAAGCTACCATTGTTGAAGAAACAACTACCACTACATCAGTTGTTGAAGAAACTCAAGTTGAAGAACCTGTTGTTGTTGTTGTTGAAGAACAAACTACTACCACCACCGAAGAAACAACCACTCAAGTTGAAACTCCAGTAGTTACTGAGGAAAATACATCATCTTCTGTTGTTCAAGAAAAAGTTGAAGAACCAGCATCATCATCGATAGAAACAACTAATACCGAAAATCAACTTAATGAAGAGCAACCAACATCATCCGATGCTCAACAACAAGAAACCACTACTACACCAGTCGAAGAAACTATTACTACTACTGACGAAACCACAACAGATGAAAATACACAACCAAAGGATGTTGATGCTTTGTTAGAATCTGTTCTTGCTAATACTCTTGGAAGTGTTGGATCTACACAAGAAGAAACAGAAACCACAGATGATAAGAAGGATGAAGAAGAGGAAATTGAAGATTTCCAAACAGCAGGTTCTTTGGCCAATGCTCAAGGAAATCCAATTAATCTCCAAGGTGATGACGAAGAAGATGAGGATGATAATGAACAATCAGCTGCTGATTTGATGAATATTCTCAAACAATTGAATGCTGGTGGTGTTGTTTCTGGAGGTATTGGTAATGATAAGGAAGAAGATAATGATGACGATTTTGAGGATATTAATGAAGAAGATGAAGAAGCTCTTGCTCAAAAGATGGGAATGGATCTTCATAACATGTTTGGTAAACCACGTCCAGCAGCTACTACTTCTGCTTCTTCGGAACCAGGTGTTGGTTGGACTGTTGCTGAATATGCTTTGACTGCTGCTGCTGTTTTAGGTATTGGATATGTCTTGAACAAGGTTGTTGGTTAAATTTCATAAATTAATTTATTTCACATTATTTCTCAATGTTTTTCATTGGTTTGATTTTTGTTTCTACTATTAGTTTACTCATTGGTCTACCTTCTAAAATTACTCGAATAGGTAGCTTATTATTTGTTGATGAGGATGGAAGTGAGGGAGTGACTTGATAAGCGTAGTAATTTCCATCCAAATATCCAAAGTCAGTATCGAAAACATTCTCTTTCAGAGGTTTGATTCTTTTCTTCATTCCTGTCCTTTCATAGAATCTGAAATTTGGCAATTCATCTATTTGATATTCCATCTTGGTGGTCAAATCAAATAATTCAACCACTTCCTGAGTGTATCCAATCTCAGGAATTTCAACAGTGCAATTGCAAGATGTAAATCTGAAGGGCAAATCTATTGTTTTCATGATCCAAAAATTTCCATTCTCTTCCACTAGCTCAGGATTATTCTTATAATCAACTTTGACTCTTATTGGCTCCTGTTTTTTAGATCCATTTTGAACTATTTGATCACAAATTACCTCTCTCAATCCAGCCTTTTTCATAATATCCACCATTTTAACTGATTCAAATTTTACATAAAATTCATACTTGCAAGAGTTCACTTTTGCTAAAATGTGATTTCTTTCCTTACTAGATCTATTTGTGACAAAGTTTCTCATTAAATGCTTTGTTAAATGTAATCCAACTTTCACTTTATGAACCTCAAATGCTAATGAATTTCTTATTTTTATGGTGGTCTTTCTCAATTTCTTCTTCCTAATCTTGAATTTTGATTCTTCTATGAGTATGACTTCTTTTTTCTCTTGGCCTGGATAAACAACATTCATGATGGTTGTTCTGATTTCATCAAGGCTTTTTTTTGGCATCATTGATTTGTATTGTTGAAATCTTCGTTTTTCTGATGGTGTAGAAATGTAAAAAGTCCAAATATCTATATAATCATTCAAAATGTTTTCCAGAGTTTTCAATGCATCCACATTCATTTCATAATTATAGCAATTTATCAATGCATTAATACCAATAAGTAACCAGTTAACATGTGAATAGTTAACTTTCAACATTTCCAAAAAAATTGATGCCGAAACTTGAAAATTTTCTTGTTCTTTCAGAATCATAATATTATTGACAAACTGAAAAAGTCCTTTAAGAGATTCAAATCTATTTGATTGTTCAGAAATAATCAATTTTAAAACTCTTTTTGAGGCATCGGAAGGATCTTCCCTTAGTTTTCTAATAACATTCATATAAAAATGATTTTCCCATTTTTCTTTAGTAAAAATCTTTCCAATTTCTGTAATTGTTTCCCTAACCATGTCTGGACTTTTAATTTTTGTTAAAAACTCCTTGATGGCTTCCAACAATTTATCCTTATTTTCATCTTCCTTTACCTTCTTGGCAAACAATTCAGTTTCTGTATGCAAAAATATTCTCGAAATACTATTGATGAATTTCTTTTGATCATCCTTCTTGTTTTTTGTAGTGGCAACGTCCGATCGTTTTCGTTTCTTCTCCTCATTCGCTTGATGAGAGTCAATTGGTTTGTTGGACATTTTTTCTTGTGTTGATAAAAACTTTAAAGGCTTGGAAAATTGTAGAGTTCGACTCATCACAGGAAAAAATGGAAAGAGACAAATCGCTCAAGGAAGCAATGAATAAGATTGCATTGGAATATTTTCTTTTCGGAAAGGAGCCATCGATGGATTTGAATGATGATAGTCAATCGTCGATCAGTAGTAGCAGTAGTAGTGGAAAGAGTTTTAAAAATACCTCTAGTAGAAAGCATAGCAATAATAATAGTAAACAATTGAAGCCTCCGAAAGAGGACACAACAAGTCTAATTAACAAGCTTCCACCCAAATTACCGAGTAAGAAAAAGACAATTGAATCAAATTTTGAATTTGAGGATTCATTGCCAACAGGATTTATACACATTTCTCCAAAACAACAAACTTCTAAATATAAAGATATTCAAGCAAAGGAAGTTGATGAATCAACAGTATGTTTCTAAATGAATTAATTTGAATAATAATTTAATTTAGAGAGAAAGATATGGAGAGATTTATTCCCAACAACCATTCAGTTCTCCTTCTATTACTAACTCGTTGGTTGATCTTGGATTTGTAAGTTTTTGAAATAATAATAACAATATTGAAAAAAGCCTAACTTGCAGAGCGATGAGGATTAATATTTGTTCATCATATTTAAATAATAATATCAAGACGTGTGCAAGCCAAATAATAATAACGAAACATTCTGTAAATAATAAGAAACAAATTGAAATAATAATAATTGTAACAATAAATTATTATTTAATCAAAATTAATTTCTATTAATAATTATTCAAAAAAATGTCCCGATACTCACAACACGATGATAGAGCCTACAGAAAATACGATGGATGGGAGAATGATGGTGGAGACAAAAGAAAGAGGGATTATAATAGCAGTAATCGTTCCTATCCTAATCAATATAATTCTGGCTCTTCTAGGAATTATGAAAATTCTCGTGATTCATACAATGATGATGAGTATAAAAGAAGAAAATATTATGATAATAGGGATGGAAATGTAGAATCATCTTCATCACATAGAAGTGAACATTCGGATTATAATAGATCTTATTCATCACAGTATGATAATTCTTATCACTACAATAGAAATTACGGTTATGACAATTATAACAACTATGAGGACGAATATAGGGATAAAACTGTATATATTTCAACATTACCAAGTAATGCAATAGAACAAGACATCAAGGATTTGTTGGCAAATAATAATTTGACAAATTACTTGGAAGTTAGCATGAAAAATCAACCAAAAGGATGTGCGTATGTGATTTTTAATGATATTACTTCTGTTACACCTGCTTTAGCATTAAATGGAAGCTATGTGAGGGGTTTTCCTATCACTGTAAAACAAGCTGAGGAAAAAAAGAGGAATAAGAGAGATTACAATGAACACAATGACAAATATTCTAATGATAACTATTATCAAGGTCAAACAAAAGTTTACGCCGGTAATGTACCAACAATTTTTAATAGATCAGATTTAGTTCAATTATTTGGTGCATTTGGATATATTGGAAAGATTGATATGAAAAATGATGATGCTGGAAACTTTAATGGTGTAGCAATTATTACGTTTCAAAGATTTGAAGGTGCAAGAAAAGCAGTTTCCAAATTGAATGGACTGTCTTTTTCTTCAAAATATCCAAATTTAAAGGTTGGTTTTTATAGTGAAAATGAGGCTGAAAAAAGAACTGACAATCAAGACGATTATGAGGAAGAAAAACCAAATTATAACAACAATAATTATTCTCAAAAACCATCTTCAAATATTTATGCAGAGAGATTTAACACTCTCATTTCTACTGACGTAAGAGGATCATTATCTCAAAATATTTCAGTGAGTCACATGTTTGACCCATCAGTGTAAGTTTTCAATTTTTAAGCTCTTTAACAATTTTCAAAGTGATCAATTAAAAGTTGTGGAAGATAGTATAAGAAAAGCATGTAAGAGTTTTGGAAATATTCTACACATTTTTCTAGATAATCAAGACACAAATGGTATGGTATATATTCGTTTTGACAATACAATTGGATCTCAAAATGCAGCCCAAAGACTTCCATCTCTGAGAGGTACATGGAGCCCAGCAAGTTCTAAACTTCCCCTACCACAAGTCACTTATGAGAGTGATGCTCAATACCTTTCCATGTTCAATTTGAAATAAATACTTTGTATCAATTCTTAAAATTTTTTCATTTCATTCAACCTCATCAGCCAACAACAGCAACAAGGGATTTTGGAGGGAAAACATCTCGCGCCATCATTCCGTTATGTGTTTTAAAATCTTAGAAAAAAAATGAATGACATCTTCCACTCATTTCATCTATCCCCTAAAGAAGAGAAGGTAACGCCACAATCATCAGCCAGTAAGGGAAGTGCATCAAAAGGGTTAAACAGTTATTTTAAACAAGGAGCACATTCCACTGATATAAGTCCATTTTCAAGTGATGATGGAGTTCCGGAACCAACAAATAATAATTTGGCTTCATTCCTTGAGGATGATAGCAACCTAGATCCTAATGTACAAAAATCTAAAATCGATATGTCTACAATAGATGAATCCTTATTTTCCTTTATTTCAAATCCTGCAAACTTTGACGAACAACAATTAGATGAAGAACAACATCAAGAAGAGGAAACACATATTGCCGGTCCAACACAATCCCCAATCGTGCAACAAACATGTGTTTCAAAGAATGGTTCATTGAAGAGCAACAACAGTGCCGAGATGATTGAGAGTTTTCTTACCACTTGTGAAAATTTGAGCCAATTCCTTGAGGGAGACTCTTTGGGAAGCATTGAAGACTTTTTCGTGGGCTCCTGTTACGATATTTCAAAATTAAGTTCAGAAGAGATTATCAAATTGTTCCAAGATAGTTATGGAACTGGAAACTTTGAGTCGAAAAGAAGATTTTCGAACTTTGTGTCTGCTAAGGTAATGCCATTCTTAGACGAAATTATACATAACAATGAGAATTTTCTTGAAGAGACAATCAAAAAAGAGGTGAGTATTAGAATGAGAATTTTTATTTACCTTTACAGATTCAAAAGGAAAATTATAATAGCCAAAAACTATTATTTTTATTTATGGTCTTTTGTGCATTACAAGGACAATCAATCAAATCTCATAAAGGACAAATAGAGATGCTTAAACGAGAAGGTCTCTCCATTTCAGCAAAACATTTGGGAGAGCACGCAAAAAAAATTAAGGAATTTATTGGGACTATTCAAACAAAGGATCAAATCATTGAGAAATTATCAAAGGATAATGTAAGTAGTTTCAAATTATTTATAATTTTACTTATTTCATAAGGAGCACTTACTTTCAGAATTGAATGCTAGTTGTCAGGAGAACGATGGATTAGTAAAAAAGGTCAAGAACATGAAATTGAAAAAGAAACATGCTATGGATTGCTTGCAAGAAAAATCCAGTGACCTCGAGAACTTGAGAAGAGAGCTTTCCTCAACAAAGACTGAGCTATTACAAAATGTGGAAAAGATTTCTCTTCAATATCAAAGTGAGTTGAAACAAGCCATGGTGATGATTTCATTGAAGGAAAACCAAATAACAGAAAAAAAGCAAACCAATGATTTTGCAGTAGAAGAATACAGAGAAGAACTTAAAAAGCTTGAAGTGATGGTTTGTAAGAAGGAAAAGCAAATAGAAAGCCACATCGAAAGAGAGATTTCTTTAAAAAACACCATGAGAGAAATGCACTTAAAGTATACCGAAGCTCTTTCCAAGATTAATGAACTTTCTAGGCTTACAAAGGAATTGCCAACTGTTACCACTCCAAGCACACCAGTGGTAAACACTGAAATTATGGATGCCATCAAAGAAATGAAAGCTGTTAAGGAACATTTTTCATCATTGTTGGAGAAGGCAGTAGCAGTTCATCAATCTGTCGACACTCAATCTTATATCAATAAGAAGGAAATGGATGAACTTAAAAGAAAATTGGAAATGTACCAAATTGAACTTACTCTGGATCCAGAAGGAACAAGAGAGGAGAGTAAGGAGCTCAAGGCAAAAGTGGACATTCTATCAAAGCAAAAGGACATGCTGTGTGAGGAAATCAAGAGTCTTAACCAAGAACTTGCTGTATTGAGAGTTATTTCACAGGAAAGATCTTTTGAAAAACAAAGATTTGAAACCAAGATAACAGAGCTTCTTGAAAACCAACAATTAAGAGAGGAGAAATATAAGAAGCTTAAAAAGCAATTATTTAAGCTCAAGAACAAAGAATATCACTATGTGAAAGAACAATCCTCTCTCGAGCTAAAAACAGCCAAATTGATTGATCAAAACCAAGAATTATTCCTTAAAATTAAGTCTCTTGAACATAACCAAATGATGAATGAAGGAAAGAGAATCAGATTGTCAGTGGACTTGGCAGGTGCTTCAAAGGAACATGAACTCTTAGTTCAGCAACACAATAAGGCAATTGCTAAACTCTCAACAGATCAAGGAGAAAAATTAAAGAAGGAAAAGGAAGAGCTAGAGCAATTGGTGATTAAACTCAAAGATGAGAACGAGTCTCTGAGAAAATCCATTCAACAACAAAATTCACAACTCTTACAAATTGTCCAAAGCGAAGAAACAATTAAGAGAGCCATTAGCTCACCAAATATGGCTACTGAATCAGTTTCAGGACAACAACCATCTCCAACTTCTCCAACTTCAATTGTTGAGCCTGAAGAAGGAAAGAAAGGGGATATTTCTTTCAGAGTTATTCCTGTTAAACGAAAACCTCTTCAACAAGCCAACTCACAAAATATTTTGGAAAACATTCCTCAACAAGCAACTATTGGTGTAAAGATAACAAAGAAACTCCCAACAATTCTTCATCCTGAAGGAAAGGAAAATATTGTAAATCTAAGGTAAAAATTATGTAAATAAATTGAATGTCTGACCAATCTAATTTGGAAATTTTGTAAATTCTATTATTAAAATTCCCAAACATCATAAAGTGCACTGGAAAGGTAGGCTTAAGCAGAATACAGTAAAACCAAAAATTCAAACTAAACAGGCAAGCAGATTAATTGAAAGCATGTTAGTCCAAAATACTAATTTAAAAAATGAGCAAACGAAACAGAGAGGAAAATCATCAATTCATTAATTCGGAGGAAATATTCAATAATAATAATTTTATGGAAGAGAAAGCAAAAAAGTTTGTGAAACTCGACACACAAGAAATATTTTCTGATGATATTTGTTTTGAAATAATTTCAATGCTTGATGATTCGTGGTTTATTTTAAATAATTGTACTTTGATTTCAAAACAATTCTTTAATGTGATCAAGGAACGTTCAAAACTTGTTATTCAATTTAAAAACAAAATTACAGAGAAACGAGTTGAATTATGTATGAAAAGCCAATTTATGAATAGTATTGTTAATGTTAAATTTTCAACAAATTTGCTGGAAGCCATAGAAGAACTCGAATTAGTAACTGAAATGAAACAATTAACATCACTAAATATTCGTGGCAATCGAATTGGTGATGAAGGAGCCAAATATATCAGTGAAATGAAACAATTGACATCACTAAATATTCGTGAAAATGAAATTGGTGATGAAGGAGCCAAATTCATAAGTGAAATGAAACAATTAACATCACTTGATATTCGTGGCAATAGAATTGGTGATGAAGGAGCCAAATATATCAGTGAAATGAAACAATTAACATCACTTAATATTTATTACACTCTCATTGGCATAGAAGGAGCCAAATTCATAAGTGAAATGAAACAATTAACATTACTTAATATTTATTACAATCTCATTGGCATAGAAGGAGCCAAATTCATAAGTGAAATGAAACAATTAACATTACTTGATATTTCTAACAATGAAATTGGCATAGAAGGAGCCAAATTCATAAGTGAAATGAAACAATTAACATCACTTAATATCAATTACAATGAAATTGGTGATCGAGGAGCCAAATTCATAAGCGAAATGAAACAATTGACATCACTTAATATTTCTTACAATATAACTGGTGATCGAGGAGCCAAATTTATAAGTGAAATGAAGCAATTAACATCACTTGATATTTCTAACAATCGAATTTGTGATGAAGGAGCCAAATACATTGTGAAATGAAACAATTAACATCACTAAATATTTCTGGAAATCGAAATTGGTGATGAAGGAACCAAATTCATAAGTGAAATGAAACAATTAACATCACTTAATATTTCTTACAATAGAATTGGTGATGAAGGAGCTAAATTCATAAGTGAAATGAAACAATTAACATCACTTAATATTTCTGAAAATGAAATTGGTATAGAAGGAGCCAAATATATTAGCGAAATGAAACAATTAACATCACTTAATATTTCTTACAATAGAATTAGTGATGAAGGAGCCAAATTCATAAGTGAAATGAAACAATTAACATCACTTAATATTTCTAACAATGAAATTGATGTAGAAGGGCAAATTCATTAGTGAAATGAAACGTCACTGAGAACACAAGCTTGTGTTGGGTATTGTATTCTTTTGGATGAGGAATCACTCGCGTGGTTTTCTCCACTTTCTTAGTTCTCATTCTTTGTGGATAAACTTGTGTTAAGAGTGAAATAATGTGTGAATAAGTTCTTAAGGAGTGAAATTACTGAAATATTGTCTAAAGTGGAGATAGCAGATATGAAGTATGTAAAGTATTCTGTGGATGAAGACTTTTTATTCAACGAAATAGGTAAAATGGGATATATTTCCATTCCTTTCAAGCTTTAGCACCTTTGAGTATTTCTTCATTTTGCTTTTGCAAACTCTGATGGCAACCATCTTGCTATATTGTGGATATGAATATTTTGACAATATTTATAACATTGAGATTGCTAAATACAGTCTGACACAATGTCGATTATAATTACTACCAAATAACAAACTAACGAGAGTAGCAACACTTTCATAATGAACTATACATCACTCAGATCTTGATCTCTGGAATTACTTCAAACAAGATTCGTGAACAAGTTGAATTAAGTACTTTAGTGATAGTAATCTTCCATAGGAGGAATATCACCTTACAAAATTCTCACTGTTAAATATATTCTCAGTAAAACTCTTTTCGAATCTTCCATTTAACGAAAAAAAATGACATTTCATTATTCTCATGGTTTTCCAGATTCACAAGTCATCATACTAGTAGATATTTCATTCTCCTCTGCCTCTCTGCAATCCAAGATGCGGGGTGACACAACTATGGAAGAGATTATGAATTCCTACTACACCATTCCTATCCAGTACATTTGTTGGAAGATTGATCTGATAAGAGACAGGAGGCAAATTAAACGATATTTGGGACTATTTCTGGGGAATTACTTGTCTTTCCATATTTCTGAATCAGAAGCTACAGAAATATGGAAAAGAATAACAGAAGAGAATTACCAACAAGGAGTATGTGAAGAAGATTACGAATTTCTTGAAATCATGGTTAACAAATTGAAATTTTGGAAAGACAAAGAGTTTCTTTCATTCATGGTTGATGGAAATGGCTTGACTCTGAGACATCTCAGTGATAAATTTAGAAACGATAAAGAAATTGTGTTGAATGCTGTTAAAAATAACGGCTTAGCTCTGGAATTCGCCAGTGTTAACATGAGAAATGATAAACAGGTTGTGCTGAGGGCCATTAAAAATAAAATTGGAGCTCTGGAGTATGCTAGCACCGAGCTGAAGAAGGACAAGGATGTGATTTCAGTTGTTCAAAACCCAATAACATGGTATATGTATGGGCTTATTTCAAAATTATAAGAAACACATATTGTGGCCAGTGTAAATTTTGAATCTATTCTATTTTTCATAAATTCACATTTATTGGTGTTGCCGAATTTGTTCAGATTTCTCTTCTAGATTCGAACACGGATGTTTAAGGTGCCATATCTTTAATATTCAATTTCCTAGATATTAACTTTATTGTTATTTGAGTTTTTTTTCTTTTTAGAACAACCCTTTATTAACTATTAATAATAGGATTTATTCATTATCATCAATCTCTTCTAAATATACTGAAACTTTAGCACACCCCTTTAAATTTTCAAAACAAGTGCACATACCGTTTCTGGAATAATGTTTTGCCTGATAGGACGCCTTATATTTTTCTATAGATTCAATTTGTTCAATATTACTCAAGTCCACACAAACACGTTCATACTTGCTGTACAAAATAAAGTAAACTCTAATATTCAAAGGAGAAACCAATGTTTCTGAAATCTCAAAATCGTCATCAACATAAATCTTTAACAATTCTTCATTAAAACTCAGATTGAATCGTTTCAATAACCAATCAACACCGAAAGCACTGAATTTTTGATATCCTCCTCTAGAAACCAATCCAATATTAACAAATTCAGAACGAATAACTTTTACAGAATCTCTATTACGAGAAAACCCCACAACTTCTTCATTAAGCTTTTCGGTTGAATGAAAATCACCATAAATAATTAATTCATCAAGAACTTGTTGAGGAATACTGCATTCCTTAGTGATTTGATTTCCATAGTATGAAATTAAACACCTAATAGTCTTGTTAGAATAACCAATACTTTCATCATCAATCAACCCCTTAATTAATTGCAAATCGGAAGAATTAAGAGTTTCAGATAGCCCCTTTGCCCAACGCTTTAAGACTCTATCTGCATCCATCATTAAAAACATTGCCATTCTCACAACATGAGTACTCATCTCAATATTTTGATCGTACATTAAATCAATGCATTGATCAAAGTATTTAACTAATTCCTCTATCAGAGACTCTTCATTCTCTTCACCATCTTCAATTGGAAGTTGAATACGGAGAGTATGAACAATTTCATTCGGGCCAACCAGTTCTTGTTCTCTCAATAGTAACATATTTAAGAGTTTCGACTTGTTACAGACTATTCTTCTATGAACCATGAGGGAATGAGTGGGAGAAGCCTCAAGTTTTAAATCGAATAATGGAGAAGGATCTTTACGAATATCCTTGCTGTGGTTGCGTTCCATTTTTTTTGTTTTCTAAGTTGAAGTTACTATTGATTTTGTTGAGGTTTACAAACAAAAATGTATGATTCTTGTTTTTCCTTGCAAAAAAAGACTACAGCACCACAGGTTCCCAAGTTGTCTCCAACCTCAGTACTGATGTGGCTCGACGATGCTTAACTTTTCAAATCGGACGGGATGAAGTGCATTCATCGTGATATGGCCGTAGCCATTCTTTACCTTAATATTTCACTCTTCAACAATATAAGAATTATTCCATAGAAGTATAGGACACGAACAAATACCAAGGCAGTCATTGGTTTACACCTCTCTACTTAAAAATTTCAATATATTTACTCTTTTACTCTTTGTGTGATTCCAAATATTCCTTAATTTTGATCTTAGATGATTGAAGAACCTTATTCAAGTTTTCTCTACCATTAGCATTACAAACATCGTATCTAGTACCAAATGTTTGTTGATTGTGAACCATTGGTTGATGAGGATCCTTAAAGTATGAATGATAATCTCTGTAAACTAGTGAAATCCAGTCGTCACTGAACCAATTCTTAAAGACATATGGATAGAAATAGCCGAATATCTTGTGGTGGGTACGATGGACGAAAGCTTGTGTTAATATTGATCTGTTTCCTTCATCAGTTGGTCCTGTAACACCAAAATTAGATCTGACAGGATTTTTGGCCAGTCTATCAATAAGTGTCTGAGTCCAGCCAGGAGTAATAAACCTAACATCATCATTAAGTTGATAAAAGTAATCGGCACCATCATCAATAGAATGATGGAAAACTGTATTCCAAAGCATTGGAACCCAACCATATGAGTTGATAACCCTAATGATTTGGAAGTGGAAATTGTACTCACTCATCATACTGTTCACTAACTCTTTGAATTGCTTTTGATTTTCAGGTTTATCGTAAACTGGATCACCACGATCAATAGCCAAATAGAGTTTGTAAACATACTTGTCGCCTTCCTCAGTTCCCTTCTTTCCTATTGTGTTTTTGAGAGATGGTAACAAGACTTTGAACAGTGGGTTTTCAGTTACATGGTTGTGTCCCTTTGAAGTTGTTGGTATACCCAATGCAACATGAATTCTCTTATCATCTGGTTGTTTGATGATTCCATTGTCATCCTTTGAAGGTGTAAAGGCAAGCCATGACTTTTGTGGGCTACCTGGTAATTGAGTTCCAGAAAGTATAAAATCTTCTCTATTAATAATGTAACAAGCACTCTCTCCAGGTGGTGTACTAACTAATGACTTGGTAATCTTTGTGATATCCTGACAGAAAACAGATAATTTCAAATCATCTGATAGAGAAATAAACTTATCAGCATCCAAATCCTTCATTTGAATTTGAGAACAATGAGCTCTAGCACAATCATACAATGGTGTATAAATATTCTTATAGGCATAAGAATTGAATTGAATACCATGCATGGCGACATCAAAAGTTGAAGCAATGGCCAGATATTTCTCACTAGACAATGCATCCTTACACTCAGGCGATGCATAAAAACTGCCATGTCTTTCCAAATATTCATCAATGGCATCAACTTCCAACTTTTGTGAAAGATAATAACCTGGTTGAATGTAAACAAACTTTCCCAAACGTTCAACACTATGTTTAAATATCACAGGTTTCCAATATTCTGCAATAATCTTCTCAGTTCTATCAACATTAGTAGAAACTTGATAAATACTTCTAATATCCCAATATTCAACATTTCTCCAAATATGAATTTCACCTTTGGCAGCTTCATCAAGATCCAATCCATAAATATAAATTAATAATTCATATTCATGATAACGATGGATTGAACCAACCAATTGTCTAATTTTCTTATGTACCTCGCCTCCAGTATCAATTAAAACAATTGAAAAATGTTTCAGAACTTTACACGATTGTGCACTGATCTTTAATTCTTCCAATTCCAATCGGGAAATTTCAACTGTATCTTCAATGTTGTTATTTGATGTTGGTGTTGTTGTAGGAGTTGTTGGTGTTGGTGTTGTTGTTGTCGGATTATTTGTCGTTACTTTCGTATTAGAAGTATTCGAACCTCCTAATAAACCAAATGGTTTCTTCTTTAATATATGACTGGAATTCATTAAAATTCCTCCCAAAACTAAAAGACAAATAACAAGACCTCCCCATCTTGCCAGTTTCGAATTAAACATTTTTTTTAAAGATTAATACAAGATGAATTGACAAGTGAAGCGTGGACGTGGCAAGTTTTAACTGTTCACTTCCATTTACGCCCCATTACCTATCGTTATCCCAAAATTCAAAACCAAGTACTATTTAATTATATTTAATTTTTAAATTATTTTCAAATTAATTTAGTAATTTACAATTCGTATGTATTTTTAAAATTGTTGGCGGGAAGAAATAATTATAAAAAAGTTGAAATAACAATAATAGAGAAGATTTGTTTTCATATCCGAGTGATTATAATATGAGCAATAATTTGGCAAGGAGTAATAGTGGAGGAATTGTTTCATCTTCTAATAATAATGGAGTGGATGTATTAATGTTGGGTTTGCAAGGAAGTGGAAAGAGTTTTCTCATTAAACAAATGAAGAGTAGGTTTATATAATAATTGGATTATATTGTTACTTACTTAGGAGTTTGATTTTGAAAATAATACAATTCCGAATAATATTATCATTTATTAATATATTTCAATAATAATTTAATAATAATTAGATGTGATCACCAATAGTGAATTATTAGTGTTTTATGATGGCCTACCAACGAATGGAGTGAATTTGGAGGAGTTAATAATTGGATCTGGAAAGAAAAAGGCTAAGAAGATCAAGATTAGAGAAGTTGGAGGAGGAATCATTCTTACTTGGCATCGTTACTTTGAGGAGTGTAAAGTTATTGTAGTAAGTTTAAATGATCTTTATGGTGCTGAATCAAGTAAAAGTTTGTGATTGATGCTTCCAATTCAATGCAATTATCAGCTTCATGTATTGAATTGTTGAATTTATTGGCAAAACTCAAAGATCAAAAGAATTTCATTGTCGTTTTGAATAAGAGGTAAGATTTCATTGATTTAAGGAAATGAGAAAATTAACAATACTCCAGAGATGCTCCTTGTATTTTCAGCACTCAATTGTTCGAACACTTTATCCAATTCAATCATATTAAGGAAAGTTGTAAACATCTTGAACTTATTGAACTGAGTGCACAATCGGGAGAAAACATTCAGCAATTAATTGATTCCCTCCACAATTTAATTTAAAGTGTAGAGTCTATTTGAAGTCCAGTTGTAAGATTCTTGCGTTTAATCGGATTGTTAGGAAGGGAATTATGTAGATAGCATATTTTACTGAGGTTTTCCTTTGTATCAACATCAGCCTGATGTGGAATAGTAGGTAGTAGCACATTGACGCGACAATCAAACTGGATATTTCACAAGAGTTCAACGTTGAGAGCACGATTTCACACGCAACAATTGTGCGAGTGTGCTGATAATGAATAAGTTTAACCTTAGAAAAAAAAGTAGTACAATCATTATGATGCATGGTCATTTCGATTCCTCCTCTCTGTGGCACTGTAATTTCAATCCTTACTCGGAAAACTATAATGATATTTACCCTAAATTATTGGAACAATATGATATAGAAAGGGCTACATATGAAAACTTTGTTGGCGAGGTGAATAAGCTTATCAAGTCCCTGAAGAGGAGATTAACACCAAGTCCTCTCATTAAATATATTACAATTGTGCATATTATATTAAGTATTTTAACATTAGGACTGTGGTTAGTGGTATTTGGTGTGTGGTATCTAGTTAATAATTTGCTAACTCAAAGAAAGGCAGTTAAGGAAACAGATAAAATCAAGTATGATATTGAAAGACTAATCGCTAACGCAAATTCTATCATCTTTCATCCAAAGGGATTGGATGTAATCACAATATTTGATATTGAGAAGGAAAAGAGAACTGGAGTTGAAAGCTTTTTGGAATCATACATTCTCATTCAAACATGTAAATCACAATCAACAACATCCGATCCAGAAATTCCAACAGTTAGAGCAAATCCAGGTGCTGTGAATGATCATCATCACGATGAAGAAAATGGAGATTATTATTACTATAAGTAATTCATCACAACAATGATGACAATGTTGGAGTGAACATTATTCATCATCACATTAAAACATTTAAAGTGATGGATAATGGGACGATAACTTGATCTCAATAAAAATTGTATTATGATTTAATATCTTATTATTGCTTTGCTTGTTATTATTACCTGGATTGGAACGAATGTTAGAGGAGAAAAATTGAAGGAAACAAGGGACAGTTTAGGTTGCCAATAACAATTTCTCAACTTTTGGCATCAATCTCCTTGGATTGTTGTTTGTAACTTACAGTAACTTGAGGACATATGAGATGTCAAACAAATCAATTTAACTTTACAACCATACTATTGTCTTAAAGTGCAAACTCTGGAATCAAAACATGGAAAATCCATAACTTGAAATTTGGGTTTATCTCAATCTTGTTGGATAGTCACTGAAACCGAGGAGAAATCCAAAATTCTTCCTTTTAATGTTATAACTTTGTAATCGAATTATCTTTCGTACAGCCATGTATGGATTGTAATTGGATCCAATACACTAATTCAGCATGACAATTGTTAAAACCAACCTATGACACGTTAGTCTTATCATGTTTTATCACTGAAATTTGTTGGTGTACAGTAATATCTTCTGTCATCAGAGCGCAGTTAGTATTAGTATGAAAGTACGATTTATTCACACCAAGAGTCAAATTGTGTTAAAAAATTGAAAAAAACAAAATGCAAGGCTACACACTCTCATTCATCTTAATATGCCTTCTAGTTGTGCATTGTGTATCACATGTGGTCACATGTTATGACCCTCAGTACAAACTTGCCACACCTATTAGTGGTATTCAACAATCATACTATGCTCATTGTGGTTCAGGTGGAGAAATCTACGTTGCACACACAGTAAAAAGCTATGTGTTTGTCCAGTATCCAAATGGTACATCTGTTGGGTTGGCAGGACAATTTAATTCTAGAGGATATTCAGGTGATGGTGGTCTTGCAATCAATGCTAAACTTAATTCACCAATGGGTCTTGGATTCAGCAAGGATGGTGATACATTCTTCACTGAAAATATCAATAATATTGTTAGAAAGGTCGACAAGAATGGTATAATTTCAACATACGGTTCAGCATTCTCTCCAGTGAGCTTGACAATGAGTGAAACTGATGATGTGTTGGTTGGTACTGACTACTCAATCAAGCAAATATTCAAGAATGGAACCAATGTTCGCATTGCTGGAGCATCTTATGGTTATGGTGGCGATGGCTCGCTTGCTAAAGATTGTAAAATTACATCTCCAAGAGGTATCACTGCTGCAATTGGATCAATCTACTTTGCAGATGCATTCAATCATAGAATTCGAAAGATTGATAAGGATGGAATAGTTACAACTATTGCTGGCACTGGTACTCTAGGTTTTAGTGGTGATGGTGGTTTGGCAGTCAATGCACAGCTATATACTCCTGCTGGTTTAGATGTCCTGCCAACAGGTGTTGTTTTCATTGCTGATGTCAATAATCACAGAATTAGAAGAGTGTCAAAGGATGGTATTATAACAACAGTGGCAGGAACTGGTACTTCTGGAACTAGTGGTGATGGTTCTCTTGCTACATTGGGGAGAATATATGGACCTTCAAGTATCTCAATATGTCCCACTAATGGAGAAATCATTTTTGCAACCCAATCTGAGATTCGAAAGCTTATTCCATTTTGTGATCGATTCTCTTCTTTCAATGTATCAACACACACTTGTGAATGTTGGAGTGGTTATCATGGAGCTTATTGTAACTCATTTGAATGTTATAACATTCCTTCAAATCAGTCAAATGTTTGTTCTGCTCATGGGCAATGCTCATCCAGAAATAATTGCACTTGTGAGGAGGGCTACTATGGAAATCAATGTGAAATGTATGAATGTTATGGAATTAAGAAGAATTCTTCATCTGTTTGCTCTTCAAGAGGTGTATGTACCTCACCAAACTATTGCTCATGTAGTGGTGGATATTATGGAAATCGATGTGAAATGCATGCTTGTTTTGGTGTAGAGAAGAATTCCTCATCTGTTTGCTCTTCACGTGGAAGTTGTGCATCTCCAAATAATTGCACCTGCATGAAAGGATATTATGGAGTCAGCTGTCAAAATTTCGATTGCTTTGGAGTCAAATTTGATAATAGTTCAGTTTGCTCTTCTCATGGTAGATGTGCTTCCGCCAATAATTGCACATGTCATGATGGTTATTATGGAAATCAATGTGAAATGTATGATTGTTTTGGAATTAAGAAGAATTCTTCATCTGTTTGCTCCTCAAGAGGTGTATGTACCTCACCAAACAATTGCTCATGTATCAACAGTGCTTATTATGGAAATCAATGTGAAAGTTTCGATTGCTTTGGAGTCAAATTTGATAATAGCTCAGTTTGCTCTTCTCATGGTAGATGTGCTTCTGCTAATAATTGCACATGTCATGATGGTTATTATGGAGATCAATGTGAAATGTTTGATTGTTTTGGAATTAAGAAGAATTCCTCACAAGTTTGTTCTTCAAGAGGTAATTGCCTTGCCCCAAATCAATGTTCGTGCAGAGAAGTGGAGGGTTATTTTGGAGAGAATTGTCAGCTATTCAAATGTAAAGAAATACTACATAACCACTCATCAGTTTGTTCTCAAAATGGTAAATGCATAGATGTAGACGAATGTAAATGTAATGAAGGATATTCTGGAAAGAATTGTGAATTTACCACATGTTTTGGAATTGAACAATACTCCACACATGTTTGTAATGAAGGAAATGGTACTTGTCTATCATTCGATACTTGCAAGTGCAACAATATTTCAAAGTGGATGGGAGAATCATGTAATGTGACCTTTTGTTTCGATAAGTTATCTAACGATTCAACAGTTTGCAATTCCCAGGGAGAATGTGAAAATTTCAACACTTGCAAATGTATGAAAGGCATTGTGGGAGAACAGTGTCAGTACAGATATCTCACTAATTCTTCCATGTTGTTGCAATTCAATGCTTCGGTTGACTATGTTCAATTTATCACTTCATCGCTTTCCTTCAGTATTGTACAAGACAACTTCTTGGGCTACTTCAATTCCAGTGAGCAGATCGAATTAGTTATTGCTTACTATATTGATGATCAATTTTTGTCATTCCATCAGTTTCCATTGCTTTCATCAAACTTTACAACAAGTATTCCTATCGGAGTTACAGTTGGAAAACTGACTGCATTATCATATCTAATTTTCAAAAATCAAACAATAATCAGTGATTCCGTTCAAACTACTTCTCCAATTTCTATTCATAAGTATTCGAATCCTTCTAGAACTATAGTAGTTTCAATCCCATCAACCTCTGAGGGAAGAAATGATTTTGCAAAGGAAGAATTAATGAGTGGTGGGGCCATTGCAGCTGCTGTGGTTGTTCCAATAGTTGTGGTTTCAATTCTTGCACTCATAATTATCCTTATTGTCATATTAGTTGTGGTTTTAATGAAAAGGAAATCCAAAGCTAGACAACCATCCAATCTCAAAATGTGGAAATGGTGGAAGGTTTGTAAATTGAAACATTTTGAATAAAGTATGATATATTCTCTTTTCAAGTGTTTATCAACTTGAAATAATACTAATTAGTTGGAGAATGTAATCAGTTTCAAGGCTTGATACACCTGCCACCAAGAAATTGCAACAGTTAGAGCAAGTCCAAGTGCTTTAATGATCATTATCATGATGAAGAAAATGTGGATTACTAAATAATTCATCATCATGATGAAGATATCCATGTCGGATCCACATTATTCATCATCATCATTAAAAATCACATTTAAAGCTGATGGATAACTGAGACTGCAACCTGACAATATGATTCATAATGATTACATGTTTTGTTATTGTATTATCTATTCTTCATGATACTTGTTCCATGATGAAATGCTTGGATATTTATGGTGATTGTCTCTCTTATTGATGGTCCTATTAGAATGCTTTTAAAAAGGCTGTAAAATTCTAGAAAAAAAAGTTCTTTCAACATCAACAACAACAACACCACACTAAAAAACACAATTGCAGCATCAGCAGTTGAACTGAAAAAATTCATCATCATCATCATTAAAAAATGTCTTACTTACAACCAACAGGCCACAACATGAATATGGTTTTACCACCCTTTGACCCTGATGATATAATATATGTTTTAAATGCTGCTACACCAACATTTGATATCCCGGATTCAATGTCAATTCCACAGCTACCATCACCATCATCAAGTGATAAATCTAGTAATTCTATTGGTGGTATAAATTCTAGTGGTAGTAGTAGTACAAATAATCAAGTTACAGCAGTACCTACTGAAAGGAAGAAAAAATCATCAGATGGTCTTGTTAGAAAATTATGTTGTTTGTGCGAAAATGAAAAGGGACATCCAAATGGTTTTCTTGTTGCAACAGATCAAATTAAAAGACTACCTAGTAATTTGAGCTTTATGGTTTCCGATAAACACCTAGACTATCTTAAAAAACAAAGACAAGCAAAGAATATTTGTTGTGATCAATGTTGGGAAACTAAAATTCAACCTATAATTGGTGAATTTCCTTCTGATCCTAGTAGTAGTAATGTAAATTTAATTTCCAATAATTATTCCGAAGAGAATGATAATAGAAGAAAAATAACTTCACCTAAGTCAAAACAAAAAACACCAAAGAAGAAAAAATCAGTACTTTTACCCCCTCCAGAAGCCACATCATTTGATCAAGTATTTGATAGATCAATTCCAGAAAGAAAGAAGTTTTTAAGTCAACACGTTCACCCTGTATTGTTAAATGATATTTGTAAAGGAAATAAGGAAGCATATCAAACACTTCTTGAAGATTTATCACTAAGTCCACATTTTTTGATTCAGAATTATAGATTGGAATCATTACTTAAACCTGTAAGAAATGTAAACAGAAAGATAACAAAATCCCACATAACACGATATATTTTAAAGAAGAGAAATGAAAATGGAAAATAATCCACAATGCACAACACGAATTTGTAATTCACCACAAATGTACCACTACTATTTACCTTCTTCCGATGAATATATTTCCCGCCATCCACAACAAATTATCCCAGCCAATATCCACTCCTCTCACTGATACACAAATATACAAAGTTCCTGATGTTTCAAAAAATAAAAATATTAAATAACAAATTATTAACAATTTAAAAAATAATTTAATAATCAGTCAAAGTTGGGAAAAGAGGAAGAGAATTTTTGAAATTGAATCTATCTGAAACGAGAATGGATTTTCTTTCATCTTTGAATGTTGCAACATTTTCATATGATTTAGCATCAGAACTAGCAAAGAGAAGGAATGAAGCTCTCTTGAATTTTGATCCACTAGGAATCAAATAATCATTATACAAATCAATAAGGTGTTGCTTTGTAAATTTCTTAAGAGTTTCAACTTTTCTTTCTCTTCTATCAAACTTGTATTGTTGATTTGAGATTTCAGTCATTAATCTGGCTGATTCAATTTTCATCTTCTTTTCCTTTTCCATTATCTTTGTAATTAAGGAATTGATAATTTCTTGAAGATCTTGTTCTGTGATTGCAGCCAAAATTTCTCCAAAGCTTTCCATAAATGTATCATTTTCTGTGAGAATGTGCTTTGGATCATAGGTTGGTGATTGTAAAATGCAACTGAACGAGCAAACGTTATGATCAAATCTAACTCTAGAGTGAACAATATAACCCAATTGCTTTTCAGTACGCAAATAACTATAGTATGGTGTAGAAACAATTTGATTAAATAATTCAGCCAACTTGGTAGAGTTAATAAAATTAATAAATATCATTCAACTTACAGTATCTAATTCAAAACTTCTTAAACCTAGTTGGTAAACAATTTCAAGACCATGATTTGGATTTGATGGATTATAACTTAAAACTGGAACTAGAATATCAGTACCAGCTGGCAGTTGAACAACATATTCTCTATTTTCTTGACATGGAAGTGGTACACTAACTGTGGTACTTCTATTTTTGTAAAGAATATTTTCAGTTTCCATTGAAATTATTTCTGCTTCTTCCTTTGTAAAGTTACCATGAACTAACAATTCAACTCTCAATGTTGTCATCCACATTTGAACAAAATTATAGAAACTTTCAAAAGTGATAGAGTCAACAACTTGAATGTAATCAAGAGCACAGAATTTTCTTTGATACATGAATCTAATACTTTCAATCATGGCGTGTTCATATGGTTGAGAGAATGGGAAATTCTTGTAGTTTCTAGAAAGAAGCTCCATAATTACATTAAATCTTTGTTCAGAAAGAAGTTTCTTATCAGCACAGTCAACCATAGTTTGCAAAACCTTGTTATTAACTTGCAAGAGTTTGTCATTAAAACCAATTACAATAACGTTAATACCATTTGGATTGAATGAGATGGTATATTGAATTCCTGCAACTTGAGCCAAATAAGCTTCTTCATTCAAATAATCCATAACAAGTTCTGCAAATAATTCTGCTTGAATAACAGTTCTTGGATCTGCTTTAGTTTGAGGAAGAATAATATTGTAAATTAAACTACCACGAGGAGTTCCGAAATAATTATCTTGTTTGAACCAAGTTTTGATTTTAGAATCATCAGTAATGAGAACAGGAGGTTGACTATTTTCTGCTTGGTCAATAACACCCTTGATTGATAAATCTTCAGGAATGAATGGATTTCTTGGTGGGAAATCCAATTCAGGTGTTACGTGTTTAACATTGGAGAGGTGTTCAATCCAATCTTTTTCAATATGTTCTACACTGTACTTGGTTCCATACCACTTTTCTTCAAGGAAATTAGTATCATCAAAGCTATTCTTTTGATAATAAATGTTAAAGTTATTGGCCTTGAGTTGTTGCATGAATTCAATGATTGCAACTTCATTGTATTCAATGAGATGAGCTCCAGAAATAACATCTTTTGGCAAATACTTGGTCAAATTTTGAGACAAATCACTTGCGCATTGCATTGCACTTGGGAATTCAAGATTTTGCAATCCAATTTCAGCCAAATGAGTAATTTCGTCAAATACCCATTTTTGAACTGGTTGACTTCTTACCAAATCAATGAACTCAAAGAGCTTTTCTACAATTTCTTTGATATGCGATTCACCTTCTGATGTTAATTCTATAGTAACAGAGTAAAGAGTGAATGATGTAAAGGAGTCAATTTCTTGATGAACTCCTCCAACTCTAAGGAAAGGACCAGCAGATAAACTACTACTCCATCCAAGTTTTTTCAGGTATGAAAACAATGACCCCTTTCCTTCATGGCCAAGTAAATGGGTGATATACTTGTCAGGTTTGTACTTGTAAATCATATTTCTTCCCTCAACATGATCAGATTTCATTGTAATTGGGAATAAAACTAGTAATTCTGTAATATCGGAAATGGTCTTGGTTCTGATAAACTTTGAAATTTGTTCCTTTTCGAATGGCTTAACATCTTTAGGATAAAAGTGATGGGTTTGTGAACCCATGTTCTTGATTTCACTAAATTTGGTGACAGCCCATTCTTCAAGTTGTGAAATTGGTTGATTTCCAAGAATACAAAGTTTCATTTGATTACTAGAGTAATACTTTGAATGGAATTCCATCAAGGCATCCCTAACATTCATATTTCTTTCCTTAGGTGTAGTATCCAAAGTTTCCACACAACCTGTTGCGAATTTTGAAAATGGATGTTGAGAATTTGAATTAGATTTTAAAATTTGATATTGTCTCCAATGATCTTCATTCAAATTTTTCTTATGTTCACTGTCCACAGCAAGAATTTCTCTTCCAGTTGCACTTTCAGTAAAAGATGGTGCAATGAAAAATTGTGCAAACATATCCAATGCCTTTTCCAATTGTCCACTTTGAACAGAAAAGTAAAATCCTGTTGTTTCTGTAGAAGTGCCTGCATTTGTACTTCCTCCATTCTTTTTAATAAATTCTTGATATTCTCCTTCTTGTGGATATTTAGATGAACCTAAAAAACACATATGTTCACAAAAGTGAGCCAACTATATAACTTTAAAAAGGCTCCGAATCTCATAATAACTTACTCCAGGAAAATCAGCAGGATCGGAAAAGTGTCCAACTTTAACATCCATAGCAGCTGCAGATGTTTGTGATTCACTATCACTCACCAATAAGACTTCCAATTCATTCACCAATTTCAAGACTTTATACTCTCTTGTATCGAGTTTTGGTTTGACAATATCTACAATGGTTTGCATTTTCCGATACTACTAATGCTAATACTACTGATAATAATAATAATTATTCAGGATTCTTTTTAGAGAGGAGAGGAAGTGGATGACGACACACAAAAGATTCGTTGTGCCGGTTTTGCAAAAAGAAATTTTACGATTTTTTTTGCTCTGGAAAAAAGAATTTATTTTTATGATGGATTTCGTTTTATGGGTTTTTTTGTAAGAGCGAGTTTGATAGCATGTGGTGGAGGAAGAACAAGAGTTCATGTAGTGGAATGAACATTGTTAATAATTGAGAAGAGAGTTGGTCTATTGATAGAGTTCAAATGGTTTTATTCAAATTTGAATTGGCTAAGATATAAGAAATTTTAGTGATTGCAAAATATTGAATGATATTGGGAAGCAAACTTCCAAATCTCAATCTCATAACATTTTAGAATGAGAACAACCAGCAGTATTCTGATTCTAACCTTTTTGAGAGCACTGGTTGATGTTTTTCATTTCAAACAACATTTGACATTCTCTTATTGATAACTAAACATTGAGCACTATTTACGGAGACAAATTCTTTTAAGGGTTTCAAAATTATGAATACCAACTTAATTGTTAATGAAATCTTCTCTGAGAATCCTATTAAATATTTTCAGATCTAATAACAAAGAGTAAAACAAATTGACTATCCAATAAAAATTCTGAACAAGTGGGATATAATACAAGATTTATTTTCAATGGTTCATTCTCATAATATTATGATTAACAACCTCCTCTCAATCTCAATACTAAATGTACAGTTGAATCCTTTTGAAGATTGTAATCACTAATTGTTCTGCCATCTTCTAATTGTTTTCCTGCATAAATCAATCGTTGTTGATCTGAAGGAATACCTTCCTTATCAAATATCTTTTGTTTCATATTCTCAACAGTATCATTTGATTCCATTTCAATAGTAATTGTCTTTCCAGTTAAGGTTTTTACAAAAAGTTGCATTCCTCCTCTCAATCTCAATACCAAATGAAGTGTGGAGTCTTTTTGAATGTTATAATCATTAATAGTTCTGCCATCTTCCAATTGTTTACCTGCATAGATGAGTCTTTGTTGTTCTGGTGGAATTCCTTCCTTATCTTGAATCTTTGACTTGACGTTTTCAATTGAATCATTAGATTCAACTTCCAATGTGATGGTTTTACCAGTGAGTGTCTTGACAAATAATTGCATTGTGTTTGTTGTTTTGTTTTTCTTATTGTTTTTCTTGAATTCAAAGCACTTCCTCACTTTTTATACTTGTTTTTGGAGTGTATTTTTAGCAAATAGTTCGTATGTAAAGAAATTCTTTCAATGAACTGATTTTTGTTTCTGGACACAAACCTGGTTCATGTTATGTAATAATTGAGTAACTCAGTGCTTGTTTGTTGCTCATCCTCATAGAAATTTATACATGAATCAGTTGAACATCAGTTGCAAGAACTGGTAGATGACATTAAGCAAACAACAAGAAAACCATTATCGTTGTGTTCTCCACCATTTTCTCAAACCTGGTATTCAAACCTTTTTTAAAAATTAGATTTTGAGAAGAAACAATTGGATTGACGCCAAGAGCTTGAATTGGCTTTTGTAAACTGTTCATTATTAATTTTTTGAAATTGAGGTTCAATTTGAACATTTTCATTTTGCATTCATTGAACTGTGCACTTAAAATTAGAAATAAAACAAATCCAGAACAAAAAGATCAAAACAAAACATTCAATTAAAATATCATGAATTCATCAACTAGTAACAACCCAACTTCTGCTGCTATCAATACTTCAACAACATCCACAGTGAAACCATCTTGTTCACATTTGGCTACCTATGGAGGTGATTTGTCAACGGGAAGAATTGGAATATCATGTGGTGCATTTGATACTCCATTCTTTCAGGAAATGTTGAAGAGAGAAAGAGAAGAAAGAGAAAAGGAGAAGCATTAAAGTGTTTCGAATGATCAGTTTTTGTAAATATTATTAGAAATGTAAATAAAAGAAGCCCTAACTGTTCACTATCATTTGTAATCATTTGTATTGTTACAATGTGATCAATTTTGTCTGAAAGAAACGTTTCGAATAATTTAATCAAAAAGAAACTTTAGTTTGAATTCCCAAAATCAAGTTTTATACCTGATTTTAATCTCAAAAATTGTTAATTCTCTGTTTGATAATCTTGGTTTGGATCATAATTATGAAATTGAACTCCTTTTTTCGCCTTTGAATTTCCTGATTGAAAAGAAAGAATGGAAGAATATGGAACATCATTCTTCTTTCTTTTGGTTTCCTTATTTGTGTTATCTTTTGATTTTCTCTTTTTAGGGGCTGGCATTTCACTTGTTGAAGTTGAAGGTTGAGGTTGTTGTTGAATTGTATTTGAGGAGTTTACAATAGTATTATTGCTATTCGAAACTGTATTGGATGTTAATAAACTAAGAAAGTTTGTGGTAGAAGAAGCACTGGAGCTTTCATTTGAATTGTTAGAAATGAATTGTGATGAATTGTTGTCATTAAAGTTGGAAAGATTAATCACGTTAGAAAAAGTTGAAGAATTGGATGCAATATTATTCGAAAGTTGGGAATTATTTGCTTTCAAAACGGAGGAAGAAGTGGTAATGGTGGTTGCAGGAATGTTTTGATTCATTAATGATTGGTGGGAAGCATTTGGTGAGGAGGATTGAAATTGTTGAGGATTGACCAAACCAATATTCGAAGATTGTAAATGATTAGTTAATGAATAAACAATCGAATCCACATCCACAATTGGAGAATTTGTTTGTTGTTTAGCAACATCTTGTTGAAGATTGTGCATGTCAATATTCGAAACTAATTGATTCATCACCACATTCATTCTCTGATTATTATTTGGTAGCTGTTGTTGTTTGAGTAAGTCACCAAATGTTTTATATCTTTCCAATCCTTCAACCAATAATTCTTCCATAGATTCTTCCTTCATGAGTTGTGTAGAAGATGATGACGATTGAATGTTTTGAATCAGGTTTGTACCTGGTTGTTGATTCAAGGTATTTGCATTCAGCAACATGTTACTTCCCTTGCCACCACCAGTAAAGATAACAGGAGTTTGTTGTTGAGTGGAATTATTGGTTGTGTTGGATGACATGTTAATCACTCGATGTTGCAAAACTGTATGGTGTTGTTGTTGTTGTTGTTGAGGAGGAGTAACAACAGACGAAACACCATTCATTGCATTATGATTGAAAATGGTTTGAGGAGTTGTTGGTTTGTTGCCATTGTTGGAGTTTTCATTCACATGATTCATTATTTGCATGTTGTTGTGATTTGTGCTGCTGTGGAATTGTTGCTGCTGATTGTGGAGTGGTTGTTGCTGTTGTTGGTTATTGCTTAGGGAAAATATGGATGTCGTGTTGGTGTTGTTGGTAAATTGTTGTTGAGGTGTTGTTGCCATTTTTCTTTGTTTCTCATAAACTAATGGGATTGATTCGTTATGAAGGCAAAATCCTATGAATGATACATGTTGCTGGCCAGCACGATATGAAGTGATAATCAACCGGATGATTTTTGCTCAAACTTTACTTTTTGGCAATTTGATTAGTGACAAATGTTTTAGAATGGTAAGTCAAAGGGCCATTTATAAAAAAAATCACCGTAGTAAATTTTGAACTATGGACAACCAACATTTGTACTTGTTGACAGTCAATTGAAACAAGATTATATTGTTAATTTTGATTCTCAGACTTATCTTCCTTTTCTGAATCCTTAATTTCATTTTGTTTAACAATTGTTGATTTGAATAATTGTGTCATCTTTTCAACTCGTTGTTCTGGTGTTAAATTTTCATCTGCATGTTGATAATCTTTGCCTCTTATTATCCTTCTAATCACATTTTTCAAATCCAAAACAGTTTTAATATCGAAAACAAAGTAACAAATCAAAATAAAGATAATAGCAGCGGCAACATTCAATAATGTTCCATAGACAAGTGCGAGTGATGCTAATTTATAACCTAATACTCTAGCCTTTAATGATTCTTCTGGACTTAATTGAGGAATATTTGGATTATTTGCATCACCGTCATCGGAACGTCGTTTAAATCCGAACGAAGATCCAGAGGCTTTGAAAATCATTGACATGGCTTGTTTTTCAGAATATAATTGTTTTTCCAATTCTTTAATTTTACGTTCTTCTTCTGCTATTTCTTGTCTAAGTTCTTCTTCAGTTTTTGATGATTCCGATGTTGTTGTATTATTACTATTATTACTACTAGATTGATTTGAATTTAATGATTGTTTTGCGAATAAACATGAAGAAAATTGATGATCCAAGCCTTTGTGATTAGCGATCACAGACAGAAAATTGTTATTATTTAAACTGGTACGGAAATAATTAAAAGTTCCTGATGACAAAAGTCTCCTCGATGAAAGAATAGATTGTTTTAACATTTTTTTAAAAATTCAAACTTTAAATATTTAAATACTTTAACATTTAAAGTAATAATAAATATTATAACATTACATTAATATTAACTTTCAATACTTATTGAAAGATACTATTATAAAAATTAAGATGACATGGCAAATCTAAAATTAAAAAAATGTTTCTACTCAAGAAAGGCTTGTTAGTGAATGACGATAATGATCATCAATCTTCCGATCCAAATAATTTCTTCCTGAGTCTAAATAATAGTACTACCAATAATTCTTCTCTTTTAAATAATAATAATATTGTAGATTGCCTGGAAGACCATACCAATATTATTTCGGATCAAGATTTTAGGAAAATTGTAAATTTCAGAAGGCTGTTTGAACACATAAAGGAAGGAATGGAGAGTTTTGAAAATGTTTTGCAATTGCAAAAGTTATTAACGTTTTGTTCTGATGCAAGGGATTTATTAATTCATATTGAAAATCCATTCATCAAAGCCTATGGAGTGGATGCTTATAATCAAGTGGAGGAGGAATTTAATTTAGTGAATGAAAGAATTCAAAAACTATATCAATCAAAGAAACAATTTAAATATGTAGAGTTACCTTCTCTGCCTGAAACTGATTCACTTTCAAAGATTGTATCCAATATTCAAAAACATTTAATTGAACAGAAAAATCAAGAATCATCACTTTTGGATGAATTTGGAGAATTGAATGAAGATGATGATTTACAAGCCAATGAACAGGAAGAGGTCGATACTCAACAGAAAGAACAGGAAAAAACCAAGGAAGAACTTTCCAAATTAACATCCATGTTGAAAGAAAAAGCTCAACAAGTGAATGAATTTATCAAATCAGATGTAGATTCCATAAAGAGAAAGAGTGTAATATTGGAGAAGAGCAAATCATCACTGGATAGAGCTCAAACTGATTTGAATCAACAAATTTCACTTGCCAAGACCTATCTCTATTCACAAATTACCTTCATCGTGGTTGTTTTAATTTCCTTTGTATTTATGCTACTTTTAATAACTGTAATCCCAAGAATAATATAAAATCAATAATATTAAAGATTAAAATATTTTACAAAAGTTCGAAAATATTAGAAAAAAAAATGTCGCAACAAGAATCGTCATCGGTCCGTCTATCCTCTGGTTGGTGTTCTAAAATATGCGATCAAATTGCCTCCAATATTCCATTTGATTTAATTGACCATCCAATTGTTCAAGTAATTGATTATCCAATTTTATCTAAAGATCGGGTTCATATTTTTGCTACAGTTAGTGATAGTATTTATTGTTTACCGATTGTTATTCAATCCAATATGAGTACTCGTTTAAAATACAAGGATTGTATCCGATTGTTATCGGGTTATTCCATGTTTGATCAATCGAACAAGAGGTAGGAATTAATCTTTTATTCATATTTACATTTAAAGTGTTTTGAAAGTAACAAGTTTGGAGTTTGTCTCTACGAATGATTCTTCAATTTATGGTTTTCCAAAACAAATTCCTTTGCATCATTCGTACAAAGCCAATCATTTAGAATTCGAGATTAATCCTATTGTGAAAGAAGGTATTACAAGTCATACTTATTCACTCAATGACAGACATTTATTTTGTCTTTCATCTTGGAATGGTATGGTAAGTGTTTTTAGATTATTTAAACTTGTTGACAAATAATTAAAGACATTTCTTGGAAAAATGGATGAAAATAATTTGGAATTGGCCAATTTTAATCATTCTTTACCAGTAATTAATTCAGTAATGGATGCAAATAACGTTGTATATAGTAGTACAATAGATGGAAAAATTCATTCTATTGATTTTGTAAAACAGACTTGTAATAATGACATCTGTGGTGGTGATAAGACCCTCCGTCCTGGAAAAATCAAATATTGCCATTCCCTGAATACTATTATATCAAACCCATTCGATGGATCAGCTTTTATATCGTATGATATCAGAAACATTCATGAAGGAGTCACTTTGCCAATGCATAATGCATCTGTATTCGATATTAATTTTCCATTTATGGCTACTTGTAGTGGTAAAACTGTTAAAATATATGATATGACAAGAGATAAGGAGATCTATTCAGCTGAAATTATTGGCGTCTTTGGATTTATTACAACAGTTAATTTCAAAAACGATCCAGAGAGAGGCATAATTTTGGGAACAACTGGAGGTCAAATTATTTTACATAATTTGGTCAATTTTCATTTTGAATCCAATGAATATCTTTCAATATTTAAAAGTCCATCAGGCTACCCTCAAAACCATGTATATCCTGTAAATAGTGTTGATATAATTGATAATAATTATTTATTTATAACAGGATGCAATACTTGCAAAGTTGTAAATTTAAAACAATCAAGAGAGTTATTTCAAATCAAACCTAAAAATAGTGAAACAACGCAAATATGTAGTTTTGGAGCTGTTAACCATGACAAATCATTATTTTCATTTGGAATGACAACCAACCTTTATCAGAGTGTAGATACTATTGGTCCACCTGCTAAACTTGGCTTTTATAAACTAGATGATTTGAAAGAGATGTCAAGGTATGGATTATCATCTGCAATTTTCTCTATTCAAGATCCAGAGAATCCAATTACTTGCGATTTTGATAAGAATATTCGTAGAGAAATAATTGTTTCTGAAATGTCTAAAATGCCAAACACCAATTATTTTGACATGTTAAAACGAAGAAAAGCAAGTAGCAATATTGTAAAGCAAGCTTATAGGTTTGATTTACCGAACGAACTTGTTGGAAAAATTATTGAATATATAGAAACTCGACATTATCCAACAATTTCATCTGTTAACAGACAATTCAGAGAATGCTTATTCGAGAAGAAATCCATCACAATTCCACTACTTTTTGATAGGAATTTCTTTACCAAGTTTTTGAATGAATTCAAGAATTTACAGACTATTACCCTGAAAGGAGAGGCAGTCAGATGTATCAAAGCCCTGACTACAAAAGTCAAATCCAACCTGAAAACTCTGGTGGTTATATCTCCATCTACATTTTTATGTCCAACAATCAAGACAAATTGGTTTTTCAAGGGACCTAATTTGGAGAGTTTGATAATTTATAATTGTAAAAAGTTGAAAATAACTTCTAGATATCCAAACTCATCTCTCAAAAAACTTCACATTATTAATTGTGGCATTATAGGAATGTTTGAGTGTTATAGCTCTATCACAGATTTAGATATTTCAGGATCCAATATTGATTCACCTAAATTACACACCTCATTAAGAAAGCTTAAATTGAGTGGAAATGACAACCTAGATCAGTTTGAACACTTACATTTAATAACGCATCTCTGCCTTTCTGTTGAAAGAGTTATTCCAGAGTTAACACTTCCACAATCAATCCAATATTTAGATATTTCAGGATGTAAAATTGTAAAAATCCTACCAAGACTTCCTAATTTGACTCATCTAGTAATGGATAGATCTGATGTAAAGGTTGATTTTGAAAATTTGGGATCTCTTGTTCACCTATCAATGAAATACATCTGCAATACTGAACCTCTTGCAGTGGTGATCAGAAACAAAACACTTTCTTCAATATCAATTTTTGGATCCAACATTGAATCATTTAACATTGACTGCCCTTTATTGACCTATCTCAATGTAGGAAGCACGTGTATTAAGGATGATCAATTGGGCAATTGTTTGAATAAGCATTTTGGGCTTAAATATTTGCACACTCCAGATTGTATATTTATTGAAAATCCATTGAAATCTGTAGAAACTATTTTGGATTCATTATGCTTGTGGAATTCAACAAGATCAACTGTAGACTTTTCACAAGTTGATCTCACTAAGATTCCCAACATTAAAATTCAATGTTAACCGAATGTTTGATAAATTTATTTTGAGTTGATGAAGGATGATATCTTATTGGCAAGGAATTTCTTTTCTCTTTCATTTGAAATAGACCATGATTGTAACTTTGTGTTAACCACACTAGAATATGGAGATTTTTCTAAAACATTAATGAAATTAGAGTTTGAAAATAACAATTGTATGAATTCCATGTAAGGCTCGTTCTTTTCTATGAGTTCAATATTATCAGTGTTTGATTTGGATTTGAGTGATGTTTGACAATTTGAAAGTAAAACTTCAAGAATATCAAAATTAATATTTGCCACTTTCTTTGCTGTAGAATCTACAATAAACATTTCCAAATTCTCCTCTTTTCCATTTAAAACTAAATAGCTAATATTATTAATAATCTCTGGATGATGTGTCAAATGTTTAAGGAATGAATTCAAAGTAACGAAAGCCAATTTAGAGAGATCATTTTCTTCCTCATTGACTTTTTGTTGATAAATTTGTCCAATAGTTTCAGTCAATTGATTGGTACTAACCAATTCCAATAAACATTTACAAGTTTGCAACGTTCCAAACTCTTGAATAAAAGTGCCTGAATTAGCAACTCTAATACTCGTTCTCAAAGTAGCCATCACATTTTCCAAATGAGTTCTATGTGTTAACTTTTTACTTTCATCAAAAACACTCAAAAAGAGTTGTGTAAGAGTCTTACTATCTCTGAAATAGTAAATCAATGAATCTTTCAATGCACCTTCAATTTCTGGAGCCCACTATTTCAATAAAATCAGTCAACCCTCACTCTGTTAAAAAACTTACCAACCAAGCCAAGTGATAAACCATAATACCAAAGAACAAGGCACTAAACAATCCAACCCATTTGAAGAATTCTCTATTCCTTTCCTTTCTTCTTTCCTTTTCTTGTTTCTTATTATGTGCAATTCTTTGTTCTTGTTCCAACTTTTTTCTCTCCAAAGCAGCTTTCAATTGTTCTTGTGTAATTTTCATTTCTGGTTCCGAAGATGACAATGAAGAATGAACAATTTGTGAGAGTTTTGAAAAGTCTCTATGATTTCCTTGTTGCACCAATCGATTCATCATCATCATCATTACAATTCCACTACTGTTATTATTCAATAAGGAGCAACATGATGCTCTTCCTGTTGCTGCTCTTGCAACTCTCAGTGATTTATTAACAAGACTTGTTTGCATTTTCTTCTGTTGTTGTTGTTTGATATTTCGCCATCTTCTTGAAGAGGCGGCCAAAAATCATGCCATTCAAAAAAGGCGAAAAACGAATTGTTGTGAACAAGTTGATTGAAAATAGCCACCACTATTGTGTTTCCACTGTGTTTCAATTTTTATTGTAGTGAATAATAGAGAATGAATAGAATTAAATATTTGGAATTATTCCGATGATTTTTTAAATAATTAATATATTAAATTATTAATTTCCCATTTAACTAATGAACCAAGATTGAAATTGAATAATTATTATTCCAAAATGAAAGTAGTATTGAGAATTTACAAAATTTACAAATTTACTTCTTCTTGATAATATCTTCATATTGTTTTGGTGTCTTTGTATTAATTGTTAATCCGTGCATTGATTGAATATCCTTCTTTAAAATTTCCATCACCATCTTGTGTTGTTTGACAAGAGATTGTCCTTCAAATTTATTGGAAACAACAAGAATATCAAACATTGCTCCACATCCACCCGAAATATCATTTACTCTAATAATTGGCTTGTTTTCTCCATCAACAAAGTTATTTTCCAAAATTTGTGCCAAATCCTTTTCTGTTCTCTTCATTTCTGCAAACAATGATACGGAAGAGTGATAAGAACGATTTATCAATGATGTTCTATAATTTCCGATCATCATCATTGGATTGCATGATGATGTTGAAGACTTGATAATATTTCTTAAAAGCGATGTTTGTTTGAACATTTTTTTAATTTTTGAAATTAAAACATTTGGAAAATCCAATCAATATGAAAATTATTGATTATTAATTCACACACTTGAAAATTTCACATTATCACACATTGAAATGATTCTAAACATCCAACAGAACCTTCATGATCACTCATTTCACAAACCAAGCCTTTCACTTTTAACTGAACACTTGTTTACAAAAAAACTTTCGGAGTATGAAAAATCTTAGACGTTTAAAGGCTTTGAAAAAAAGGCACGAAAACTGCGACGACAATTTACCCTGCACCTCTTCTTCCATCATCACACTCAAACTCATCAACAAGTCGATAATAATATTCAAAGACTTGATCAAATTCTGTGTGTGATTTGAAAACTAGACCTATTTCTCTCTACTACTAATACTACTACTATTTGGCTCATCAGATCATTATCTACTGCGCGAGATATTTAACTGTAGTCTACTATCATTGTAAAGAGATCCGATAACATCATCATCATCATCATATAATTATTATAATTTAAATAATATTTGTACAATAATCAAAGGATGAATCGTCAATTTTCAGCAACACATTCACGATCTGCTACTGCTACTAGCAGTTTACTGATTGTTCTTATTGTTCTAATAAGTTTCTTGTTATTCAACAAGTCTGTATATTGTAAAATAAGATTGTCTACTAATAGTAAAGAAGCAAAATCCACAAGTACTACTACTGGTGGCTCCTATGTTCCAGTCTATATCATGATGCCACTGGATACAGTGAATAATGATGGCACCCTAAACAATCCGACAAAGATTTACAATAATCTGAAACAAGTTAAACAAGTTGGTACGGATGGGTAGGTTTTTTCTCTTTTGTGATTTCAATATTCTAACACACATTGGTCCTCAATTGCATGGTTTATTGCAACTGTTGTGGTGGTGGTCAAAACTCCTTTCCCAAATTTTGACAATTTTCTAAATATTTCAAATCTTCGTTCATTTGAATGTTGGATAATTTGGAAATTCAAACAATTGAAAATTTTGAATGTATCTATTAGAATTATGATAGATGTTTGGTGGGGCATAGTAGAGGGGTTAGCACCTAAAGTTTATAATTTCACAGCTTATACTCAATTATTTACCATGTGCCAACAACTGGGATTAAAAGTTGAACCTGTCATGTCCTTCCATCAATGTGGTACTAATGTTGGAGATGCTGCTTATATTCCACTTCCAAAATGGGTTCTTCAAGTGGGTCAGAATAATCCAGACATTTTCTACACAGATCAAAATGGCCATCGTGACAGAGAATATCTTTCACTTGGTGTTGATAATGTAGCAATATTCCCATCAGGTACTCCAGGAAAGAATAGAACAGCTGTTGATATGTATAGTGACTACATGAGCTCTTTTATGCAAACAATGTCTCCTTTCATTAGTAGTGGAGTCATTGAAGTTATTGAGATTGGCCTTGGACCTGCAGGTGAAATGAGATACCCATCTTATCAATTACAAAATAATTTGTGGACATTCCCAGGTGTTGGAGCATTCCAATGGTAAGTTTTTTTGCATTGAATAGTTCAATAATTTTTAGTTATGATAAATACATGTTGAGAAACTTGTCACAATCGGCCTCACAGGTTGGTCATGCTGATTGGGGTTATGCTGGTCCAGATGATGCTGGATACTATAATTCATTCCCATATCAAACTGGATTCTTTAGTGAAAATACTGCTGACAATTATGATTCACCATATGGCAAATTCTTCTTGTCATGGTATTCTGGACAACTCATTCAACATGGTGCAAACATTTTATCAAGAGCAAGAAATATCTTTGGTAAGAATATCAGAATTGCTGGTAAAATTGCAGGCATCCATTGGTGGTTCTTCTCTTCTAGCCATGCTGCTGAACTTACTGCTGGTTATTACAATAATGCTTTCAATGATGGATATGGAGCTATTTCACAAATGTTTGCTCAATATGACATTGATTTTGAATTTACTTGCATGGAAATGATAGACAATGAACAGCCAAGTAACTGTGCTTGTGGACCACAAGAATTAGTAGCACAAACTAGAGCCACTGCTTGGAAGTATGGTCTTGAATATGGTGGTGAAAATGCACTTGACATTGAAGGAAATTATCAAGCTAACTCTCAAATTATCAATCAATCTTTCTCAAATGGAAAGGCAATTTCTGGATTTACGTACTTGAGAATGACTGATACCTTATTTGCTCAAGGTAACTTTAATGCCTACGCTCAATTAGTAAGCTCTTTACATAATATTTCCTCTTCAAAGTACGAAAAGGTTGAATCTATTATTTCAAGTTTGAAAAAACAAATAAACAAACAATAATTTATTTATTTAACAATTTCACTGATAGCACTAATTAATTCTCTATGAAGTGGAGTAAATCTATCCAAATTAATGGATTTCATTACAAAATTGGTTTCAGATTTGTACTCTATTGTGAAATCACCTCCTTTTGGTTTTGATTTAGATGCCATCTCATTAATATCTGAAATGTTATCTAAACGATCTGCAAGTTTTACAAAGGCTGCTTCCAAACTCATGGTATTCAATTTTTCAATGAAATAATAACTTCTTCCTAATCTCTTCTTCATCACTTGTTCTGAAACTTCGTCAATTTCATTTTGAAGAACATTTACTAACAAGGAATTGCAATTTTCATCAAGACTCTTACTTTTGAAGAGTTCAAACTTTTCAGTTGCCAAAGATGCAACCTTCTTATCATCATTTGTACATTCTTTAACAATGTAAGCTGTGGTATAGCCAAAATCATCTAGTATTTCCTCAAAAGTCGTATCAGTATCTTCTCTGTAAATTATGAGCTGATTCATTATTCATAAATAACTCTACTTACAATGTGTCATGTAAAACACCAGCACAAATAATTGATTCATAAACGGAAATAATCTTTCCATTGCTAACAATATCTGCTTGTTGATCTTTTATTGTTTTAATATATTGATCATCATGATATTTTTCAAACAATTCCTTGATAGTGTTTGCAACTCTCTAAACACATTATCAGAATATATTATTGCAATTAAAATTACAAACCTTCGGATGCTCAACATAAGGAATTACACCTCCCTTTCGGAATTGGCCTTTATGTTTTTCAGTTGCAAATTCAATGGCAAGTTCATAGAATGACATTTTTTTTAAAGTTCAAATAGCTTTACAAAAGGAATCAGTTTAAACCATTTAAACCATTTAATAATTATTTGATGGAATAAAGGAATTGCTTTTTTTTATTTACATATTTGATTTAATAAATTAATGTTTTCTTTTGGATGCTTTCCATTCCATAATTTGTTTCTTGAATTCTGGAGCTGGAACTAACATGTCTACAGAGAGAGGAGAACGATTAAAAGGATCTTTTGGATCATTGAGTAAATGTCTTTCAATAGTTGCCCTATCAATGTAAATCTTAGATACAGGTAAAAGAACTGGATCTTCCATAATGGTATAGGTAAGAGGATCCAAAAATTCATCTGGTGCATCACTGTAATCCACATCTAGGTCAATTAACTTCTTTGCCTCCTCCAATGCCTTTAAAGCAAATGAATCGAATTTCTTTACGTAATCCTCAGTTTTACCTATTTTTCTCAAAATAGCAACAACTCTTTCGAATACGTCTGCTTTGAATGATCGTTCATCTTTGGCAACTGCAGTAGCAAATTCATCAAATGGAGAGAAGTGGATGTAAGTATCAGTAATTTCAGTCAATAGGTACTTTGCACTAAATGAATATTTCTCAGGATCTTTAACCTTCAAGTTTTGGCACTTAGGTCCAGCCAACTCTACAAGGAAGTAATTAAGCATAGAAGCAACTCTGTCAATCATCTCAGGACGAAGGAAAGGTTTTGGAATATCTTTAGAAAGGTAGCTTAACATATGAACAGTTTCATTAGCTAAAAGCATGTATGATTTGACCATACGCTCATATTGTGCAAGAGCTGTGGTTTTGTCAGTTTTTTCTTGTTGTGTTAATGCATTCCATTCAGTTGGAGTGTCCATAACAGTTTGAATTTCTTTGATTTTTTGAAGATCTTTCAAACTTTCGTCCAATAAGTAAATGGCATCGTTAAGCAACAAGTTGAAGAATTTCATAAAGCTTGTGTCATCCGTCTTATTTGTGATTTGAATGAATGAAGTCTTGTAAGGAGTACTATTCCATAAGCTCTTCAAAAGCAAAGAGATATAATAACGGTAGTTGAATTTTTCATAGAACGAGCTCTCATGTTCAATATCAATATATAATTTCAGCAAACCTGAGGTAAGGCTAAGTTGAGAGAATTTGTGGTTTGGTAAATATTCAACAAGAATTGGTGGAATAAAATCATTTGATCCAGCAGGAAGCATAGCACAATATAATTCTGGTAGTTTTGCCAACAAATATCTGTTTTTCACATATTTTGAATGATAGAGGAACATAGCAAACATGTCGAATGTCTCGGTAAGAACAGTACTAGATAAGGATTCAGGCTTGTATCTCAATAAGAAAGTGAAACATGTCACTATATCTTCTAGGAAGAATTCTGGCATGGCAGCCAAGTCCTTTGAAGGCTCAGAAGGGAATGTAGTGTGAGTGTTACCTGCTACAAGAGGAGTCAAAGGATAATTGGCGGTATTCGTAGGATTTGCCAACTTTATAAGCCATATGCTACAGAATCTATAATAATCTAGCATTGCCTCAAGTAAATTTTGATCGAAAAGATGAGTTTCAGCTGTCCATCTGATAATGTAATATAAATCAATTTCTTTTCTTACTTCTGGACTTGGAGTTGCACCATAATGTCTTTGAACATCTTGCAGTCTTTTTATGGCGTTTTGATACTTTTCCTGTGTAACTAAATAGCCAAGGTGAAGGGCTCTATATGTAAGGAAGAAGCACGAGCTTACAAAACTAAAATCTGTGTTAGGTTTGGTTTTGTAGTACTCTTCAGATTCTTTTTCTGCCATATTAAATCTTGCATCTGATTTGAAGTTTACATCCTTATTCATCATAGGATAGTCAACTTGAATTTTGGCAGTAGCAGGTATCTTGCTATCTTCAATTTTAGTAAATGGTTGGGAAAGCTTCAATAATATAGCACACAAGTTTGTCATAAAGCCTTCCGTTGAGATAACATGAGGATCTGCTTGCATTTTTGCTCTTGCTGAATTATAGTCCACACTCAGTGATAACCATTCAATTGTTTTGTCTCTGGTTTCTTTTGGTTTCAAAAGATTCATGAAAATTTGCTGTAATGATGTATGGTACATATTAATCTTGGATCTGATTTGATCTTTGATGTTAGCAACATCTTGATTTGTCAATCTCTCAATATCATTTCTAAAGTATTGTTCACCAACTTTTGGTTGATCGTAATAGGCAGTAATTTTGAAAAGAGGTCCCAAAATAGTTTCAAATTCGACAGAATTACCATTCTTTCTTCTTGGTAAAAAGAGTGGATGATTTACAAGTACAATAGAAAGTTCTCTCAAAGCAGTGAGTCGCTTAAATCCATAAATATATGGAGAATAGTCATCAACAAGTGTAATTTTCAAAAATCTAGTTGAAATATCATTGAAGACGGGAGCAAAGATTGTTTCCAAAGTTTTTGGAGAATCAGCAAATCTTGTGACAAAATCTTGAAGGAATGTGCCTGGAATATCTCCACAAACATAATCAACAAGTTGTAAAGACCCTTGTCTAGAAATATGCTCTGGTTGATCGAACATATCTGGATCTGTCAAAACAATACCACAATATGAAGTAATAATTTCCTTGATATTTTTGATGACTTTGATTTGTTCTTCCTTTTTCTTATTGTCTAATTCTCTTTCTGATCGTTCAAAGCATTCCATCAAGAAGGAGAAAATAGTTTTTGAACCACTATGTTCGAAGCCTCCTTTAGAAATACGTTCAATCAAAATAGATTCCACATCATTTTCAGTAAATTGTGAGTTAGATAATTCAGATGCATAGTCTTTCAAGTAGTACAAAGTACTATCCTTACTTGGAGTCAAAGTGACTCTGAAAATCTTGGAAATTGTATCATGAACAAATCTTTCCTCCAAACTCAAATTCTTCTTGATAATATCTGATTTCAATTTTGTAATAAATTGATCAGTGTAAAATTTAAAATAAATTTGAAAAATACGTACCATCGGATGTATCCATTTTGTTTAGATTACTTGATGGTGATTTTGCTGATGTTGGAGTTGTAGCCTTTGGAGTACTAATAGGAGTGAGAGTTTTTGATGGTGGTACAAAATCATCTCGTGTATCCATAGCATTAGATTTAGGAGGTGAAGAAGTCTTGATAGGTGTTGTAATTGGAGTGACTGTGCCCCCAAGCCTATTTAATCTCCTCAAACGGATTTCATCTGCAGACAATCCAGCATTACTGTCAACATTACTAGGGCTTTGATTTGTTTGTGTTGTTGGTGTTGTTGTTGGAAGTGTAGGTTGAGTAGTTGTGTTATTGGTTGTAGTATTACTATCATTTGATGGTGTGGTATTATCTGATGATGTATTTTGATTTTGATTTTCTCCATCACCACCTCCAGAATTGAGCAAAAACCTTCTAATAAAGTTAGACATTGTTTCCTCCTATTACCACAGCAAACACAGGATCAGACTGTACAATTTTTTTATTAAAACTAGTAGAAATATTTTTAGCTTTTCCTTCCCTTCAATCCATCCACGCTTGAGTTCTGCTGCTAATTCAATTCAGACACTTTAAATACTAATTAAATATGGATCAATCGATTTTTTTAATAATCAAAAAAGAAAAGAACAATGGAGTACTTAAAACAAGTCGTTTGTGTAATTGAAATTGCTTTTGGCCTAAAAAATTCTTACAATTCAAGAACAAGTAATAATATAGAAAGAATCAGATAGTGAGCATCCATTTACCTTACTCTCCACTCCCAATGTAAACCCAGGACAGTTACTGCTGCCTGGTAAATCTCGTAGGAATCCATTGCCTCGGAAGGTGGTTTGTGTCGACTTGACAGATTTGCACATCGATGCAAATATTTAACGAGTTTGCCCACAGTACCTTTGGTACATTGTTGAAAAAAATGCGCAACACACGCCTTGTTTGCTCCGCAAAACAAATTTTTTTTTAACATACTCCTCATAAAACATCCTTTTCATCACATCTAAATTTTATCCGTGATCACCAACTCATCAACAATATAAAATTCAATCATCAACCTTGTACTACTCCGTCTATATTCACTAACCATCAACTCAGACAATTTTCAACAATTCTAAATTTAAATAACAATCTAATTGATGTTACTGTTCCCTATTTTCCGTATGGTGAAGCAGACTTTGCGTCCATCAGAAGAAGCAAACAATTCTATGTTGATAAGACTCATTTGATTCCTTTGTTGGAAAGTAGTGGTAAACAATTATTCTTTGTTCGTCCCCCGAGATGGGGAAAGTCATTGTTATTATCAATGTTGACGTCATATTATGATATTAACAAGAAAGATCAATTTGATGAATTGTTTGGTGGTTTGTGGATTGGCAAACCTGAGAATCATACACATTTTTCAATTGATGTTAGTGGTTCTCCTGAAGATATCAAACAAGCGTTATTCAACAAAATCAATTCGGATATCACAAGATTTTTAACCATTCATAATATGGAAGGTAATATTCAACAAATTATTTCATCCGATGCTCTTGTGTCATTTGATAACTTGGTAACAGCAATGTTGAAAGGAAAAAGCAGATTGGGAAATGTTTGGTGATTTAGTTGGTTTCACTGAAAGTGATTTGAGACTGGCCTTGAATAATATAGGTATTTTAAATGATCATCAGAATAATAATGCAATCTCAATAATGAAAAGATTCTATAAAGGTTATCATTTTCCAGGATCATCTCAACCCCTCTTCAATCCCACTCTGTCAATGTATTTTATGGATAAGCTTTTGAGTAATAATCAATTCAGATCAGATGTTATGGAAGGTAAAGATATTCCTCTCATCAATATGATAGATAATAACACAAAAATTAGTGAGAATGTTTTTGCTACTCTTGCAACAACTTCAGTTTCTACTCCTATCATTCAACAACTTTTAGCCACAAATTTTGTTCAAGTTAATACTTCCATTGTTAGTTCTTTCAAACTTCGTGAGATTATAGAACCACCAACGACTGAGTTAAGTGTAAAACAAGTATGGGATAATACATTATCCTTCATGTATTACCATGGAATGCTTACATTTTCAGAAGAAGATAATTCATTCTGTAAAACATTATTAATTCCCAATGAAATAGCACAAAAACAATATTTTTATGAACTGGAAAATATTGTTTCACTAACTCAAAATGACATGATATTACGTTACAAACATCCTTCTGTGGACATTGTAAAAAAGATATTGGAAAATATTATTGGAGAAAGGTATATCCATTATGATAATTCTTTTTCAGAGGGAGCACTTCAACATGCAATTTATTGTGTTTTACAAGCTTACTATAAACATGGAAACTCTTATTTCCAAGTTAAAACAGAAAGTGGAATCAATGAACAACATTTCAGTGAGAATCAAAAAGTAGATAATGATTTTGATAAAAGAACTGATATAATATTGGAAAGTGATAAAGATGTGATAATATTTGAACTTAAAAGAATTAGTCCTAATGGTTTAACCTGGAATGATAAACAATTGAAATATGTTTTAAAACAGAGAACTAAATCGAAATCAAAGATATTGATAGAGCAATATAGGAGAACTATGTTTGATGTATTGAGTGGAAAATGGAAACGTCCCAAAACTGTTGAAAGAATTAATGAAGGACTTTCTGAATTATTCGAAAATGAATTACTTAATCTACCATTAAATGAAACATATCTCTTTGGAACAGATAAGGAGGAAATGAAAATAGTTAGTCATGTTGTTGAAAAAGCAAAAACACAACTTAGTGATTATGTTAAATTGTTGAAGGAGAATAAGAAATTTTCTACAAAACCAATCCATGCCTTTGTAGTTGTACAAGTAGGTACTCCAATTATTGTGCAAAAGACAGACAAATAAAACGTTAGTTATGACTCCACTTCAATAAATTCAAACAATAAAGATAGTGATAATATATTTGATGCACCACATATGGATAAAGTAAATTAATCAAGATTGATAATAATTGGAAAATATCATGTAAAATATCATCAAGAACATCCTGCTGTTGGTGTATAATTAACCATTAAGCAAGAATCATTCTGTGTTAGGTGCATTTGAAGTTGAATTTGTGGAATATAATAATATCGTATTTGATGTCTATATGCAAAAGAACCATCTTTGTTTAAAATAAAAGGAGAAGAACATTTGATTTCAACACAGGATTTCATTTCATTTAAACCTCTTAAAATGCATTGTTTGTTTGGAACAATTTCTTCATAGAGAATAGCGTCAGGAAAGCTCCTAAAGGTAGAGGTAAATTGATGTTAAAATTTTCATTCAAATAATCTAAAGATTCCAAGTCATTATTTTTCTCCATGCCAATGCATTATCTTCATGATTAGTTCCCCATTCCATATTTATATTTTGAATATCATCAGTAATAGGTGCGGCTCTATAGGAAAACATTTTACTATCCTCAAGGAATTGTCTGTATTGTACAGATTGATGACGAAGATTGTAATAAATGTTACAAATTTTGAATATAATTTTTCATCATTTGGGAAAAAACTTAAAAGTAATGTCAATTCACTGGTTGTTAAAGTGTCTTTTCTCACTTTATATACCAATTGTTCAGTTCTTTGAAAGTTGTGCAATCATTTATATCAAAAATTGGTTGTACAATTCTTTTCAATTTCCAATCATTATTAATACTTTTCCAAAATGTGTTTAGTTTATTGCCCGTATAAATTGGCGAAGGAGATTGCTGCTCGGGTTGTTGTAAAATTGTAAAACTTGGTTTTCTTCTTTGATATTGTAATTTTGTCCTTAAAATTATTACTTGTCTTTTCTAATCGTTTGTCTACAAGTGATTTCCATTTTCTTCCTCTCTCAGTGTTTCTCAAATTTACAATGGATGAAATAAATTTTGGAGAAAGATTGAGTTTTGTTGAAATTTCTGTAAACTGTGGATGGTTTGGATTAGGTAATGATGTTTGCTTGACCATATCATCCTTCCATTCGTTTTCATACTTTTCAACAATAAAATCCCAACCATATGACAAATCCACAAACATACAATCATATTTACCTGGGCCTTTCACTGTTGTCAAATCTAGATGTTCCTTGGAATGCCATTTGAAACCGAGTGTGGGTGAGAATGCACTTGACTTGGCACTCACACCGTGGTATTCACCACACATATCATATTTACCATATTCGCTTCCTTCTAACCCAAGCATAATACCACCATAAGAGTCAGTTTTTGGTGCCATGTGATAAATGTATAAATGGCCATTGGATCCATTTGCATAAGATTTACTTCCTGTAAGTAAGGTTTGCCCTTCACCACCAATTGGAATATTCATTCCCCAATGTCTGTGATGTTTCAATGTATATTCAACTGATCTTAACATTTTGGTGTCTCTCAAACTGAAACCTGTGGTTTTTTGTTCAATTAATACCTTCCTTGTTCCATCCATGAGAGGTAACTCATTTTCTTCAAAATCAATACCATGCGTAGCACTCAATCTCTTGAATATTATCTTTCCTCGCTTTATACAATGGTCTCCAGATGTTCCTGTTGTCACATGCTTTGCAACATCCCCTGTTTTAGATCCTGTAATGATCCAATTCCAAAATGAATAATCATATGTTCTGTCGGATCCTGTTTTCTTAGGTAATTGAATAATTACTCTACCACCATGAGAAATAGCTGTACAAATAGGCCATCCAACATCATACCAATTTTTCCAAACAAAATCTGAATCGTCATCACTCTTCTTTTTATCAAATGCAATTGCCTTATGTCTAAAACACAATCCACCCCATCTAAACACAGAAAATAATCTTCTAAGAACCTCTCCTCTTTCGGGAACTCCAGGAAATTGAAGTGTTTGTGCCCACATTTCAGCATCTCGTTTTGTTTGAGCAGCAAAACCAAACTTTTTCCATTCTTCCATTATGATTCCTTTCATTGTATTAATTCCGTCAAGGTTAAACTTTTTAGGATCATCTTTCTTTTTCTTTTTGTTTTGATCATCTTCATCGCCAGATGAATAATCATCAACGAATGTAGATGTTTCCATATCCACACAAGTTGCTTCATTTGAATCTTCCTCTGATAAAGAAGATTAAGGATTTCAAATTCAATAAAAATCTTACCTATACTTTTCTCTGTTAGTTGTCTCGTCATTGATGATGCAATTGAGGCCATGTTGCCTGTGGAAGTTGCAACCAAAACGTTCATAGCATCAGAAGTTGAAATTGTTGGAGTGTTTGACGAAGATGAGACTTCTACTAGTAGCGTTGGAGAACTCGGTACGCTTCCTTGCTCATTGTTGTTACTAATAACCTCAACATCGTTATTCTCTGTACTGATTGTTATTGTTGGTGGAACACTCACTACAAGTTGAGGCTGCTCCTCATTTATAGTAACATTATCAGTAGCAACAGCATCCGAAGAAATCTCTGCTTGAGTTTCTTGGCTAATTGGATCCATTTTTTATGATGAAGTTTCACTAAGGCTTAGTACTAATGGCGAATATATTTATTAGTATAAAAGTAATAGTTAGAGGTGATAATTAAAGCTAAAGTATCATCAAATTGGTATTCTATTGTAAGGGTTAAATAAGCATTTCACATGATAATCATTTCCATTTTTTTCAATCACACAACGACATGAAGTGAATTTGAAAGGCAATCTAGTTTGTGCAATCATTCAGATGTTTTTATCCAATGATGTTGCAATTCGTTTGTGTATTCATTATCTTGAAAGTTGGGTGATGACTTGCTCTAGGAAGCATAAAAATTCACAAATCCTTGAAATCAATCGATCTTGTTTCGAGCTCTTTGACCGTTTCTCATTAACAAAGAATGCTAACTTGATAGTGTTGACCATGGATAATGTTATTTGTACGATTCAGTGTTCCTTATGAACTCTAATACAAATTTTGTTAAGACAACTGATAAAAAATGAAATTTCCAACATCTTTGAATACTACGACAACAACACATCGAATCAATAATTATGTGGTAGGAGGATCGGAAGAAGAATTTAATAATACCAACAATAATCAGAGGCTACACCATGATAAATTAACAACAACAGATTTTGTTCCGACACTAAATTATTCATCAATGAATCATAGGGAGAACAATTTTGATGAGGAGGAAATTATTTCTTCATCAAAACAATACAAAAAGTCTTATCGGAGATTATTATTAATACCACTAGTGTCAATTTTGAATTTATGTTTTGTATTATACTTTTATATTCCACTCCATTCAAAACTAAATATTAAAATGGTATGGACTTTGGATGATCTTAAGAAGGATTATGAAATACTCAAGAGTGAGGAAGCTGACAAGCATTCGTTTGAATTATTCTGCCTTTTTTGTTGTTTATATTTATTTGTAAGTAATTAATAATGAAATATTAGGAATGATCCTTCAAAAGAATCAAATTTGTTGTGTACCAGGGTAAGTGGAAAGTGTGCTAATTTTTACTAATTTATTTCCATCATATTTAACAAATATGTATTTCTATTCAGAACAATATTTTTGAATATAATATCTGGTGCTTTGATGGGAACTTTTTATGGAACATTTATTTGCACAGTTTTAAATACTATTGGAGCTGTTCTTTGTCATGTATTGTGGTATTTTAGTGGAAAGGATTTTCTATTGAGTTTCGAATGGTTCAGAACAAAAATTTCAAAACTATCTTCCTTAATGAATAGGAATAGAAAACTAGGAGGTTTTAAAATGGTTTGGTTTTTAATTTCATTAAGATTATTTCCACTGACACCAAACTGGTTTGTAAATATTGCTGGACCTGTTCTTGGTATTTCTGCTGCTGAACAAACATATTCTGTATTTATAGGAATGATTCCATTTAATTATATAACTGTTCATGCTGGATTAATTCTTTCAGAATTGAAAAGTGTGAATGACATTTATCAACCAAAAACCATCATATTCCTTATTTGCCTCTCACTTTTGTCTTTATTCCCAGTTATCATGTCCAATTATTCCAAAAAAGTTCATGAGAAAAGTGAGGAAATTGAAACATTGCCAGTTTTTAAGAAGGACGACTCGTATCAAACCGAAAGAATTTTGAATAATGAAAGTTTCTTACAACCAATAAGCAAGTCCGGTATCATGGGCAGTGTCAAAATGCTTTCCAAAATGATTGAAAGCCACAGCAAGCAATATTTCGGAAACTCCAATACCTCGATCGAATTTGATCCTTATAAAACCGTCTAATTATTCCACATGAGAGGGAAGTAACACCCTTAATGCGAAACACCAATTGTTCATGAGAGCGAATTCAAGGTCTATTGTTTGCCTTAATAAAAAACTCTCCTATTTTTTCTCTTTAGCAAGCAGCAGTTAGAGATTGAATCTTCCAGAATAAAGAGCACCCTCCAACTGCATTGCCTTAATCATAACTCCACATATGAGTCTATTTGTTCAAATATATCCTTATTATGAACAATCGCCCTTAGAGATTTATAATTATCTCAGCTTGTATCTTCCCTCAAACACAAAATTCCAAACTAACTTGAAGGATAATACAATGAAAGGCAAATTTAAAACATTTGATAATCAACAACAATCAATGGCAATGTAATAATAATTGTAGTTTGCAAGATGTCTGGTTGCAAGTGTATGACATCCCTTTACAACCCTTCATTGTTCGTATTAAAGGTACTCTTTTCCAAAAATGCTCATCCTCAGCAGAGATGTCCAACGTATTCAAGAAGGTTGCTCAGAGAGAGATCACCATCACAGCACTTTGTAAAAAAATTTCGTATTGCTCCCCACAGCAATTTATACAACAACAAGAAGAATAAAATGGAGGTATGTAGACAAGGGAAAAGAGAGGTTTTATTTACGGAAACAACAAAATCATTGATCTATTTTGTATACACAGGTTAATCCTATGGAAAAGCCAGACTTCTCTGGATATTTAAAGAAGAAGGGAGGTAAAATTAAAACCTACAAGAGTAAGTATTAAAATTTTAATTTAATAATATTGATCACCATGATGATAACAGGAAGATGGTTTGAATTGAGAGGAAAGCTTCTTTTCTACTTCAAGAAACAAGGTGAGCTCAAGCCAACAGGTTTTATCAATATCCAAGGAGCTAAAGTTGAAATTGATGAAACAAAGCCTATGAGCTTTAAACTTAGAGGTAAAAACTTGGCCAGAGTTTATGAAATTAGTGCGGAAAATGAAACAGAGTTCCAAGTTTGGATGAAAGAATTGAACAAAGCTATGAATTATAATCCATCATCTGATAAGGAAGGATTGGAAGAATTCAAGGAGGAAATTCTTAAGGCTAAATCTTTGGAACAAATTACTATTGGTAACAAATCGTCAGATGTTAAGGTTTCCTTGAACGATTTTGAATTACTTACAGGTATGTAAAAACACAAAGCTTTGTTTTTTAATTATTTGGTTAGTTGTCGGAAGAGGTTCATTCGGTAAAGTTATGAAGGTTAAACAAAAGGGTGCTTCTAGAGTCTATGCCATGAAAGTTCTTAGAAAGGATATGATCATCAAGGAAAACATGGTGTCACATACCCTTGCTGAAAAGAAAATTTTGCAAAGTATTGATCACCCATTCATTGTTTCTTTGCATTATGCTTTCCAAACTGAAGAAAAGTTGTATTTAGTATTAGATTATTTACCAGGTGGTGAATTATTCTTCCACTTGAGAGAAGAAACTAAATTTGATGTTGAACGTGCTAAATTCTATGCTGCTCAAATTGTTATGGCTATTGAACATTTGCACAAGAATGATATTATTTACAGAGATTTGAAGCCTGAAAATGTTGTTCTTGATGGTGATGGTTATGCTGTTTTAACAGATTTTGGATTGGCCAAGACATCTATGGGAAATAATACTCCAACTTATACATTCTGTGGGTATGTTGATTGAAATGATTTTAAACATTTTTAACATTAATAGTACTCCTGAATATTTAGCTCCAGAAATCTTGAAGGGACAAGGACACGGTAAGGCTGTCGATTGGTGGTCTCTCGGTATTCTCTTGTATGAAATGATTGTTGGTTTGCCACCATTCTACTCTGAAAATATTAATGAAATGTATGAATTAATTTTGAAGGCCCCACTCAAATTCCCAAGTAGTGTTCCAGCTGATGCACAATCTCTTCTTAAAGGTTTATTAGACAGAGAAGAATATAAACGTTTAGGAGGTGGCCCATCAGATGGAGCTGAAATCCGAGCACATCCATTCTTTAAGAATATTAACTGGGATAACCTCTATAGTAAGGGTATTTCTGCTCCATTCAAACCACAATTGCATGATGGTAACGATACCAAATATGTTGACACAGAATTTACTTCCGAACGTGCTCACGACAGTTTTGCTATTGGTGTTAGCAAGGATGAAAACAAGTCTTTTGATGATTTTGACTTTTCTAAATAATTTTATGTAATTAATATTTGTATATGTAATTTGTATTAAAAATATTTTCTAATTGTGTAACTGTTAGTAAAAAGTTTTCCTAATTTCAAGTAAAAACATTATTCTCTTCACCTCAATAAAACACCATTAACTTCTAGTAGTATTCGTTAACATTTTTCAGGAATCAAGTTATAAAGAGAGAGGAAACATAGGTACTTAGCTCAGTTCCATAATTCCAGGTCACGACTAAGGAAGTGGAACAGTGCTACATGATTTCTTCAAAAATTATTAAAATTGTTAAAATTGTTATTTAATCATTTTCTCAACAAATCAATCAGTTCAAAGCTTGAGTAACAATTTCTCTTTGCTCTTCATTATGTTTTGAAGCATACCCTGTGGCAGGCGATGCTGAAATTTTTCTGCCAACGAACCTTATATCGTGATGCTTAATCTTTTCAGTTGTGTTCTTAAGACAGGTCTTGAATCTTGGATAAACGTGTGACCAACCACCATAGTTCTTTGGTTCTTCTTGACACCAAACATATTCAGCATTTGGATACTTTTCAGCGATTTCAATAACTCTATGGAATGGGAAAGGAGCCAATTGTTCAACACGAACAAGAGCAACATTTTGTGTAGTTCTAGCACTGAGGAGATCATAATAAACCTTACCAGAACAGAAAACAACTCTCTTGACCTTCTTTGGATCAGTGATGGCACCAGTTTCATCATCAATAACTTGCTTGAATGAAGTACCAGCAGCAAATTCAGACAAGGATGAAGCAGCTTCCTTCAATCTGAGCAAACTCTTAGGTGTGAAAACAACCAATGGCTTTCTGAAATCACGGTGCAATTGTCTTCTCAAAACGTGGAAGAAATTGGCTGGGGTGGTACAATTGACAACTTGCATGTTAGCTTTTTGAATTTGGAGAGTCTTGCTTGAATCCTTTTCTGGGAGAGTTTCATCATCTTCGTCACAGAGTTGCAAATAACGTTCCATTCTGGCGTTACTGTGTTCTGGACCTTGACCTTCATAACCATGAGGAAGGAGAAGAGTGAGACCAGATGATCTCATCCACTTTTGTTCAGCACAAGAAATGAATTGATCAACGATAATTGAAGCACCGTTAGCAAAGTCACCGAATTGACCTTCCCAAATAACGAGTTGATTTGGTGATTCCATAGAATAACCGTATTCGAAACCAAGAACACCAAATTCACTCAAACTAGAGTTAGCAACAGTAAATTGAGCAGTATTTGAGATAGTCTTGAGTGGAATGTATCTCTTTTCAGATTCTTGATCAGTGACAACAGCATGTCTGTGTGAGAAAGTACCTCTTTCAACATCTTGACCACTGATTCTGACATGATAACCTTCATTCAAAAGTGTAGCATAAGCAAGAGTTTCACCCATACCCCAATCCAAACCTTCACCAGATTCAATCATTTGAGATCTTTGATTATAGACACGAGCAATACCCTTGTGTGGCTTAAAGTTATCATTTTCTGGAAGAGTAGAAACTTGTTTACCAAGAGTCTTCAAAACTTCCATTGGAATACCAGTAGATCTGATTGGAGAGTAATCGTGTGGAGTCTTCATTCTATCCCACTTACTTCCTTGCAAATACCAAACTTCACCAGTAACATCCAACTTTTCATCGGTCTTAGCTCTAGCAAATTCAACATCGAAAACATTCTTAACTTGTTCGTCAACTTGCTTGAGGTGTTCTTCATTGACAATGCCTTCCTTCAAAAGTTGTTTACGATACTTGCTAATAACTGGTTCTTGTTTAGCAATAGCTTGATACATGAGAGGTTGAGTGAACATTGGTTCATCCAATTCATTGTGACCTCTCTTACGATAACAGACAATATCAATGACAACATCTCCGTGATATTGTTGTCTATATTCAGCAGCCAATTTACAGACCTTGACAACAGCATTTGGATCATCAGCATTGACGTGGAAAACTGGAGCATTAAGGAATTTAGCGATATCTGTACAGTAAGAAGTAGATCTAGAACTTCTTGGATTGGTAGTGAAACCGATTTGGTTGTTGACAACAACGTGAATAGTACCACCAGTTCCATATTCATCCAATTGACTCAATCCCATAGTTTCATAAATAACACCTTGTCCAGCAAAAGCAGCATCACCGTGAAGTAAGACTGGTAAAACTTTTTCTCTATTATTGTCACCCATAAGAACTTGCTTAGCTTTAACTTTTCCTTCAACAACTGGGTTAACAGCTTCAAGATGGGATGGATTAGGAACAAGTGAAAGTTCAACTTCCTTATTTGTGAAAGGAAGGTGACGCTTTGTTGAGGTACCCAAGTGATATTTAACATCTCCGGAACCCAACTTGTTTTCAGTCTTTCCTAAGAATTCTCTGAAAATTTGAGCCAATGGCTTTCTCATAACGTTGGCCAAAACATTCAAACGACCTCTGTGAGGCATACCAACAACAAAACTGTCAACACCCAATGATGATGATGTATCAATCATACTCTTAAGACCTGGAATCAATGATTCACAACCTTCCAAACCAAATCTCTTTGTTGTTGGGAATTTGTTTGCCAAATAATCTTCAAACATATGACTGTAAGTCAATCTTTCGTAAAGTACTTTCTTTTCGTTTTCTGTTAAATCTACATTGGTTGCTGTTTCAATTCTTTCTCTTAACCAATTGCAAACATCTCTATTGTTAATATGCATGTATTCATATCCGATAGTTCCGCAATATGTTTCTTGGAGTCTATCCAACAAAGTTTTTAATGTCCATTGTGTATTTTGTGGAGGATTTGATGAAGAGAGGAAACCCTTGATCAAATCTTGGGAGAGAGTAATTGGGGTATTTGGGTCCATCTTGCAGAGGTGTGGGTAATTTTCAATATGCTATTATTCCATTGTTAAATTTTCATCATCATTAAATTATTGTTATGAATTTAATTATTTAAATTAATTATTAAATTAAATAACAAAATACAAACCAATTGAGGAATATCTTGGAAGTCAAGATCAGCGGAATACTTTCCCAAAGGGTCTAATTTGCTTACGTGATGACCAAAAACTTGGAAGGCTCTAATGAGAGAAATAATTTCTCCTTGAGCACCTGCTTGACTACTTAAGCTAGAGGAACCAGATGATTCACTTTGGAAAGTAGCACTTGATGATCCTACTTCTGGAAGGGAAGCAAAATATGTTTGCCATTCAACTGGTACGCTTGATGGATTTGCTCTCCATTGAAGTTCGAGTTCTTCCAGATATTGAGAATTAGAACCAACCCAAGCAAAACTGTCGGATGGGGTTGACTTTGTAACAAAAGAACTGCTCAAGTTTCTTTGTGAGTTCAAACCTTGCATCAATTGAGCAGTTTGCTTCTTCGACTTGGCAGAAAATACTTGCTTGGCGACTGATGTTGAATTCTTGCCGGCAGATTTTAAGAGTTGGGACTTGAGCATTTTTTTTTGTGTATTTGTTATTCGCGATTTATTAGCTTTATTAATCCTTTTCAAAGCGACAAATTATTATGCTTGAAAAATCAATTCAGCACCGCTCAATATAATAGCACACCACTATATATTGTATACCAAACACTGCAGCTTCAACACTTTACAACTATTATTTATAAACGATTCTCTTTTACTATTTAATGTTTAATGAAAGAAGAAACCATGAGGTGCAATAAAAAATCAGCACCGGGCAAAATGATTGAAGCTTTGGTCCCTCTTTGTTGGAACGCATTCGCTCAATTTAATATGGAAAATCGCGAAATTTTAGGGATTTTTTTATTCTATCAAAAACAGTGGCATAGGGTATCGTTTTTGATAGGATTCTTTGATTTGTTAATTTACAAAGAAGTGTTCATGAAAAATACTGTTGTTTGTAATTAAAGATCAATCTGAAGAAATGATGATTCAGAATAGTGATTTAATTTGTAATGATAATGAATTGCCATTTCCAATACTTTAACAGAGTCATTTCTTTCAGATAATGTTTCAGATAATGTAATCCACTTGTCGCTTTCAAGTTACCGTTTCTGTCAAATCAGTATTTGTAACTGCTGATTATTGCTATTGTTGGTTCTGTTGTTAAAGTTACTGATTCCTGTCTTAAAGAATTTTCCCTTAATAACAATGGCGGGTAAATAAATCAATCAACCCAAGAGAAATCCACAACAACACTTCCATGAACTTTAATAACTTTAAAAAAATGTCAACAACACTTCAACTTGACCCATACGCTCTTCTCATAATTTTCTATCACATTGATGATCTAAAAACACTGTACGGATCTTGTTCTCGCGTCTGCAGAGATTGGTATCGAACATTCTTTGCAGAAAGCTCCGATAAAAAGTGGAATAGGAATTTGCAACCTCTTCATAATTCATCATTTTGCAAAATAGTTGATAAGATTGTTTATATGAATAGGATGGCAGAAGTTTTGGATTTGTCAGGTCAATATTCTGAATGGATGGGAACTGCTCCTTATTATAATCTTTACAATCAATTTGAATGTGAATTGTTTTCGAGTGGAGAAATTATTGGAAAAGTATTGAAACATAAAAAGAAGGTTGTTAGTACTAAATTATTCAAGAAGAGATACATGACATTGGGTTGTTATTGTCCATTGGTGGCTTCTAATCGAAATCCTCATATGGCAATTAGAAAGTTATCTCAAGCCAATTCAATTCCAAAAATGTTTCAAGGTTCCATTGCTTCATGTTGCCAATTTTTGGTTGCAGTTTCTGATACAAAAAATTCCTCAATATCTTTCTATTCCTCAGTTGACAATGAGTGTTTATTGAAAGAGTTCAGGATTGGAGAGAATGTGAGAATTTCAAGCATGGCTCTCACATTTCATCCATTAATGAGTTCAGAACATAGAAAAATGTTGAATATTGATCCAAAACAACCAGATGTTAACATTTATTGTCTATATGTTCTTTGTGCGTATACTACAGGTGGTTTCAACTTGAAGAAATACCTTGTATGTGATAATCTTAAAGGAGAATTCTTGTCAAAGAACAGTGTCTAATGATGACTAATACGACTCATAACTGTGAAGGCTCTCTTTCTGTTCCTGGATGGGAACATGTTGGTATGGATCTAGTTGTCATAACAACTCCAGATTGTTTATATTTAGTCTCTAATCATGGAATCATTCATTATGTACGAACAGGTCATGTTGCAACAAGTCCATCAATCACACCTTATTCAGGAAATAGTTTTCATGCAAGTTATCTCATTAATTTTACAAAAGCCCTCAATACTAGAGGGTTTTCATTAGAGGACACAAACACATATTCAAACTATTCTGTTTTTTCTCTTCAATTTGGAGGAAACACTAATGAGTATCTTGATTTTATTTACATTTATTTGGTAATAGCTCAGAAAAAAGAACCACTCAATAATGAATATTCAGTATTTGTAAATGTTAGTCAAAATGTAAGCAAGTCCATTAAGAGAGGTCCTTCAATTTATTCAATGTTGGATATAAGAGATTACACTGAGAGAATTCTCAATATCAGTAATCAAGGAAAGGAGGCAAAGGTTGAAACTTCATATTATGAAGTGAATGCAGAGGGACACAAAATAGCAAACCACGAAACGTTCTATGAGAGACATTGGGAAAGACATTTATCAAGGTTTTCAGAATTTTATGATTATTATGAGGAAATTTCTACAATTAAATTGTGGGAAGATCAATACTTTTAAGATGAGATTTTTAAAATTGAGCTTTGAAGGATAGGGATTATATTTTAGCTTAGTTTAATGATTCAAGAAGTTGCCATTACAATCTTCCAAAAATCAAATTCTGTCAATTTATTTAAATTGATAATTGCCAATCTAACCATCTCTTTGTCTTGATGAGCTACCAATAATTTGCCTTATTCTATAAGATTCTCCAATTTTGAAAGCTAATCCATTATCAATGGTAATATAATATCCACTTTTTGATAAACTCTATCATAAATATTAGCATATCCAAGTGTTTCTAATGTTATAGAACTGTGAAACTATTCTGAAAATCACCCAAGTTCATGGGTTGTAAATTTCATCGAATTTACAAAAAAAAATGGGAAGGAAAAAGAACAAGAAAATTGCTACCAGCATTACTAAACCATCCCCAAAAGAAAAATTGTTTGAAACAACATGGTATTCCTCCTTTCAACACAATTTAATAGTACAAGATAATTATCATCCTGTTTTTCTTGGATCTGAAAATGTATTAACACATTGTCCAACATTGTTTGTTTTCGGAGGTTTGTTTAAATAATAATCACATGAATTTAAATTGATTAATATTATTTCTATAATGATTATATATATTCAGGATCAATTTCGGGAGGTGGTGATTTTTTAGAGCATGTTCAATTTTTGAAACTTTCTAATATTATTTCATCATTTACTGATAGACAACTACGTGACTTGTCAACAAATGACTTGGACACTGAAAATACATTACAACTGAAATGGGAGGAAATAAGAGTTGATGAAAGGCCACCAGCAAGAGAATTTCCTTGTTTGTCCTATGATAAACAAAATCAATGTGTCTACTTGTTTGGAGGATTTGGAAATACATATTTGAATGATTTTTGGAAATTTGATTTGGCTTCTAGGGAATGGACTGAAATTGAAACAACAGGAACTGCTCCTACACCTAGGTGTGGATGTTCTGGTTGTTATGCTCCTTCTAGAGGAAAGTTCTATGTTTTTGGAGGATATCATGGAGATTATTTGAAGGATTTTTATGAGTTGGATTTGGAAACTAATGAATGGCAACTTTTGAACTATTCACATGATATTCCATCCTTGACAGTTCTTTCTCTGAATACTGACGCTTCTAAGGATTATTTGACAATATTTGGTGGTTATACTATGTCCAAATACGTTACTGATATGTATCACTTTGATTTTAATAGAAACAAGTGGGAAAATTCAGTTAGAAATTTGATTCACTCAGATGGACATACTTTCCATTCAAGGTGCATTACTTTGAGAGGTAAATACAGAGGTATTCCAAACTATAATAATTTCCTCATACTGTATTACAATGGGGGAACAACTATTTATGAATACGACGAAGAAGAAGGAGAACGCATCAAATATAAGGTACCGAAAAAACTAGAATCAACATTTGAAAAATTGGATGCCAAGTTCATTTGTGAAATCAATGAGGACACCCTCTTAATTCTTGAAAATACTGAACTATACCTCATTGAAATTAGAAAGCTAAAATCCACCAAAGGCCTCGACTATTTCATCAATAATTTGAAAGAAAGAATCCAAAACTTTTCAGATATCTCTTTCATAAATTAATTTTATCCTCACTTGCTTGGATAGGGAATTGATTTCGAAATCCAACACATTATTGTTTTTTGAATCAAGTAATTTTACATGATGACAAAACACAATGATGAACAAGATAAAGTGAAAATAGTGGCTATTTGGTATTTCTTCTTCTGATGGGTACCAAGTGTTCGTTTTGACCACAATTTGATCATCAAAACTTCAGTAACTGATTCTGAAATGGGACAGATAGAGTTGTCTATTCAAATCAGAGAATGTCCATACACTCTAAGCATAAAGAGTGTTTTACCAACATTAGGTAGTTCACTTAAAACTTCCTTTTCAATTGGCATTTCCACTGGGATACTTGGGAGAATCTTTATAGAAAATATTGGACTTTCTGTATTGATTGGTTTCCAATATTTGAAAAAATGGATGGAGCCCTGGTTGATAGAGGTTATATAATTTTGCGTTTTTAAAAGCCAAAACTAAATTGAAGATAACTTGTTATTTATTGAAGCTTTTGTTTTGACAAAATCTGAGATAAAGATAACCTAGTATTCCAATATTTCATTTTGTTTCATTTGTTTACAAAGAACCTCCTTTCAATTGGAGAATGAGTTGAATTATATCACCACTCTTCAATCCTACATCATTCACAGATGAATCATCAGGAAGAATTTTTCCATTCATAACTAATCTTTGTTGTGGAATGGTAACTCCAATCTTTTCCTGAATAAGCTTCTTCAAATAGATGAGCTTATCGGAAACTTCTACATCAAACTTGGTAGCACCACCTGAGAGAGTTCTCACTTGTATTTGCATTCTTTTTTTATTCTTGTTATTGTTTAATTTTCTCATCGCAATGCTAAACCTTTTATTCATTAGTTTGTGTTTCTCATGTAGATTAATATTTTAATAATGTAGTTCTGATTGTTCACTCCCAACAACGTTAAATGAACTCTTTACAAAAAAATAATCTTGGAACTTTGCAAATCCAAATATAATTGAGTTGATGCTCCAGGTTGCAAACAAGTTAATATGAAATTGACCTGTTCATTATTTAGGTGATAGAGGTAAATTGGACCGTTAATGATATTTGACTGAGTGAAAAAGAGAGTTTGGGTAGATTTAAATATTTCTTGTATTACAAATATTCGAAGTGATTTAACACTATCAAATCTTACAACTTTAGTGCAAATTAATGAGTATATCTGATAATATTTTCCGATTGGCATTTAAATTTCTTTGCAAAAGTGAAATTTCCAAATGTTCAAACATTAGATATTTCAAAGCACTAAATATTAAATTGGTTTGATTTTCATTTCCATTAGAACATCCATAAAATGGAATGAACATGATCTTTTTTGACTTGTGAATCATCCAACAAACTTTCTCTCCTTCAATTTGTTTTCCTAAAAAAATCCAATCATTTGGGTTGACCAAATGTGATTTATCAATTCCACATACATAAGGATCTGAAAGTGAAACAATGTTTAGATTATCATCCTCTTTGTTTTCAAAGGATTCTAGAAACGTATCCAAACTGCTACTTTTAAGCTTTATAATATTTTCACGTTGTAACATAATCTTCTCTCCTTCCATAAAATCAAATAATTTCCAAACAATATTCTTTAGATTATCCCTCGACACTTCCAATTCTATGGCTACTTTTGATAAACTTGATCTCAAGAAGACAACCATTAATTTCCCTCTCTTTACCAAATACCATAAATTAATCAGCATTTCTCTTTTCCATATAGAATTGTTATATCCTGCAAATAAACTGATGAAAATAATTTGATAATTGTTTAAATAATCCATAAGATTCTTCTCATTCAATACCTGCTCTTGAACGGTGTCCAATTTCCGAAATAATGATCTACTCTGATCATAATTATTGAAGAATCGGTTTAGCTTTTCCATAATTCTATTAATTCCACCTTTTTCAGAGTATATCACGAGTGCATCTTTGAGATGGAGGTTATTTTCATCAATTTGCATTTTTTTTCATTAAAGTAATTGGTTTTGTCAATTAGAGTTTGCAGAGATTAGAAATTCTTGATTTAAATCTCCACAAAATGATAATTATTCACTTTTTGGTTAGTATTTGATAGAAGCTTATTAATTAACATAATAAATAACATTTTGATTTAAATTTCTCATTTCCACAATCAAAGGTTGACAAACAATCCACAACCCCACTCCAATAATTCCTCCATTCATTAATTTTGAAATAATTTTAATATTATTGTATAATAATTTCATCAACCATTTCATAATTTTACATCTAGTAGTATTATTATTATTTATATTATTATGATTACTATTATTACTATTATTTGTATTATTTGATGGTGATGATAATTCTTCATATTGTTCCATATTTTCAATTGTTGTTATTGTTGTATTATTCATCATAACAAGCCTTCTTACTCCGAATTGTATGAGAAAACAACCAAAGGCTCCAGTGGCAAATGAAAAACCAAATCTGAATACTTCCTGTACTAATTTTTTAATTAGGCTCTCCAGTCTAGTATCCCTCATAATCTCCTTTGTGGTTGCATCTGTAATTCTGACCATTCTATTTTTTTTTAAATATATTTAAATTTTATTGTAATACTATTTAAAATTAAATATTTAAATCAATATTTAACATTAAATATCCAATGTTATCGTTATACAAAATAAATTTAAAAAAAATGGGCAAAAACAAGAAACAGCAGCAAAAACAAAAAAAAACATCTGCCTCTTCCTCCACACAACAACAACAATCATCATCATCATATGATTCACAACAAGAAATAAAGGATGAATCAATTCCTTCCTATATGTATGATTTTCAAGAGGGTGGACCCACTCAACAACAAACTGAATGGCTTTCAAGTACACTCAGTGAAATGCCACCCGAATATTTACAACAAATGTTGGTAACCATGATGAAAGTCTATTCGGAAGAAAAAGGAGAATCAAGTAATGAAGGTTTGAAAAGGAATAAGAAAGTAAAGGATGATGATGATGATTTAGATCCTGTTTATGATAAGATGGTGCATGGTCTGGTAGAATTTCAAGAACGGGAAGAAAAAGGACTTGTTGAAAAGAAGAAACGTGATGATAGTGGAGAATATCCAATTGGAGAACCTATGGATTGGAACAAGTTTTTCAAAAGTGATTTTCCAACTGGATATTACGACAATCTCATTGACAATAATACATTTATGAGTATTTTACAATCAAAGATTAGATTATTGGCCTATGACTCTGTTTGTGAAGAGAGTACCATTTACTATTCCTTAATGATTAATGTTTTAAATCCACTTGGACAAGATACCAGAAGATTACTCGTTCTTCAAAGGTTAAGAAGACAGGGTGATAATCCGAGATCCAACATTAGACCAGAAACTTATTCATTCTATGGTGAGTCAGATTTCAAAATTTGTCCAAGTGTTGAATATTTAAAGAAAATAATTACAATGAGATTTATTCCAAAGGAGAAACAAGATGTTAAGGAAGATATTCTTGAGGATAAAGAACTTGTTAGATGTGCCAAGTTTGTGATAAATTCAAAAAAGAGGAGAAAGAAAGATTTTGAAGAGGAATCTGACATTCCATTTTGTGAAAGTTTTGATACCAATAATTTGGATTCAGAGGATTATGACTTTGACTCAAACGATCCAGAAAATAATATCAATTTTTCCAATGGTCACGATAGGGAGAAGTATAGAGAATACAAGACAGAAGGAGCTACTATTAGAAGATTACTCATTGGTTCATGGTCTCCTTGTCCTTGTTATGATGGTCAATTTAGAATCAAAATTTCACCACTTTTCAGAAAGATTTACTATAGATTCTTTACCTTCTTACCTTCTTATCACAATAATTTCCATGATGAGGAGGAGAGAGACAAATACCTTTCCATTCTTACCAAAGCAATTGCTTCTACCAATTCATGTTCTCAATATTTAGAGAATGAGATTGAAAGATTGAAAAATAGTACAATACTCAGTATGGAAATTGATTATTCTTCAATTACAGGAATACATTTACAAAAATGTTCAGTAGATCAAAGAGTATTCAATGAAGAGCTCTGTTTGCTTGTTCTTCAAGTGAACCAGGCACCAACATTCTACTCTAGAAAAGTTAAAGATGGATACATTAAAGATATGAATACAAAGAAACGAAACGATTTTACAGAAAATTGTGCAGCATCTATCAGCACTAGACATTTCATTTGTGGCAGTGAAAGAGAAATGAAGAGAATTGCATCAATTCTCATTCAAAGCGACACCACAGGTACCTTGCGTAAACTCTATCATGAAGGAATGAAGAGCATTGACTTGGAAACTGAACCAGTTGTTGTAATCTCAAGTCCAGTTGTTGAAAATTCAACCTCCTCATCACCAAATAATTCAACGGCAATGAAAATGTTAAATAATTACAAACTTTCTGCAGATAGAAAAGTATTAGGGGAATGTATTTTCAGTCATTTGCAAGAGAATTTTAGTCAACTCTTGTGGGAAAAATTACTCACTACATCTATGAGAGAAGCAGCCAATCAAACTGGTATTGATTTAAGAGATAGAGGTTATTCAGACGATGAATTGGATAATCTCCAACTCTATCAAATTCTTGGAAATGAAAAATTTACAAAGGACATTTACTTTTCCTTTTGTAGAGGAAGATTTTACAAAACGAGCGAGTATCATCATGTTAATGGAAAATGTTGTGCAATAAGTGAGAATCCAACCAATAGTACCACTACTACTACTGCAACTGTTCAACCAAAGAAAACAACAAGTAACCAGGCAGTTCTAGGAACGCCATTCAAGTTTGTAAATATTGGCTCTGTAATTGAATATCCTCTTCCTCCAAATTTTCCCCCTGTAAAGAAAAGATAATTGAAGAAAAATAAGTCAAACATTGGAGTTAGAAATATGTTTATTGAAATAATACTAAAATGTACATCAAATTTTGGTTTGATATTTTATGTCAAATCGAAATTGATTCTGGTTTTATTTACAATATTATTACATCGTTTCGATTTTGCATTCTTATTATTTAACAACCTCCTCTTAATCTCAATACTAAATGCACAGTTGAATCCTTTTGAAGATTGTAATCACTAATAGTTCTTCCATCTTCCAATTGTTTTCCTGCATAAATCAATCGTTGTTGATCTGAAGGGATACCTTCCTTATCAAATATCTTTTGTTTCATATTCTCAACAGTATCATTTGATTCCATTTCAATAGTAATTGTGTTTCCTGTCAATGTTTTTACAAAAAGTTGCATTCCTCCTCGCAATCTCAATACCAAATGAAGTGTGGAGTCTTTTTGAATGTTATAATCATTAATAGTTCTGCCATCTTCCAATTGTTTACCGGCATAGATGAGTCTTTGTTGTTCTGGTGGAATTCCTTCCTTATCTTGAACCTTTCTTTTAACATTTTCAATTGAATCATTAGATTCAACTTCCAATGTGATGGTTTTACCAGTGAGTGTCTTGACGAATAATTGCATGATTGTTAAGTTGTTTTTTCTTGTTGTTTTGTTTGAATTTCCATTGAAAAAAGATTTTTCAATCTTCAACTATTTAACTGTAAAATAACAATTCAAGTATTTTTAGAAAATAGTTCAACAGGAACTTTTTTGATGTGTTGTTCCTACTTTGTTTCTTGCCGCAAATTGTTTGAACTTGTTCATTCTTTGTAATTCTACCTTTATGGCAACAAGACTACAAGCAAAAAGCATTCAATCAATTGGGGAATAAAAAGGAACGGTTGATTATTAAAAGAACAATTCCACCTTATTCATGAGAATGATTGCATTGTTTATTTAATCAGAAAAATCAGATCCAAAATCTGAGAAATCGGATCCAGAACTACTACTACTACTGCTAGAATTCGACCCACTTCGTTTGTGTTTTGATTTCTTACTATCCTTATCTTTAGAGCTACCAGCAGCTACTACTAATGGATCTCCAAAATGAATATTGGCCTGCATAAGGGGTGTACCTATATGTAAATCACCCTTTAAAACAGGTGTACTGAGATGAATTGATCCAGAGCTCTGTTTTTGCGAATCTTCCTCATCCCCGTAAGGATTGGAAAAGTTATCAAAATCTCTTGGTGTTTCGAATGAATTTACATTATATGAATCCTCGGCAGTTTCATTTGATGGTTCTTCAAGATTAGTTGACAATGGAGGAACCGTCGAATGGTTTTCAGGTTCTTTGTGAGATAATTCATCATGAATTTGGGTTGGTTCTTCATGGTATTTAGGGGAAGGAGGACAAACCTCTAGATTTGGTTCCATTATATCACCAAGTATTGGAGTTTCCACGGATGTAGCATGAACAACTTCATGATTCTCAGGATATTCTGTTTCCAAATGTACATTATCCACAATGTTGAGATCTTCATTTGTATGATTTTCGTTCGGTGCCTCAATGTTATCTAGACCATAAACACGCGAAAAATCATTACCTTCTTCATCACGCTTATCTCCTTCATGAACCTCTCCTTCATGTTGGTATTTGTGTGGTTCCTCATCCTCGTAAGGATTGGAGTATCCAAATGTGTTTTCCTCCCTTTCCTCTTCTTCGTTTTCTTCCTCTTCTTCATCTCGATTTTCATCATGTTGGTATGGGTTTTGGAATTTCTTTTCATCGAGTGAATCATTAAGAGATAAAGGATTTTGATTTTCCAATGGTTCATGATGTTGGTGAGTTGCTTCCAATTCAGTATGATATTCTTTCAAGACAGTTTGTTTCTTGTAAGCATTTTCTTCTTCTGTTTCTTCCCCTGATCCATCATAATTTTTAGAATTATTTTGATCCTGTTTCTTTTCAATAATTTCAAATTCAATATCGTCTGTAATGTCGGATGCATACCCCTTTTCATTGTTAATTCCGAGTCTGTTCTCATCATCTAGCTCATCATCTTCCTCCTCTGTAAGGAAAACTTGGCCATTTGAAACTGCTTTAGGAGTTGGAGCAATGACACTCCCTATTATAACAACATCGTTTTGGATTGTTTTTTCTGATGATTTAGGTGTCGATGGCTCTGGTTTCTTCTCTGGAAATTGAGGTTCAAGATTTACTCTTGCATGAAGATTGAAATAGGAAATGACATATTCTGGGCTCTGGTTGAAAATTCCCTTAATCTTTTGCTGCTGTTCAGGAGTGAGTTCAAATTCTCCTTCTGAAACATTCAGTACTGTAATAAATTTTCCTTTTTTGATGAGAGTAAATAAGAATTGTTTGATCGTCCTTTCATTATCTTCCTCTCTCAAAATAATAGCCTCGTACTTGTTTAACTTTCTTTCTGCATTCATTGCCTTATCAGCAAGTTTTAACTTCTTTTTAGTGAGTGGATATGTTACAGTTGCTGAAAGTGATGGATTCTTCTTATCAGGAACCTCTAACAACTTTTCAATATTTTCATAATACAGACTTGGAACATTTGCAAGTAATGGATGACCTCTGAAAGGGAAAATGTAATGAGAGAGGTCGCTATTATCAACAAATTCCAAATCATATCTCATTTTGATAAGATAATTAGTATATTCCATAAACCTAAAAGGATAATCAAGACTAAGGTCTTTCCTCCACTTGTCAATTAGTTCAACAATCTTCAACCCCTTTTTCTGAATATCTTTTTGCAGTATGAGTGCTTCCTTTTGTGCTACAAGAATTAAACCAGGATTTGAATCCTTTACAGCATTATATTCCTCAACAAGACAATGAAGCTTGTCAAGAACATCCTCTCTTTCCCAAATGGCTTCCGTTACTTGTATTGTTTTTAACTTGTGATTTTCCAAAAGGTCTACAACCATTGAAAGTTGATGAAGATTATATATATTGTATTCACTTCCGTATGCATTAAAAAAGTATTCTACATCAATGAAAGGTAACTTCATCACAAAAGCCAATCGTTCCAATCTTTTCATATATATAAGCTCATTGCTCATCAATGCAAATCCTTACCTTCTTTTTTGTTTTTCAAACTCGCTAATCATTTCCTCATCATTTAATAGTACAGCCTTCTCGTTTTTAAGGGAGACTGTACTATACATTCCCTGATCTGAGAAGGAATAATTTTGTGTTTTATTATCCCTGGAAGGAGTTGAACCACTAGATAATTTCCTCTTACTTTTAGTTGAGCTTGTACTACCAGATGATGAAGGAATTCTCTTCTTTGAACTTCCCACTTGTTGAGAGCCTGGTCTTGCACCACTACCAGCTGTTGCCAATGCTCCTGAAGAAGCCTTCTGGCTGCTTGTAGAAGAAAACCTTTTAGTTGTTCCCTTACTAGTGGTGCTGCTGCTCATTTTTGTTTTCCTTTGGATGAATGAGGTGTGTTGCAGTGCAGAGAGAGAATTATCTGTCGTACACAATCAAGATTTCCCACCAAAACTTTTAACGAGACGTAAAGAGGATGATTTATAACATTATTTTGGTGCTCAGTTACTACTGAAATGTTCATAACATTTACAACTCTCACTTCCTTTCATAAAGAGATAGATTTATTAATCACATTTGATAATGAGATGTTGCCTATCTGTTTGTTGCATCTTATTGTTTTGGTGCAAATACATCAGGAAGGAAATTGGTGTGTGCAACAATGGATGTTCTTTCAATTCGGATATTGTTATGCTCTTTCAAATATTGCTTCAAGTTGTGTCAAAAATTCAGCCATATTAGAAAGTTGGGTTTACATAGTTGGTCCTTCATCTCCATCTCCAACTTCTTCTTCATCCAAGTAATCTTCATCATCGTCAAAGTTTTCGAATGCATCATAGGCATCTCCTCCATCGGATTCCTCATCCTCAGCAAGAATATCACCATTTTCGTCATCATCATCGTCTTCATCGTCATCATCCTTTTTTTGTTTGAAGAGCTTTTCCAATCGTTGTACATTGGCTTCATCACTTCCAGAATTAAATCTCTTATAGAGCATCATGAGACGCTTCTTGTTTGGTCTGACAACTATTTCGCTTGGGAAATAGCCAGTTTTTATACCAAGACTTTGCATGAGTGGATCCTTTTTTTCATCCAAACAAGCTTCACAATGTTGTGAGTCAACATAGTATGGAGAGTTTCTAATTCTTCCTCTTGAATTTCTCATTTGTTCAATCATAACATGTAGAGCATCAGAGATTGGTTTACATTTATGAATCTTAACTTCGGGATAAAGAGGAGGAATCAAAAGAGCCTTTCTTTGCATAGCTTGATAAGGAGTTAAAATTTGTGGTTTCTTTGCTTGTTCTTCACCTGCATTAGCAGCAGTACCACTTCCTTCTTGTTGTTGTGAAGCAGCTCCTCCCGAAGAAGGAATTCTGCCCATTGGAGCAGCACCTCCTCTACCTCTTCCTCTTGGTGGCATTTTTTTTAAATATTAATTAAAATAAAATTTTATTAAATGCAAATTCAAAATGTTGAAAACAAAGCCTTCATTCTGGAGAGTATTAAACATTTTGTAATATTTGATGAGTTGTTTATATTGAAACACACTATTGAGAACGTTTTCCGAACCAAACATTTGCCGACTGATTCAATAACACCTCTCTGTCAACAAGCCTTCATGAAAAAACAACTTGAAAAAAAATGAGCGACTGGACATCCACTTCATCATCCTCATCATCATCATCTCTTATTCAACGTTTATTGATGGTGTATGAATTCTTTTATTTCTGTTTTTATGGACTTTATTTATTAGTTTGTGAATTGGAGCTACTTACTAAAATAAAGTCATTGGTACCATTTTTCGGAGTTAAAATTAAACCACTCATGTCCACTTTAGAAGAAATGATTTCTCATAAAATTGAACTTGTTAAACCAGAGGCTGATCAATTTTATATTATTACAGGTGCCAATTCTGGTATTGGTTATGAAACTGCCAAAACACTGGCCTGTGAATTTGGTTTTAATGTAATTTTAGCTTGTCGATCTGAAGAAAGAGGAACCGAAGCATTAAACAAAATTCAACAAGAATTGAATAAGAAAAACTCAAAAGTAATTTTGAAATTCCTTTCATTGGATTTGAATTCATTGAGTAGTGTCAAATCATTTGCTGAAAAGATTAATCAACAATATAAGGTCAAGTGTCTCATTGCTAATGCTGGAATAATGACACCACCATATGGTTTAACAAAGGAAGGACATGAAACTCAATATGGATGTAATTATTTGGCTCATGTTCTCTTAACATTATTGTTAAAGAATAATTTGGCTGAAAATGGACCAGATAGTAGAATTGTTTTTGTTGCATCTGAAGCTCATCAAACTGGTCATGTTGATTTGGAAGATCCTGATTTTAAAAAGAGACCTTACAATCCATTCCATGGTTATACTCAATCTAAAATGGCTCAAATCATGTTCACTTATCATTTTGATAAGTTATTGAAAAAGGAAGGATTAGGTGGTAGTGTTTCAATTAATGTTATTCATCCAGGTATTGTTTCTACAAATATTGGTTCAAATATTTGGTTCCCATTCAATTATGTTTTCAATTGGGGTATTAGTCTTGTTGCTCTCACACCTATTGAAGGTGCTATTAATCAAATCTATGTTTCTTGTGCTAAGGAATTGGAAAGAGTTTCTGGAAAATATTTTTGTCATTGTAATCTTGCAAAGAGTAATGCTGAAAGTTATGATCCTGAATATGGAACTAAATTATATGAAAAGACTTTGGAAACTTTGAAACCTTGGTTATAAAGAATTTATTTATTTGATAATAATTGAATTTGAAAGCAAAATATTTAAAAAATTTATTAAAAAATTATCAAGTTTACAATATTATTGTAATAAACAATTCTTTTTTGTTTCAGTTTTAGAAGGTAATATATAAATTAATTTAGATAAATCCATAAAATAGGCATACTTTAATTGTAAATACCAAATTGGAGCAAAAATATTTAACATTATTTTTGAATTGACTTCAACAAATACTGATTTCCTTAATGAATATGCCTTTTTAATAGCATTAACTATTTGTACATTTACATTATTCTTAATATCATTATTAACATAATTTTCATAATAATAAGAATGTAATCCAATAATTAATTCTAAATGTCTTCCTTTAATTTCCTTAATTGGTTCAAACCAATCATTTAAATTATTAAAACTCTCTTCATTGTTCATTGAAAAACAATAAATAAATAATTGTTTAAATCTTAATAATCTATTTATGTAACTTGATTTATTTCTATAAAATCTCTCTTCTCCACTTGTATCCCATATTTGATGTTTAATTAATAATCCATTTATAGGTAATGTACATGTTTTTATACAAAAATCAATTCCAATATTTTTATAAATTTCAAACTTTCCATTTCTAATAATATTATGATAGGTTGATTTTCCAATTCCAAGATCACCCAATGTTATATATCTTAATAAATAATCACTTGGTGGATGTATTTCAATTGGATAATTAATTTTTAATAATTTATTTCTATAAAATTCTAATAAATTACATTGATATTCATTTAATATTAAATCAATATCATTTTGATCTGATAATGAGGTAGGATTAATATTTCCTAATTTAATTCCTAATTTTAATAAATATAAATTTGTAAAATAATTTATATTTCCCATTATTCTAACATATTCTATAGAATTATTATTATTATTATCATTATTATTTTCACTAATACTATTGTAATTAGTATTATCATTAGAAATATTTAAAATAGTATTATCATTAGAAATATTTAAAATAGGTCGGAATGAAATACAACAACTTCCATTTGCAATATCATCAAATAAAACACAACATTCTTCAATAATATATTGTAAAGATTTACAAATTGATGAAAGAGAAGTAAATAAATCAATGGGTTCTAAATATTTAATAATTTCCCTCCATTCATCTTGATTCATTTTTTTTTTAATTAATTAAAGAAAAATATATCATCAATTTTTAATTATAGAAATTAATTATGGTTCAATATCATTAATTAGTGATCGATGTTACAAAATACTTTACAAAATATTTTACAAAATAATTTACTCTTGATCTTTTAATTTCTTTAATTTAATTAACCAATCATCTTCTGAAAACCATTTTAAATCTTTTGGTGGAGCCAATTCAATATCTTTAATAATATTCTTTATGGAATTTACTTTTTCAGAATCTAATATTATATCTGATGAGGATGAATTAATTCTCTCCTCCTCATCATCATCATTGTTACTAATTGAATAATCTGATGGTGATGTATTGTTTTCATTATTATTTAAATATTGAATTTTAAGTGTTGGATCAAGTGCTCCCAATGTTATTTTAATCTTTTTCTTCTTTCCATTCGTGTTATTATTATTATTATTAGTATGATTAGTATTATTAATATTATTTGTATTTGATTGATTATTTTGTAAAACAAATGCCAAGGCTTTTTCAAAATCAGTATCAAAATCATCAAATGTTAATTCTTCTTTTTCCGTAATTTCTTTATCTATTGTACATTCATCATCGTCATCTTCGTTATAATTAAATTCTTCATTATTTATTTGTGTATATCCTAATTCTTCATAATTTTCCTCTTCTTCACTATCACTATCACTATTATTATGATCTTGTTGTTGTTGTTGTTGTTGTACAACTTCCGATAATGTCTTATTTTCTTCCTCTTCCTGATGAAGTGAATCACTTTCTTTATTCATTTTTTTATTAATAATCTAACATATTTAACTCGTATTAATATATTTAAAATGATGATGATATTTATTGATAAACAAATGAATTTACCATTGATTTCAATTCTCTTGAAGTTTTTTCATATGCTTTTTTAACACGTTCCAATTCAGATTCAATATCATTTAAAGTTCTACTTGATTTTCTCTTTTCTTCTTCTAATTGAATAACTTGTCTTGTCATTTCTGTTATTGTTTGTTGAAGTGATTTGTTACCTTGTTCTAATTGTTCAATTGCAATTTGATATTCTTTCATTGTTATTTCTTGTTTTTCAATCTTTGATAATTTTTCAATGAATTGATTCGTTTCCTTTTCTAATTTCAATTCAATTTGTTGTTTTTCTTTTGTTAATACTTGAATTGTTCTTTCAAATTTAATCATTCGAGAAATGAACATTTCTCTTTCATCTTGATCTTTTTGAATTTGTTCTGACATTTCTGAAATGTTATCTTGAACTTGTTGTAATTGATTTTCAATTAATTTCTTTTCTTCATGCAATTTTTTAATTTCTTCTTGTGATTTTTCAAGTGAATTTGTTAAATTTTCTTGACTTGATCTCAATTCCAAATATGAATTTTCAATTTCTGTTAATTCTTGTTGAGTATTTTCTAATTGTTTCTTTAAATTATCTCTATCAATTTCTAACATTTTAAATCTCATAAAAAGTTCATTATTTTCACTTTCCTTCTTTTCTAAACCATTTCTATAGGTTGATGATTCATCTTGAGAATGTTGAATTTGTTTTTCTAATCTTTCAATGGTTGATTCAAGTGTTTGACATTTTTCAATATATTCTCTCAATTTCATTGAAGAATCTTCTAAACAAATTTTAAGATATTGAATTTCATCAGATTTTGTTTCAACCAATTGTTCATTTTCTAAATTCAATTCTTTTGCTTTTTGTAAAGATTTTTGTTTTTCTTCTAATTGAATTCTTAAATGTTCTAATTCATCTTTACAATCTGATAATTCTCTACATCTTGATTCATATTCTCTCTTTAAATCATCAATTAATTTCAATGAATCATTATGAAGAGTCTTGTAATGATTTGATTGTGCATCTGAAACTTTCTTTTCTTGTACAAGTGTTTCCTTTTCAACTTTCAATTCTGAACATTGTTTTGAAATATTCTTATTTTCTTCTGTTAATCTTTTAATTGATTCTTCTAACAGTGGATTATTATTTTCTCTCTTTTCAATTTCAATTTGATATTTGAGATCTGAAATTTGAACTTGTTTTGCATCAATTTCATCTTCCAATCCCTTAATCTTCTTTTCACTACTCAAATATTGCATTTCAAATGTATCACGTTCTCTAGCAAGTTCTAATAATTCAAATTTAGTTTGTGATAAATCATCATGTACACCACTTGTGTTATTAATGGTCTTTTTAAGCATTAATTGAATATTTTCCTTCTCTGATTTAATAGAATTAATTTCCATCTTGGATACTTCAATATCATGTTTTAATTTTCTAATTAAATCTTCCTTCTTATCATTTGAAGAAAGGAGTTGAATATTTTCCTCTCTCAAATTTCTTCTATCTTCACAACATTGATTCAAATTAGTCTTTAAAGTTGTAATAGTATATTCATATTCTTCTGTTGAATTTCTCAATGTTTGAATTTCAAGTCTATTTTCATAGAAATCTTTTTTCAATTTTTCAATTTCCAAATCTTTTTGTTCAATTTCAATACCAAGTTGATCAATTTCATTCTTTCGATGAAGTGCTTGTTTTTCAAGTGATGCAAGTCTAATTGAATTTTCAACCCTCCTTTCAATTTCTGAATCTAATCCAAGTTTTGAATCAATTCCACATGATTGAACAAGTTTACTCATTTGCTCTTCAAGCGTCTTTTTAGCAAATAATACTTCTTCTAATTGTGATGAGCGAGTATTATTTGTTTCTTTAAGAGAATTAACTCTAATTGATAGAGATTTGTTTTCCTCTCTGAGTTGATAGATGGTTAATTCTGATTGTTTTTGTTGTTCATTCAAGTTTTCTTTCAATGTGCTAATTTGATTCTTCATTTCAGATTCACTCTTATTCTTATCTAAATTAAGATTCACCACTTCATCAGATAGTGTTTTAAGTTGTTTGGACTTATCTTCATTCTCCTTCTTTAGTAGAGTGAATTGTGATTGTATCTTTTTAAGATCAACTTCAAGTTCAAGCTTTTTAGCACTAACTGCATGAATTTCAGAACTCATTCTTGTTCTCTCTTCCAAATCATGTCCAATATTATTCTTCAAATCATTGATGGTTTTCTCTGCTGATCTCTTACTCAATTCCAAATCATTCTTTAGCATTTTAATTGTTTCATCTCTCTTGGAAATTTCTGTCTGATTGGAAGAATTGGATGAGGAAACCTTTGAATTGAGTTGAATTACTTCTTCTCTCAATCTTTCCTTCTCCTTCTTTTCACGTTCAAGTTCATTGGAAAGTTTTTTAAGAGCTTGTTCAAATTCATTTCTTTCTTCAACAAGTTTTGAATGTTCATTTCTAGCAACTGATTGATATTCTTCTAATCTAGATTGTAATTCTTGATTTTGTTGAGAAAGTTGTTGAACAGTTCTATCTAGTCTTTGCAGTTCATAATTCAATTTTGGTAATTGATCAATTTGTTGATACATTTCTTCAACTTCAGATTCTTTAGCTTCAACTGAACTTGATAGACCCTCAACTTCAACTCTTAAATCTTCATTCTCTTTTATGGTTTGATCAAACAGTTCTTGTTTCTTCTCCAATTCACCACTCAAGTTATTATTTCTCTGTTTCATTTCCTTTAATTGATCTAACAATTCAGAGAAGGAAACATCTTTCAATTTGATTTCATTCTTTAAACTCTCAACTTGTTGTTGTAACTCCTTAGCAGCCTTTGTTTCATTTCCTTGTTGTTTCAATTTTAGTTCATTATTTTCAATTTGCAGAGCTTCTATCTGATTCTTTGCTACTGTTGAAATGTATTTATCCCTTCCATTAACAACTTGTTCATTCAATTTAGTATTTTCCTTTGATAACTGTGCAATATACTTTCTACTTTTTTCCATTTCTTCTTCCAACGCTGCTTTTTGGTCTGACAGCTTTTCAAAATCAACTTTTGAAAGAGTACAATTTTCATTGAGTTTCATATTTTGTTCTGATAATTCTTGAATTTTTTCACTCATTTCCATGACTTTTGATCTTAAATGATTTCTTTCCTCATCAGTTTTAACCAATTCCTCTTCTAAACGCTCAATATTCTTTTGAAAGTTCTTTCTTGTTAGAGATTCAATGTTGAGAATTTGTCTCAACTCTTCCGATTCCAAGTTGACATTTTCCTTTTCTTCCTTATAAGATTCAAGAATTCCGTCTTCATCTTCAAAGTCTGAATTAGTTAAAGATTTTGAATTGATAGAATTCTGCCTTGTAGAAATTTCATTACTATTATTCAATTGTGGAAGTGAATTAGAGACAGGTCTAATAATTTCCTCATCACTATCATCTTGATTAATATTTACATGATTATTTTGATTCGGTCTTGAATTGAATGAAACTTTCTTAGAGGGAGAATTTGTAACAGAGTTTGAATTTTTGAGTGGTGATGGGAATCTGTGTACATTTGATAACACACTTGTGTTTTCATTATTAATATATGGATTGTTGGAAATTAAGGATTGTCTTAATCTTGAACTGTACTTGGCACTTGCCAATATTTCAGTGTAATTATCAGGAAGAGGATATAAACATGTAATAAATAAGTTAAATGTATCTTCTCTCATTGTATCTCGTAGAATGTGAGTTAATTTTGAATCTCTATATGGAACATAATATTTGCTTGGTGTTGAACTATTACTCTGACTAGAGAGTGTTGAACTATTCAATGATACGTTGGATATTGGTGATGCATTCAATAATTTACCAATTCCTGATGTTACTGCAGCTAGAGCATTAAAAGTTTTGGCAATTTTTGATCCTTCTTCGTTAGTTGCATTTGGTGTATTATTCATCGCTTGTGAAAATTCTCTTGCCTTTTCAGAACCAGCCAACTCTACAAAAGTGACTCTACTTGAAATTGAATGAGTTTGAATATCTACAGATGAGGAACTTGCTGATATGAGTTGAGGCCAATTCTGATCCAAATATAAAGTTAAAATTGAATGACTTCTAGTGTGAAGATCAGGTGGTTTCATTCCAGATGTAACAGATCTGTTCTGTTTTGCATATTTTAAAACAGTGAAAATATCTTTTGGTTCTTTCAATACATGTTTCTTCATTCCCAATATGACAGTTTTAGTTTTTTCATCAGCAACTTTTAATCCCTTACTATTATTACTTGATAGTAAATCTGTGATATTGTCATTGTAAATTTGTACAAAAGAAACTGATAATGTAAATTTAGCATTGTAAACACCTTGTCCTTGTCCATAAGTGTACATGAATTTAAAAACATCCTCAACAAATCTTGGTATTAATCCTCTTCTTTCATCATCTCCAATTCCTTCAAGTGCATAACTCTTTCCTGATCTAGTCTATTTATCATATCACAATTGTAACAATTCAATAATAGAGTATTATTACTACTTACTTGACCATATGTTATAATATTTGCGTTAACTCCTCCAACAAAACTCTTAAATAAAGGATAACCACAACTTGAATAAAACATTGATTGATTTGCAAATTCATCAAAAATTCTATCAAATGTAAATTGAAAAGAAGTTGATGATGAATTTGCCTTATTCAAATACTTTCCAATTAGAACTGTTTTATGATCTTCCCCAATTTCCATTATTCTATTTGTATCACTAACTATATATGAAGATTTATTGAGAGGTCTTACCCTACCAACAATCTTGAAAACTCCTTTCGATGAAGTTGATTTGAAGAGAGTGGAAATATCATTAATTTGATTAGTTTCATTGGATGAATATCCTTGAGGTTTAAATGATAGATTTGAATAATTTAATCCAGGAATTCTGTAGACTTCATTTAAACTCATGTTTGTATTTTGATATGATGTTGAGGCTTGATTAGAAAGGCTTGAAATATTATTATCATATTCCGATTGTTGTTGTTGTTGTTGATATGATGATTCATATCCATTATCTGATGATGAAGGTGATGTTACTCTAGTCAAATATTCAGGCAAATTAAGGTCTCCTCCATTGGATGAGTATTGCCTCTGTTTATTGGTGTGTTGGTGGTTCATTTTTATTTTGAGTGATAACGGTTAAAAAACGAGGGAATTTTCTTTGATGGGAAATGATAAATGTAAATACTCATCGTGATGTCTCCTCCATCCAATAATACTCTATGTACCATGAACAAACATATTAAGATTCTTTTTTAAACTTTTTTATATACAATTTATTATTATTAGGGATAAATTATTTATCAGCAGAACCACCAGCACCAGCACCACCTTCTTCATTAACAAAATATTTAGCCTTCTTTACACGACTCAATTCCTTCATGACAGCTCTTCTCTTCATTGTTGATTTCTTTGATTTACTCTTAGCTCTTTCTTCTTGAACTTGATGTTTCATTTGTTTCATCTTTAATTTCAATTCATTAATTGAATTCTTCTTTTCTCTTTCAGAATTAATTGCTTTCAATTTACGAAGCATATTTGCTCTTTCAACTTCCTTATCACTCATTAATGCAGTTGTTAATTCATGAATTGGAGCATCTTCTGCAATGAAATCATTAAGATTATTTGTTAAACCTGTAACTTGAACAACTTTCTTTCGTTGTTCAGAGAATGGTAATTGTTTCAATAATTTAGGTTTTGGAACAAAATGAGCATCATGACCTGCTGTTGATCTTGAATTAATTGCCTTATAAAGTGAATCTTCTTTAACTGGAATTGGAAGATGTTTTAACTTTCTTAATTGTGAAACTGTTCTCATACCATACCATTTCTTTGTTAAATGATTATAAACTGGATTATAGAAACGTTCCAATTCTAAAGCATACCAACATCTTAAAAAGATAATATCACCACGAATGAGTTTATCTTCAAAAGTTGCTCTAAAATCACCAGGTGATGCTTTATCTCCTCTAAATGGTTTTTTAACACTTCCTCTTAAACCACTGACAGTTCTCAGAGAAGCACCTTCATATTTTGCAACTTCCAAATCACTTGTAAACATTTTAGTAACAATACAAGTATTCTTATGAACTATTTTTGGATAACCAAGTAATTTCAATTTCTTTACAATTGAAAAATCTTGATCCATTTCCATAACATAACCAGTAGCTGAAACTCTAAATGTATCAACTTTTTCACTCAATGTTTGGAATGCAATAACACCTGTATTTTGTGGTACAAATGGTCCATAAATTGCTGCAATACAATGCATATATTCAGGTGTATACTTAATTTGACGATGTCTACCATTATCATCTTGCATACAATAAGTTGGAATGGATTGAAATCTTCTCCAACCAATACTAAATACAAGTGGATCCTTATTTTTAAGTGTTCTTGGATACCAACGATGTCTCTTCATTCTCATCTTGATTAAACCCATACGACACTCTTCTGGATGCATACCACCAACAATGATTGGATTTTTAAAATTAACATTTTCAATAAATTCTGTTGGGAATGAATTAATTTCAAGTCTAACATAAGATCCAGGTGAAATACCTTCAATTTCTTCACGTTGTTCTCTTGTTAAATTTTGGAATTCAGTCTTATTTAAAATCATTTGTGGATCATCTTCACGAAGTTTCTTCTTGAGTTTTTCAATAGTTGTAATTGGATCTTCTTCTTCTTCCTCTACTCCTGCAGAACCTTCTTTCTTATCACTTGATTTCTTTTCATCAAATTGAGCATCAAAAGATTTCTTCTTTTCCATTCTCTTCTTTTGTAATTCATCAAGAATGTCATCATTTTCATCATCTTGTTGAATTTCATCATCTTCCATTTCATCTTGTTCTTCTTCATCTTTTTCAACATTCTTTGATTTCTTAGAAGCAATTGGCTTATTATTAGCATCTCTTCTTGATGACCAATCACCTGTAACAAACTTGTTACGAATTGTTTCTCTAAATTCAGCATCTTCCCAATCATGTTTAATTTCTGTTGGTTCAATTTGAGTTCTAGTTCTATCAACAAAATCAACCTTCAAACGATCAACATTTAATTTCTTCTTCTTTTCTGTAATTTGTTTCTTAAAGTTGAAAATATCATCCAAATCATTCTTTTGTTGTTGAACTTGTTCTTCTTCATCATCATCATTTTGATTGGCTTCTCCATCATCTTCTTCTTCTTCTTCTTGTTCACCATAAACCAATTGTTGTAAACTAATAGTGGCATCATAAAATTGACTGCTAGCTCTTTCTTCCATTCCTTCTTTCCACTTGTTTGCAGCTGAACCTGTTCCATCTTCTTCTTCCAAATCAGATAATTCCTCTTCTTCATTACCTTCAATTTCAAATTGACCAGTTGATTCATTAACTTTTAATTTTCTAGGTTCAAAATATTCTTCATCATCATCACCAGCTCTAATGATTTTTCTTGTATTTTCATCTAAATCATCATCTTCTTCATCGGAATCATCATAAACGATATTCTCCTTCTTTTTAGAAGATTTTGTTGATGTATTAAGAGCCTCTGCATAAATTTCATCATCATTATCTTCATCATCTCCCATTAATTTAGCAATACCTCTTCTCTTTCTATGGAACTTTGAATCTTCATCATCAGACATTTCATCATCATCTTCATCATCTTCTTCAGCTTCATTATCAATATATTTACGAAGGAATTCTTCTTCATCCATATCTTCATCAAACTCTTCATCAATTTCATCTTCATCATCATCATCTTCCATATTATTGTTATTATTATTAAGGGATGAAGGTACAATGGTTGAAGATTTCTTTGCAATGAGAGCAGATTTAGCACCAGAGAATAATTTAACTTGTTGATTTGAAATTTTCTCATCTAAATTAATATCAGATTGTTCAATGAGAGATTTAACAATCTTTGAAGTTTCTTCAGCTTGATGTTTTCTTTCTTCTCTCTTTTCAGATGAAATATCCTTTCCTTTACGTGTTAATAATAATTCTTCAGCTTGATCAATTCCACCATGACGATTATTTTCATTCAATGATTCATTATTTGAAATATCAATATAAACATTATCCTTATCATAAAAAACTGAACCTAAATTACTCATTGGACCATATAAACCTTTGAATTTGTCTAATTTTGAACGTTGTTTTTCTTTTGGTTTTGGTGGAAGTGGATCTTCTAAAGTAGTAATATTATTTAAAGTAAAATCACCACAACCTGGAATATGAATTGGAGTTCCCTTTCTAAGGAAAGTATTTCTAACATAACCATATAAACAAACATGTCTTTCAATTTTAGAATTTTCTTCAATTAATTGTGGATCAGTTACATCTTCAAATCTATCAACTACAACACAAGGATGTGTTGTTCTCCATTTTATAGGTCTAGGTTTAATAATTGAAATGAAACGACTTAAATTAATTGTTTCACGTGGTGTATATAATCCTCCTCTTAAACCTGAAAGGTAAAATAATTTAGCACCATCACATACTTCTGTCCAAAATCGATGCTTTAATTTCTTTTTCAATTTTCTAACTGTTCTTGCTTTTTTAATTAAATCCAAATGTGTTAAAACACCCATCACTCTAGTCATACCATGAACTTGTAACATGTTTAAAAATTCAAAATTTTCCATTTCAAATCCATAAGAAGCATCAATTAATAATAAAACTAAATCTGCTGTTTTAGCCATATCAATCATTGCATTAATTTCATTTGGACATTCAAAAAATGTTGTTCTTGATTTTCCTGTTCTTACTGTAATTGGTCCTGTCACTTCTGTTAATGTTTGTTTAGTATATTGTTTAACAAGACTTGTAATTAATGTTGTTTTACCAGATTTAGGTGGTCCAACAACAGCAACCATTTTAGGTGGTCCTTCTCCATATATTCTTGATACTATTGGTGCATGTAATTTAGATTCAAATTTATCTAATTTATATTTTAAATCTCTTGCAAAAGCATTTCCTTTACCAACTGTATTGGCACGATTATTTACATAATCACCTTTTTGTTGTTCCTCAGAAACACCTAATTTCTTCTTTCTTTGAACTTCTCTCTTTTTAAATTTATTACCTGCTCTTCTAGCTTTATGTTCCTTGTTGATTTGTTGTTCGGAAGGAAGGCCTCCACCACCTCCTCCACTAGAAGACATTTTTTTTTTTCAAGTCAATTTTAAATTCAATTTTAATTGAACAAGCCTTTTTTCTTCAGTATTTTATTTGAAGTCATATTTTCATAGAAAAGATGTTGTTGGTAGAATAGATAGCATTAGGAGGATGTTAAAATCTATGGTGATGAAGATGGACTTTTGTTATTATTGGGAAGAGATTGATATGATGATTGAGAATTAATGATTGTTGTTTTAATGAACTTTTTGAATAGTACCACCAGATGATAACATGCCACGGTAAAACAAGATTCTCTCTGCTTATCCAATTATCATCATCATCATCATCATCAATAATAATTTTTACAAAATATTATTAAATAATATTAAAGTGCTCATCATAGTCAATTCTATGAAACCATTTGGAGAATTAAATAATTATTTGACTTCTAAAAGAGGCGTAATTTTATTCTATCAGAGACCGCCTTCAAGACAGCCGTTTGTAAATGGTTGACTTTAAACACGGCTTAAAAATGGAAATATTTTAAGCAAAGTACAATTTTAAAAAAATTGCAAAAAATGTCCACTGTTAAACAAACCCTCCTCAACAACTTAGGAAAGGAATTGAACGAAGCTGGTTACTTCACTGAACAATCATTCTATCACCCTTTGACCAAGACTAAGGATGCTAAGTTACCAAGTGATAGAACCAACGTTCCAAACGCTGATATCTTGAATAGAACAAAGGAAGGATACCTTTCAAATGAACAAATTTTGGACATCTTCGGCAAGCCTTTGGACTCAAAGGATTTCGAAATCACAAAGGACGAACAAGAAATCTTGAGAAACGATCCATCTCAATTCAAGGCTGTTTTACACATGGCACCAGCTGCTCCTTGCAAGGCTCACGTCTTGAACATGTTCTTGGATGACTGTGCTGATGAAAGTAAGTATGATGAAAAATACAAAATAATAATTAATTTTCGTGATCGTGATGATTAGCTCTCGGTAAGAGTAACGCCACCATGTTGCAATGGTCTCAATGTAACAAGCACTTCTACAAGTGGACTACTTGTCTTGCTAAACACAGAAAATGGTATGAAGCTCGTTATAACTCTATCACAAAGGTTGTTCCAGAACAACAAGTTAGAGGTATCCAAGATACTCACCCAAGAAGAGATCCATCTACTTACCGTGCTCCATCCTTCGATAACTAAATTAATAATAATTGGTTACACTTTGTATTAGAATAAAAGGGTTTCAAAATCCATAAAATTGCCACGGGCATTTGAATATTTAATTTAAATATTTAATTTAAATTATGAGAGGTATTTATTACAAATTGTTGTTGTTTATATGTACAAAAGTTTTAATTATTTGATGGAGAGATTGGGCTCATTAGATCTTATCCTTGTTGCTCTTTTCAAGTTTTGCTTGATTTTCCTTTAAAACCGTGTAAGGAGAAGGAAGATCCCAAGAAACGCCCAAACTTGTTGGTGTCGTACTCGTATCGAAAAAGTTTGAATTAAGCAATGATGAGAGAGGAGTCTTGGTATCGAGAGCATATACTGAGCTTGGAGTTGCACCAGTGGTTGTTGGATGAGCACTTTCTTGTTGGTGTTGTTCTGAAGACTTCAATTTGGGTGGAAGAGCAAATTCATTTTGTTGTTCTATCGTCGAAGAGCTTGCAGCAGACTCTAAATTACTATCAATTCTTTTGAGTGGTACCTTTCCTTGATTTTGAGGAACAGTAATGGTGAGTGAAGCAGGAGCCTTTGAAGTCTTTCTCTTCTTGGTTGATGGAGATTCAACTTCTTGATTTGCACTACTTGTTGTTGTGACAGAAACTTGACTTTCAGAATGTTTCAATGCTACAGCATCGTATACACTTGTGTGATTGGTTGCATTTTGAACTACCTTATTAATTTCTGCAGAGATACCAGGTGTAAGAGGAGTGATATCATTGGCAAAATCATCACCAAATACATTATTAATTAATGTTGAAGGAGTCATTTGACCTGGATCAGTAAGTGCAGATGAGGAAATTGGAAGAGATGGAATTGTGAGTGGTGGTGGTTTAGGTTGACCATTATTAACAGATACAGGAAGAGCAGAATTACTACTTGATACCATTGGTTGAGTATTATCATCTGATGAATCAACATCATCATGACTTCTCTTCTTACCTGATGAAGATGGTTTCTTCTTCTTTGAGGTTGACTTTTTCTTCTTTTCATCCTTTTCTGGAGTGGCAGCAACAGCAATTGAAGAAGAAGAAGTGGCAGCAGTAGCAGCAATAATATTTGATTGACCAGTTGTTGAAGTATTTGAATCAGATAATTGACTTGCTACATTAACATCTTCACCTAAATCACTACTTCCTGTTGGAATATTTCCAGTCTTATCAAATTTAGTATATTCAGTATTAGTTAATCTTTCATGAGGTAAATGAGCAACTTGACAATATCTTTGAAGAATAGATCTAGGATCTGTACTACAATATTCAAATAATTGATTTTCTGAATTAAATATCACTAGAGATATTTGACAATGACATAGAATTGATAATTCCATAGCCTTTTTAATTAAGCCTTGTTTACGTTTGTTAAATGTTACATGACGATTACGTTCATCAGTAATTGGTTGAATTGATATTTTCTTTCTACCCATTTTGTTATTAAAATTGAATGTTCTTATTACTTGTTATTACTTGTTATTTGATATTAATTGATTGTTGTTATTATTGTTATTTGATAGTAGTAATGGTAGAGTAATATATATTTGATGATATAGTAGTAAATATCAGTGATTAATTAATAAATAATATATCGGAAGGCTGAATGTAACAATGTAGAGATGAAGAAGAAGTATTATTCAAACAATTGTGTGAATCGGGTGATGAGATCAAATTATTTGGTAATAATAGAATTTGAAAAGATGTTGCTAATAATAGCGTTGGTTTCTTGCTAGAGAGGCTAGAGAGTAACGGTTTTTCAACGTTGAAGCTGCTTGATGGCCTTGTTCTAAAGATAGAGGGCTAAAAATATTTTTTTCTATTTATTTTTAAACTGCAGCGTTGCTTTACAATGAAAAATATCTGTCAATCTAATCCATTGGGAATCTATAGGGTGACTTTCTAACATTGGAGGTTGGAAAAACATGTTTATGAATGTGGCTGATAAAGTTGAAGGTGAAGTGATAAGCTAAATGCATTTAGAAAGTAAAAAGGTTTCAAGTATGATCAAAAATAGGTTGGTAATTTAACAGATAAAAGGAATAAAAAATCACAAGCCTTCCTAGCTCAGTTGGCAGTAGCGCTGTCCTAGTAAGACAGAGGTCTTGGGTTCGATTCCCAAGGGAGGCATCTTTTGGGGTTTGAATTCTAGGAAAATTATTATTTGAACAATCACTGGTTGCATAATATTTCCCTAGGAAATTTTTCCTTCTTTTGCCTACGTGTTGGTAACCTTCTGCTCAGCAGAAAGAACATGAAATTATTTTTAAACAACAACAATTTTTCCTATCACCAACATCACAATGAGAAGAACAGTATGAACTTGAAATCAATCCCATTGATTAACTAATCATAAAAGAATCATTCTTGCTGAACAACAATTTTTCAAAATTCAAAAAAAAATACAGCAATCACTTGTACCAGACGTATTATAATTGCCTCTCTCTCAATTCTATTGATCATTTATTCTGTTAACAATAATCTTCTTATAGAATGGTATTTTATGAATATCCCTATTTAACAGAAGAAGCTAAAGAATCACTTAAAAATTATAAATATAAAAGTGGTGATGCTTCTATTTTATCTTATTGTAAGTTTTAATATTTTAATAATAATAATAATAATAACAATTAAATCATCATTTAATCTAATCAATCCAATCTATAATCAATCTAATCTAATATATAATCTAATAATCTAATAATATAAAATTAAAATATAGACATGCAACCATATTGGGAATATTGTGCTAAATTAATACCTAATAATGTAGCACCTAATACGGTAACATTATTAGGTTTTTTAGGAGTAATATTAGGATGGATAATATTAATATATTATAATATAAATTTAGAAAATCAAGTACCATCAATTGTATATTTATTAAATGGAATATTTTTATTTTATTATCAAACAATGGATGCTATAGATGGTAAACATGCACGTAATACTAAAAATAGTAGTGCATTAGGAGAATTATTTGATCATGGATTAGATGCTTTAATTGGATATTTTCAATGTATTATACTTGTTAGTTCATGTGATTTAGGTAATTCATATTATTCTATAATTGTTATTATTTTATATTACATGACAAGTATGATGATGATTTGGGAAGATTATGTTACAGATGAAATGAGATTTGGTAAATTTAATTCTCCAACTGAAGCTATCATGTTTGCTATTTTTATTTTATTTTATACTTTTATAATGGGTCAATCTTCATGGTCAACTGTTGTTTTTACTATTTATAGAAATGATAATAATATTATTTATTATTATTTATTTAAATTATTTACAAATAATAATAATACTGATAATATAACTAATACAATTATTAATAATAATAATATATTAAATATTCAATTTAATTATTTAATAATTACAATTGCAACATTATTAGGAGCATCAATTATAATTAATAATATTAAAACAGTTTTAAAATTTGCATCACATTCAACACGTAAAAGATCACATAGAACAATGTATGTTATTGGTGGTGTTAGTGGTGCATTGATGGGTTTAATTTCATATTTAATTACATGTTTATTATATATTATATTTATTATTAATGTTCCATATTTAGTTAAAACATATTTCATTTCAATTTCAATGATTTATGGTCTAAGTGCTTCTTATATTCAAACTAGATTAATATTTGCTAGAGTTTGTGGAGCATTAGCACCTTCATGGTTCATTATCATGTTACCTACTCTATTATTATCAATTACTTGTTTTATTTTTAATGATAATTCTAATATTATGATCATTTTAATGCATTCATGTTTATTATTTATTATTACTTGTTATATTCATATGGCATATCATGTCATTCATCAAGTTTGTTCTACTTTAAATATTCATGCTTTTAAAGTTAAACCAAAAAATAATTAATTTAATTTATTAATTTATTAAATATTATTATATATAATATTATTTTTATTATTAAATTGATACAAATACTACAGTACTGGTAGTAGTAGTCATAGTCATTAAATAAACTTTATATTTATATTACATATATTATATTATTATATTATTACATTGAAAAGAATAAGGATGAATTTAAAATTTACAGTAAATAATAACAACAACAGCAATAACTGATATAATGTTGTTGAGATGGAAATGTATTGATGGAATCTCTCAATAGCCTTCTTCACCATCCTCACCAGCATCACCACAGTACACGCATTTGAAAAAAAGAACGTTTAACGACAAGTAGTAAAAAAACATAGCGCCAATTTATAAAGCCTTAAAAAAATGGCAACATCAAGTTTTAGAAATAATGCTGGTGGTGGTGGAGGAGGTTCAAATCCTCACTATCAACAACAACAGCACACCACTCATTTACATTCTAGCATGTATCTATCAACAATAGAGAGTGCTTCATTAAAAGCGGAACGTTTAAGGGTAACAACATCACCCTTTGCAAGAACAGACTTTGCCATTAGAAGAGATTTATCTCAAAAGCCTTCGGAGGTAGTATTTTCATCATCAACAACAAATTTAAGATCCAATGATACAACTAATAATAATAATACTTTAACCCATTCCAAACAACATCAACAATATACAAATCGTTCTTCTATATCTTCTTCCTCATCATCATCTAAACAATATACTAATAAGGAAGATTATTCATTATTAACAATAGATAAACCTCAACAATTAATACCTCAACAAGTACATAAAACGAATACATTTAATTTAAATAATGATGATATAGAAGGATCCAAACCATTAAAGAATAATGTAATATTTAATAGACAATTAAATCCATTAAATCCAATATATAAATTACCAAGTGTAAGACAACCAACTAGAAAACCACCTGAATTTGAATTATTTGAAAAGAGACCACCTAAAGATATATTAAAAGTTGATGATATTATTTATGATGAAAATAAGAAATTAGCAAATGAAAGAAAGAAAAATTCAATTCCAAGAGATCCAATTACATGTGATGATATAAATCATCCAGAAGATTATGGTGATTTTGCTGTACGAGGCTTTTATAGATCTGATTATCAAAAGAGAATTCCAGAAAAACATAAAATTGACAAGATTAATGTTAAGGATATTAATGATGAATGGAAATTTTCAACAAGAAGATCAACAAATCCCCTCTCTCCACGTTATGATTATGAAAAATCAAATATTGGAAGAGAAATTGGTGAAATTGAAGGAAGTAAACCAGCTACTTTACCAAAACAATCAAATTGGACAAGAGAACCTTTATTAGAAACGAGAGGAAATTGTGGTCATGCCTTATCAAGCACTTTTCCTATACAACGAAGAGATTTTAGACAAATTAATTATGTTCAAGATATTTTACATGATGATAAGAAGGGAAATTATACAACGTTTCATATTCCTTCAAAAAGACAAACTCATCCTTTAGATCCAAATTATTAAATAAATTAAATTGTATCATATTGAGATTTTCAACTCTTAATAAAATTAACTCCTATATGAAATGAATCAATAATATTTGTAGAACATTAAAATTGTTACAAATATTATTTATTATATAAATCTACTATAGAATGATACATATGATATCATATTATTATTTAAATATAAATATACAATTAAGCAGTGAAAACCTTTAAAATATTAGTTTGACCAGCAACACCTTCAATGTGACCACTTGTAACAACAACGTATTGACCCTCTTCAACATATTTCTTTTCCTTTGCACTTTCAATGGTACGAGCAATAACAGTTTCAGTACCAATGACAGAACCAACAACGACAGGGAAAACATTACGTGAAATCATTAATTGACGTGCAGTTGACTTATTTTGAGTAACAGCAATACATGGTGGATTTGGTCTATATTTGCTTACTAATCTAGCAGTATTACCAGTTTCAGTGATTGTAATAATTAAACCAGCTTGAACATCATTGGCAGTTTTAACAGCACTTGAAGCAATAGTTTCAGTGACTGAAATTTTACCTTTCAATTCCAAAACAGCATCTCTAATCATATTAAATGTTTTTCTCTCATCTAATAAACATTCACTTGTTGTACAAATACGTGACATTGTTTGAACAGCTTCAACAGGATAATCACCCTTAGCAGTTTCACCTGATAACATGACACTATCAGTACCATCAAATACAGCATTAGCAACATCTGTCACCTCGGCACGTGTTGGTCTCGGATTTTTAATCATTGATTCTAACATTTGTGTTGCAGTAATAACAGGTTTACCATGAATATTACATTTGGCAATAATCATTTTTTGTGCCAATGTTACTTGTTCTAATGGAATTTCAACACCCATATCTCCTCTGGCAACCATAATACCATCACTCACTTGAAGAATTGAATCAAAATTATCTAATCCTTCTTGATTTTCAATTTTGGAAATAATTTTAATTTCCTGACCACGTGATCCTAAACATTTTCTAATATCTAAAACATCTTGTGCTTTTCTAATAAAAGAAGCAGCAATAAAATCAACATTGTGTTGAACTGCAAATTTCAAATCACCAATATCCTTCTCAGTTAATGCTGGTAAATCAACAATAACACCTGGTAAATTACATCCCTTCTTTTCACCAATTAATCCACCATTCAATGCAACACATCGAATAATTGTCTTTTCAATTTCAATGACACGACATGCAATTAAACCATCATCAACTAGAATTTCATCTCCTCTCTTTAATACTTTATACATATTCTTATAATCAATTGTAATTGAAACTGGTGAATGTTCAAAAGAAATATCAATCAATTTCTTTGTTGAGGTTGTTGAATGTTGTGTTGGTGGAATGGTTTGTTCCATTAATTGATTCATTATAATATCAACTGTATTATTTGTTACATTATTTGTATTGGAAGTATTAGAAGTAGTATTAGAAGTATTGCTATTATTACCATCATTGTCTTGTTGTTGTTGTTGAAGTTGAAGTTGATGATTAACTAAATTAGCAGTTAAAATATCAATAGTATTTAAACTATTTAAATGATTCATAACTTGTTGATTATCAATTTTAGGTAAATATTTTCCTTTTAAATTTGCATATTCTTCAGTATTTTGACAACAATAGAAATCAATAATTTGACCAGTCTTAATTTCAATACCATCAGGATTAAATTCCTGTTCTAATAAACCTGTTCTAATTTCAGGTCCTTTTGTATCTAACATTAATGCAACAATGGCATTATCACATTGTGATGCTGCAATACGTGTATTAACAACTGTTTGTTTATGGAAATCATGACTACCATGTGAGAAATTCATACGAATTGTATTTACACCTGCTTTAATTAATTTACACAAGGCTTCAACTGTTTGTGTTTTAGGTCCAATGGTGGCTACAATTTTAGTACGTCTAGCATAATCACCTTGTGGAATTTTCAATTGACTACTCACTTGAGCACCTGATAATCTTGCCCATTGATTGGTTGTTGCACTCATTGTTATGTTTTTGTTTGATTGTTTGATTGTTAAGAAGATTAGATGGATAGATGGTTGTTGTATGAATACAATATGATAGGAATGATCACAATAAAAATAGACTAGTATCAAATAAAACTTGAAGCAGCTTTAAATGTGTTGTGATTTTTTTTTTGATTTGTTGTATTTTCTTCAATTATTTAAAATGCAGTAGTCGGGTGAAGAGATGATGACAATGTGTAAGCTAGCTAATGATGATGATCAAGTAATCATTTGATGATTAGGATGTTAGAGGTAGGTTGAGAATCTTCAAAGTGGATAATCTTCTTTAAAAAATTCAAAGTGATAATGATGACTATCATTTTGGAAGGAGAGAAATAAAATAAAAATTGGAAACTTGTTCATTTTTATCTTGACTTCTATTTTAATTTTCCAAAGTAGGTTTGGTAACAATACTAAATTGATTTGATATTAACAGAGTTGAAACACCTTTTACAATAATATTTACAATTGTCAACATGTGATATTTTATCATTAATTTATTTCATGTATGATGATTTTTGTTTTGGATAAAGAAAGGAATGATTTGCCTTACTTTTACAATTGTTACTATCTTTCAATGTTATTGCTACCGAAGTGTGAACCGTACTTTCTCACATTTTACCTTCCGTCTTGAGGTATCTTCTGATTTAATTAGGCAATAAATAATTCACACCTACAAGATTGACTGGAGTTGGGCAGCAAGCAGACATTAAGACATTACAATTTCTCAATGGCTTCAATTCAAAACGACAGGTCATCAATTCTACAGTTCTCACTGTTGCCAATTCAACAAATTGGAAAATATCTTAAACTTACATCAAGATGTTATTAAAATTTAAAAAGAATTCTTAATTATTTGAATGACAGATCCAATTTGAATCCTTGATTTGCTACTTGAATAACTCACGTGCTTGTTGAAAGATCGAATAATTAATAAATTACTTACCATGTCAATCAACTAAACAGATTATTGTAAATGATTGTAGAATAAAGAACATGCACTGAACTCAAAAATTAGATTTTATAAAAAATACCAAAATAAAACTGCACACAAATAATTCATTCATTCTCAATATTCTAATTCTTACTTAATGCTTTGAGTATGTAGCTCAGAGGGAGAGCAAGGAGGCTCTTGAAGTGTGTCTAAAAAAAAGATCATGTCTAGATACACAGTATCCTGGTCGTCAGATCGAAACTGACCGTACTCATAACTTTTATTCATCTGCATGGAATCAACGTGACTTTTTGTTAACCTTTCAAGAAATCAATCTTTGGTGTACGCTTAATGAAACAGAAAAAGATATCGAACAGAAGTCAGAGCAAAAAAATGAGAGAAAGCAAATTGGAATAATAACTAAAAGAAATCTGAAAAACAAGTAACACGTATCTAAAAACCCCAATACTATGTTACGTGGCTGATACAATATAGTACTAGATAGTAACTGTACGGTTTGGTGATTAGATATACCGATGAACAAACATGATAAAATATAGTTATACTAAAATATTAAAGACGTAGTAAACAATATTCTCTTTTCAAGAAACATCAAATATTAGATGAGCTTCAAATATGCATCATTACTATCACATGGTTCATTTTTAATCTTTGTCGAACGCGTTTCGGATTGTTACACTGATAACCACTTAGGTTAGTAATAACACTTAACATTGTGATCGAATCCAAGTAAAGCATGTGCCAGTATATATACTTACCAAGTATGATGCCTTTTACTGTATTTGTAGTTAACCTAAGCTCTATCATCTGTTCAACACAAGTACTTAAAGTATTTGCTCCAAAATAAATTGGACATAAGACTTATTACTCGATTACGGTGCTAGTGGCACGTTTTGTGTTTTAGACGCAAAAATGAAATACACCACATGAGACCAACACATCCCACGCAGGTAGAGATAATACACAACTATCAAAAACAAAAAGTTAAACTTGGTGTTCTTGTTCTTTGATGCTTCAAAAAATACTAACAAACCAAGTTATGTATTTATCAATTAACTTTCAAAATACAGACCGTAACGTAATTACTGCCAAAACAGAAGCCAAGTTTACAGAGTAATGAAGACTCCAGTGTATCGTATGAAACAAGCTTATTGTTTGGAAATGTTTTGAGAATGCTTCTGTTCTACTGTTTTTAATCCGTACCAGATAAGATATTCATTGGTGGGTTTACAGTTGAACACTGTGTTTCCTACTTCAGTTTGGTAGAAAACGAATACCAATAATACTAAGAATGCCGACAATCAATGGTTTTGGCATTTTCAATAACGATAGCTCTGTATGTTCTTATATAAGTAAATTTCATTTTTTATTTGGATTGATCTTGTGACTCAAATGAGGTTTCTTTATCTACTGTTTGTGAGCTTTCTGTATTGTCTTGTAATGATTGTTGGACTGTTGATGGTTGTTGTAAATATTTCAAATTCCAAACCATTTTACAATTTATTAAAAGTGACAATATTTCAACAATTATCATTAAAATTAGAATAAAATCCAATAATAAATTACTAAAATTAAAAATATTAACTCCAAAATAAATATTAAACACAACCATAATTAAATAAATAAATAAAATAATAAATTGTAATAATAATATTTTAAAATAATAATAACTAAATGTTGATGTAAATATTACTAATGGATTAATTAATAATAAAAATATAAATGTTAAATTAATATTATTTATATCTGATGATTCACTATTAATATTTACATAATTATTATAATATAAAATATAAATAATCATAGAATATAAAATAGTAGAAATAATACCAATTAAAAATTGAGTAATAAATAAAATATTATTCATTATAAAATATTCAATTTTAATTTTTAAATTTTTAATTCTACTATTTGTATATTGATGATCATCATTTGATTGAAATTGATTATTTCCGAGTGGTTCATATAATTGTTCTTCATCATCATTTATTCTAATCATTTTTTGTTATTTTTTTTTAAAATATTTTAATATGATGATGGATGCATTGATGATACTTGACATTTAAAAATAATAATTAAATAATAGATAATAATAAATAAATAATTAAATAAAATAAAAGAATTAAATTTATTAATTTAAAGGTACTTTCCACATTCTTAAATAACCATCCGATGAACAAGTAATTAAAACTTTTCTTTTTGGATTTAAACAAGCCTTTAAAATATTAGTATTTTGTAAACAAGTATGTTTAATTAAATGTATTAATTTAAATGATTTTTCACTTCTTTCAAAAAATACAATTTCATTATTTAAACCAATACCACAATATATATTTTCATTACAAATAAATACTTGTTTAAAATTAGAAATATTATTATTATTAGTTAATTGATTAATATTTAATTCAGATAAAATATAATGTTCATTTTCATCAATATCAAATAATCTAATAATTTCATCTTTTAATGTTGTTGCTAATATTAAATTTTTATAATTATCTACTTGAATAACACTACTTTTACATCCACTTAATTCTCTATATTTAATACAATTAGATGTATTACCTTTACTTATATGATTTATATGATGATGATCTTTCTTTTTCTTTTCATTTGAAGTATTTGAATTTGAATTTGAATCATTTAATATTTTATAAATTTTAATAATAGAAGCAAAACCAGCAATACATAAAAATGATTCAGTTAAAGAAAACATGTAATTTTCTAATTGACCTGTTTTAATTTTTTCAACTTGATAATTATTTAAATTATAAATTGAAATATCATCACATCCTTCTAATTGAGCAAATAAATATTTACCATTAGATGAAAATTTCATTGATTTTATCATTTTCTTTTCAGATGGTAATTGTATTGGTTTATCTATAATTATTGAATTATTTGTATTATTTGTATTATTAATATTTAATTTAAATATTTTAATAAAATTATCATAATCAATTGATACAGCTAATAAATCACCTTCTTCTGTTAATGCTATTGAAGTACCATAATCATTAACATTTCCAATTTCAATATCATAAAATTTCTTATTATCTTTAACAAGTAATTCATTCTTATAGATACGAATAGTTTTCTCTGATTTTTTTAATATAGCTGTATAATTTCTAGATACTGATAAATCTAATACATCATCATTAGTTATTTGATATTGTACTTTCTTTTTTAATGTTGATGCTTCTACTATTAAATTGGAATCTTGAATCTTTTCATTATTTGTTGTTGTTGTATGATGTTGAGTGTTTGAAGAAGCCTTTTTCTTTCCTGATGTTAATGTTGTTGTATTATTAAAAGATTGATCATCACTTGTTATTGTTGTATTATTATTATTGGTTTTATCAATAGAACCATCACCACCTCCTCCTAATAATTTGTCTTTAAATAAATATACAATAATTAACAAGGGAATTGTGAGTGAGAGAATGAATGTTAACATTTTTTTAAAATCTATTTTAATAATACAACAACATCCAGAGCATATTTTACAATTCAATTCTGAAGAACACATTAGTTTGATGATCAAATAATAGGTGACTTCTTGCCTTTAATAGTATTAAAATTCTTTCAATTTCCTATTCTTTTCTTCCATTGCATATTCAATATAATTTCTTTAAATCAAAGTTAAACATTTTCAATTCAAACAACATAAATTTAATCAGATCCCACAGTGTCGAATTTTCCTTTGAATAACTGATGGGGAGCTGTACTATGATGCTCTTTTTATTAAGGTTTTTTGAAATTAAATTCATTCAAAACACGCAATACATTGGCTTTGGAAATTAAGGATTGGTCATCGTCCAATCATTTCGAAACTTCTACTATCTATGTCATATGTTTCCTATCTGATTCCTGCTTCAATAATTGATCAAACTTTCCATTATATACAACAAAAGATGGCTAAGGATTCAAATCTTAATTCAAAAAAAATACGTAAAAGAGAAGATATTATTTCCTATTCTACCATCAACGGAAGAAGATGTTCAAGACACTACTATTCCCAATGATCTTCTTCCTTATGTTACCTTAAAACTTGAAATTCCAGCTAACAAGACATCATCTTTGCAAAAATAATGCAATGAAAGACAATTGGAATTGCCAATAACTTATTCCCAAGAAGATTAAGGATGAGAATGAACATGATCGTTTCGAAGTTAGTTTCGTCAATTGTGATCATGTTCATGATTCATACAAGATTTCTCAAAGCTATTCCTGCTGTCAGTAACAATGATGATTCTTCATATCTTAAACTTATTTTAAATATCATCCAATCAAAAGTGGTAAAACTCCAAAGATTGAACATCTTCTATTTCACATTATCATCTTTTCACAAGATTTTCCAAAGTATTACAAACAACATGTTCATAAATCTTATAATGAAACTTTAAAAGAAAGGGAAAATAAACAAAACCATGGATCATTAATTAGTGATGTAATATGGCTCTCCTCTTTCAACTTTTTATAATCAATATAGATTAATTCTTTCATTCTTGTTGAACTCAAATCATTCCAAAATTTAACAAATAATGAAAAAGATTAAAGGATTGGAAAAGATTATGGGAGAGGTGAGTTATTTTGTAACATTAGATTCGTCCATTCCTTTCGAATTAATGTTAGACTTTTGTAAACTCACAATCAAAACAATTACAAATTACAATTATCTGAATCAATTTTAATTACAATACCTCAACAACTTTTAGAACAGTTTTCACGTTCCAAAAATAACTTTTTCACGTTTGGGTTTCAGAGGATTGTTGTCATGTCCTTTAAATTTAACATTTTCTTGCGTCACGTTTTGATTCCCCACTTTAAAAAAAATGTCAGAAAATATATTGACAGCTATTCGGAATCTTCCAAGATATTCTTCTTGTACAATAGAATGTTCTGAAAATAATTTATTTAAAATTTCATCCAAAACAGATAATACTATCAAGTCATTACAAGTTGAAAAATATTATGATTTTGTATATGATTATGATGAATTAAAAAAAACAATATCTAATAGATCATCACATTATAACATAGCAAGAGTATATGATATATTTAAATTAGTTATTAATGATGAATATTATAAATGTATTGAAACTGAGTATTGTAAAAGTACATTATTTAATTTTTTTAAAGATGAAATTCCATCAGCAAAAATAATTAAACAAATATTAAAACAAGTATCTAATGTATTAAAATATATTTATGATAATGATAAATTAATTTATAATAATAATAAGTATGATAATTCTAAATTAATTAAAAATAATATTATTGTTAAAGAATTTAATAGAGAAGAAGAAACAATTACAGTTATGTTAAATGATACTAGTAATTTTATATCAATTGAACAATCATACTATTTTCAATTGCTTAGTGATGTTATGAAAGCTTTATCAATAGTAATATATGAAATTACAACCAGAAAATCATTTTCAAATGAAACAGAATTAATAAGAAAAGATTATGAACAATTGAAAATATTAGATGACCAATTAATAGATTTTTTAATTATACTTTCGAATGAAAATTATTTTGAAAAATTATCATTTTTTAATAATAGAGAAGTGAATGATGAATTAAAAGATGTACATGAATTATTTAAAAAAGATAGAGAAATTATATTAGAAACTGTTAAACACAATGGTAATGCATTTGAATATGTTGATGATTCACTCAAAAAAGATAGAGAATTTGTATTAGAAGTTGTTCAAAAATTTGGAAACATAGAGACAATATCATGGAATAATATTTATTCAAGTATTTTGAACAAATATGGATTTGAAATTATTTCATTTATTGGTTATTGTTATTACTTTACATTTCTAGTATATGATACAAGTAGAAAAAAAAATGTTGTAGTAGGAATTATTGAAAACATTTTATCAAAAGAAACACTTAAGTTTTTAAAAAGAGTTAACTTTCAGTCTAACATTAGAAAATTAGAATGTGTTAGAACTGATGAGATTAGTTTTGATGTTATGGAATTCAGATCACTTGTAGATTACATTTATAATACTAATTCTAAAACTATTATTGAAAAACTTAGTATTTTTACTAAAATACTTAATTTAGTACAATCATTTCATAATAAGAATATTGTAATAACAAATTTAAATCCTAATAATATTGTATTAATGGAAAATGATGAATTAAAATTTGTAGATTTTTCATTAAATTTTGAATATATAGCACCTGAGGTATTTGAAACAAATGAATCACATAACAATGATATAACAAGTGATACATATTCATTAGGATGTATTTTATTAACATTACTAACTAATTGCAATATTTCTAAAATAGTACTACCTTGTAAAACTAAAAAAGATGAAAATGAATTACATAACCAAATTGAAAAATTAATTAATAGATATGTTGAATGTGAAAAAGAAATTAAAAATATATTAATTAAATGTATTAATAGAATGATTCACATAGACTCTATGAAACGTATGAATTGTTTTTATTATAAAAATATTATTTTAAATATTATCAAATATTTGAATGGTGAAATTAATGAAAATGAATTGAATATAAATTTAAATATATTAGAAAATGAAGATTGTGCTTATTCAGAATTTTCTAAATTTATTTCATATTTTAATTCAGGAAGTATTGAAAATGCTATTTATTTATATAATAATTTAATTATCAAGTATCCATGTACAGGTTTATATATTATGGGTGCACAATTATATATTCAATGTGGAGATTATCATAAATTTAAAGAATGTATTAATTTAGCATATAATTTAGATAATAATTGTAAAGCTGTACATGTTTACAATGCAATTTATTATAAATCAATACATGATTATGAAAATTTAAATAATACATTAAATATATTAAATAATACAAATATTACATTTACAGAACCTACATTTAATGAAGTTATTACTCTAAAAAATGGAGAAACCAATAATGTTATATATCCTGAATTGCAATCAAAACTATTAACATCTAATCAAGAATCAAATAATAATACAAAAATTATTCCTAAAACAACAGGTACTCCCCTATCAGATGAGTTAGTTATTACAGTTTTTTATAAAGATACAAAAAGATCTCACAATAATTGGGATGTCAAAGGTGAATCGTTACAGAATATTAAAAACCATTGTGCTGTCATATTTAAAGATAAAAATCTATCCACTCTAATTGATAAATCAAATGAAATTGAAGTAAAGCATGAAAATATGCTTAAACATTTAGGTGAATATAAAATTGAAGGAAGTGAAGAAATTATTAAAAAAGAAGATTTAAATATATCTTCTGAATATCAAAGTAAATTTCCAATAATCAAATATTTAAATGCAAAAGTATCAATAGTGGAATATAATAATGAATTGAAAGTGAAAAAGTTGGTAGATGTTCCTACTAATGAACAAGATTTTATTGATAGATGTGAAACTATTCAATCAATTAAATCTGATAATGTTATAGAATATTTACAATTTGGACTTGAGAATAATAGAGTGTATTATATTATAATGCCAATAGCTATTTGTGATTTACGTACATATTGGTATACTAATTTTTTTATTTTTGATAAAACAATAGACAAGTTATTAAATTATTTTATTCAAATTACTAGTGGAATTATAGCAATCCATGACAATAACATCATCCATCAAGATTTAAAATTAGAAAATATATTAGTATTTGATAATGATATTCTTAAAATATGTGATTTTGAACATTCAAAGTTAACTTTTAATAATACTATTACATTAGATGGTATTGGAACTTTATTATATAGATCACCAGAATCTGAATTATCAATAGGAACTGCAACAAGATTTGGAAATTGTTTAGATTCATATAGTTTAGGATGTATAATATTTGAAATGTTATGTAATAATAAGTATAACGTTTTAATGATTGATGGTAAACCATTCTCTTCTATAATGATAGCAAATAATTCTAATGATATAATACATAAACATATTGAATGGATGATTAAACAATCAGATATTGTACCTAACCATTTATCAGATTCAATTATAAATTTATTGAAAAATCTAATTACAAAAAATCCACTTGAAAGAATGAAATCAAATGATATTTTATCACAACTTTTAATAATCCAACAAGAATTGAATCAAGTTAATGATAGGCATTTTATACCTGAGTATAATAGTATTCCTACTAATGTTAATAACCATATTACAAATTTAACTTTAAATAATATTAATCAAGACTCTATTCAAAATATTGGAAAATATTGTAAAAATTTGAAATATTTAAATATTAGTGGATGTGATATTAGATTGTTTGGAAATTATCAACCAGATGAAAATTCTCCACAAATTATTAATTGTTTTTCTAAATTGAAACATTTAGTCTTAAATAATTGTACTCAATTAGAACAAGTCTATTCAATATCAATGAATCAATGTAATATTACCACATTAGAATTGAAACATTGTCCTAAATTGAATTTAATTAATATTTCATCAGAATCATTAACAGATTTATTTTTAAATTTTACACCCAACATTACAGAAATAACTCTTGGAACGAGAAATAATCCATTTAAAATTGAAAATATTCCATATTTTATGCAAGAATGTAAAACTGTCAGATCAGTTTGTGAATTTATTTGCACTCTTGATACAACTCCAGAAATGATAGATGATGAATTAGACAGTGCACTAAATGAATTGAATATTATGAAACCACGCAAATTTTTAACGTACCTTTATCGGTATAACACTAAGGTTCAAGAATATTGTAGCATCAAATGTGACTTTCCTGCCAAAACTAATAAGTGCACCGAGTTTTTAACCACTCTGACTCTAGATCAAGTGATTGTACTAGACTGAATTGGTTCGAATAAAGTTTTATTTCCTATTTAAATATAAAGATAAAGCAGTAACAGAACCAATAACAGCACCTGATAATATCCACCATTTACAACTCATAAATGGACATTTAAATTGTGCAGAATTTGTATTATTGGAATGTTGTTGTCCACTTGAATAGGTACATTGATTCATTAATTTTTCATCAACATATTCTTGACTAGTTGGATATACCTTAGGTTTAACAAGATAATTTGTTTCTTCTCTTAATTCATTTGAATTATTAAAAGTATTTGTTGAAATGGTAATTGTTGAAATGGTAGTAGTAGTATTTAAAATATTTTCATTTCTAATTTCAGCCAAAACTTGAGAAGGTAATAAATACCATCTCAAATGACCATATTTCTTTGCAAATTTAAACTTTTCATCACCAAATAATCTATAAATTTCATGTTCATATGATAATTGGAAAGGTGCTCTTTCTTGTGTAAATAATTCAATAGATTGTGTTAATAATCTTTCAGCATCCTCCAATATATCTGAATAATTATGAATAGTATTAGGTTCCATATCATGTAATTCACTTGAATGATCTAAAAATTGTAATTTACCATTTTCAAAAGTAACATCTGTTAATTTTTTACGATGTTGTTGTAAAAAGTTTGTAAAATCTTCATGAATTGATGATAAATTATCAGTTGAATTGATATCAAATGTTCTATGCATCCATTCATTACTCTTTTCATTAAAAATATAATAGGGTAAGAATTTCCAACCATGTGTTGCAACAAAATCAACTGCCTTTACAACAAAATCAACAGTTTCATCATCAAAAAAATAATTTAAATTCAATCTTGTCCAACCAGGTTTTAAATGTGTTAATGAAATTGGTGTTTCATAAGATTCCATTAAAGCAGTTTCTAATTCAATTGCCTTTTCATGTGTAATACCAAGTATTTCCATACCAAGTGGACCAGCACATGAACATCCACCTCTAGTTTGTACACCAAATAAATCATTTAATAATAATGAAACAAATGAATGATGTAAAAAACTATTACCATGTTTAACTAGAAATGAAAAGAATGCTAATTTTTTAACACCACCCTTTTCAATTGATTCTCTACCTGGTCCTAAAATGATTAAATTTAAATTATTTGACCATGTTTCAAATGCTCTATCTCTATAAGCATCTTCTAATTTAGAAATTAAAGAAGGACCAACAGTATCTTTTAATTTAAATACTAATGCACATCTAATAGATCCAATAATATCAGGTGTACCTCCTTCTTCTCTCTCTTCAATTGAAGTTGTATATGAATGATTTCTATCATCAACAAAATAAACAGTACCACCACCTGGTCGTGTTGGAACTGCATTTTTAAATAATTTTCTCTTTGCAATTAAAACACCAGGTGTACTTGGTCCACCTACAAATTTATGAGGTGAAATAAATATAGCATCCTTATGATAGATTGGATCATTGGATGGATTTACATTAATTGAAACATAGGGTGCACTTGCTGCATAATCAAAAAAACATAATGCTCCATTTAAATGACACAATTTACATATTGAATCACAATCTGAAATTACACCTGTTACATTAGATGCTGCTGTAAATGATCCAATTAATAATCTCTTATTTTTTATATTATTATTATTTAAATTATTATTATTAGAATTATTATTTAAATTATTAAAATTATTATTATTAGAAGAATATTTAATTAAACATTGTTCTAAATGTTTTAAATTAATATTACCATATCTATCTTCACTTATTTGAATAACAATTGCACCACTTTCTCTCCATGGTAAAATATTAGAATGATGTTCAGCACATGAAATGAAAACAATTGGAATTTCATTTTCATTATTTGTAGATAATGCTAATAATACTCTCTCTCTAACACCTAAACAATGAACTAGTGTATTAATAGCACTTGTACTACCACTACCTTCAAATAGAACAACATCACAATCTTCATCTGTTACTTGTCTTTCACTTGGTAATTTGGAAAATTTACAAAGTGAACATGTTGATGATTCAAATGATGATGGTAATGATGATACATTATTACATTCATTTGATTGATTTGAATGATTAGATTGATTAGAATTAACTAATTTAGCATTAACAGATTGTGCAATGATTTGTCTAGCATCTTCTCTAAAATGAGTAGTTTGATAACCAGTGAATGAAGTAGTAGTATGTGTATTAGCATAGGTAGGTAATACTTGTTCAAATAAATAATCTTCAATAAATTTCAATGGTTTACCAGATGCAATATAATCACAATAAGTAATTGGAACATAACGATTCTTTGAAAATGGTGATTTTAATACTGCTTCACCTCCTACTATATTATCATGTATACTTGTTATGAGTGATATCTTTTCATTCATCCAATCTTGCATTTTCTTATTTAATACCTTGTTATTATTATTATTAATATTATTATTATTAATATTATTATTAATGTTATTAATATTATGAATATTATTGTCAATGGCTAAATCATTATTATCAATGTTATTGTTGTTATTGTTGTCATTATTATCAGAGTGTGTTCATTGCAATGTCATGAAGTACTTTATAGGTAATAGAATTAGGATTGAATGGACGAGATCTGTGCATTGTAGAACGTTTTGTTGTGGAATATTGTTGTGGTGAATTAATTCTACTATTATTATTATCTGAAGAAGAAGCAGCAGCAGCAACAGGAGATAAAAGATTCTCCGAACTTGAAGGAGTTAAAATAATGGTAGGAGTTGTTACTTCATCATCAACAACAACATCAACATTATAATTATCATTGGATAATGATGACATTTTTTAAATCAGTGTTATCTAATATTATATTGATGATGATAATAGACAGTTTAATGTTAATGGTGATGAGAAAATGTTATGAAAATTGTTGAAGGTGAAGTAATGGAATGACCAAACAGTTGAAGAAGAATATCATTACATTGTTATGAAGAGTGTTAATATAATAATAATAATATTCATACACGTTTGGTTATTGAATTCAATTTTTTGGATAAGTGAAATTATAATTGTCGAATTGAATTGTAAAGGTGAAATAATTACGTACAAATTGGTGTGAGCAAAAGATTTGGCGTCTTGTTTGGTTATTATTGATGCGCTGATTTTTGAAAGTGCAGAGATGAAGGTGAGAATTTCCAAGGTTTTTTTTTCAGACCGTTAGTTTTTGGGCACTGAGTTTCAGTTTACAAAAACCAATCGGATCACCAAAGTGGATTAGTGGCTTTTCTGATATGAAAATACATGAAATCGTGATTTGAAGGTGTCAACGTAGCAGACTTGGCCGAGTGGTTAAGGCGACAGACTTGAAATCTGTTGGGGAAACCTTCGTAGGTTCGAATCCTGCAGTCTGCGTGTGAAATTTTGATGTTATATCAAAACTCAGTAGCGTAGGTTTATTAGCTCTGAAATTTAACCAGGTTACATTGTCACCTGCGCTTTGGATATCAAATAGAAACAAGCGTAAGTCTAGGCAGCCAATACTGAATATCTTCGGAAGCTTGAGGTTGTAATGTTATTGTTTGAAACATTATCAGGTTTAATGGTTGTTTATGTGAAAATAATGTGGAAGGGTGTTGTTATGTT